AGAGTTTTAGTTTGATTTAGTTATGAAGTGAGATAGTTATTTATTAATTAATTATGTTGCTCCCGGTTTTTGACTAGTGCGAAAAAACTATTTTCAATACATGAACATTTACTGAAGCCATCTAGTATTTGTCTCATTCAGATGGATCATCATTTGTTAGTAATCATGACAGGCATAAAAATTATTAAAGTCTAATTTAGAACAGTCAAAGTTGGGAAAATATTCAACTTAGATTAGTTGATGAAAAAACTAATTTTAATAAATTTTAAAATAAATTATAAATTAGTCTCTTTTGTTTTGAGAACATAATTAATTAGTTTATTTCGTTTCAAAAACTAATCATTTAGTCTCTTTGTTTTTTAATCTACTTATAGCTTAGTTTTTTTTTTTTTTTTTTGCTCATTTTCAATTTACTTTGATATATATATACATGTGTGTGTGTATTGATGAGAAAAGAAAACATTTTGTGAAATAAAAATAAGATTAAATTAAACATAGTCAACATTAAGCAAATGACTAAATAATAATTTTTAAAATAGAAAGGATTAATTAATTTATTTCTTGAAACTAGAGAGATTAATTTAGAATTTACTCATATATTCTACTACCTGTAAGACAAAAAAAAAAAAACATTTTGTGAAATAAAAATAAGATTAAATTAAACACATGCAACACTAAGCAAATGACTAAATAATAGTTTTTAAAATAAAAGAGATTAATTAATTTGTTTCTTGAAACTAGAGAGACTAATTTAGAATTTACTCATGTATTCTACTACCTGTAAAAATCCAATATATATATATATATATATAAACCTAAGCATGAAAATGAAACATCATGGAAAGTGAGAATTTATTTTGCATTCTCTATTGGCCTTAAAATCCAACCTTGGTTATCTTAAAGAGAACTTCGACTGAAAAATAAATAAATAAAATATTATATGGCTATTAGGACATCATAATAAACAAAGTTCCTGAGAACTTTAAAAATTGTTAGATTATCATGGCTGATCATAATTGTAGCCCATCATTCATAATTATAACAGTAAATGGACTAGCAATTTCCTCAGATTATACTGTGATTAGCTAACTAGTTTGGATTTTGGTGCCTTTTTGTAGAGAATGACTTGAAGGGAAAGCTAGGAAAGCGTGCATATTTGGAAGAATGGATTACTACAATCGCTCCTTTAACCGCGGGCGAGACGGCATTCAAAGTTACCTTTGATTGGGATGAGGATATTGGAGTTCCAGGGGCATTCCTGATAAGAAATAATCATCATAGTGAATTCTACCTGAAGACTGTCACACTCGAAGATGTTCCTGGCCAAGGCCGAGTCCACTTTGTTTGCAACTCATGGGTTTATCCCGCAAAACATTACAGTAAGGATCGTATCTTCTTCACCAACCAGGTAATTAAGTAACCATAGAAAGCTTAAGGTAGTTCAAAGTTGTGAATATTTTCCTGAGCTAATAATTTTTGATACATTGGTGTAGACATATATGCCGCACGAGACACCAGCACCGCTGCGTAAATACAGGGAAGAAGAGCTGTTTAATTTGAGAGGAAATGGAGAAGGAGAACTTAAGGAATGGGATCGCGTCTATGACTATGCTTACTACAATGATTTGGGAGATCCTGACAAGGGCCCAAATTATGTTCGCCCTGTTCTTGGTGGGTCTTCTGAGTATCCTTATCCTCGTAGGGGCAGAACAGGCCGAGTAGCAACAAAAACAGGTCATTACCTGTTGAGCATCTCACTTTCATGTTATCAATAATTTGTGATTTTACTTCTGTTGGCATTTGTAAAATTTTTCCCTGGTCCTATTATCTTAAGCAGATCCCAACACAGAGAGCAGGCAGCCACTTCTCATGAGCTTAGACATATATGTTCCAAGAGATGAACGATTCGGTCATTTGAAGATGTCAGACTTCCTTGCTTATGCGTTAAAATCCGTAGCTCAATTTATCAAGCCTGAACTGGAAGCATTTTGTGACAAAACCCCTAATGAGTTCGACTCCTTTGATGATGTATTGAAACTCTACGAGGGAGGATTTGAGCTGCCTGATGGTCCCCTACTAGATAATCTTAAGAAAAACATTCCTTTGGAGATGCTTAAGGAAATTTTTAGAACCGATGGGGAAAACCATTTCCAATTTCCAAAGCCTCAAGTGATTCAAGGTTTGAACTAAAACTTTTAACTCTATGTTTGGACTATTTTATAGACATACATTCATTCACCTATCTCTTTTTTTGAAAACTAAATTGTGATATCTTATACAGATAATCACTCTGCTTGGAGGACTGATGAAGAATTTGGCAGAGAAATGCTGGCTGGAGTAAACCCTGTTATCATTCGTCTTCTTGAGGTACCCTAAAGTTCTAACAAAATTTTCTGTCCAGAATATATATATATATATATATATTTCTTTGTGTCTAATAACAAATCATTGCAGGAATTCCCTCCCAGAAGCAAGCTAAACAGTAAGCAATATGGTGATCAAAACAGCACAATAACCGAAGAGCACATAAAGGATAATCTGGATGGATTGACCATAGATAAGGTAAGTTGTCTCTTGATTAGTTTCTTCGAAAATGGAGTTTAAAATCAGATCCGTCCAATGGAAATGTAGAATTGTAGCTGAAATACTTTGTTGTTGAATAGGCAATCGAGAAGAACAGGATGTTCTTATTAGATCACCATGATGCATTGATGCCATACCTGAGGAGGATAAACACTACCTCCACAAAGACTTATGCCTCCAGGACTCTCCTTCTCTTGAAAGATGATGGAACTTTGAAGCCACTTGTAATCGAGTTAAGCTTGCCTCATGATAAGGGAGATGAATATGGAGCTGTTAGCAAAGTCTATACCCCAGCTAAAGAAGGTGTTGAAGGTTCCATTTGGCAGCTAGCTAAAGCTTATGTGGGTGTAAACGACTCTGGTTACCATCAGCTTATTAGCCATTTTTTGAACACTCATGCCGTGAGTGAACCATTTGTGATTGCTACAAACAGACAACTCAGTGTGCTTCATCCGATCTATAAACTTTTGGAGCCTCACTTCCGCGACACAATGAACATAAATGCGCTTGCCCGGCAGACTCTCATTAATGCTGGTGGAATCCTGGAATCAACAGTTTATCCCGCAAAGTATGCCATGGAAATGTCATCAGTAATTTACAAAAACTGGAATTTCACTGAGCAAGCACTTCCTGAAGATCTGAAAAAGAGGTAAACCTTTTTAGTTTATTAGTACTAGATAGTTGGTACTTGTTCATAGTTTCCTAGAATTCTAGAACTAGAAATTAAACAACACAGAAAAATACACTGATAAAAGACTTCAGGAACTAGAACTTTCAGTAACTGATGTCATAGTTTTTTTGGAATTTTAACTTTGGTTAATTATGTGATAATGCTGTATTTGATTTCAATAACATGCTACCTTGTTTATTCAGAGGAGTGGCAGTTGAGGATCCAAAGGCTCCATATGGTGTTCGCTTACTGATAAAAGATTACCCATATGCTGTTGATGGGCTAGAGATATGGTTTGCAATCAAAGAATGGGTCAAAGATTACTGCTTTTTCTACTACAAGGATGATGGCATGGTTCAAAATGATTCTGAACTACAATCATGGTGGAAGGAAGTGAGAGAGGAAGGGCATGGTGACCTGAAAGATGCTACCTGGTGGCCAAAGATGCAGACTCGTGAAGACGTAATAGATTCCTGTACCATAATCATATGGGTGGCATCTGCCCTCCATGCAGCTGTCAATTTTGGTCAGTACCCTTATGCAGGCTACCTTCCCAATCGTCCAACCATAAGCCGTAGGTTCATGCCTGAGGAAGGCTCTCCTGAGTATGAGGAGCTTAAGTCGAACCCTAACAAAGCTTTCTTGAAAACAATCACTGCCCAGTTGCAAACACTTCTTGGCATTTCCCTTATAGAAATTTTGTCCAGGCATTCCTCAGATGAGGTGTATCTTGGGCAACGAGACTCTCCTGACTGGACAACAAACAAAGAACCATTGAAGGCTTTTGAGAAATTTGGAAAGAAACTGGCAGATATTGAGGACAAGATGTTTGATATGAACAAAGATGAGAAATTGAAGAATCGTGTTGGCCCAGTAAAGGTGCCATACACTTTGTTGGTTCCTACCAGTGAAGGTGGACTCACTGGAAGGGGAATTCCTAACAGCGTTTCAATCTAAGCTTCTCTACAAAACTATTTATTTTATATGTCATTTCTTGTTATGAAGGTTCTTTGTAACTAAAAAGTTCAAGCATTTTCAATAGATAATTTCTGTAATTCTTGTTCTATGCTCTGAGGCACATATGTCTTGATGTCATAAACTTCATAAATAATGAAATAAAAGTTCTTTTGGTCATCTTATTGGAGTTCAATTCGATTAAACAATCAACATTGTAGTTGTTGTAATGGGCTAATTTGCTGACTAAACAGAAATGCTATTTCTTGATTTAAGAGCTCAAAAAATACTAGCACATTTTCTCTTCCTAGTGGAGGAACTACAAGTAGAAATGGATAATTTCCCTAGTGAAAACTTGTTCTTGTTACTGTTCTATGTTTTTCATAGCTTAACCTGTTAGACTCTTAAATGTTAGGTCTTTCTATATTTCCTCATCAAATCAAGTTGAATTTCATAAACTGTAAATTAATATAGTTGAAAAAAAAAGGTCCATGTAATTGGTAGAGTACATGCCCTTGACAGAAGTAGGTCAGTCTTTCGTAAATCTATTAAAAGACTAACAACAGGACAATGTAATATGAAACAAAGACTTTTGAAGTGTGATTTTTTCCCCTAAATAATTGCAATATGAACAAGTGAAGCTTCTTAGTCTTCGCCACATATATAGTCCCTCTCTATAAGAGCTACCACACAACTGTGCTCTTGTCTTACATTAAATGTTCTCAGAAGCCAAACTTTAGATTTTTTGTTTAGCACCAGGAAAGAAGCAAACAAGCAAGCACGAGGAAAAGAAATGTTTCAGAACACTATTAATGCAATCGTAGGTTGTTGTACAAAGGACAGTAAAAAGAAGATCAAAGGGACTGTTGTGTTGATGAAGAAGAAATTCTTGGACTTTGATGATTTAAAAGCTTCGGTTCTTGAACGCGTTCATGAGTTTGTAGGCCAAGGAGTCGCTCTGCAACTCATTTAGTGCTCTTAACAGTGATCTTCAACTATTATACAATTACTTCTTTTATCGTTTTGTTGATTTTTCAGTATTTAAACATTTTTTCAATCTCCAAAGCCCTTTTTTTTCTGTTTAATTAGATAATTGTATGTTAATTAAAAAATAATGGATATTAATAGGATAAAAAATTGATATTTATGCTCTGAAATCATATTAGTAGTTATATATTTTTCATTTTTGTCCATTCCAATAATCATTGAATATTTTTAATGAATATTTATCAAATAAGATAAAATAATTATCCTTTTTATACCCAACACATATTCTCATCTCTACATCTTCAACAACTGAGTTATAAGTAATGGAAAAAACCTTCTAACTTCTCAAAGAAATGAAGATATTTACATTGGTAACTTATAAATCAGCATGCTCAATAGGACTTAGTGATGGATTTCAGTAGGAACCCCAAAACTACTAATCGATGCAGAAAACGTATCATATTGAATAGCACTCTGGGAATACTTAGAGATGGCAATGAATACCCAACCTATTAATTCAATTTTTTAATATATATATATATATATATATATATTTATTATTCAATAAGAAATTATTATATAAATCTTTATTTGACACATATCGAATTACATCAATTTATTCGCCTATTTAGTATTATTTAATACCCATTAAAATATTTTATCAAAATATTTCATTTTAGTCTTTATAATTTTTTTTAAAAAAATTTTATCTCTCAAAATTTATTTTATTTTTTTGCATTTTGGTCCTTAATTTTAAAGTTTATGCAATTAGATCTATATATGTTATAAAAAAATCAAAATAAATTAGCAGCATCAATTTATCCACCTATTTAATATGTATTTAATACCAGTTAAAATAATTTATCAAAATATTTTATTTTAGTCCTCGTAATGTTTTTTAAAAACTTTTGGTCCCTTAATTTTTTTTTTTGCATTTTGATCCTTTATTGTAAAGTTTATGCAAATAAATCTCTATATGTTAAAAAAAAAAAATCAAAATAAATTAACAGGTATCAATAGGATAAATAGTCGGTACTCATACCTTAAAATCATATTAACGAGATATGTATTTTTTTTAATTCTTATTGATTTTAATATCTCTTGCATATTTTTAATAAGTATTTATTGGATCGGATAAAATTCATTGTCATCCCAAGTAATACCTAACTTTCCTCCCGTCTCTATATGTTAAAAAAATCTCTATATTCCAGTCTCTATATGATAAAATTCATTTTTAATAGAATTTTTCTTTTTTATTTTTTGCATTTTGGTGCTTAATTTTAAAATTTGTGTAATTAAATCTTTATATGTTCTTTTTTTAAAAAAAATCAAAATAAATTAACAGATATCAATAAGATAAATAGTAGATACTCATGCCTAAAACTATGTTAATGAATATTTTTTTATTTTTTTATTTTAATATTTATTCAATATTTTTAATAAATATTTATTTGGTGGAATAAACCCATTGTCACTCCTAGGAATACCTAACTTTCCTCCGGTCTCTAAAAACTAATTTGCTGGTGATACTCTGTTCGCATGGACGGCATCGAAGAATCTGACTGAAGTCTATACCTCTTAGCTCTAGTCCATCACAACATCTCCTTAGACGTCTTTATCTTCTTCCTCGTTGCCTCTACCTGCTTTGAAACACATTGCTACCTCCGCTTAAGTGGTCGGTATCAACCAACTTTCTTTGTTGCAAGCTCTGAATGTGACCGCAAATTGAGGTTCCACCATCGATGTCAATGGTTGATCATGATCACGCTTCTATTCATCGGCAATCTCAAGAGAATAACCCCACTGACAACGAATCTTATTATCACAAGCTCAAAACCTCTCACAGACCGATTTCAATGTCATGAAGACGAAATTGAAGAATACGACCAACAGTAACTTTTTGTCAAATAATACTATCTTCAACAAGAAGATGCAGTCAGTGCTCGATCATTTGGTGAGAACTGAACAACTCAATAGTGCTCCACAAACAGTACCGGCTGCCGGAGGGCCAGCCACTGCTCAACAAGTAAATTTGCCTCCACCTTTTTTATTGGCACAGCCTCGTCTAACTAGACCACTTACACCAATGGGTCAACGATCAAATGACCCAGTTCCAGCACCCCCTGCTCATTCATAGTACACCATCGTGCTTGAGATTGATGCACCAGGTCTTGCGCCATCTCTACCATATCCACATGGCCCACATGGTGGGCTGTCTTTTTCCTAGAATGCTTATCTCTTATACCTAGTAAGATATTGGGGCTGTAAATTTTTTATGATATTAATGTAATGATTGACTATAATTTTATTTTATTTTAAACTCTTTTTTTAGTTTTTTTTTCAGATATCCTCGTACTACGTCGCAAATAAAACTAATTATTTTCGGGATACGAGCTATGAGCTATAAAATTTAACTGTAATCTATAAGTTAAATTTTAGAATTCAAAATCTTCATATTAAAATAAAATTCATTCGAAAAGTAATTCGTTTATCACTGAAAATTAATTAATATTTATTTTTATAAGAGATAAAATCCTAATGCAGAGACCATGGAGAAAGTCAACTTATGAACCACATAATTCTAAGCCCAAAACACTATATACAGACTTACACAAATATATGTATTTCTGTAATATCTTTGAAAAAATGGCAGGTAAACCTTGTCTGCTCAGAAATTAAATGCTGATCTAGAGCTGTACTCATTAATTATCAGAAAAAGAAAAAACGTGAACTGCATCCTCTATCTTAATTTCTCCTTGATTGGCTTGCTCCCTTCAATATTTTTAGCAAACAGAACAATGGCCATTTTCTTATTCTTCACCGACGTCATATTTTATTTTTCATTCAACGTCTCAATGTTAGGTCTTTCTATATTCCTCATCAAATCAAGTTGAATTTCATATACTGTAAATTGATATGGTTGGGGGAAAAAAAAGGGTCGTCCATGTGACTGGTAGAGTACATGTCGTTGACAGAAGTAGGCCAGTCTTTCATAAATCTATTAAAAGACTAGCAACACGACAACGTAATATGAAACGAAGACTTTTAAAGTGATTATTTTCCTAAATAAATGCAATATGAACAAGTGAAGCTTCTTAGTCTTTACCACATGTATAGTCCCTCTCTATAAATACTACCACACAACTGTGCTCTTTCCTCACATTAAATCTTTAGATTCTTTGTTTAGTACCAAGAAAGAAGCGACCAACTGATTAAGCAACAGGAAAAGAAATGTTTGGGAACTGTATCGATGCAATCTTAGGTTGTTGTAGTCCAGGGGGCAGTAAAAAGAAGATCAAAGGGACTGTCGTGTTGATGAAGAAGAATTTCTTGTGCTTCGATGATTTAACAGCGTCGTTTCTCGATAGCGTTCATGAGTTTGTAGGCCAAGGAGTCTCCCTGCAACTCATCAGTGCTATTAACAGTAATCCTTCAGGTATTAAACGTTTACTTCTTTTATCTTTTTGTTGCTTTTTTCAGTACTTAAATCCTATTTCAACCTCCAAAGCCCTGTTTTTTGTTTTTCTCTTTAGTCTCTTGAGGAGATTCGTTGAAAACACCAAGAATGATAGAGTAGGCATCCAGGAGAGGAAAAACCACAAAAAGCCATAAACAAGATTATAAGTAAGCCATATGGCAGGAGACAACAAGAAAAATGTAGGCTGCAAGTCGTAGCAGATTATCCAAAACAGAGAGAGGCGTGGGGTCGTGTTTTGGCTTGCACGTGGAAGATTTACATCATTATCTTAGTCCAAAACCCTACCCTGACAAGCCCCGGATCCATCTTATATATAACCAACTCAAATTTCTTCTTCTTAACCGACGTGGGATTTTTGCTTCCACGTGAAACTCAACAGGTTGTAGAGCCAGAAGCCTGAAAAACTAACCCCGCTAAGCACTCCAAAGACCAGCTAACACCCATCAGTAGCAGAATATCCACAAAGGCTTTAATTAGAGACTAACAACACCAACCAAGCAGTGTATAATCAAATAAAGTTTGCAGCAGCAAATTAAATTCTACTAGCATATTAAGCCTTATGCAAAAGCCCTTGTTAGACTGAGGAAACTACAAAACCTAACAGTGGAAAGATTTTTTTGTTCTTGATTCTCGTTAATTACTAGTTTCCACGCATGGTTCACCTTGGATATGTAGCAGTTAGAAGTGAAGCAAGCAAAAACGTAGCATTTCAAGGAAATCAGATAAGATTTATGACTCAAGTAATTTAATTAATTATTGCCGGATCATAAGATTAATATATGTACCAATTTGTTAGCTTTTATGGGATAAGGACTTTTTTATTGTTTGAGAAAAGAAGTGAGAATATAAAGGTTTCATAACTAGATGGTGGATTTGCAAGTAGGTAGGGTCATGAGGTTTCGAGGAAAGTAAGATTTATGTTTATTTACTGCATTGTTTCATGTTTTTAACGAGTAAAGACCCAGTGAAAATTATTTTCAATGCATAGACATTTGCAGAAGCTACCTTGCATTTGTCTGATTCAGATGGAGGTACTATCTGTTGGTGATTATGACAGGCATAAAGAATTAAACATGATCTTGACTTTCAACAACCCACAGCCTCCTCTGAAAATGAAACTCCATCGAGAGAGGGATATTTTGCGTTGCTGACTCACTAGTGGCATTAAAATCCAACCTTGGTTATCTTAAGAGAAATTCAACTTAAAAATGTTGAACTGATCATGACTGTAACCCTTCTTTATAATAGTAACTGTAACTGTGGATCGGTAAAAAAGAGTGTTTCTGATTCATCAAGTTAGGAGTTCCATTTTCATTTTAAAAAAACTTCCCAATCTCTTTTGTGTGGCATTCCACATAAGCTGTTGGTGGATTTAAAGAGTCCAGCCCCTAGAATCAACTCAAGATTAGATTTGATCTGGTGCTGATCTAACTTAAAAAGCAAGTATTTAGTCTCAATAGATGTGAAAAATGACTCGAAAAGATCCTATTACCTATAATATAAAAAAAAAAATGTAGCTGAGCTGCAATTTCCTAAAATCCACTAGTGGCCTTAAAATCCAATCTTGGTTATCTTTAGAGAACTTCAACTTAAAAATATTGACTGGTCATCACTGTAGCCCATCATTATAATTCTAACTGTAATTGTAGATTGATAAGAAGAGTGTTTCTAATTCATCAGGTCAAAAGTTTGATTCTCACTCTTGAAAAACATTTCTCTCTCAGTTTAGGCGTGATCCGATGTTAACATAACCTAGAAAATAGAGACTTAATATCGACTGAATGGCTGGCCCAAAAAAGCAAAGCTGTAACTAGACCTGCAATTTCCTAAGATTATACTGTTAGCTGACTACTGCGGATTTTGATGTCCCTTTGTAGATAATGATTTGAAAGGGAAGCTAGGAAAGCCTGCAGAGGTGGAAAAATGGATTACTAACGTCTCTTCCGTAATTGCGGGCGAAGTTACCTTTGATTGGGATGAGGAGATTGGAATTCCAGGGGCATTCCTGATAAGAAATAATCGTCACAGTGAATTCTACCTTAAGACTGTCACACTAGAAGGTGTCCCTGGCCCAGGCCGAGTCCACTTTGTTTGCAACTCATGGATTTATCCTGCAAAGCATTACAGTAAAGATCGTATTTTCTTTACCAACAAGGTACATATGTAACAACAAAAAGCTGAAGGAAGGTGTAGATGTTAACCTGCGCTAACAATTTTGTTTCATTTGACAGACATGTCTGCCACACGAGACACCGGCACCGCTACGTAAATACAGGGAAGAAGAACTCGTTCAGTTGAGAGGAGATGGAAAAGGAAAGCTTCAGGAATGGGACCGCGTCTATGACTATGATTACTACAACGATTTGGGAGATACTGGTCCTGACAAGGTTACAAAGTATGTCCGCCCTGTTCTTGGGGGGTCTTCTAAGTACCCTTATCCTCGTAGGGGCAGAACAGGCCGAGATAAAACAGAATCAGGTATTATCCTATTGAAAATCTCACACTAATGTTTTCAATGGAATTCAGGTTTTTATATGTTCAATTGTATTTTTGTCTTGGTTCTCATTGCTAAAGGTTTTCAATGGTCTTGTTATCTTAAGCAGATCCCAGCAGAGAGAGCAGGCTGCAACTTCTGATGAGCTTAAACATATATGTTCCGAGAGATGAACGATTTGGTCACTTGAAGTTGGCAGACTTCCTTGGTTATGCACTGAAATCGATAGCTCAGGTTGTTAAACCTGAATTGGAAGATTTATTTGACAGCACCCGTAATGAGTTTGACTCTTTTGATGATATATTGAAACTCTATGAAGGAGGGATTGAGCTTCCTGACGGTCCGCTAGAAAATATTAAGAAAAATATTCCCTCGGAGATGCTTAAGGAAATATTTCGAACTGATGGGGAAAACCTTTTCAAATTTCCAAAGCCTCAAGTGATTCAAGGTTTGAACTTAAACATTTAACTCCATGTTTGGACTATTTTAGACTTAATTACGTTCACCTATTTCTTTTTCGGCAACTTAATTATGAATATCTTGTACAGATAATCATTCTGCTTGGAGGACTGATGAAGAATTTGGCAGAGAAATGTTGGCTGGAGTAAACCCTGTTATTATTCGTCGTCTTGAGGTACACAAAAGTTCTGACAAATATTTCTGTTTGGGAAATTTATCAATACAAAGAACAATTTTGGGAGCTAATGGATTTCAAATCTTCTCATTCTTCATTTCTAATAATAATTATTTGGAATGCAGGAATTTCCCCGAAAAGCAAGCTAAGCAAACTATATGGTGACCAAAATAGTAAGATAACTGGTGAGCACATAAAGGATAATCTGGATGGACTGACCATAGATGAGGTAATGCTCTTAGATTAGTCTCTTTGACAATTCAGTTTACGATCAGATCGTGGATGCTTCGCAGATCGAACTGCTTAGTTTAATCACATCGAACAAAAAATTGTAGCTAAAAGAGTTTTTGTTGCATAGGCAATCAGGAACAACAGGATGTTCATATTAGATCACCATGATGCACTAATGCCGTACCTGAGGAGTGTAAACACTACTTCCACAAAGACTTATGCCACAAGGACTCTGCTTTTCTTGAAAGATGATGGAACTTTGAAGCCTCTTGCAATCGAGTTAAGCTTGCCACATGAAGAGGGAGATAGATATGGATCCGAGAGCAAAGTCTACACCCCAGCTAAAAATGGCGTTGAAGGTTCCATTTGGCAGCTGGCTAAAGCTTATGTGGGTGTAAATGACTCGGGCTATCATCAGCTTATCAGTCACTGGTATGCTCTAGCAAAGGAAAATCAACTCTTACAAGAAAAAAAATATTGATGCAGTGATTAATTAATTTTTCTTGTTTTGGCAACAGGTTGCATACTCATGCTGTGATTGAACCATTTGTGATAGCAACAAATAGACAGCTCAGTGTGCTTCATCCGATTTATAAACTTCTGGAACCTCACTTTCGCGACACGATGAACATAAATGCACTGGCTAGGCAAATCCTCATTAATGCTGGTGGAGTGCTGGAATTGACAGTTTATCCTTCCAAGTATGCCATGGAAATGTCATCTTCACTTTACAAAAGCTGGAATTTCGTTGAGCAAGCACTTCCTGAAGATCTGAAGAAGAGGTAAATCCTAGATTATTCATAAAGGCTAATTCATAGTTTTCTATAATTTGTTGGAACTTGAAATTAAACAACATGGAGGATTGTAGACTTATAAAAGACTCCAGGAACTATAAAGCTCAAACTTTGCTAAGCTATCTCGGTTTATTCAGAGGAGTGGCAGTTGAGGATCAACATTCTCCACATGGCGTTCGCCTGCTGATAGAAGATTACCCATATGCTGTTGATGGGCTAGAGATATGGTTTGCAATCAAAGAATGGGTCAGAGATTACTGCTCTTTCTACTACAAGGATGATGGCATGATTCAAAAGGATTCTGAACTACAATCATGGTGGAAGGAAGTGAGAGAGGAAGGGCATGGTGACCTGAAAGATGCACCCTGGTGGCCAAAGATGCAGACTCGTGAAGAATTAATAGATTCCTGTACCATAATCATATGGGTAGGTTCTGCTCTTCATGCAGCTGTCAACTTTGGACAATACCCTTATGGAGGCTACCTTCCTAATCGTCCAAGCATAAGCCGCAGGTTCATGCCTAAGAAAGGCTCTACTGATTATGAGGAGCTCAAGTCAAACCCTGATAAGGCTTTCTTGAAAACAATCACTCCCCAGCTGCAAACGCTTCTCGGCATTTCCCTTATAGAAATTCTGTCAAAGCATTCATCAGATGAGGTGTATCTTGGGCAGCGAGACACTCCTGAATGGACAACAGACCGAAAACCATTAGAGGCATTTGAGAATTTTGGAAAGGAACTAGCAGACATTGAGCACAGGATATTAAATAGGAACAAAGATGAGAAATTGAAGAATCGTGTTGGCCCAGTCAAGATGCCATACACTTTGTTGGTTCCTACCAGTGAAGTTGGACTCACTGGAAGGGGGATTCCAAACAGCGTTTCAATCTAAAGCTTCTCCACAAGTCTGTCTATTCTATGTTGTTAGGCAAGAACTTTTAGCTTCTTCTTTTTTTTTTTTGTTCTGTCAGGAAGTCAATAAATCTTAGGCAATATAAAGAAGTAGTCCTACCTTGTGAGATAATTAATTACTAAATAAATTAGAGTGATTAGTACTCAAACTTATTTTATTTGAAAAAAGTTATCGGATACACAACCGTTAAACTATGTGAACTCGTATAAGTTTCAATCACTAATATTTGTAATTCTTATTTTATTCTTTAAGGCACATGATGTCGTGTGCTTAATAAGCTCAATAAATGTTATATATTCCTATTATTTTTATGCAATTTTTCAAAGCTTAACTTGCTATATTCTTCTTTTTCCTTGTACAAGGAGTAACTTATAAATTAGTTTTTGTCTATTTCAAAAAACAAATTGTTTTTTTTTCTTCAAAAACTCATTATTTAATCTTTTCTATCAGAATGAAAAATACTTAATTTAATATTATTTTATTTAAAGAATATCATCTATTCTCTTCAATTCTTTTATATATTTAAAAAACAAAATAAAAATACATTGAAAAATGATGAAAATGATTAAGTTACAAGAAAATAAATTAAAGGATAATAGTCTAATACTTTATTATCTTTTTAATAATTTGTGAAAACTTAGGACTTTTGATCTGATTTTTCTTTTTTTTTTCTTTTTTTTGTGTGTGTGTGTGTTTTTTTTTTTTTTTATGATGACTTTGAGCTAAATTAGTTTATTGAATTTTTGTAGGCTTTTCCATATTTATATATATATCTCTTTAAGAACCTATATCTCATATAAATCCTGGTGATCATGAATAATATCGTGCAAAGTAATTAATATTACTCAACTTTATCTGTTTTGAGCTACTTTTTTTTAAACAGAACATAAAACATATAACTATTTACTTCTTCCAATTTAGTATTTGTATCTAGTTGTTCAACTAAAATCTTTACTGAGAATAAACTTTGATCCTAACCATCGTACTTTCTTATTTATTTGATCTTTTTATTTATTTTTAACTCGAGGATATACTTGAGCTAATTTTTCATGCATTATAACTAAACTTTTTTGGTTGGGTTTTAACCACACCATCCAAATCTATCCTTGTGTATTCACCATACATTTCTTGAGTAAATATATCCAATTATCTTTAATAATACTCAAAGTTTTCTATTTATTTTTAGATTTTCAATTACATCTCATTTATTTTTGAAAAATTTTAAAATGTTAAAATTTTTTTTTGGATTAATTTTTCCGACCATGTTAAATTTATCATTTTCGATCAATTTTTTCAACCAAATCTATCCTTGTGTATTCACCATATATTTCTTGAGTAAATATATTCAACTCGTTTTTATATAATAATCAAAGTTTTCTACTTATCCATAGATTTTCAATTGCATCCTATGTATTTTTTTATAAAAATTAAAATGTTAAAATTTTCATTTTGATAAATTTTTTCGATCATGAAAATTTTTTTTGACCAAAATATCCTTTAATAAAATGTGAAAAAAAAAATTTTTTGATGTCACGTGACCTTCATTTTTCATTTTTTTAAGTCTTTAAATTATTTTATTTTATTTTATTTACATTTCTATCAAGGCATTTTGGTTAAAAAAATTTATATTGATCGAAATGACATATTAAACATTTCAAATGTTTTTAAGGACAAACGAAATATAATGAAAAATTCAAGAATAGATGGAAGACTTTAAATATTATATAAGAATATATAGATATATTTACCCTACATTTTTTTTTTCGGTTTCTAGAGCTTCATTCATGAATTAACTCCACACCCCCTTAATTACCAAACAGATGCATGTTAAAATGGAGACATAAAACTAATACCAAAAATAATAGAATCAGACAATTAATTGTCTTGCAAGTGACAAATAGATAATAAAATAAGCTGATACAACCCATAAATTTTTGAAGAATAATCGAGAATAACTCTTTAGGATCCTTATTTTGGTCTTACCCACATAATTGCTATTATTATTGATTAATTAGAAGTGGGAGCTCCTAAGATTTGATAGAACGGCAGATTCTTGTTTGCTTGGATTAGTGCAAACGCAAACGTTCCATTCACACTTAGTACATTGTGGCACACCATACTTCTTGCAATCATCATCTGTCTGACAAGGAATTGCTCCTATCTGAGCTTCAATGCTTGGCACATTTGATGTCATTACGCCTGCCAATAAAGGGCATAATAATATTATATTATAAAATTAACCAATAAAGCCAAAAAGAAATTGAAAAAAAAAAACATGACACAAGAATGTATTACAACCATTTTGGTTGAGAGATTTCTTAATTCAAACTATTTATTGTAAAAGCATCGATCAATAATCGACACATAATATTATAAAGTAAAAAATCTCAAAAAATAAATGTGACATGTTGATTAACCAATAAAAGGCATAATCATAGAATATTATAAAATTAATCAATAAAACCAAAAAAAAAAAAAAACATGGTACAAGAATGAGTTACAACGATTTTGATTGAGAGATTTCTTAATTCAAACTATTTATTGTAAAACCATCAATCGGTGACCGACACATGACATTATAAATTAAAAAATCTTGAAAAATGGATGTGACATATCGATTATTAATTGAATGCATCATAACGAAGGATTAAAAGTAAAAAATCTCAAAATATAAAATGTTTCATTGGAGCCATATATATATATATATATATGATTCAAATAGGAAGAAAACTCATGGAAGAATTGTGCTAAATAAATCAGAGTGCATGTAAAAAGAGAGAGACTTACATGCAATAAGCAAGAGAACAACAAAAAAGGAAAACTTGAATGAGGCCATATTATTGTAAGTGCCTGAATTCTTCTGTGATTGTAAGAAAACAAAGAGTTTTGGGTTTGGAATATTGTGGCATTCACTGAAATCCTTGGCAGGAGTTCTTATAGGAAGATTGTAAAAGCTAAAAATGGAATATTTCTTGGTAATTCAGAAATAAGGTTAATTAGATTATATGAGGTGATTCTAGTCAATATTTTATATGAATCCACTTACCTTTCTTGCCCATTTGGATCGACAATGCCCACGTATTCTTACTCTCTATATGTTTTTTTGGTAGTCTGTAGAAGGATCATTCTGTAGTACTCTTTCCATTGGTATGCAACAAATTAAGAATCTAGACATACCATTGTTTTCTATGCCATTGAAGGATTCATGAAAAAGAAATGGAAGTTAGGAAACTAAATTGGTAATATGTTTATCATTCCTTAATAATTCTCTTTTTCTTTTCTTTTTTCCCCTGTTTTTTGGACACAATTAGCATATACTCACATCAACTTTGATTTACACATTAATATTAAGTATTTGTTGTTGATTTTATATATATGTTGAAATCTTAGAATTATAATTTTTTTCCTACTTTTGAAACTACTAATAATTCGTTTAATTATAATATATGGTAGTTGCACCATAATTTGGAAACTAAATAAATTTCAAATCAATTTATTTTATTTTATGCAGAAAGATGCAGTACAGATATATTTTTATACAAAAAAAGAAAGAAAGAATGAATGAAAGATAGCTTTCATTATTTGGATTAGTTGCAAGATTTATTTCTCGAAGTATTTTAAAATTTCCATTAAACTTTGACTCAAAAAAATTGCTTTTTTTTATTTTTCGGTTCCAATTTTTCATCATCTACACAAAAATTGTAAGAAAACTATTATTGAAGACTATATGTAAAATGTTTATTCATCCCTTATATATACTGATTACAAGCTAAAATAAAAGCACCAATTGCAAGATAAAATCAAAGTACTGGTTATAAGATAAAATCATTCCTTGACTTAACTTCAGAATATACAAATAAAAATTTTGTGAAGATTATACTAATATATATTTAATACAGTAGAAATTTAAGGGATGCGAAGAGATTTCACATTTAATGAAAAAAATTATGAAGATTATGAGATAAAATCAATCCTTGACTTAAGCTCATAATATGCAAATAAAAAATTAGTGAAGACTATACTAATACACGTTTAATGCTGTAGAAAATTAAGGGATATGAAGAGATTTTCACATCCAATAAAAATAAACAGAACATCCAAAAGCTTTCAAATTAAAGTAATCAAGAGGGCTATTAGCTCGTTTAAGGATTGCACACCCAGATGTAAGAATAACACAATGATTTTACATGGTTCAGTATATCTATGTCTACGAGCAAAGAAGATAAATTTTACTATAATCAGAATCAGTACAATTTGGAAAACTCTCAAGCCAAACCGCAAGTACAACCGAATCCTCACAACACAGAAGAGATTATCAGAATACACAATTTGCTTCACTAGAGAAGAAATCTAAGCACATATTCATAGATGGAGAACATGTATTAGTCCTAATGGATAGATGATTAGTGAGAATCCTATTCCTACAAGGTTTCCAATGCTAGCCAAAACCAATCGTAAGTCCATAAGGTTCCATTTTCAGGATCCTTGTTCGATGGGAATTCAGGATTGTGTGGATTTCCATTTTCAAAGAATCGTGACAATATGTTGGCCTAACTCCAGCTTCATCATCTCGGCAGAACCAGAAGGAAAAGTCCACAGAAATGACGAATCGAAAAGCGGCCTCTAGCGTGAAACAAGATTTAGCTACAATGGGGTATGCAATGAGTAATGGCTCGTCTAGTTATGGTCATTTCTCTCTGTAAGTTTTTCATTGCTGAAAAATTTTGAGAATTGCAAGTAGAAGTGAAATTAATAAAAAAATAGTGGTAAATTTCTGTTTGCAGTTTATTTTTCAAAAATTTAACTCGTTAAAAAAATAGTTACTTAAGACATAAAATTAGACAATCTCAAATATATATTTAGTTCGGTTTAATTAAAATCAAGACGTCAAAATAGGACAATGTCACCAAAGAGTTGAGAGACTTTATAAAAGTCTTCCTTGCTGCATACCAAATTTTTTTTTAGAGATAATTACGTTATAAATATACTAATTTTTAACATTTTTTGAATCGAATATATAAATTTTAAATTTTTTATTTGATTACATCAGTTTTTTTTTTAAATTACAAATCAAGTATTTATGTCTAATTTTTGTTAATTGTCATGTTATTTGATGATATGTTCTTTGCTCCAGACTATTAAATAGTGATTTTTTTTCGTTTCATTATTGAAGAAAACTTTTTCTTCTAAATTATTTTGTCATTTTATACTTTTTGGATATAAATTTTTTTTGCATATTTATTATATAAAAAGTAGGCAATGACAAAATAAATTGAGAGGGAAAGTTACTTTCAAAAATAAAAAGGTAAAATCGTAATTTAGTAATTTAGGGAAAAAAAATACATTATCAAATAATAGAATGATTAACGAACCTTGATAGAAAATACTTGATTGGTTGTTTTGAAAAAAATTAATACATTCAAATAAAAAATTAAGTTTATTTATTTAATTAAAAAATATAAAAAATTATAAGAAAAATTTCAATAAAATATTTAGACACTGTACGAAGCTTTCCATCACTGTAAATAAATAAATAAGCAAGGAAAAACGAAGCACTCAAATGTAAATAAATCAAAGTTAAAGTCCTGAGTGCACCGCAAGCTTGGTCGTGCTTCAATACCTTCAGGACTACCACAAATTCCTCGTTAGTTACAATACTTGAAGTAAAGTCACGAAATAAATTGTTATTGAATTGAAAATCTTGTAATTTTGGGCTTACCTATAAGTTTGATATACGGACCAATCGACACTCGATTTTCGCAATTAGTTTTGGTCCTCATGGTAATCCCCAGTAACTTAACCGCACTGTAACATTTCCGACCATATAAGAAAAGAATCCTGGCGCCAAATTAAAAACTGCAAAACCAGTTCTGAATTCAAAGCTCTGCATTTCTTCTCTCAAATTGGTAGTGGTAGAATTTGTAAATTAAGTGAAAATCAATGGCAGATTCACAGTCTTATGATTCTTCAAAAATCTTTAGCCTTCGAATTGTATCGATCGATCACTACATGTCGCCTCCTATTCCTAGCATCGATATTTGTTACAGTAGCTTTCAAGGTAACACAGAATTGGCACCAATAACGACTTGTCATCCTGTTATTTTAGAGGCATAGAGTTTCTAATTTTTTTATTTGTTTGCCATTTTGAAGGTGGAAAAGTGAATGAAGTTCCAGTAATTAGGGTTTATGGCTCTACACCTGCTGGTCAGAAGACTTGTTTGCATGTTCATCAAGTAAGATTCTATTACTTTTTCCTGCAATTAATTAGGTAATTAAGTTTTTGATTAGTGCAAAATTAGGTATTTTGAATTTGATTATTGTGAATTGTTGATTAAAGGATAGTAGGCAAGTATTTTATTAACTTTTTACTAATTTGTGAAAATTTAGGACTTTTGAACTGATTTTTCTTTCTTTTGTGTTTTTTATGATGACTTTGAGCTAAATTAGTTTATTGAAATTTTGTAGGCTTTTCCATATTTATATGTACCGTGTTCGGATATACCGGTAAATGGAAATCAGGAAGGTATGATTAATGTTAGGAATAGTTTTACGAGTTTTTATTTTTTATTTTTTTGGGTGCATTGAAATAAATGCGTAAGTGATTCTCAAAGGTGTTGAATTTATGCAGGAGATGCTTACACAAATGCTATTTCTCTTGCTCTTGAGAAAGCATTGAAGGTATGCTTGAGTAAATGTTGCTTTCGATGCTGTTTTTAATGTACATGGATGGTGCTTTTGAATGATGTGATTCATATGAAGGTTTTTGTTTTGAGCTTGCAGCTTAAAGGTAATGCGGGTTCGAAAAGACAGCACGTGCATGGCTGTAGTCTTGTGAGAGCGAAGAAATTTTATGGTTACCATTCAGAGGAGGAGCTGTTTGTCAAGATATATCTGTATCCAAGTGTTTTGTTGTGCATATTTGTTTTGTAGTTCTTTCTTTTTGTATTACGTTGGAGTTACAGTATTGAGCTCCTTGATAAATTTTAGATATCATCCACATGATGTCTCTCGTGCTGCTAACCTTCTTCTGGTAAAGTTCTTCAACCTGGTGCTGATGTTAGTTGTAGTGGGATTTTTTCGTCTCCTTTTTATGCTGATATTCACAGTCCATGATTTTTTCCAGGCGGGTGCAGTTTTTGAAAAAAGCTTGCAGCCTCATGAATCTCATATCCCTTTTATTCTCCAGTTTCTGGTAAATTTCATATTCGTTCAATTGATATGCTATATGGATGGCAGATGTGTATTTAAGTCAAGTGTATGTACATGCATATTGGTTTCATTGACAAAATTTCGTGATCTGTCATCGGTTGTGTGCTTGTAAAAGGTCCATTGTGTACTGTAAAATATTCTTCTCTTTTAAATTTTCCCTGTCACTTAATTCCAGGTAACATGCAAGAGTTCTTTGTGAGTTGCTGAGCTTCTCATCTTTGTAGGTCGACTATAACCTGTATGGAATGGGTCATTTACATTTATCGAAGATGAAGTTCCGTCATCCAGTACCAGATTCGTTTACCCCAAGAAAATTCAGTAACAAATATCAAGATGGACTGGAGATTGATGAATCAACTTGCATTTCTGCTGATTTTCAGGTCATTCTTTTGAATATTCTGTGCACATGCTCTTCAGATATTGGGTAACATATTCCTATAATTCACATTCTCAAGAGTTCTTTTGTCATTGTGAATCATTTTCATTAGGCAGATTCGAGTGGGGGTCAGTCTATGGCTTCCCCAGTTTGGATCTCATCTACTATTCCAGGTGGTTGGATGTGGCAATTTTCTAATGAGTTTGATGCTCCATCAGACCAAGACACCCAACGTCTTAAACGTCAAAGTGTTTGTCACCTTGAGGGAGATGCCACCATTGATGGTTTGTTTTGCTCCAGTGTTGTGCCACTGGAACTATTTAAATTATAATTTCGTCATTAAAATCGCTGACCATTTGTATGTTTGCAGATATTCTTAATCAGCAATATAAAATGTATACATCCCTCTCTCAAGCACATTCAGATGTGAAAATGGTGCAATCGCTTATACCCATTTGGGAGGTTTGTTCCACATTGCTGCTGTTTTGTATGCAATACTCAAAATTTTATGTTGTCTGGCTATTCCTTTTTCAACCTTTTCCTCTGGTGATACAGGAAGAGCATGAGAGGACTGGCATTAATGAGGCTGCCACACTGCCTGATCCAGAAAAACCATTTCCAGGGGATGTTTTGAGAACTCTGTTACATGCTTTTGAATTTGAGAGAAAACTTTCTGAATTGTATATTAAGACCGAAGGCGATTTACCTTCAAGTGAAAGTAACGTAAATTTTTTGCCATCAGCGACTTCTACAACTGACGGAGAAAATTTGGTTGAACATGAAAATGTCAATTCTGATAACGCCAATGGAGAATTTTTGAAGTGCTCTGCAGAACGAGACACTATTCAATCTTCAGCACAAGGTTCTGTATGTGAAGAGGAGATCGTTGCAACACCCACAGAAATGAAGAATTTGTCTTTGAAATTATCATCTGAAATAATTGGAACAGTGGATCCAAAGGTAGTTCTGATTTTGTTCCCAGATATAATTTTCTTTTCTTCAATGTTACCTGGTGTCTTTCCGATACTTACTGTAGTGTGATGTGTAAGGGGGTTTTGAAATTGTATGGTAGAGGGATCTTAAAGTCACATTGAATGCCTCTTGATTTCCCTTCGTTGTTGTTTCATTCCATGTTTGTAAATACTGACTTATTGTATTTATATCTGACATTACTTTATAGTCATCTTTTGTCATGGTCATAATTATGAATTTTTGCTTTTAGCTAGCTTAATTCTTATAGCCGTTAAAGGAGATCATTACTAGACAAGCATATTGCATTTCTCGTGGAAAGCTAAACTGCTACCACACTCTGAAAAACAATTTTAACAAGGAAAATTTCCAGTGGTGGTTTGATTGCTAAACTCAGAAAAATAGTGCTAGTATTGTTAATTCCTAAGTAATTGATCATCCATCACCATTAGAACCTTGCTGGACAACCAAGAATTATAACTAATGTTGGAGCAGAATCACTTCAGTCTTCTGTCTCCTACTTTCGTGTTATCTATGTTAGAGGGACTTCATGTATCCCTTAACATGTTTTTCAGGTTGCAGATGAAGAAGCCTTGGGTCTCTTAAGGTGGCTTGCCACTTCCCAGGCTGCTGAAGATATAAACTCTGATGATGAACTTGTTCGTGAGACAATTCTGAGTCCCCTTTTGCCTGCAGCAACCATCGATAAGGTGCTGGAGAAAGCTAATACAGATTATGAGAGTGAGTCTCAAAAAGAATGTCAGGACATTCTTGATTCAATTGAGGATTTAGTTAACTTTGAGGATTTGAAGGAGAAAGCTTCTCACTCCGTTGATCATAGTCTTCAAACATCATTAGAGAAAAATGTTCCCCAAGCAGATACTTTGCACTCATCTCCTTCGGGATCAGTTGGAAGTTCATTTAAGGCGGAGTCGAAAAGCAAATTTAAAAGGTACTCACAAGATCAGATATTTCAGACTACTGGCAGCAGCATTAGTAATAAGCAGAAAAGGAATAGGTCATTGTGGTGCTCTCTACCTTTTTCGACTAACCAAAAGGTGAATGATGACTCAGAAGTTGTCAAGTCCAGCATCGCTGATATTCATGTTGATGGAAGTAAAAACTCTGCAGGTACAGTTATGACTGGAAATGAAGAGGCAAAATGTTCTGATGCTTTACTAAATGCAGATAAAAATGCTTGTGAAGCAAGCTCTTTGGTTGGATGTTCAGTGCGCGACATGATGAGAAGAAAACGGTGCCGCCAAACTGCTCAACATGATGATGGATCTGCTGGGGTTAAAAATATTTGCTTGGAAGGAAAACATGAGGAATGCAATATACTCTTTCCAAAACAATTGGATTTACATATACTGTCTAATGATGGGAGTGATAAACGACTTCATGGATCTCTGGACTTCAGGTCATCAGTTAACAACCAACAACCAGATTTTTTGGAGATTTGTGCCTCTAAATCCATACCTCATGCATTCAGCAGTGCTAGCTCAACGCAAGTTGGTACAAATCCTCTTTCACTGGACACAAGCAGAGAAGAATTACAATGCATTTTCACTGCCAAGAAGCAAGACGCTGCGGTTTCCATGGTCCACTGCGAAACTAACAAAGGTGGAGAGTTTGATTTTGGAGGGGTGACCTCTATAGAACCCATAACCTCTGGTGTCAACAATTCCAAGTCTGATTCCTTACCTGATAATTGGTTGTCTAAGCATGTACTTATGACTGGTAAGAGATTAGAGAGACCTGAAGCTGCTGGTTCAAACTGCTTTCCAGCTTTGCCTATTGATCATGATATGTTTGCAAGAGAGAGTTATAAGTCCGAATATGTTCATCAAGGCGGAAGTTCCAAGGAGAATTTATATGACATACCGACTGAGAATCTCATTGGCATGGAAATGTCAGTTGATGGCACTGTTCTGCAGAGTGAGAACTTCTGTGCTGCAAAACAGGGAGGAGATTCTGATCTATCTGCACTTGGAAAATCAGCACCCTTGGCTGTCAAGATGGCAGGAGAAACTGTAGACCTACTTGGGATGACCTTTTGCAAGAAGCCCCCAACTGCAGAGTGGAAAGATGGAGCAGCTGAAAATGTTTCATTTTCACCTGGTCCATCTTTTCTTTCCTCTTCTGCAAATGCAAAAACCAAAGACAGGACATCAGGTTGCATTTTCAATTTCCTAAGTAGCAGTTTTAGCTTCTCTTTTTCTTTCCTTTCCCATACAAAATATTTGCACATATGGTCTAGTTTAAAAGCAATCCATTTTTATGGCTAATACTGAAAGGGGTTTTAAACAAGCTTGGGATTTTATTAATTTCTTGCTTCTGGTTGTGTTGACATTTCTTGTTGTTTGCATGCTTTTCATAGCACCTGTTGGAAATTATTGCTGATCAACCTTTTTTCTATTTGCGGGATTGCTTTAGATGAACATCTCCCTTTTTTTGATGGAGACTATCATGAGAACAAAGGAGTGCCAATCAATTCCTCTCCAAACATCGATTACAATGTTCAACAAGAAGTTATCATTGGTGTTCCAACTCACTATCTTAATGATGGTTCAGCCTTGTACCTATTGACACCTGTGTTTTCACCCCCTTCTGTAGATAGTGTCTATAGATGGTTATCGTGTGGTAATAATGGTATGATCTAGAATTTGCTAATGAACATGTCTGAAAATTAATCATTTGTGTACTTTTTGTCTCATACTTTTAGTTGTGAATTCCAGATGCTTTGGGAGAAGTCGATGGAGTGTCAGCAGAGCCTTTGCCTGTGAAAGGTATATGATCCAAATGCTTTCTGTGGACCCTGAAAAATTTAATCATTCTTATCAAGGATTCTACTTTTCTTTCCAGGATCTTCTGAGATTGGTTCACAAAACTTGTTACCTATTCATTGTGATAAGGTTTTGACTGAACAACATGCTGTGGCTCATTTGATGCCTATCTTGGATCAAGCACCACAAGAATTAAATACTAAAGTTAATGCAGAATCTCACATTTATAGTGATGAGGCTCAAAGAAAATTGCAGAGTGAAGGAAATACCATGAAACTCAATCCATGCAATGATTGCCCTGTGGATATCTCTCAGATTTCGGGCCCAGATAGGAGATCGAGGCCCACTCCTCTTAGTCAAATTGGTTTTCGGGATCCTGCCAGTGTTGGTGCTGGGCAACAACTAACATTGTTAAGTATAGAGGTATTGATAACAACACATGTATGGTTTGACCACATTGGTATTTTGCTTGTTTCTTAGGTGTTCAAATTTCCTTCTACTATATGACCTTGGGCATACAAGTTTGGCTGAAACTTTTCCAATATGGTGAAAAATTGTATCGTACAATCTAGTGTTTTGGCTAACAATATACCTTGTGATTGGAATGCACCATTACGTACAGGTTCAAGCAGAATCTAGAGGAGATCTCCGACCTGATCCTCGGTTTGATGCCATCAATATGGTGGTTCTTGCTTTTCAGAATGATAGTGATTTTGCTGTTGAAGTTCATGTGCTTTTGCATAGTAAAAGTGAATCTTGCCAGAGGTATGAATTTCAATCACATACCTCAATTTACTCTTGCCTTTTCTTTCTTCATATTTGTTCTAAGTTAAGTATTTTGTATCTCTAATATTCTTGTTGGGCTTTTGAGGTGCATGATAAGTAGAAAAGCGGTAGTTGCTCTCATCACATCTCTAGTATTGTATGAGTTTTGTAGTCAGGAAACATGAAGATTAAAATCTTCTGATTGATGGGGAAAAAAATGTAAATTGTATACCGTACCAAGTTGTTTTGCTTCAATTGTCTCTCTTGCAAATTGATTGTATGGTTAAAGTTTTTAAGTTGGTCCCAATTCTGAATTACCATGAATTACCACGATTCTAGATAGCCTGATTTTTTTTCCTACTACATCACCAACATTCTGTATCCTCTTTGTGATTTTATAAATTATATTTCTTCTGTTTTCCCACAAATCTTCTGCACTAGAATATCTATTACCTTTTTGTACTTGTCTTTATGTATTTGCAGGAGTTTTGATGGAACATCTGGTTGCAAGGTACTTGTTTTCTCTGAGGAGAAGCACTTGTTTAGTCATTTTATGGCAATTATCAGTTCATTTGATCCAGATATTTTAATGGGTTGGGATGTACAAGGTGGTTCTCTTGGTTTTTTGGCTGAGAGGGCTGCACATCTTGGTATAGGCTTGCTTAATAAAATCTCTCGGACACCATTGGAAGCTGACATAGGTGTTGGAGAAAGAGAAATTTCAGAAAAGGGAATACTAGATACTATGCTACAAGAATCATTAATTACTGACTCTGCACTTGTAGAAGATGCAGTAATTGAGGATGAATGGGGACGAACTCATGCCAGTGGTGTCCATGTCGGTGGTAGAGTTGTCCTCAATGTATGGCGGCTGATGCATGGCGAAGTTAAGCTTAACATGTATACTGTTGAAGCTGTTGGTGAAGCTGTTTTGAGGCAAAAAATACCATCAATTCCTTACAAAGTGTTGACAAAATGGTTTGCAAGTGGTCCTGGGCGAGCAAGACATAGGTGTATCGAATATGTGATAGAGAGAGCAAAATTGAACCTCGAGATAATGAATCGACTTGACATGGTATGTTTATAAGGATTCTTTGTTTGTGTGTGCAATCATTTTATCATTTTCCGTCTTTATGATCTTGATGTGAATGCTTCTGCAGATAAATCGAACATCAGAACTTGCTCGTGTATTTGGCATTGACTTCTTTTCTGTTCTCTCTCGAGGGTCACAGTATCGTGTTGAATCTATGTTTCTGAGATTGGCACATACACAAAACTATCTTGCCATTTCTCCTGGGAATCAACAGGTTATTGCTGAAATGAGTCTTACCCTCTACCATATGTTGCCAATAAGGTTCTATCTACTTAGGTTACATGCTGTTATGCATTAAAAGAATTTTTAGCTTGTCAATTCTCCAGAAGGTTTTCTACCTAAACTTTTTTTGTGCTGCTTTCCCTTTTATGCCTTATTGTCTGTCTTCAAGTTTCAAATTTGAAAACTTGGCCTGTTTGTTCTGCTGCTAGATTATGGCAAATTCTTCTGGCTAATAACTAATAACTGCTTTCCATTTATGTGAAGCCACCCTTCTGCACTATGTGATTTTTGTATTCAAACATCAATGGAATTTGTGGAATATGGTATCTTTATATATTGACAAACTTAGTGGTTGAAGTATTATTGCAATGTTTTTTTATCCAGTTTACGCTGAACCTGATGACCGGATTAAATTATGTAGCTGCCTAACTATGAGATTTCTGATCAGACAAATGTCGGGGTTCCTTGTGGCAAGGATCTTGATTTTCTCTTTTGTGCATTTTGAAGCATAGAATAATGTTTTCTTCTTTTCTTCGTTGTTGGCCCATAATAATGTTTTGCGTTGTTGGAATGGAGGCTATGGTTGCCTGAATGTCTATTGTAACTTTGTATGTATAGGTTGCTTCTCAACCTGCAATGGAGTGTTTACCTCTGGTGATGGAGCCAGAATCTGGTTTTTATGCAGATCCAGTTGTTGTCTTGGATTTTCAGTCTCTTTATCCATCGATGATAATCGCATACAACCTTTGCTTTTGTACATGTCTTGGAAATGTTGCACCTTCAAAGGCAAATACACTGGGGGTTAGTTCATTTTCACCAGATCCACGTGTTTTGCAGGATTTGAAAGATAAAATACTGCTTACTCCAAATGGCATTATGTATGTGCCTTCAGAGGTAATTCATTAAATGCTCATTATTTCTTCTGTAAATTTTGTCTTCACTTGTCAAGAATATCTGTTATTTCTGTGAATCCCTAACAGGCTTTTGTTCTTGTGGGCATTTTTATAGCTCCATGCCTACACATGTTCTCTAAATGTTGTCCTGTGGTTATGCTGTGGCCTAAGTTTAGCTACAATAGGAGGAAGTATTATATCATGTATTGTATGTAGAAAGATTTAGCATCTAATTAGGAGGAGATTAGTATGGCACTGTGTAGTTTAAATATGACTCTTTATAATGATGGGAGATTTTGTTTGGCAATTCCTTAAGACTATAAGTGGGGTTATATTTTGTTTTATCTCTGTTTTTTTTTTCCCCACCACTTGATGGTCTGAGAATAATGTTGCCCTTTTCTCTCAAATGCCTTTGGTAAGTGATGTGTGTTTTTTTCAACAAAAATAAGCGAGGAGAAAGAAGAAAAGATAATTCATCGATCTTCTTCCATGCCATTCACAGATTCGTAAAGGTATCCTGCCCCGTTTATTGGATGAAATATTGTCAACTCGAATAATGGTGAAACAAGCAATGAAGAAATTGGCTCCCTCACAACAAGTTCTTCACAGGGTATGGCTGTACTGAAATAATTTCAAATCAATTGCTCAATCTGCTCTTAGGTTTGGGCTACTGATGATATAATGAACAATTGTTGCTTGACTTGCATACCTTTTCTTCTTCCTTTTTGAAATTATTTAAAGTTCCTTGAATTGTGTAGTTTTTGGAAATAACATTACTTTGAAAGTAAGTGTAAGCTGTAATGTTTTGAAGGACATTGTTTGAAAGGCATCATTTTGTGCTCTTTTTCTATGTGTAATTTTAACTTTTTTTCTCTTCTACGTCTGTCTTATTTTATCTATCAGATTAAAATACTCTTGGTAGATTTCTTTTTCAATAGAATCTATACCAACTTATATGGAATTTCTTACTGTGTGATTTCATACATTATCCATCTTGAATAAATAAACATGGACTTGTTTCTTCAATTGTACTCTAAATTATGTTCTGCGATTATGCTTGGATATGAATCTTTAATGCTCTAATTTTTGGTTCTTTCAGATATTTAATGCAAGACAGCTTGCTTTAAAGCTGATCGCAAATGTAACCTATGGCTATACAGCTGCTGGATTTAGTGGTCGCATGCCCTGTGCAGAGCTTGCTGACAGTATTGTTCAGTGTGGCCGAAGCACACTGGAAAAGGCTATTTCTTTGGTGAATGAAAATGAAAAGTGGAAGGCAAAAGTAATATATGGTGATACTGATAGGTATGTGATATCAAGGAGTTAAAAGCATGTGATACAAACTCTTTGCAATGCCCTTCTTGCGAAATGGTAGATTAACTTTTTGATGTTTGGCTTGGATGACGTTGTACATAAAAAGAGATGTGGCCGTAAAATGTTAGATTAGAAAGATTGCTCAAGTTGATTTTTATTTTTTTCCCAACTCCAATTTGAAAATAACTTATTTTACCTGGAACTTTATTCACAAAAGTCATCACAATTTGAGGTGACTGGAAGGTCATGTTGTTTGCTGGCACTCCTTTTTAGCGTTTGTGGAAAGACATGTCTAGTGGATATACACATAGACATGCATGCACATACAAATTCTTCTCAGAGAGTTAACTAATGTTGCGAAAATGTCTTTTTAAGGAATAAGTCTTGCTCAGTGCCTTGCAAGCTAGATTTTTAGTTCTCTTCTTCCACAGTGTCTCTTAAGTGTTGATGTTTGGTTTATGCAGCATGTTTGTTCTCCTCAAGGGACGCACTGTCAAAGAATCTTTTCAAATTGGACGTGAAATAGCATCAGCAGTAACTGCAATTAACCCAGATCCAGTTATTCTCAAATTGGAGAAAGTCTATCATCCATGCTTCCTCCTTACTAAGAAACGCTATGTTGGTTACAGTTATGAGAGTCCTGACCAGATTGAACCTGTCTTTGATGCTAAAGGTATAGAGACAGTTCGCAGAGATACTTGTGGTGCCGTTGCCAAGATAATGGAACAGTCACTGAGAATCTTTTTTGAACATCAGGACATCTTTGAGGTGGAAATTGATATGTCTTTTAGCCCCTTTTCTATCGTTGTAATTTAAAAGCTGAGAATCTATTTTCAAACTATTAATTTCATATATATGTTTATTGGAAATAATAAGGAATGGTTTGTTTGTCATTCAAGATGAAAAAATGAAGGCTTTAGTTGCCAGTTTCAGGCATGATATGGCCAGTTGTGGAACTGATTTTCTTCTCTCCAACCCTGAAACATATATTAATGAGGACATCCTTGATGTTTGTTCTGGCTAGAGTTTCTCTTATGAAGTTTTATGGATTTTCTTTCTCTGGTTTTTGAGGCAAAGTTTTCGACGTCCTTATGCAGGTTAAAACATATTTGCAGCGTCAATGGAAACGGATTCTATCTGGAAGAGTGTCTCTTCAAGATTTTGTTTTTGCAAAGGAAGTTCGGTTGGGTACCTACAGTGCAAGGGCTTCTTCATCACTCCCACCAGCAGCAATTGTAGCTACAAAAGCAATGAGAGCTGATCCTCGGGCAGAACCGTGCTATGCAGAGCGAGTGCCTTATGTTGTGATCCATGGAGAGCCAGGCGCTCGACTAGTGGATATGGTTGTGGATCCGTTGGACCTTTTGGCCATTGATTCCCCTTTCAGATTAAATGATGTATATTACATCACCAAGCAGATAATCCCAGCATTGCAGCGGGTTTTTGGACTTCTTGGTGCTGACTTAAACCAGTGGTTTTCTGAGATGCCCCGACCAGCCCGGGAAGTCTTTGCTAAGCGCCCTTCATATGCTCCAAATCCTCAAAGAACCAGAATAGATTATTATTATCTTTCAAAACATTGTGTCCTTTGTGGTGAATTGGTCCAAGCATCAGCACATCTATGCAATAAGTGTTCGCAGAGGGAAGCTGCTGCTGCAACAGCTGTGATTGGAAGGACTTCCAAATTGGAGAAGGAGATGCAACACCTTGCTGCTGTAAGTATTCGGGTCATTCTCTCATGAATTCTATTTGATATTTGGATTATAGGAGTCAACACTTGTGATATATCATTGTTCATCAGATCGTAATAAATAGAGTCTATTGATTTTGTGTTTACTTGGCCCCTGTTTGTACGTCATTTCTACTTTAGCTTTCTCATCACTTCAAAGTGTCCATTTGGTTTAAGGTCTTGGATTGCAACATTTAAACTCTGCATGCGTGTTTTCACATTGGATTGTGTTGATTATTTTGCAGATATGTCGACATTGTGGAGGTGGGGACTGGCTTTTGGAGAGCGGGATCAAGTGTACTTCACTTGCATGCTCGGTGTTCTATTTGAGGCGTAAAGTTCAGAAAGAACTACAGGCTCTCTCTGCTGTTGCTGAAGATAAGGGTTTCTACCCTAAGTGTATGGTTGAATGGTTTTGATACCTGTTTCTTGTACATATCTTGCTTGAGCACAGGATAAAGCATCGAGCAAGGCCTTCTCACTTAACATCTCTTGGGGTCCAAGTCTTTGAACTTTAGAGAAAAATTTACCAACCAATAAGTTCTTGAGGCTCATGTGTTTAAACCTATACCCTTTGTATCTGGCAATATTAGCCCATTTCAAGTTACACACAACACATCCTCCAGGATGAGTACAGGGGCCGGGAAGACAAGTGCAACACGCTTTTGACCCCAAGAAGCAAGAAGCTACAGTTTCCATGGGCTGCTGTGAAGCTAGAGGGGTAAAGGTGTGACCTCTACAGGTTTCCGTTGATATGTTGAAGCCATGACTTCTAATATCTTCACTTCATTACCTGATAATGGTCACGTGTTCACACAGTTTTGGCTGAGAAATGTAATATTTATTTGGAATATAACAACCCTGTCGATAGGTTTAAACAGAATCTGCCAACAATTTCTGGCTTATGCTTTTCAGGAATGATCATATTGATTCTGATATTGGATTAGCCAAATATATTAGTGCAACCACCTTCATCTATTCTACTCCCTAGTATTACTAATGATTGAATTGTGGTCTCAGGCTGATCACAGTTCCTTCAATTTGTTTCTTAAATCTTAGTACTTTCCAAATTTCAGGGCTATTTCTTTCGTCTTTAATAAATAATTTGTCTGATTGCCCTCTACGTTAAATCAGGACATGCATGTTGTGTTTCTAGTCAACGAGGAAAGAACAGGAAATGATTGGATTACATCAGTTTGATGCTTTTCTGTGAGGAAAGTCTACTCTAATAAAAATACTCCCTGTCTGTTTGTGCCTGCACACTGACTGTTGGTGTAGTTTTATTCCAAAGAAGTATATAAAGAAATTATTCGTTCTGAGTTGCAATGAAACAAGTTCCTTTCTTTAGTATTGGGAAATTATTCCTTTCTAGTATACTAGGGTTTGCACAGAAGGGCTGATTCCAATCTGGATTAAACCTCCTTATCAATATGTTTTCTGTTGCGGAAGATCCTGGGGAGAATGTGTACTATATTCGTTTCTCAATTTCATTTTTTCAGTATCCATTTGCTTGCTCGATAAAAATTAGTATATATTCATGTAACAAAGTCTATAATTAGATTAGATTTATTGCAATGACATTTTTTTTTTTAACACATATATCCAAAGCTCTCAAGAAAATTAATTCATTATGATTTGAACTCGTTATCTCTTGCAAAATATCACTACTGTTATACTATAAACTTTTAGTGAATTTTTATTTTTATTGTAATGACATTCATGAAGTTATAACTTCTTATATATTATATTGTGGTGATACATCGATAAATATGCATAGAATTCGGATGAGAGACCTCAATCCTCGTTTTTACGAGAGCACCATTTAAACTTCACACTCATTGGTATTACGATGATATTACAACACCACCTAGGAGTGGGAGAAGCACAAAAAAAGAAATAAAAAAAAGTTTACTATGATAAACCACTAACACATACTACCAAAATTGTAGATAGTTAATGAAAGTGTAATGAGATGTTGTTGATCAAAGGATTTTATATGGTTTTATTGCGATGGTTCTTGAAGAGAAATAGAAAGAGAGCTAGAAAAGAGTTTTTTGTGGAATTTTGATTTTGAAATTTTATTTTATAAGGATTTTTTGTGTAGATGCAATGGCTATATTTGATTTAGATTGGATTGCATTGCATTGAGTGTTGATTGCTGAGTCGATCTGTAATTGTATTTGGTGTTAAATCCAGTGAAGTCATGGGCTGAATAGATTTGGGCTGGGTTGGGTTGGGTTTGTTAAGAGTGAAGTTTGCAGTGAATAAACATCATTTGACTGTAATGAAAGCTCAGAAACGGACAGTAGATTGTTGATAGAAAATATGATTTCGATCCCTTTTAGAGTTGGAGACAATTTGTAAACTATTTCTAGAGGAGTCTATTTCTTTTCTTTAGAGAGATAGAGAAGAATTTTATATGGTTATGTTGTGAGAAACGAAGAGATAACTATAGAAAGGTTTTTGGTAGAATTTTGATTTTTAAATTTTGTTTTAAAAGGATTTTTTTATTAATAAAACTGCTATGTCTAATTTTGTTGCTGGATATAGATAGAATTATAATTGAATAGTGTTATTGATTAATGTTGTTATAGCTAATCCTGGACGTAACAAAGATCTTTGAAAAAGAGAGAAATGTTTTCGTGAGAGAGAACTCCAAACCCCCCAACCACACACCTGCCCCCGGCCCACCTCCCGATCTATACTGTGTTTTAGTCACAGAGTTAGAATCCGCTTCCGCTTCTCAACGATCCCCTGACCCTCTCCTTACGGGTCTCGGCCCATTACTAGTTACAACCCAACAATTCTGGCCCAGAAACAGAAGTTGCTCAATATAAAAGTGGGCTTATGGGCTCCCAAATCTATTTTCTTTTCTTTCATTTTCTCGCTCACCCAAGCATGCAAAACACAAAAGGGTTTATGGCTTAAGGATTTACCATCTCATTTTCTTCCTCTCCTCTCACTCAGTTCCATGAAGGTTTTTGCTCCCTTCTAGTCTCGCTTTCTCTCTCTGAAAATGGCAAAAACACCAATCTCTCTTCTTCTCTTAAGACGCCTAACGCTCACTTCCCAAAACCCTAAACCCTCACCAGTCTCTCTCCTCCTCTTCAACAACTTTTACCTTAAACCCTACTCAACCACCACAACTGCTATCCCGACTGAGCAACCAAAACCCAGCTCTCTCTCAGCTCGAATGAGCTTTGTCTTTGATCAAATTGATGCCATTGAACGTGAACGTTCTGAAAAACACCAAACCCTTCAAAAAATCCGTGCTTGGCGCCAATCCAAAGACACCCCACTACAAGAACAGCAAGAGCAAAACCCAGAAACCGTTACTACCCAAAGCCCAGAACTTGTTGGGACTCAAAGCCCAGAAATTATTCACTCTCAAAATGAAAAATTGGAATTTCGGGCAACGGCTAGTGGTGATTTGGTTGATTTTGAAGAGTCTGATTTGATAGAGTTGAAGAGGAAGGAAGTGGAGTTGGTGCATCCATGGCCAGAGTGGATAAATTTGATGGAGAGATTGGTGCAACAGAATTACTTTGATCATAGAAGGAAAGTTGCGGACAATACGGTAGAAAGTTTGGGGCTTGATGTTTCTGGGGTTGGGAATGATAGTGACGGTGATGGTGTTGCGATTGATTTTAATGATTTCAGGACTGTACAGACTGCTTGTGTTAACTTTGGCAAAGATCGGTTTGATATCTTCAGGTCTGTGGAATTTATGTTCTTGTTTTAAAGTTGGTTACTTGATTCCTGAAAGTGAATGAAAAGTCATTATTTAGCTTAGTTCTTTCTGTGTTTGTTGAGAATTATATGATTTTTTTCGTGGAAGTGTTTTTGTGAGTATTGTACTTGTGGATAGTTGGTTGTACCTATATGCAATTAGGTTGAACAATACAAATTGGCTATAATTTGTTAAAAGTTTCTTGAGGTCAGTGTGGTCTCTGCTTCTCTTTGTTAAATTTCTTGCTATAATTAGTTTATCAAAGAACGAATGGGAAAAAAATGGTTGAAATTGGTTTTGTGAACTGTACAATGCAACCTGTAGGATCTACTAATATATGCACAGTACCATCTTTGCTAAATTAAGCTTTTGGGCTTGTTGTTTCAATCTCTATTTTCTCAAAGTGAAATAGTTGTAAGTGTAACATTGTTTTCCTGAATATGAGAGGTGTAGCAACGAGTTATTTTAATTTTTAATATATTTAGCACGCTTATTGCCACAGCAAAGTGATTATGGGGCTGATTTTGAGGATTTCAAGATTTCACTGACTACTTGCCTTAATTTTGGCAATCAGTTTAATATCTTGAGTTTGGTTGGTAGAGTTCATATCCTTGTTTTAAAAGTTTCTAACTTGGTTGCTGAAATGAATGAAAGAGCATTTTTTTGGTTTCGTTCTTTGTGTGTGTCTGGGAGTGCATATGATTTTTGTGGTTGAAGTGTTATGGGATATGGAATACATTTATAGGCAATTTAGTGGGATTACACAAACATGATTAATTAAATGCTTCGAATTTTGGTTTCTGATTTTCATGTTTAAGTTTTCTAATGCTGTTTTCAAAATGGATAGCCTTTTTTGGTTTGAGGCTATGTTGAATTCTCAAGAATTTTAGTTCATTCGACACTGGAATTGGGCTATGTAGGTTTGGGTTCTGCGTCAATTCAGTTGTATTAAGGTTCATCAAATTAGGAATGGATGATGTGGTTGCCTTTAGCTCGGTGAACTATACAATCTAATATATACACAGTTCGATCTTTTACTGAACTAAGCTTTTGGCTATATTTTTGTTTTCCAAGTATAAACAGTGTCCTAAATCCTATATGCATGGAACAACAAAAGTTTTAAATCTGTATCTTATTTTGGGATTTCTATCATTAAAGTGCACATTTTATGTGCAAGATGTTTTAGTCTGGGTTTATAATCATGATGTATTCCAAGTAATTCCATTCTAGATATGGTCACTTTGCTTGACTTGTGATGAGAAAGAGTTGATTTCAGGTCATTGTCGAGACAGGATATTCAAATTTTGGTAGGTTATGGATGCCCAAGTGTGGACAAGAAGGTTGTTTTCTCTTCAAAGCTTTTGAGGAAGCATGTCCACCTTGATGAAGGGGATGTAAGTGTTACTTTCTTAGACTTTTTAATTACCTATTCATACTTTACAACGATGATATATAATATCACATGGCTCTTTTTCGAATCACATCTTGTGACATCCTCTCGTTATTTTGCCTGCCTTTTTTTTTTTTTTGGGGGGGGGGGGGGGGGGTGGGGGTGTGTGGTGGTCATGTCCTCTACTTTTTGAACTTAGAAGTGAATATGTAAACTGTTCTTTTCATATGCTTTCATATTATCATCTCTGAAGAGGATGACATTCTTACTACACATGTTATAAGCTGGATGGGGAAGTTAAATATAGTTGTTGCATAAGAAAGTCCAATATGCATTTGCACTTGGATAATTTATGATTGCCTAGCAATGGCTTATTTAAAGATAACTGCCTTTTGTTTTTCAGGTCTGTAGTAACTGCAGTTTGAGGACCTCATGTGAAAGAGGATATCTACTAACAAATAAAGAGGATGAGGCACGGACTATTGATCTTATGAGAGTTCTTTTAGCTTATGGTTTTGAATCCATAAATGGATTTGTAACCAATAAGTCTCTTCTGAAACAAAAATCTGTCAGAAATGTTGTTCGTAAGTTACTTCATGAGGTTGTAAAGTTGGCTGCAGTTCCAATAGATCCAAATCTCCCCCTCCTGTGATTAAAAGGACTCCACCAAAAGTGAAGCAACCTCCTCCTACACCCAAGAAACGAGTCGGACGTGATGACATTGAGATGAAAAAGGGGGATTGGCTGTGTCCCAAGTATGTTCTTTTTTTATGAGTTTATGACATGCTCATGTGCAGTTGGTTATTTTTTGTCCTTAATGTAAGGCTGCCAGATGCCTAATCTGGGGATGCACTTAGGCTTTTTCTGAAACTTCTGAAAAGTTATTACTTTTTCCCTGCTGCTCTCTAGGTGATCCTACGACTGTTTTGTCCCTTTTTGGGCTAAAATCTATGGTTCAACCTAGGTAATCTTATGTGCATCCTTGGAATATCCGTAGTTACATGCAGTACTTTTTTCAGGGAGATCTAAATGCAATTTTATGACAAGGTCAAGTGTTTTAAGACCAGAATTAGCTAATTTTTTCAACTATAAAGACAATTTTCAAATTTTTGTTTTAAAAACAGCATGAGCTAATTGTTTCAACTATATAATTATTGTGGTATCTAATTGCTTTATTGCTACGAATGCTGCCTGTATCTTCTCAGGTGTGACTTCATGAATTTTGCCAAGAATGCAGTGTGCTTACAATGTGATGCGAAGCGGCCCAAGAGACAGTTGCTTCCAGGAGAATGGGAATGCCCAGAGTAAGTCTTCAATTGCAAATCACCAGTGTATTTCCCCACTTTGCTGTCTTTGTTGCTGCACATTTTCATATCATGTGGTGTTTACAAGTCTGCTTATTCTATATCATTTCTATACTTGAAAACAATGCAGCTTGTTTGTAAAATTTGTTGTATTGTGCAGTTTGTTGGTAAAGATTTTGAAGCGTTTTGCTCTATGCTCTATGCTATGGCAGGTGTAACTTCTTAAATTATAGGAGAAACTTGGCATGTTTCCATTGTGATTGCAAGCGTCCCCCTGATGCATTTATGGAAAATAAAATGGAAGAAAGGCAGTATGGTAGCAGAACAAGGTCGGAGAAGATTGTCAGCCGCTCAGAAGTTTCTAATGCCTGGAATTTTGACTTTGATGACAATGAATCAGATGGGGCAGATGTCGCTGCTTTTGAGTATGCAGATTCTGCAGCAAGGGTTGAGGACTCACCTCTGGAGAGTCAAGCTCAGGAAGGAAATTTTGGATGGAATGCAGACGGTTTCAATGGAGCCAGAAGAATTTCAAGGGTTCATGAAACAGAATATTCTGATCCCGAGCGTGAAGGATTTGGAAGGGGGTTTGATGATTTTGATGATGAAGATGATATTGACAGTTACGAACTAGATACCCAAAATGATAAACCTGCATGGAAGGCTTCTCGAAACAATTTTTCTGATCAAGGGATTTCTGAATTGGAAGAAGGTGGAGGTTCTGATGACAATTTGGGCACCCGACTCAGGACCAGTCCTGTTAAGCCATCAAAGCCCAAGCGTCAAAGAGCAGCTTTCTCTGGCTCTGATGAGGACGAACTGGATATCGATTCAGATGAAGAGCACTCAGTTCATCCGAAATGGAAATCAAGTCATGTTGCTGATGTTAGACACAAAAATAGAGGTAGAGGTCCAGCACGTCCTTCCAAGAGATTAAGTTTTGGGTCAGATGAAGAAGTTGAGCTTGATTCTGATATGGATGATGATTTTGGCTCCAGCCAGAGGAAACAGAGCAGAAAGGGTTCTGGTAGAAGGAATTTTGAGAGAAATTATGATAGGGAAGATGCTTCCTTTTGTGGTTCAGAATCTGATGGAAATGATTGGCGTCCTTGGAGAAATAGGTCGGGAGGTAATAAAATGGAATCTGGTGGAAGAGGTAACAATTTTAGGGGTCGTGATTCTGACTTTGTGAGAGACAGTGAGATGAGATTGAAGGGCAAGATGGGTGATAGAAGAAAGTCTTGGGGTGATGATTTTGATAGACCATCGCCTGATCCCCATGGTAAAAATAGAGGATTTAGAGGCAATAACCATTCTGGGTGGAAAATGAATGATGCAGGTGGTGATAGAAGGAAGTCTTGGAGTGATGATTTTGATAGATCATCACCTGTTCCCCATGGTAAAAATAGAGGATTTAGAGGCAATGACCATTCTGGGTGGAAAATGAATGATGCTGGTGGTGATTCACGGAGTTTTAATGGACCAAAACGAGAAAGATTTGGAAAACGGCAAGGAGGAAGGTCGCGTGAAAACAATATGGACATGGATCCTGGTGGATTTAGAAATAGTCGACGTGTTATTGAAAGGTAAACTGAGCTAAAAATGAAAGCGTGATCGTTTCAGAATATGATTGCTCCCAATAGCTCGCAGCTGTGAAATCAAGCAGTCATGTTGATTTTACGTGGGGAGGCTGTGATACGAAAGCAGAGATGAAAAACATGACCATATTCAATTGTGCTAGGGCTGCTTTCTTTTGTATACGCACCTGCCCCTAGTTGCTCTACCCTCAGGGATAATGCCATATATGCCGCTTTAGCCTGTAAGTGAGTTTTGGCTGGTCACCTCTTCTTTTATTTTTATTAGGATGTTGTCAAATTTGAGAGAGTTGTTGGTAATAAAGGAGAGAAAAGAAAACTAATGAATTGCTTTGGTCTTTACTTAGCATATGATTCTTTTTATTTTTTAATTTTCTCAAAGTTGTATAGATTACTGATTTCTATTATGTGTATTTGTACCATAGCAACAAATTGCATATCAAAGTTTTTTCTAACAATTTATAGATCCACTTTGGTTCATATGTGTGCATGACATTTATGGTTGAATTAATTGTTCTTATTGTTACCTTTGGTGGATGATGGAATCTACTTTGCCAGACTTGATACCATTGATACTGGTGTTGGCTTTTGTTAAGACTGTATGACAAGTCTTGCATATTTTGCCATGCATTGTATGGGTGTTTTAGGGAGCCTTTAGTAGAGATCAGATGGTTTGATGTCAGTGACAAGAGTGTTGATTGCCCAAAAACAGTGGAAAAGTCAATTTTTACCTAAGAATTCTATTAATAGAAGTCCTTTGATCACATTTTGGAGTTGAAAACATGCCTTTTATGCATATCTCGAGTCTTATTTTGATTTTTTTTTTTTTTCATTAAAGAAAAGGCCATTTTCAAGTCGGATTTTTTTTTTCAAAGTTTTGTGTGCGTGTATCACAAAGTTAGTTTTATTGATGATACACCAGCATAACTCCTCCCGAATTAGAATGCTGCTTTATGAGAAATTTTATAATATATAAAAAGTAATTAATAGCATGTAAGATAGTTATTTTATTGGCGAAGAGATAAAAAAAAAGAAAAGAGAAAATTAAAAAAAAAATTGAATTGACGTGAAAAATCTTTTTTTTATTTTTGATAGATCTGGATGTAATTGAATGTGTCAATTTTTTTTCTCAAAATGAATCCATAGAATAGTTATTGTAAATTTCATTAGTTATTCCTTGTATATTATAAAATTTTGCTTAATTAAGGACTTATAGAAGCTTGGTTTTGGTATCGCTTTTCTTCCTTTTTTTAATGGGGAATTTTTTCTCTTATGTAAGAAGATTTTCATCAAATATATATAAATCAACCTTCGTTTTGGTTCAATTACTGCTTTCGTTTTTAAATACTAATGAAAAGAAAAGAATTGCATAAGATCTTCACGATACAAGGTGTTGAGCATTATGAACAGCATGATTATTCTAGTTTGTCACCCGCTGGTTTTGATCATATGAGCGGATTAACATTGAATGACGAGTAGTTTCAATGAAAGAACAAACTTGCTTTAACAGAGCACGCACATCATCATTTTTATGGGTTTTCACTTCATGAAAAAAATTGGTAACTACACATATTCTCTGTTATCTTTCGAAAACAACGAATAGCATCATATGGCAAATCCAGAACAACATCCTGTGCGGGCGGAGAAGATGGAGCCTCGTACTCAACAGCACTCTTCTCTACACGAGACATAGAAGGTTCCATAAGAAACCAATCTGTGTCGTTGTCAGACGTTGTCCGACTCAGACAACGTGTTCACTACAAATCAAAAAGAGCTGCTAGTAACATAGTTTTAAATAACTCCCGTTACGTTATATAACGGTTTTGTAGTATACTATTATCGTTATTTTAATATTATAGTAAGTCATGATCCGTAATAATGACCGTGATCATTTTTTCATCTGTCCACTATTTAAAACTATGGTTAGTAATGAAAAATAACAATACAAATGCATATAATCATTATGATAGAAAGAGCTCACAAACACACACAACATCAAATCAATGAAGCCAACTTAGGTCCATAAGTCACAGTACATAGCAATAATCAATCAGACGAGTCCAAAGTCTCAAAGAAACAGCTGCTCATACAAAGTGGGCTGCTCCTTGAGAAATGCTTGGAAACTCTTTTATCACGGAGTACCTAGCCTTGAGAGGAAAAAACCCTATTGTCCTCTACTATATTGAAGAGAAAATATTTAATGAAGATGCTTTCTAATAATGATATCAAGCATTCTTTTTTGTCAGGTTTCATGCTTTTGAATTATTGGACTGATCCTTTCTTCTTCGAACATCATTCATTATGATAACACTAATGTCGTTGCATATGAGATAAAATGATAACAAATCAATACTAGCTGTTGGTTTATCCATTAACACTAAAAAGAAAAGATAATCATTTCCTTCTCATTATGCAAATTGCATCCGTAAACGTTTATATAAAAGTCTAAATCATTAAGAGTTTCAAGTTTCAAATCCTAAATATTTTTTACAAAAAGCATTTTTCGGTTATTTTATTTTATTTCTACTACTAACTTGATCGTTGGAGTATCCCTCACCTAATTGAAAAGACCTATTTAACATATATCTAGTGTAAAGAATATCCAACGTTCCTCTTGAATATCAAACTCTCACTTTACCTATACAAGTTATGTTTTTTTAATTTTACTAAATGAGTTTTTCACGACTCACCAATTATATCATGGAAAACAGAATTAGAAGAATTCTATTACGCTCTATAGGTCAAATACATGTTTTAAGTTTGGTCCAAATTGGTTGTATTAAGAATTATATAGGACCAAACCTTGGTCTAATCCTTAAACGAGCTAAGCTCAACAGCGTCAAGTCAAATTTTTCTACAACAATATTTTCTAGGAATTGGGCCGTCAAGCTATTGTTTCTCATTCGGTCGGTTTTTTCTATTCCGCCGTTTGGATCATTTGACCTTTCTTTCTTACTAGTGGGCTTGTAGTCCTTGGCCCATTAGATTAGATGTCAGGTATAATGGAAAAAATAAATAAAAACACTGTTGTCAATATAAGAGCGTGGAGATTTATTGTTACTCTTTTCTTCTCTTCGCGGCGCCGGGGGGGGGCGCCGGGGCCAGAGAATAATGCACATCAACATTGTATTACATATTTGGTATTCAAATTTGTAAACTTTTTCAATTTAAATGTGTTAATTTTTTTTTAATTATTTATTTATTTATTTATTTTTTCGAATTGTCAAGCATCTGAAAGAGGTCCACCTAATGATGTTACGTGTATAATTAACGGTCACAATGGGATAGGATTAATATATAGAATCATTCAACCACCAAAAGGTGACGCAGCGACAAGGACTTGGTATCAAGAGATTTGCTTCTCCTGTGATCTCTGGCTCGAGTCCCGATTGCTCATTTTGGTGGTCACTGAAAGCTTACATGCTCGTTAATTTCGGGATCCATGGAATTAGTCGAGATGCGCATAAGCTGATTCGGACACTCGCATTATCAAAAAAAAAATTATATATATATAGAACCATTCGAATATAAAAAATTAAAAATTGATACGCCTGAATAAAAAAATTTAAAATTTACAGACTCAAATAGAAAAATTGACAAATTTATACACTAAATAGGTAATAAACTCTTATTAATTACATTGTGCATTAATATAATTATAATTGTTTTATGTTTTTTATGGGCATGATTCAGAAATTGAAAACCATATAAAAGCAAATTAATTGATAGCTGTCCATCAAAGTCACTATGTTACCTGAAACTCGCCTTGATCATTTCTTTCGTTTTTACACATGCACTGGTTCTTTACATCAGTCATGCCAATGCTAAGACAAGACCATTAGCATCAAGGAAGGATGTTCTTTTGCTGTCTCAAGTCGTTCCAAACTCATCTTAATGGCCCTTTCAAGAGATCATGCCTTACCATTTGAGTAGTAGTAACAAAACACAGATGCATGAACACAGAACAACAACCTGTATTTATAATCTCGTAACCTACATGCACTAATCCGAAAGAGATTTGCTCAGCAATGAGATAAAAGCAGAGATAGTGCCTCACATACTCTAGTCTCGAGGTACAAAAATACCAGGGTTAAAATACTAAAATATGCATAAATAAGAAATCATTGAAGAGGATCAGGGCATCAACAAAGTCTTCGAATTTTGAACCAGAAATCAGAGTTGATGCTTTTATTTATATCAGATATCCTTGGAATTTGGAAAGACTTAAAAGGCTACCAACTAGCGAAAAACCTCTGTGAATGTGAATGAAAGACAAGCATAGAAAAAAATCAAGATGTTTGCTTGGCACTAAGCAGATATTCTTCCAGCTTCTTACCCAAAGGAAACAGACTACGGTGAAATCACCAAAGTCCTCCTTCATGTATATATGTTAAACTGTAGTTTGCCATGTCCACTACGTATTACCCTTCTTCATACATAGAAGAGAACATAACAAACCCCCAACACCCACCCCACGCACAAAACGTAAGGAAGGAGATAAAAGAAACTAGTAGAGCAAAAGGAACAGCTCAGACAAGAAATAGATTGAAACAGCAAAAAATGGATGATCTCCAAAGCTCAGCAAAAAGCCATTAAACTTTAAGCATTTAACAGTCAAAACTTGGATAAGAGAGAGTAGCTTAGCTAGACAATACAGAAGAAAAGCACGCGATCCTCAATTGTCTTCTATGATTCAGTTCCTTGATCTACCGCCTCTTCCATAACCACGGCCACGGCCTCGTCCACCTCTTCCTCCTTTCCCTCCATGACCCTTACCTCCACCTAGAAAGTTGTCAGATTTTATTTTCATGTCCTCGGGCAGTGGAAGTATGTGATCCACACACTTTCTAAAGCTGAAATCATCAACAGAGTCATCATCCCTAATTAGGAAGAAGCACCGACTCTTAAACATTGGATGAAACCTAACTTGGAAAGCTTGGATCCCACCACCAATCTTTTTGTCAGGCTCTGAGTGACCAGTCTTGAGCAAGTCAACTAGCACCATGTGCTCATACTTGTTGACATTAATATTGGGAGGCCACTGATGGAGGAAATTGTAGAAATAATCAAACATCTCCACTGCTGATCCAAAACTCTTCGGACCCAAGCTAACTGGACCTGACTTCTGCTCTTCTTCCTTCTCTTCTCCCTCTCCCTTTCCCTCTCCCTCTTCTTCCTTCTCCTCTCCCTCTCCCTCTCCCTTTCCCTCTTCTTCCTTCTTCTCCAATCGCTCTTCTTCCACAGATTTATCCACCTTCTGCTTCTTCAATACATCTTCGTCTTCCTCCTCCTCTCCCTCTCTAGCTCGCTTTGCACCATTTGCTGCCACATCTTCCACCATATCAATCTCTTGAGTAGCTGAGTCAGCTTTCTCCGGGTTGGCCTCAATGGCTGCAGCCACTGTCTCCTCCGCCATCAGTATATGAGAAAACAGCCCAAGATTGTAGCTCCTATTTAATAAAATAACTCTGAGTTTAGATTGGCAGCAAAGAATAACACACAAAACTATAACAAACAAACCAAAAGATACACTATTAATAATCCATCAAAGCAATGATAAAAAAAGTAATGCCCACTCACAATCTGCTCCTCAGTCATCAATTTTCACTCACCTGCAGAGACTCCCTTTTGAATTCACTCAAACAGCAACTCTTCAACATAAGTAAATACAAAAAACAGAAGCAGAACTTAAAACGCTCATCTTAAGTGAAAGAACCTACTAACTTCATATTTAAATAAACAAACAATTAATAAAATCCAAACACACTCGATCAAACCAAGATTTCTGACCATCACCGAAATACTCATATCTTTACGAGAAAGCAGGAAAAAAAAAAAAAAACAACCTTCGTATCAAACCTAGTAACTTCTTAACCAAACAAAGCTAAAATCTTTACTAACTTTAGCAAACATGATTCAGGTAGCTTTCATAATGCATTGATTAGTCCATAAATAGATTTCTATTTTGGGACAAAAAAAAAACGAACAATTCACCAAAACATTGAAAACCCATTATTTATAAAGATCAAACATCTATGAATAAGTGTTACTAAAAGGCGTTTCGATTAAACTTACTTGGAGTTAGAGAGTGGACAAGAGGAGCTGCTGTCTGTGTAAAAGTTGGGATTTTAGGGTTCCTTTTTTAAATTGAATGTTGTTCCTGTTTTAAATAGTCCAAAACAGAAACCTTTTAACGGGTTTTATTCCTCGGGTCAATTAAATCCGGGTATTTTAGAATTGGAATTTTGATTTGGGCTACGGCCCATGAAAATCTTCATATTCTGGATGGGCTATTGGTATTGTAATGGGCTTAAGACCCTAACCCACCCGGTTATTGCTAATTATGAAATAAATAGAATAAGAAAAATTACTTTCCTAGTATATATTATTTTTAATTTTCATTGATTCTGAATTTAAAATCAAAATTCATTCCGTGTTATTTATTTTTGAATTTGTGTGTGTGCATGGTAGTATTTCGAAGAATTATTTTTTTATTCGACAAATGAGAGTATAATCAAGCTAACTTATAGTCAATCTTTCTCAGAAAATTTTAAGAACCCACCTCCTACATAATGATCGATTTAAAAAAATAATAATAATTTTTTTATGATGACTCCACGATTTGAACCTAAACATTAAAAAAAAAAAATGAATAAACCTCATTAACAGTTAGGTCAATTCTTTATGTGTCATATAGTTACTAAGAATAAAATATCTAGAATGAGAATACGAGAATAAAATTTATATTTTTATTTCAATACTAGTTTAAAACAATAATAAGAAATTAAAATAAAATTTTCATCAATTATGATAATAATATAAATGATTACGGTGATAGTAGTAATAATATGGAGGATGAGGAGGAATTGGTGGGGATAGTATATTAATAAAATATATTAAAAATAACTAAAGCCACTGTTATGATTTAGTGGAGGAAAAATTAAAAGTGGTATTATAATAAAAATGATAGTGATGATATAAGAGAAGTTGTGGTAAAATAATAAAAATGATATGTTTTTTCAATTTTTTTTAATAGCAGCAATGGTGGGAGCAATGATAGTGATAATAACGAAGTAATTGATAAACAATAAATAAAAATAATATTTCTCTATTTTGAATAAAAAAACAAAAACTTAATTTTATTTTTTATTTTTATTCCCACTTTATTCGTGAGGATTAAATTATGTTTAATTTTCATTTTTATCTTCACTTTTTATTTTCATTCACTTCATTTCTTTCAATTAAACACCAACAACATGAAAATCAAACTTTCATTTTTATTTTCATCATTTTATTTTTTGTTACCAAACAACATTTTAGGATTTGCCGACTATGTAATGAAAATAGATATTTATGCACATGAAAAATGGTTAATTAAGGAATCGAATGCAAGCTAACGTGTATAGTAACTTGTATGAAAATAATTTGAGAGTAACAGATACTGTCATCAAATTGCCACTATGTGTTGTATGTTTACTCTCATGGTTGCTTGGACATATACAGTTGAATGCCGAAAACCTATCTCTTAAAAGATCAATGCTACATCTGCAAATTAAATATTCTTCACAAAAATAGGCTAAGTCATCTGCAAAGGTTGAGAAGAAACAGTATTGAAACTACTCAATGCACAAATAATGAAATAATAAGAAGGATAAATATACACATATGTTTTTATATAATACTTAAAATCTTATATTTATTCTTAAGTTTTTAATTATAGTTTATTTATTTCTAAAAATATTTGAAATGTTTAATTTATTTTTTCGATCAATTTTTTTCAGCCAAATAATTTTTTGAATCAAAATGTCCTTGAATGAAATGCAAAAAAATAAATAATAAATCTAAAGACTTTAAATATGAAACATGTTGGTCATGCAACTTTAAATATTTTTTCGTATTTTAGTTATAAAAAAATTATATTGTTGAAAAATTTGATAAAAATGATATATTGAATATTTCAAAAAATTTCAAAAACAGATCGAATGCAATTGAGAATTTAAGAACATACGAAGATTTTAAATATTATATAAAAACATCTGAATATATTTATATAATAATAAACCAATTGAGTTCATGATTGGTTATGTTAATTATTATATATGTTCTTTAGGCTAAGTCTAGAACTATTTGCAACCAAAGCTAAGCTTTGGCTGGGGTTTTTCTTACTATCACGTATGAAAAACCAATCACCAAGGACTCCCAAGGTCATCTCAATGGCATCCTTGCTAAAGCTAGGAGGAGGCATGATTGGTCTAATTTGTTTGTGATCAATGCCATAAGCACATATCAAATCAACATTATCACGATCATAGTCGTCAAGATTAACAATCCAATGAAGAGCACCATTCAGAGGGACACAGAAGGATTTCGTACTAGCTGGGAAAGGAATGTTCCAATAGGTTTCCAGCAATTAGTACCAAATATGCATATTTCTCCTTGGGAAATGATCTAGGTCGAATCAGGATGAGCAGTAGAAGTATTCTTCCTCGTTATTCTTATGACCATGTAATGTTTCAGAACTGTAGCCAAACCCAGAAACCATATACATCAATCAACAGTTTGCCATTTTTGTTTTCGTTTTTGGCTGTTGAGGAATGAGTCTTTATATGCTCACCTGTTGAGGAATCAAGATAGAAGCTTTTCTTTTCCTTGGAATGTAAATCAGACAAACAAACAAAGCAAGCCATTACAAGAGCCCATTAATTGTTTATTTACTTACCACAGAAAAAAATATTTTATTCTTGAGCTTTTCTTGAAAAACAAATGTTTTTTTTTATTTTGTACTTCATCGATGAAGGATAAAAATGTAGATTTATTGATGAAATATACTTGATTTAATTTGTGTATTTTTCTCACAAGCATGAATATCTAATTTATTTTTTTATGAAAGTTTTGATTTTATGTGTTCGAGATTTTATAATGTTTACAAAATAATTATTTTTTCCTCACTTTTTTCTTTGGCTTTTTAAAATAAAATAAAAAACTCCGCTAGAAAAGCAGCATAAATTAATAAAAAAAGGAAAAAAATTTCATATTTTATTTATTCATTTATTATCTTTTTAAAATAAATTATAATTTTTTAATGGAGATGTCTCCTGCCTAAGAAACGAAACCTCGCATCACTTTAAATTGAGAGCAAAAATAGCCGTTTGCATCAGTTTTATTTCAAGGAAGGATTTGACCGTTGGAGTACAAAAAGATCCGTTAGCCTAAGCCCTTTAGCCTTTCAGTTTTGACTTTTCAACTTCAAAGACAAGACTGAGTGCAAAGCAAAAGGAAGTAACCACTTGTGAGAGGATTAATGGGGACACACAAACTTTGTAACTGACCCATTTTTGAAGTCTCCGGTTCAATAGGTATTTAGATAGAAAGCTTTGAGACCCACTTCGGAGTTTTTTTTTTGTTATTTACTTGTGTAGTTCAATCATGGTTGCAAGAACCCCACCAAAACAGAGGAGAATGGTGGCTCCTCTCAACCCAGTTTTACTCAGAGAAACTGTGAAGAAGGTACATATTCTTTAGCTCAAAATATGGCACAATCCCATCAAACTCTCCCTTTTCTCTTTGCTTGTTTTGTTCCTCAGAAAACAGGAGAAAAAGAAGATAAAGTTTTCAAATTTGGGTCTTTGATTTTCAATAAGGTTACTTTTGTGTCTACAAATTTGGACCGTTTGCTTGGATAACTCTGGTTAAAGGAAAATTTTCAGATTTTCAGTCATTTTTAGTCCTAAAATTCTTTTCTTTTCCTTTTTTCTCACCTACCAGGCACAGAACTTCTTTCTCTTCCACTAGAATAATGGGTTTCCTTTGGTTTTTGTAAATTCTGTGCAGGTGGAAAAATGTATGGCTAGACTCCAAGAGCTTCAATACACAGTGGCAGGTGGGAATAAGGTGATAGCTGGTGTTAGTCTCAGTCCGAGAAGTACCAGAGGTTATCTAAAAACTAGTCTTAGGTGCAAGCAAGAATCTTTAAGGTAGATTAGAAATTGGGTTGTGATCAAAATTTGAACTTTTATTGTTTCTTGATTATTTCTGTTAAGATTTACTGAAATGTGTTGTTTGTACTTTTACCAATTTGAAAGGATCAAGAGTACTGCCCCTAAGAAATCTCCAGTGGGGAAGCTGCCAGCAACTTCAATAGGTATCTCTATTCTCTTTGATTTCAATTATTGTCTGCGGTTATGTTGTAAAGACATTTCTTTTCTGAGCTCTTAATAAATGAGAATCTGCGATTTGAAGTATCAAACAATCATTGATTGAATAATCCTAATGGCTTGAATGTTTTATGCACAGGTGAATGGCGGCGAATGTCATTACCAGCAATGCTAGTGGGTGAAACGGTGGGAGAAATTCTACAAGCAAGCCAATTTGCAAGAGAAATTGTTGCAGCTGTTGCTTGCACAAAGAAGAAAACTCCCCTTGAGGACCCCAAAACTCCAGTGACCCAACAGAGAAAACAAAGGCCTAACCCTGAAGACACTGAACTCAAATCCAAAAGGAAGAAGGAAAAGCAAACTAAACTAAAGTCGATTCGATCGGAATCCGGTTCTCCTTGTCTTCAAAGAGCACGATCGCGTATTAACTTCAAGGTTTCACCTCCAAAGAAGAGAGAAGTGGATAAAGAAAATGCTCGGTATTTGGCAAATAGAGTTTCTCCTAGGAATAGGCCATGGGCTAAAAAAACAGTATTATTTCCAAACCCGTTGTTCCTTTCTACAGAGTTTACACAGCAGCAAAAGTTTTGCAAGACAAGGTCTCCAGTGATTGCAAGAATCAAAAAGCAGACAACCCCACATAAGTTCTTGATTAAATCCCCTCCATCAGGTTCAAAATTCCAAGTGAAGATCAAGAACCCACCAGTTGTTTCTCTCTCACCTACCAGAACTACAAACTTGAGCAAGAAACCACCTAAGTTGTCAACTGCATCAAAGTTGCGTCGATCATTTTCGCCTTCAAGGTTGGCTAACAAACTGGTGTCGCCATTGAAAGGCAGAAAACTTATGCAAGCGAGTGATGATGGGCTAATGAGTGGACTGAAACAGCGTCCAAATGCAACACCTAGACGGTTCTCACTGGGGAGAATTTGAGGGGTGTTAGTTTTCTTCTGGTTTGTTAATTTGTTTGAAGATTGAGGATTCTATTTCAGATACTTTATCAATGTCCATAATTGATTCTTCTATATTCCCAACAAGTGTGAATTGTTAATTCTTGAGGCATTTCATCAAGGATCATGGATTCTCGTTGCCTAATAGAAATTGCTTCCTTGGCTTTCATTTTTACCAAGTTTTTACATTTTATCTTGTGCTTATATTCTTCTTGCCTCTCAGTTAGTTGAAACATGATGTTGAGCCTGTGTTATGAACTGATTATAACTTCATGTTTTCAAACCTATAATTTAGGTACTTAAGACTCATGTTGAAAGTTCTCAAAATCTTTTGGTTTTCCTCTACACCCCATGATTTTTCTATAAGAATTTAAAGTAGGGTAAAATTGGGATAATACGAAACAACAAATATATGTTTTTATAAGACAACCGGTCAACAGGAGTCAAGAGACTACATTTGTAAGTTTTTAAACATAAAGACCTAAGTAATAATAAGAGTCAAAACGCAGGGACTATGAGGATAATTTACTCAAATTTTTACCGGCTGCTTTCATTTTGAAAGAAACCCTTAAGCGCTCTTGGAGTAGTTGGTCCGGCTTTAAACCTACATGCTTATGACTTCGTTTCTCAAGAAATCCGTGCAGCGGAGAGACTTTCTCGCACCAAAAATATTCCTTTTGAATGAAGGCATTTGTGTTTGGATGGTGGCTTTAGATTAGCCTCATAAAAACCTTATATTCCCCGAGGTGGTTCTACTTTGTGGGAACGCTCTTTAATGGAATTTTAGCTTTAGTCGAGTCGTGACCGAGAAACCACAGAGTTTCACTTGGTGGGGCGAGGATGTCCGACTTATAAATTTATCCAATAAACTATTGGGAGCTCATATAGCTCATGCTAGACTAATCGTATTCCGAGCCGAAGCAATGAACCTATTTGAAGTGGCCCATTTGATACCTTTCATACTTTGTATCTAATGTACTTCACTTAATTTCCTCTGCAATATTAGGCTTTGGTGATATTTATCATGCACTTTTAGAAACCGAGACTCTTGAAGAATCTTTTCCATTTTTTGGTTATGTATGGAAAGATAGAAATAAAATGACAACAATTTTAGGTATTCACTTAATCTTGCTAGGTATAGGTGCTTTTCTTCTAGTATTCAAAACTCTTTACTTTGGGGGCGTATATGATACCCGGGCTAGGGGCAACCTCACCCATAGCCATTTTTGATTATTTACTAAAATCTCCTTTTGAAGGAGAAGGTTGGATTTTTAGCCTGGATGATTTGGAAGATACAATTAGGGGGCATGTATGGTTAGGTTCCATTTGTATACTTGGTAGAATCTGACATATCTTAACCAAAACCCTTTGCATGGGCTTTGGTTTTGCTATAAGCCATCTCTTTGTCAAATGCATGAGCTGCAAAACTAATAAAGGGTTGCAAGATCAAAAGAAAGAATGAGTAAAATTTCAGACGATTATGAATACTAATTATGATTATTGTACACTGATGTTACAAACCTGAGAGACACGTATCATTCTCTCCACCCCTCAAAAAATTGGAGAAGCAAATATTTTCTCCAAACACTACCACTCTTTTCAACAGTGCTCTATATGGTACCATATAACAAACACCATTCAGGCTGAACAATGAGAAAATTGCTGCAGTATTCACATATATCTGGCAAACCGTCCATAGGGGTCATATTTTCACCACTCCTGATGAAACTGCAAGCCTTGCATTCAAACTCCTGGGGGAAACATGGAATCCTCCTGGGCAAGCATTCATTTGCTCGGAGATGCAAATCTTGTCCGCTCTCTCTGCCGACCCAAGGCTCGATCCTTTGGGGACAATGTTTTACTTCCCACGGCTGCTTGACGCATCATCTCTGCAAACATAGTTTTCAGAATCATGCAACAATATCTAAAATCATCGAAGTCAAATGTGATTGCCAAAGCTACCATGTTTTTCTTTTCTATTGTTTGGGAAGATAAGGGGGGCAATAAAATCAGATATCTTCTATCTCTGTTGAGATGATTTAATATGTATCTTGCTTTTCTGCAAGAGCTTTTCGGACAGCACAGAAAAAAACTTAATAAGCTGATCTAAACACATTCTCATGCCTAAATTAACTAAGCAAAATGTCAATACTGATAATGAAAATTCAGGCAGTGGTGACTGCAACGCAGATAATTTCCCAAACAGTATGACTTGCAACAATGTATATGAAACCGTAAAAGCATTGGAGTTGACAAATGTGAAAACACTATAAATTAGTTGACATTTAAATACATGGGAAAAAACAAGAAAACTTTACCTCTCTTTCTCTCAAGTTCTTGGTCAAGCTCTTCTTTCCACTTCCTTTCTTTCTGATCATTGCTATGAGGGGATGAATTGTCCCCTGAAGCTTGATCACTTGCATTGCCAACATTAGATGCACGCCTATTACTCCCAGGGCTGCCAGTACTAACAGCATCGGTTGCTGTAGATGGGCTTCCAACAGGGATCCGACTGGGTGACCTGCTTTTAGGAGGTAATTTCAAGTAATTTAGACTTTCATCACGAGAACTTCCACCAAAACTTGGAGAGCAAGCCCCATTCAAACTGTTATAGAATTCTTCATATAAAGGTGTTTGCAATTTCTTCAGTTCCAAAGCCTGAGAAATCAAATTTAAGTTAAATATGATGATGCTGTAAATCCAGATCTAAAACAACAGAAGGCAATGGCTGGTTTTCAATGTTAAAAGATAAGCAGAACCTTTTCACCAAGAAAGGCTCTAATTTTTGACTCGGTAAGTTCCTCATCATCCTCAGAAAACGATGCCCCACAGGAAAACGAAACATTTTTGTCCCCCTGAACTGGTTGACCAGTGTCCGATTTGCTTCCTGCTAGTTCCAGTTCTGGACTCTCATCATATTTGGACCTCCAATCTCCAGACAGCTCACATTTGGGATCAGAACTCTAAACAAAGCACAATTTCCAATAAACTGTAAAATACTGAAGCTGTTGGATGTTAAAAAGCTACACCAGCAATGAGCATGATGTCAAAGCAGATGCTCACCTTATTGAGGTCATTAGAAGTTAAATGAGGACTGAGCTTTTCTTCATTTATAGAAAAGTCATTGTCAATCTGACACATGTCGTCATCACTGTTTTGTGTTTCCCATGCATCCTCACTTTCAGGCAATTGCTTAGGATCAATTGAGCAGCTCAGACTACACAAATTACAGACATCCATTGCATCATAGGCAGATGCAATTTGATTGGCAACAAATTTTTTATATTTTAGAAACCTCTATAAGTACAGCACGTGCTATGTATTAATACAGAAAGGCAAAATATACAAAGGTACTTACATGGTTACAGGGTTAGTGGTATATGACTGCAAAGGAATTCCAGAATTTTCCTGAAGGTAAATGGTCTTCCATTAAAAACATGGAATGAGAGAGTGCATGAAAATCAGAGTGTAGAATCAGGTCCAACTATACCAACCATGACTGGACTATGAATAACATGATCAGATGTGCCAATCTCCCCAGTAACAAATGGGTGCTGCATTTAATGAACATTTGGTGTAATGAAACATTGTTAAATATGAACCGGCAATAAAACATTTGTATGAGAACAAAAAAGATGCCACTGCCTGCAATTTGCTCAAATCAATAGAAGATGCTAATAACATTAGAATCACCTTCAGCAATTTATATGCCTCTGGCCTCATATTTGGTTCCCTGCAATAAAAATTACATGTGCCAACCATGTTCAGGAGGAAAAAGACATTAGTGGGTACTAATTGTATCTGAGGGTTGAATGTCAAACTTAATTATTTAAAAGTAAGAATGCAACCTATAATTTTTGTTGATAGGATTTGAACTTTTGAACTACCACAACACTACCCAACCATTTCACAACAAGTGAGCTAAACATCAATCGATGAAGCATCTAGGCCATTGTAAATTGCATATCAATAATGTTCAAAGAAGCAGAGAAAAAGACACAAAAACAGTACTTGTGCAAGCACTTGAGCAGAAAATCTTTGGCCTCTGGAGTGAGATGCCCGGGGATTTCTGGATGAGACTTCGTCGACCCTATGTAAAAGATTGCGGCAACCTAACAGAAATGTGGTCAGTGACAATATATTGGAAAGCAACTTATGGAATACCACATACATATGTATCAAGAGCTAGAAAATTACGTACCTCTTGGTATTGTTGGCTCCAAGGAGGCTTTCCCGTGGCCATCTCAATGACTGTGCATCCAACACTCCATATATCAGCAGAGCTAGGGAATTGTTTTAAATTATATCAGTATGGATCAGTTTGTTAATTTAAACAATAAAGAAAAAGCTACAACTTATCATGTAACTTACAGAAGAAGAAGCACTTGGCTAAATTATGCACAGACCAGCAAATTCAAATAATATGACTTCATTTAAACTCTCCAAAGCCTTCATATAAACCTTCTAAGTTTTTGCATATGGCACATATGGCCGAAAATTAGCTGTAGAAGCTTCTGGATTGATCAGATTATTTAATGTCAAACGGAAATTATTTTATGGCAACACAGCAGGTATTGCCCAGAGCCATTCTATTTGGCATTCTACTGGAATTCAACAGCAAGAAGCTTATGGATTCTGAGATTTTATAAAAAAATTGCTTCTTCTATAGGCATGCATGGCACTTTGCTTTCCTAGCTACACCTTTCTTCATGCCTCATTTTTTCCCAGTCCTCTATGACTCACACAACTTATTTTTTGTTTCTTATATGGTAAAATGGATATAAGAAATAAATGCCCAGACAAAAACCATAAATAGATTTTTGGTTTAAGGAGATGCTCTCATGGTCATATGGATAAAGAAAAAGGGAGCCATCATTATGAATATAAATGCAATGACTGGGACTTAGCAGGCACATCCACAGCCTCTTAAGATTCCAGGAGTTTCAAAACAATGTAGTCTGTACCATATACTGTCAGCTCTCAGAACATATATATAGCTTAGTAAGTTAAAGCTTGCCCCTCATTCATTTTCCCGGTGAGACATCTCTCTAAACCTAAATTCTACAGTGTTTCTATCAATAAATGCTTCTTTCCTGTCAACATGTAGAAAACAGAAACCTAAAAAAAGACATCTAGGATCTAATTCGGAGGATAACATAACTTTCTAAGCATGAATGTAATCATCTAGAATATCAGAGGAACTTAATTTTCCTTACAAGCTATGTCCAGTCTGAAGAATGACTTCAGGAGCCATCCAGTATGGTGTGCCCTTCATCGATTTGGCCCCTGAAACAGTAGCCTACAGTGACAAGGGTCTCAATCAGATGGATATGCATATATTCAAAGTGATTTTTGAAAATACTTCCTACAGCATAAAGAACAAGGTAGATATAGTGGACAGATGCATACCAGCTCAACGACCTGTTTTGATGCACCAAAATCTGCAAGTTTAATGCATCCTTTATTATCTACAAGAATGTTTGGGCCCTGGGAGAAGATGAAGAAGAATGTCATTGTTCATAAAATGAAGAAGAGAAAAAGGCTAAAGACCTTTTCTCACATGTAGCGTCAGGGGAAGGAAATTCAAACTTCAAAGCTACCTTAATGTCCCTGTGCATAATTCCATTGCTGTGTAAATACTCCAACCCCAGCAATAATTGCTTGGTATAGGCTCTTATAACCTGTTCAAATTAGCACACATGATTTGCCAGGAGTCACCTACTATGAACAAGCTCAGCTGGCAAATAGTCAGAGACTTACGGGCTCAGGGAAGGCTCCAAAATTCCCTAAAAGAGATGATATTGATCCACCCGGGACAAATTCAAGCAGGATGTTTATGGTTTCCTCCTCCCTAACTGTACCCAAATATCTCTGAGGGCAAGAAATGAATTGCAAAGTCAGAAATGTGATAGACTTCATCAATTCAGTCGATAAAAAAGAAGATCAGTCTCAATACTCACAACAATGTTGGGATGGGAGAGATTCTGTAGAAGCTTCACTTCTTCCTCAAGCTCTCTGACGTGAGCCTACTTATAGCAACAATCAAGTGAACTCAGCCAAATTTTTTCTAAAATCGATATTGAGAGAAAGCCTATTACAAAAAATACAATAACTGCAACCTTTCTACATAATCCTGGAATTATGAGCTTCATATTATATTTGAATGAATTGAAATCTATAGCTTTTTAAGTGCATGAAAATTAGCAAAATTTAAGCTTCCTCAATCGATCAGGCACAACAAATATTAAATGTTGCTTGATGCCATTTTCAGGTTTTCGGAAACCCATTAAACACATCAATCCTTCATAGCCAAAAATACAGCATAGGACAGGACAAAAATCCTTAAGTATACAAGTAAGAGAAAGCAACCCTCTCCCCTTGGTAGTTGGTCCTAATAAACTTCGTTATTTAGATTTGCCAGATACAAATAATTGTTTTCGATTCATACCTGAGCTCTCTCTCTTGTAGCTCCATTAGCTGCAATAGAAACCTAAGAAATAAAAAACAAGGAAAAAAGAATCAAAATCACATCCAAACCATCATTTCCGAAAACAATTGAAAGAGGACTCAATATAAACACAATGACCATCAACGACCATCAAAGAAGTTCAAAAGTAACAGACTCCATCTCGACTATGAGTCACTCGATACCAAATTTCCCAATATGAAAAGCCAGACCCAAAATTATGAAAACCAATACTAATCAACTCAAAATCAGAATGTGAAAAGTATCAAACTAGAAAGTCTCCAAAACCCAATTTAGCATCAAACCCCAACCCATAGCACAAAAAATTATACTTTAAACTTAATTTTTTAAAAAAAAAAAAACCATTTCAAATTCAGACTCCGAAAACCAAAATTCAACAGAATCACAAAAAAAATCAAGAACTCAAAACCAAAAACTAACCAAAACCCATTTCGAGAAACCCACTGAAAACTCAAAATAAACAAAAACCCCGATAGAATCAATAGAAAAGTAACCTGCTTTATCGCTAAAAGCTCTCCAGAATCAAGATTCATGCCCATATAAACATGGCCAAATGCACCACAACCAATCAACTCCCCTTTACGGTACCGGATCGGAGGAGGCATTGGCAGTGAAGATGGCGAAGTGGGTTTGTTAAAGATTCTTGATTTAAGAACACAAGAATTGAACTTGTCAACTAATGCTGAAGTTAATGGATTGTTTGAACTGAAGTAATTAGTTTCTTGATTGGGATTATGATCTTGTGGGGGTGTCCGGAATACTATTGATCTCCTAACTGATCCCAAGAAGTCTTGCATTATGACATAAAGAGAGAGAGAGTGATTGATGGAGTTAATGGAGGAGGGTTTTTCTTTTGATCAATGAGTGAGGCTAGGGGAGAGAGGAGGAAAAAGTTGGGGAAAATTTTGTTTTTGAAAAATAAGAAATGGAGAAATCATCACTCCTTGGTCCATAATTTCGCATCTTTTACATGGTCAAAAGTAAGTACATAATGCATAGCAAGGAAATTTGAAAAACAAATGTCAATTGTAGTCCCTAATGTATAACAGGTTTTTTGACTCATACCAAATCATACTCTTATTTTATGCTATCCAATGTTATCCTTCTATTTTATCTCTATTAATATCGGTTAATCTATCAAAAAATCACAAAACTTAAATAGATAAGGACTAAATAATTAATTTTTAAAACAAAAAACCTAATTAATTTGTTTTTTATCTTTCTCTCGACCGATTAGTGATTTTTCAACATGTAAACCTCCGTCTTCTCTCTCCCTCTCTCTCTCTCTCTCTCTCAATTAGAAACTAGCATGTCTAGATACAATTATAAATACATCTAGGGTTGTTTTGAGTGGTGACCATCATAAGATGAGGGAGGAGAATCGAAGTTCAATTAGTTAATTACTCACACCATCACAACTCCTAAATCTAAAATATCTTGATTTTTAATAGCATAAAGGCTTAAAGATTAACGGATGTGAAACTAAAAACTAGCTTTTAGCTCAAGTTTCTTAGAAACTATATTAGTGACGAGGTTGTTGAATCTCTAAAAATAATGTGGCTCCTTAATAACAATTGATACGATGGTGGTGCTCAATGATCAGTGTTGGTCTTGTTGGATAAAATACTTGCATGCAAAACAAATTCTCCTGATTGGATAGGAAACCTTGGACTATCAAGTTTGTACAATAAGAGAAAAGCTTGGGCAAATAAGGCTATGTTGCAAGAATAAGAAAGAAGATAAGCAATACTAGTACGAAGAGAAAAGATTGGGCAAATAAGGCTAGATTGCAAGAACAAAAAAGAAGATAAACAATAGTAATACGAAGAGATTCAAAATCCTTAATTTTAAATTATTTTAGTTATTTATATAACCAAGAGACCAGACTAAATTGCGTGAAAAAGAGGTAAAATGATTTATTTCTCTCGTTGTCAATAATCTCTATCTAATATCGGTTAGAAGAATAAATATTCTTAATGTTGATATATCACTATTTAAAGAGAATGATGATATCGTTATTGATATAAATTAGATAAAAATAATCTTAAAAAATATGTCTTCATTTATTAGATGCACTTTTTTGTTTTTAATCAACAGAGGTTGATTTGATTCTCTAGACTATAATTGACTAAGTCACTCTGATGGGGTATTTTCTAATGGTACAGATGCTGCCTTAAAGACTTATGAATCTCGTAGAATGCCATGTTTCAACTGATTATATCAAGTCCACCCTACATTTTTGGCAATGCATCCTTTTGTGGGGATCCACTACCAAGTTGATCAAGTATTATTTCTGCCCTAAAAAAAAGGACTTTGACTCCAAGATCAGCAAGTGGGATGCCGTACTTCAGTTATGGGGGCAGCATGCTCTTTTTCAGGGAATGTAAGAATGAGTACATGAGCATTAACACCTTTTTCGGAAATTCTAGAGATATTAGAAATACTGAAGTCCATACACGATCATCTCTAGTGCATATCTCAGATTCTTACATACATACACGTCAAATTCATCCTGTTATCGCTTAATTCTTGGATCTTACTTGTGAGCTACATTCGTTCATACACAGCACGAGTCCCATTCTTACATGTTTTTATATATATAACAAAAAATCTTCTTACAATGATTTAGTAAAAGTTATGAAATCTGTATCGGCTAGGGTTTGTGTCATTGGTTCAATCACAGTCCCACTAACAATTTATGTATTTTATTAATCATTTTATAAGAACATATCAATGTCGCGAATTAATTAGATTTTATGCCACGTGAAATTCAAAAACTATATAAATTAATGGTTTTTTTTTATTATTATTAGTTTTGTACGAATAAGTGCATAGACAAGAAGAGATTATAGTCCGACTAACAATTTATTTATTTATTAAATCATTTTATAAGCACATATCAATGTCTCAGATTATTAGATTTTATGGCAAGTTAAACTTCAAAAATAAATTATGATTTTATTTAGTTTTGTATAAGTGCATAGACAACAACAGATCAACTTCTTCTCTTATAAAACCATTCGATTCCAATAATTTTCATGGGTTATTTCCAATCCCATTGCTTATGAACCTTGAATCTATTTACTATTTTTGTTCACTGATCCTTTAAAATGAATTTCTCAACTCGGCTTGATTCAGTTTTAATAATTATGGATTTGTCTGTTAAAAAAAATTAACAGAGGTATTAGATCGTTATTTTAAAAGTTTTACACAATTAACTTTTTCTTTTCTTTTTTACCCGTGAAAACGTTTGATAAAAAAATATTGTATCAACCACAAGCATATCATATAGAAATTAATATTTGTCATAAAAAACACATGCAATTTTTTTTTTTTTTGGATGATGTAAATTTAGTAATTAATAACTTTTCAATTAATCAATATGCAATTCATTTACTTTTTTATCATTAAATATTAACATTTGTAAATTTAAATTTACTGAATCGAACCCTAATTATGATTAATAAAAAAATTATAACAATTTTTTTTAACGGACGGCTGATGTTAATATTTTTTTATTGAACCATAAAGATGCATATTAAAAAAATTTGTCAAACAAATAATTGTGATCTCGCGATCGAGCCAGTCAAGAAAAGTTGTCAAGTAGGCAAAAGCTTGTGTTGTCAATTAAAATTTTATCAGGCAAGCTTCTCAAGGAACTCTCCAAATATACGGAAAGATCAAGTCATCATGATTTCTTGGTTATGGAAGTGAGGAGAAAATGATGAACTAAAGTACTTCTCATAGATCTCAAGAACTTATAACGGATGAACTTGTTTTGAGACAAATGAAGTAGCAGAAACAATCATCAAAGCACGAGTTGTGCAACAAATTCTTCAAGATTTTTTGAAGAAGATCCACCTTTAGACAAACTATTTTGAGCCAACCTCTTAAGCTTCAATGCGTTTGCTCTTATACCGTCGTGGTTGAGCAATTCATCCACTTTCCTTTTGATTTCATACCTTGTAACGATTCCATCTTCATCTGCCTTCATCTCCAAACCAACCTTCCATCCATCACACACGCAAGTCCTGACATAGAATTGATCTCCACCGTGAGGCCAGCAAAGCAAGGGAACCCCCATACCTATGCCCTCTACGGCTGAGTTCCAACCACAGTGAGTTAAGAAACAGGCAACAGAAGGGTGAGCCAACACTTTTTCTTGAGGTGCCCACCGAACCATCTTTCCAAGGTGATTATCATCATCTACAGATCTGTTTCGGAAACTATCATCAGTAGCAACCTTAACCTCATCACTGATGTCTGGTCGAACCACCCAAAGAAATGGTCTGCCCATAAGTCGAAGGCCAAGTGCTAACTCATCAAACTGATGAGTATTAAATTTCCCTGTGCTGCCAAAAGAGACATAAACAACCGATCCTGGTGGTTGTCTATCGAGCCAGCTTAAGCAAGTAAAGTCTTCTGACAAAAAATTTCCACCAGGTTGATCATTTGCAAGTAATGGACCAATCGAAAATGTGTTTGGGAATAAATCATCAGCTGAAGGGTCAAGATCACGAAACCAGTTGCACAAAACCCATTTGGATGTTCTCATATAGGGTTCACCAGAACGCACGAATGCAAACCCAGCCTTTTGCAACTCTTTGTTTGTTGAGAAATTCCAAACATAATCATCACTGCTCAGAGCTGGCAGGTACGGTGACAACAGAACCTTTTCCTTCCTTTTTGGAGTCCCTAGACGTGTTAAACCAATGAAATCTCTTAGTACATCTATGCTATTGCATATTCATGTTGGAATTTGAGCAAGTTGAGCTATATTATATAACTAGTTGATCAATATGGATATCCAGAAACAAAAGTTACAGTTTTTATAGTAATTGGTCAGCAGCATCAGAAGACTGATCGTTTTCGTTTTTATCTAATCAAACAAAAGCAAACCAAGCAGCAGGAGTCAATCCCAGCTCTAAAGAAAGCATATTTAGGAACCACTTGCTTACCTTCAGTATCAACGATGCCAGCCTCAACAAGATGTGATATTTGCAATAGCATGGGTACAATTCCTGGCGCTGATGAAAGAAAGAGAGCTCCCTTTAGTCCCATCTTATTAGCAATATCCAGTGCCCATGCCACGACCAAATCAGCTATGACACTAGTAATCTTTTCATCACTCTGAGACTCAGGTTGATTCGCCTTCTTAATGAATTCCTCCACATGCAGCGGCATGACCTTTACAATTCCCTCCATAGCCTCAAAAGAATCTCCTCTCTCTTCCAATCCTAGACTTTTCAGTCCATCAGGAAAAGAAACGATCTTCACCCTCTCCTGATGTGGTCCGCCCTGCATCTTTGGCAATGCATCCTTATTTCGTGATTGATCACTAACAAGCTGATGAAATTTTGTTTCTGCTGTAAGAAAAGTAACTTTGACTCCGAGATCAGCAAGGCGGTATGCCAACTTCATCGTCGGGGCAACATGCCCTTGTGCAGGTAATGTAAGAATGAGTGCGTGAGCATTCATGGCTCTGTCAGAAATTTTTGAAGTACTAGACTCCATAAGAGTAATGTATCTCGTATTCTTACGTACATACACGTAAAAGTAATCCTCTTACTGCTATGAATATATATATATATATATATATATATAACATCCACTCCTTTTGATCCCGCGTCCGGCAACTTCTCCAACCACAAAGAAAACTATTATCCATCTCTTTCTATTTAATTATATCGATGTACTTTTTGTTCTTCAATGGATCTGGCCAAGGGATTATAGTCCAAACCATCTTTGGATGTTACCATGCTCAAGGATTTCTCCTACATCTTCAGCCTTTCAATCGTTATCATTACAATAAAAAATGGGTTAATAGATGTAGGGATCCTTCAACTCTTGTTTTTGTCTTAATCATATCCCTCTATTGTTTTTTATTTTAATTTTATCCTTTATCGTACAATGTTAAATCACGCTGTTAGTCATACAAGACATTGACATGTGTCCTTTTTATTTTAATTTAAGTAAATGATTTTTGTAAAATTGAAAAAAAAATATCTCCCTTAACCGAAATCAATCAACCAAAACAACAAGCAATCCAAACTCAAACTCTCAATGAAGCAATATTTCGAAATCCACACAATCAATATCTTAATGCATGCACAAACAATTTTGAAATCAAGCAAAAATCAATATATATTCAACAAAATCACAAAAACCAAAGCAAACCAACAATCATACAAACCGAAAACCTCTTTCAACTAGGGTTAAGAAGAAACTCTACTTAAACTTGTCTAGTAATTCTAAAATTTTAACTAGAACCTAGTGAAGTCTAGAAGAACTAGTAGTCAAAACTTCAAAACAAACAGAAAGCCCTAACCTCTTATTTTCAACCTTGCCACAACTTTCCCTCCTGCTAACTCAAAGAGTGAAATTCTATTTAGAAAAAATAGAACCAAGGTAAAGCTCTCAATATTCAAATCATGTTTTAATTAAAGGATAAAGTAAACTTTTGAACACAGATGATCAAGTAGCTACTTTTTGTGATCAATACCAAAGATAAGAATTCATTCTATATGACACGAGAGAACGTAATAATGAAGAAAAATCTTAAAATTGTTTTTATCTTGTACATTCGATAGAATATCAATGCAAAATAATAAAGAATTAATCTAAGTCTTTAGACTTGAGATATACTGAAGGATTAAAAAACACAAAAAAAAATCTCAAAACTCTCTCATGTAACAAATAATATAAACCCGTATGCAGTTAGGATAAAATTCGACTAGGCCTTAAAACAAATTTGGACTACTAAACTGAAGCCCAATTAAAATAACAATGCATGATCCAACAATGATGAATTTAAATATCCAAAATATGATATAAATTAGGATAAACAAGTAGGAATAGTTCGGCCCAAAACTTGCTCTTTGTGGCAACAACTTTCGTCCTTCCTGCATCAGCACTCTCTCTCTCTCTTATGGCATTCGGCCCCTTCATGTTCCCTTGGTCTTTGTCCTTCCGCTTTATGATCATTGTAGACGATCCTGCGTCAACGACTGCGGTTGCTATGATCAAAATTTCTCCAATGTTTCTCTTGACTTTGGTGTATCAGAGAGAATATGTACGCAGAAAGATGATTTTTATAATTATAGTCCAGGAATATTTGTTTTTTCACTCAAGCTCCGTATGGAGATGACAATGAACGGATATCTCATATTTATCATATTAATCCAATTTTTATCATATTTATTATCTGTCAAAAAATTATCATATAAATTTTTATTTAATTTATACCCAATTCACATTAATTTATTCATTTATTAAGTATCCATTTAATACCTGTTAAAATAAGTTGTTAATAATATTCATTTTAATCTCTATAATTTTTAAGGAAAGTTTTTTTGGTCCTTAAAATTTATTTATTTATAAGTTTTTTATCCTCAAAGTTTTTGAAAAAAATATTTTGATTCTTAATTTTTAAATTTTATATAATTAGATCCCTATATGTTAATTAAAAATTATAATAAATTATTGAGTATTAATAAGAGAAAAAGTAGATACGGATACCTTGAAATCATATTAATAGGTATATTTTTTTTACATTTACTCACTTCAATGTCCATTAAATATTTTTAATAGATATTTATTGGATCAAATAAATAGGTATCTATTTTATACCTGATCCATTACTATATTTTATAGTTTAGCTTTAAATTTGTGAATGCATTGAGCAAATATACAAGGTCAAACAATAAAACACAGCGTTGGTGTTATGTATATATAGAATGGTCTCACAATATTTTACTTAAACCGACTAATAATAATTGATGGATTGGTTTGTGAATTTTCTAAAAAATAATGGATTAATTGTGTAACATAATTTCTAATGTTGATCTTGTCAAAATTTTAGTGCTTGTGAATGATAAGAAAAAATACAGTACTAGCTAGCTAGCTAGAAGATTATATTGCAATTTGCTTAATTTAATTTATCCAATAAGATGATATTGTCTTGGGTCTCTTACACTAATCTTCCAATGACCATTCGGCAAGCTTGCATTCTTAGCTTTCCCTCTCCATTTCTTTATCCTTGCATTCATATGCTTTGTGAGTCCACAATATTTTTGCAGTCTCTTTGGCATGGCATCATAAACCTGCCACCATCTCTTGTGAGCCGAGTCACTAGCAAAAATATGGCGATCCACCATGTCCCAATTACAATCATAATCTTTGTAGCATGTCCATGGCTTTAATCCCAAGAAATGGATAGTGTAAGGACCCTTCTCCATTTCATGATTTGGGTTTCCTGGTCTTTTGAAAATCTTAAGATAATTCAGCCTTGTGGGCAACCGATGCCACCATGTAAAGACTTCATTGAGAAAACCTTGATCACCTCCATTGTATGAAAACAGCTTATTTCTCTTTGACATCATGTCTTCAAACAAGCACATCGACGGCTCAATCACCATAATCCCTGAGTTGAACAGCACCTTGTCATTTGGAGCTGCTGATAATTGTGGATAAGCAAAGAACTTGTCAATATTTTTTAGGACTATGAGGTCAGCGTCTATGAAAATAACTTTGTCATAATCTGTGAGCTGCCAAAGTCGAAGTTTGCTGTAGTTCCATTCGTTGTACGAGTCTTTTCGAGCAAAAGGGCTTCGGATAGGTTGTATAAGCTTTGTCTTCCATCCGGCAGCTGTAAGACCTTGCAGAGATTTTGGACTTAGTGACGAATCATGGAGGAGGACTAGATCACTAGTAGTGTTGGTTTGTGTTATACTTTGAGCCAAAGCAATTGCTCCACAGACATAAGCTTCTGAGGAATGGATTACTGTTGCATATGCAACCCTTTGATGATAAAAGATGTTGCCATTGAGCTTTCTTGTTCTTGAATATTCTCCCATGGAGTATCTCTGTATTTCTTTGCTTCCTGCACATAAATATAAACACAAATTCAAGCATGTTAATTGCGATGTTAACGCTATTTCGTGTCGTAAGTGTTTAACTAATTGGGTCAATCGATTCTTGCTCAAACATCACATGCCAAAGGGTGAACCTTCTAAATTTTAGCTAAAACAAGCACATTTTTCTAGATTTAGCCCAACTGCTCTTTACCCTAGCTACAATCAGTAGTTAAAGTAGTTAAAAGAGTTAGTATTGTCAGTAGTTAGTAGTTATGACCATATGAAACTTTTATTACCACTCTGAATTAAATTGATCAGTCTACACTATAAAGAGAAGAAACTACTCTAATAGATTTTTTTAAATTTCAAATATTTTAATAAAATATTTGAATTCGTAACTTTTTATAAGTATAAAAAAAAATTCATGACTATCATCATATGAAGTCTACGAGTCCTTAATTAAATTAAGTTTTGAGTTCTAATAAAAATAGTTTTGAGTTCATAATTATATATAAATCTAAGATCCATTTGACTTTTTATAGAGGTAAAAAATTCATTTTAGTCCTTGGATTTCAAATTTAATTGTTAAAATTAAAATACTCACACTAATTTTTTATTTTGAAAAAAACTCAAAAATTTATTTACCATAACCAAAATCCCAACATTATATGTAAATGACATTCGAATCACAATTTTCCTCATAATATGCATTAATTCAAGACATATTTTCTTTCATTCTTAACCCAAAATAATAATAATAATATTAAACATAGAATTTTTAAATTAAAAGTTCAATTTATAACTTTGTTTCTAGCTAAATTAACTAATACACTAGAGGCACAATTGTAAGTGTCTTCATGGCTAAGATACTGGTATATAATAAATAAAATAATAATAAGAAAATGACAGATTAAAAAATATTAATTATTTTCCAATTTCTTAAAATGAAGGCCATGAAAGGGTAAGAGATTTTGGCTCTTTGACAACACAGCATCCAATTTTTTAATGCCACATGGCTACTATAAGACTATTGCCTACCTGTGGTCCTTAATTTAGAGGTTACGTACCAAATTAATCACTATATTTTAAATAATATAAAGAAATATTAATTAAGAAACAAACATGGCAATAAAAACACGGATTAACTTTCTTGCCATATTTTAACAAAATTGGACGCGTAAATGACATAAAACACAGATATTTTTTTGGTTGTATATAATTATTTTGGGTTTAGTCATTTATTAACAAAAAAAAAAAAACTCAAATAAAATATATACTTCGCAAGTATTAAAAATAGATAAATTATTCTGTTGACAAAAACCCACGAACCCAATTTCTCTTCTTTGTTTACCCTTCTGCAAATTGATAGAAATATTCTCTGAATGTGGTTAATCTGAATTCAATTATTTCTCTAGTTTTTCATAAATAATTTATAATTGGAAAATGATATTTTCATGATGAAGTAAAATCATAATTCGGTGCTCAATCAAATTAAATAATAATAAAAATATGATTTGGTGAGTGAGGATATCAGCGATATTTTAATTTAATTTAATTTTTTACTATAAAAATAATAATAAAAATAAGATTCAACTAAAACACACCTGTCTCTCTATCAAGAGGAGCAATCTGGCATGATCCAACAGGCATTTGCACCTTCTGTCTGAGCCTTCTCAACTCAGGCTTGTACACCAGATAATCTCCTAGACGAGTAATCAAATCATCACACCTAAAAATTTCTTGCATAGGCCCACAAGACCCCATGAAAACAACATACACCGTCCGATCATCACCACCCTTGGCCAATCCATTGGCCACCACAAGGTTAGCCACCACCAAGTTCACTTGCAACCTAAACACATCCCTAATCCCTTGCTTCTCTGATCCACTGCCACAAGGAACCCTAGCCATAATGACATCTAGGCCACGGTAATCCTCCAGCCTAGGCATTGGGACCTCCGGGCACGACGGTTGGTGCCACCTGGCATCTTCATCAATCCACTCAGGGAAAAAGCTCTCCCATTTTAGCTCCTTGGATACAGGCCTGAAATCTACAGTAACAGTCTCTACTTGTCCATGCAGATGATCATATGCATGCTTGACATTATCATCAACATTAACTAAACCAACCTTGATTGCTTCGCTATCGGTTTTCCTCGCGATAACATCATCGACCCATGATTTTTTGGTATTGATTGATAAGGGTTTTTTGTGGTGATGGACTACTTGTTGAGAGTGATCATCAAACCCATGATCATGTTTTGGCTTGAAAGAGAAGACTAAGAACATGAGGGATAAAGAGAGGAATAAGAGAAAAGCAATGAAGAGTTTTTGACATGAATTTTGGGGCTTAGAGGAGGCCATTTGGATTGACCTATACACTTAAAATGTTTGTGTTTATATAGTCAAGGCTTCGAAGGGTATCCCTAAATTAATCAAAACGAGTTTCGTGAGAGAGAGTGCATGGCTGCACGTTTGTGTTGTACATATAGTAATTGTTTTTTTTTATCCAGGTATTTTTATTTTATATTAAAAATAAAACTAATCATGTTCGAAATAAAAAATAAAATTTAATTCATTTTAACAAGAGAATTCAGAATTTAAATCTTACACGTTTTAGCTGAAATTTTTTTCATAATAATTATGGTGACTTGAGGCTTGAGATATACAGGTATACAGATTGGATGTATATCACAAATTTTGAATAGTTTAGTTGTTTGATGTTGCTTTCTATTCAAGATTTTGATGTGGAAGGACTAAGAATCTGTCTCAACTTTGCTAAATTGGTACTTTTCTTTTATTGCAATAAATTGAATTGGAATGTAGCGTGTTTGGTTGGTTGGTCACACCCTTGACCAGTTATATATATATATATATATATATAAAGAAATTATAGCATCATAAATTACTAATTAAAAGTTTATGCTTTGTTGTTGCTTCCGGAATAGTAAGAAATATGTTGGGATAGAACAATTCTGATGTGGGAAATATTAATCACAGCAAAAACAAGATAGAAAATATGAGTCTTGGTTCTATTAATTCTAAAATTCACAGTTTCAAGTAGTAGGATAATGACCCAATAATTTTTTTTATTTAAGTATCCTCATCTCATATTAAAGATAAAATTAATAGTATTCGAAATGAGAATTACAATGTTTAATCTCTTTCAGCAAATGTAATTCTAAGATTCAAACTTTACACATCAATAAGAAATTCATTTGATAATCAACTCACATGTTACAAAGCCGACAGCAAAAAAATAAAAATAAAAATTGGTTTCAATTCTTTTATTACTATTATTATTATTGCATTGCAGTTGCTATTAATTAAGGTTATGGAATAGCACTAAGGTCTTAACTCTTAAGCCTAAGGCAGCAGTCCTAACGATGTAAGATTGGGAAAGCTGTCATTCTGATCATCTTGTCCCCTTTTCATACACTATTTCTGGAAATGGCTACTGAATATCTAAAAAGTTAAGTACGGGGACAATGAATTCCGTTCATCAAAAAAAAAAAAAAAACCTGCAGAGAGTAAATTATAAATTAGTCCCTTTATTTTCAAGCAACAAATTAATTAGTTTGTTATAGAGATAAATTTAATATTACGTTAAAAAATCTTTTATTTTCTCATTAATCTTGCCATGATAACTATTTTTTTTTCTTTTCCTACCTTTTAAAACAAATTAAAAAGAACATAAAATGAAAAAATGACTATATTTTAGTTTTTGAAACAAAAGGAGACTAATTAATTGATTTATTAAAACTAGAAAGATTAATTTATAACGTACTTATCTGCCAAACATTTAATTTGATCAGGAATGTCTTGAATATTTCATTTATATTCTAACTTTCAACAAAAGACCAAGAAAAACAAAAGAGTTAATACCCTTATATATGTCTTTGTATAATAGGTCAAATTTTCAGCATGTCCTAAAAAAAAAATGCTTTCAATCTATTTTTATGTTTTGAATTAGTTTTGAATATATTTTTTAGTTAAAATTTTCGATCAATTCATCAGAAATTAAATATATGATTTACATGATATATATAATTGGATAAAATTATCTTTATTATTTGATAAAAATAATTTATATATGCTAATATTAAAATTAATTTTTAATAAATTGATCAGAAAATATATTAAAACCCGACTCAAAATATAATGACGTATTAAAAATGTGATTTTTCAGAGATAGAATGGGAAGTTAGCTTATTATATAAATACGGATGAGGAGGGTATTAATCCAAAACAAAAAGGACTAAATTAATCCCAATTCATGTCTGCAGTATGGAATCATAGAAATTCCAGTAATAGAAACCTTAGTCAAAGAGAAAGTAAATAACCAGGGCCTGTTACCCAACTAAGAAAAGACTGTATTCATGCATCGTTTGATTTAATGGCAATTTATTTATTCGTTTTTTTTTTCAATTATTATTCCTTTTGTTGAGTATAAAAAATTGAGTACAGGTGTATGTCATGGGCCCACAAATGGGCCACCAGTTGGCGTCTACATTGACCCGTTAATTAAGGTATTATATTCCTTTTTTCCTTGGTTTAAATTAATTAATTAATTAACTGTGGTTGCATAAAATTATTATATTGTTATTCAAGAACAAATCAAAGCAACGAATTTTGTGATGTAACTTAAATTATTTATTTATTTATTTTTGAGAATGATGTTACTATATATCTTTAAATATAAAAGTCATCATTGAGTTAACAAAATTGTTTGACATTGTAATAGGAAAACAAAATGGTATAGCCGTGTAGTTCTCAAATTGATCCTTTCTTTTTCACCTAATTTTCCAATCAAGAAAGGGTGATCAATGAATTTCTTCCCGAAAAAGAACAAATACCATTGTTATAAATTAATTGAGGATTACATCTCGTGACTCACTTATTAAATTATAAGAATTTCAAAAGGAATAAAGTTTCCTTAAAGACTACAAACGCCAAACCAAAGTGAATATATAGCATCCCGTTTTGTTTTTGCTCTTGTTCTTCTTTTTTTTTTTTTTTATATACCCAATAAATATTGTTTTTTATGCTTACATGTATATAGAAAGAGATTTTTCATTACAATACCTATACTGATATCCAAATCTATGATAAATATACATATTTCTTTTTATGTAATATTCAAAGTATTTCGTATGTGCCTAAATTTTCGATTACATCCCATTTATCTTTTAAATTTTTTTGAATGCTCAATATATCCTTCCAATTAATTTTTCAAGCCAAATGAAATTTTTTTGATCGAAATGTCTTTTATTAAAATGCAAAAAAATAAAAAATAAAAAATAAAAACACTTAAAATCACATGATCTACATGCATGTTTCATTTTTTAAGTTTCTAAAATTGCATGTTCTATTTTTTAAGTTTTTAAAATTTTATTTTATTTGCATTTCAATTATGAGCAATTCGGTCAAAAAAATTCATTTAGTCTGAAAAATTAATCGAAAAGATATATTGAACATTCCAAACATTTTCAAAGACGAATATAATGTAATTAGAAATCTAAGAAAATATGAACATACTTTCATGAATATGATAATGGAATGAAAAAAAGAAAATTGATTATTATATAAGGACAAATGAGTATATTTATCTCGAAATTTAAATACTTTCATGAATATGATAATGGCATGTAAATATATCACTTAAAAAAAATATATATCCATAAAAAATCAAATTTACAAATTTAAAACCTTAAACCGAATAAATTTTATCTTTACCGTCTAAATCAACCCTTTAGGAACCAAATCTATCTTTGATGAGAATTTCCTCACCTTAATTATGACAGTTTGGAGACATCTCTGTATGATTTATTTAAAACATAGTAACCACATAGAGTGGTTTAGTGCAAGGAATTTTGAACTTTTAAAATGAAATTTAAGATTCAAATCTTATTTTTCATATATATTTTTTTATTGCCAGCGCAAAATTTATGTATATTTTTCTGATTTCAAAAGTGTAAGGGATTTATAACCTCTAGTTTTAAGATCAATTTATACTCATCGAAAATAATCGAAGAATGAATAATTTTTGAATAATCCAAAAAAAATTTAAAACATAGTGAAAAATGTCTCGATGATTGAGCAATTAAATACCATTTTCTTAAGTACGTGGTGAAGATAAAATAATTATATATATTGGGTAATGGCGGCTATACGTATCACATAAAATATATATATGAATGATATGCTTGGTGATGTATCTCTTTCAAAAAGTTAAAAAGACTTATAAATAAATAGAAAACAAATTTAATATATGAAAATAACCAATTAATTTTTTAATATTGACCAGTGAGAGAGATTGACAAGAGAGGGGAAGGCTGATATACATATATATGTATAATTTTGACAAAAACTCTTAATTACTCCTAAGAGAAAAAGTCATTACATTTTTTGCCTTAATAATCAAAAGAAAAGCTTATGTTTGAAAGCATATATATATATGATGCTTCATTAATCAGTCCCTTCCTTGTGTAAAGAAATCATTTAAGTGAAATCAGGCTTAGCCCAACCCAGAATAAATAAATAAATAAATGATTAAATTATGAATATAAATTAACAAAATACATTAGGATAAATTTTCAATAAGATTTATGTGGATAAAGTTTTTTTTTTCTTCAGGTATTCTCATTTCGAATTAGAAATATGATTAATTTTATTCGAAATAAAAACGATAATGTTCGACTCCTTTTAACAAATATAACTTCAGAATTCGAATAAAAAAAAATTGAATTTCATGTCACACTTTTTCCAGAACTTGTTTTAGACTTCAAGATCAAAATCTTTGGAATTCAATCTCTCATGTGCTGCTTGAGACATGCATGCATGTATAAGTGTATAATAATTAATCTAGCTAAATTTAATGCCTGTGGATAAACTTTAGGTATTTATATTTTTCTGCATATTTAGAGATTTATTTTTTGATTTTGAATTTGTCATGGCATGTGATTTGTTTTATTTTATCGAGTTTTTATATTTTAAATGTAGAATAAGAATTCTAATAACAGTTTGCGAGTCCAGAAAATCGAAAAAAAAATATAATCCAACTAAATTAAAACTTTTTTTTTAGTTATAAAGTCATGCACATAGAATAACATATAAAATTTAACGTTACTTATTTAATTTTTAAAATTTTAATTTCTTTTTAGTTTGTATTAGCCCACGGAAGCCATAATTGTCTAGTTTTTTTTTTTTTTTTTTTAATGATGATCTTTAGAAATCTTGGATTGATCAACTTCAAATATTGACGTTGAATGGATAACCATGAAGGTAATTAATTATCTATATTGGTGGCTACATAAATATTTAAAATATATGGATGATATTATATACTTGGTGAAGCATCTCTATCAAAAAGAAAGAAGCATTACATGGATGAATTGAAAACCAAATTAATATATGAAAATGACCCCATTAAATGATATTTTTAGTATTGAGAAGTGAGAAAGATTGTGACAAGTGAGGGGAAGGTTGACATATCCATGGATCTAATAATTTTAATAAGAACTTAATGACTCCTGAAAAGAAGAAAAAATGACTCATTGCTTTTGTGCCATTTACGCTTAGTATCTCAAAAAATATTTTTTCTTGTCTAGTCAAAACTTTAAGTGATGTAATGATTTCATATTATGTATGATTGAATTTAAAAAATAATAATTTTTTGAAGAAAAAAATATTTTAGAAAAAATATGAACAAAAGATGTTGATGCAACAACAATAATAACATTTTAATCTGTGTGAAAAATCAAAGTGTCTTTTTAGGATAGAGAAAGTAAAATTTACAAGAAAAGTTTGAATTTCATCTCGCACTTTTTCCTGAAATCGTTTCAGACTTCAAGATTAACATTTCTGAACTGCAAGAATATACTAAGGAGAAATCACTTAAATGAAGCATGGTTGCTGACATTTGCAATCTTATGTGCTGCTTGAATCATGCTTGTAGAACTGTCAATGTAGTTTGGCTGTCAAAAAATAAGAGGAAAAAAAATTATTGTATAATACTAGAATGGAAAGTCATATATCTAAGCATATATTAACAATTCTGCAGCTCAAATTTATTTATATATACTTTCTAGTTAAATTTTTAACTTTGAAACATCTTTTTATTTTTTTTTTACACCTTAAGATATCTCGAGGTTCAAAAACTCATATTAATCTCTTATTATTCAGTCGAACATATATTATAAAAACAATTATTTAAAACGTTTTTTACGTGTATATATGTATATATATCAAAGTTACTTACTGAAACGACTAGGGTCGTTTCCATTGAAGCCAGTTTTTCGGATAAATGTTAAGCATCTTTTTTTCCCCTTAAGATATTTCAAGTTCAAAAACTCATATTAACCTCTTATTATTCAGTCGGACATACATTATGAAAATAACTATTTAAAACGTTATATATATATATATATATCCAAGTTACTTACTGAAACGACTAGGGTCGTTTCCATTGAAGCCAGTTTTTCGGATAAATGTTAAGCATCTTTGTTTCTACAAGTAGCCATACAGATTGAATATACAAAACTCAATCATGCCCATTTTAAAAAATAAAAATAAAAAAATCTTTATTTTAAGACTACTTCAAATCGTCATCATGCTTTCCCCACACTGCAGGCCTCAAAGGAATTTTCTAAGTTTGTGATTATTTTTATATGCATCAATCAATTAATGAGATGGGTGTTGACAGCTGATCGATCAACCTAAAAGACGCCTCCCCAATTCTCAATTGGGTCCAGAATTAGAAATCATCAATTTAGTCCTTCAATCTAAAATCTTCATAAATTTTGTATTGTCAAACGTGAGCTCTTCTCATGTAGCCATCATTTTATTTCATGAAGTAAGGTACTTCAGATGGAAATCAAACATCAGTAGACATGGATGAAGGACTTAATTGAAAACTTTTCATACATTGGTTTTTTTTTTTTTGATAAGTACATCTATCTGTTTTTATATGATATTTAGAATTCTACGTATGTTTTTAGTTTTTTAATTGTATGACATTTGTTTTTGAAAATATTTAAAATATTCAATATGTATTTTCAATCAATTTTTTAATCAAATAAAATTATTTTAACCAAAATGCTCTTGATTGAAATACAATAATAATAATAATAAATAAAATAAAATAGAATATATAGGTTATGTGACTTTAATATATATATATTGGTAAAAAAAAAAATCATGGCCATAAAATTTGATCAAAAGGACAAATTAAAAATTTTAAAATTTTTTAAAAATACATAAGATATAATTAAAAATTTAAAAACAGACAAAAAACTTTAATTATTATACAATAACATATAAATATATTTATCCTAATTTTTTAAAATGTAAGGAAAGCACGTCACGAGATCCTATTACAACTTGTATTGGATTATACGTTGTCCACGTTTGTTGAGCTGTCAATTTCTCGTATGGAAACAACAATAGTGGGGTTAAACGAATTTGGCCACCATTTTTTATTATAAAGTAATTCTCTTTCATCATCATTTTTTTTAAGTCAAGATTTGATTAATTACTATCCCAAGTTGGTACTTCAAATACTATGGGTGACTAAGAAATTGGAAGAGGAGGGTGAAGCAAATTTAATATGCATTCATGTTTTGATGTGTTCATGGATTAGGACAAAACAGGGGTTGGATTTACTATATTCTATCCTCAAATCAAACTTTATGGCATAGCTTAGAAAATTCCTCGTACCAGATTTGAAGATTGAAGTTTCTGGTTCATACATCCGACAGTCTAGTTATTGTCCTTGCTTTGTCCGCGTGTGCTGTTAGCGTCTTCCATTTATTAAGTTCTAACCACCATTTATGAAGTTCTAACCACTCCAGGTAGCCTGACTTTTAACTCCATATGTCTAAATTAGTTGAGACAATTGTGATCATACTTTTAAATCTTGAATGATTGAAAAACGATACATTCCATGTCACTGGATCATTATTTATTATAATATTATAATAACGATAATAAAATTCTTTAAAAACGTTATATAAAGACTATTATATAACGTAATAATTGTTATTTAAAACTATAGTTGTGGTATTTCAAAAAAAGTCAACAAATATCCTAATTTTTTTATATATATATTTATAAAAAGTGGAGTTTATGTTAATCCTTTTGAATTTGATCAGCTGAAGGTATGCAAGTCATGGCCTTTTAGTGGTATTTTTGAAAAAAATTAGTAGTGTACTAGTCCATGATTTCTTTTTTTAATGGCTGGGCAGAAAAAATTAACCGAAATGATAGGTTGAAAAGTCTTTAAAACTACAAAAACACAATTAGCTCATTTAAAGAAAGATTAGACTATATAAAAACAGATTGGACTGTTTCTCTAAAAATAAAATAATAACTCCAACATGTTTCTTCTTCTTCAACAAGCGGCAAGGCAGAACCAACTTTACAAAAAGTTATCTACTGTATCCTGATGCTCCTACTATACCTGGAATCTACAGCGCATGTGCCTTGGTGCATAATAGTGGAGGATTCCTTGGTGCTGCTAGTCTTTGAGAAACTTTCATAGTGCTTGAATTATTGTCCCACTTGGCCCACTAGGAATAGAGTCTTCAATTTCTAAGGTCACATAAGTATGTTCCCTGTAAACTTTACCTGAAAGAAAAGAATAAACTTGGCAAAAGATACACTTCATGTTTATGTATCTCTATTTTGGCTATGATAATTGCCTATAGAGGAAGGCTGAACCAAGTTCAGTTCAGAATAATTTTCAGATTGAGAAGCCAGCTTAAATATGGTTCAATCCTAATCCTTAAAGCATGATTTTCAATCACTTGCAAGAATCAGACAGTACCATTAGTTCCATGGTTTTGTCTTAACTATTTTACTAATGCAAATATATATATATATTTGCAGCTCTGATTCAACATGGAAAATTTGGTGCTCAATGGCATGGTTGCTGAATCAGAAACTTATATGGCTTTGGGTTTATTAGATGGAGGGGTTTCAGGAACTCCGCGGGTACTGCTGCTTATCGCGTCTGTTCTTGAAAAATCCGTTCAAAAGAACGAAAAGCTGTTAAATGCATCAAGAAGAAAAGATACTGTCACCCTCTTTCATGGTTCAAGATCCCCCAGCTTGAGCATTGGAGAGTATATGGAACGCATATTCAAGTACTCGAGATGCAGTTCTTCTTGCTTTGTTGTTGCCTACATATATATCAACAAATTCCTTCAACGAACGGATGCCTATCTTACTTCCCTAAACGCTCACCGTCTTTTGATTTCAAGCATCATGGTAGCTGCAAAATTTTTGGATGATGTGTAAGTACTTGTATGATTAAATCCATAATGCTTTTACTATTTTCTTTAGTTCAATTTCTCTAGGATTGAAGCAAGCAAATAGTGTAAGTGCTTGTTTTGCAGCATCTTTAGAAATGACCTGAATCATTGGTTAACTTATCATTTGGGGTCATGTCATTAGCCTGTCCAACACATGGTTGCTTGATAGAATTGTGTTCATGTTAAATCCCACGTTAGGTTAACAGCTATCTTGCCGACTTCTACTTGAAGTTCTGGCAATGGTGCGACCCGTGTGGCGTGCAAGATGTAGTTAGAAGGTTGAATGAAGTGGTCGACGATGTTCTTAACGCTAGCCTACAAGTTTCTTCTGGTTGCTAGCGAAAAGATCGCCTTTTGTGAACCTGAAGGAGAGAATGAATAGCAGGAAATAGGAATGCAGGAGTGGAGTTGGTAATTAGGATAGGGCATTCGACGCTGCTCATGTAAATTGGTTAACTACTGATTTTCAGTTGCAAAATCACTCTCATGAGATAACTAACACTCCACTTTCAGGTAAACTAATTTTCAATTAGAGTTGGGAGTGTGATAGAAAGGGAAAGCTAGCACAAATTTAGGAGCTGCTCTTAGAAATCAGTTGCAGTGGTATAGGTTCTGGAAATCGTTCACGCAATATTTACACATTTAATTGCAGGCTTACTAAAACAACATTGATCACCACTACACTCAATCTTGCAGGTGTTATGACAACGCCTATTACGCCAGAATTGGAGGGGTAACCACCGCAGAAATGAATAGATTGGAGATGGAATTCTTGTTGAATTTGGATTTCAGGCTCCATGTTACAGCCGAAGTGTTCATGAACTGCTGTTTGAAACTTGAAAATGAATGTGCCAAGTACCAGAATGGCCAGCCTGCAGCCTCGAAGAAGGCCAGCAAACAGAGACGAGAGGGGTAACTTGCGTGCAGAATTGCAGGTTACAGCAACAAAACCATGGTGACGGCACTCTTTCTTCTTGCATGCAAGAACAATTTGGCTTTTGGCATAGATTATGTACGTAACTACACAAGAAATGTAAGTGTCCTACAAATAGCAAAAATCTCACCACCATTTGGCACATCGTGTCAAAGCAAGAAAATACAATGAAAGTGGTCATAACAAAAAATCTGCAGCAAAATTTTTATTATTGCACAAGCCCTGCACAATAACTGATTCCATGGTACATCTGTTGCATTTTTTTTTTAACTTAAGACTCTTCCCCGAGACCGATAATACCCTATTAGATGGCGACTGAGTTGGAAGGCAAATCAAGAGAGTAAATTGTTATACTGCAAATTCTCTACAGGCGAGTGATACAACCAACAACATCTAATGGACGAGGCCATGCACAAATTGCATCTCGTTATCTTCATTCTTCAACCAGAAGAGTTCTTTCTTGCAGCATAGACTCGGTAAGCTGCTAGCCCAACAATGGCAACCGCAGCTCCAACTGAAATGGTGAAACAAAATCATTAATATGGTACGTGATTAACAAGACAGGTGAGTGAAAAGATTTCATTTAACTGCAATAAATTGGTTTTTGCCCTACAATTACATAGACCAGCAGTAAGATGAAAGGTGACGCAATAATCTAAAACAAGTAACAAAAGACTACGAGTGTGGCAATCCTGAGTTCAATATAATTCCCAACAGCTATATTAAAATCCTCAAAAAATTTCAGTGTCGGTAAATAAAACAAACTGGAAATAATGGTCATCCTTTAGGCTTTTAGCATTGACACCTAACATAATTGTTGAAAACTTAACATAATTGTTGAACATCCCACAAAAAAGAAGAATGACTACACAACTCCAAGAATAGAATAAGCACAGTTTCTATTGCATCCAGGCCAGAGTAAGAACATACAGTTAAGAAGTTCTTGAAATGGAAAACATGGTCGCTACGAGAAAGTAACAGAAAAAGCACAATACCCAGAGAGATATTTATATATTGAGCAAACTACGTTTTTCCAGTGTAGTGATTCTAGGAGTTCCAAATATCAACATACCTGAAACAAACATGAGAGAGCGGTTGACTAGTCGATTGTATTGCTTGCGACTTCTCCCAGCTTCAGTTTCAGGAATGCTCAAATGTGGGTGCTCGGCTGCAGTTACAATCCTACGGAACACATTATTGGTGTCGCCCATCTTTGAACTGATGGGGATAGGAGCCTCTATTCCCATATCCTGACTAACCTGCAAAATCAAAAACTTGCACTTAAGGACACCGTTACAGTTTGAGAATCAATTGTCCATCCAATTACTTTTGGATCCCAAAACAAAATGCAGAAAAATCTTCAAAAGTCTGGTGCATGGAAAAAGAGAACAAAGAGGGGAGAATTACTGCCCAGCAGGCAAACAATCAACTTGCAATTTATACTCACTAACATCCAACTAATAATCTAATTGCGAAAACAAGGCCTGAATAATCATAGACCATATCAGCTGGTCATAAATTGTCAACCAAACTTGAGATATCTGCAAATTTTTGATAAAGCAAAAATGCAGACAGAAATTCCATGACTAAAAATTTGACAAGGTCCACTTTTGTGCTTAAATCAACCACCATGGAAATTGTCAAAGGACCATCTTAACCTATTAGGTGAGACCCTAAGATATGATTTATATTATTCTCTAACACACTCCCTTAAGTGAAAGCCCTTTGGGCTTGAAACTTGCACAGGCCCACACTATCTTATGTTTAATTAATTAAAAAAGAAATGAGGATGCTGAGATTCAAACTCGCGACCGTTTGGTCATCAAGACTTTGAAACCATGTCAGAAGACCATCTTAACCCAAAAGCTTAAACTGTAAAGAGAGGTCCCAAGACATGATTTATATTATTCTCTAAGAGAAATAAAATCAGCTAAGAAGTAGATACCCTGGTAGATTCCTGTATTGCCATTGGAAATGAGTTAAGATCATCTTTAGCTGCAACAATTAGGCACGGCACCTCATATCCAGTATCCTCACCATGGCTGGCAACTTCCACAAGCAATTCAGTTGCTCTCTTCCACGAGGACTGATCAGAGCTGCAATAGCATTTGATACCTTAAAAAAATTGAATTTATTCTTAATGACATTGCAAAGCAGGAACGTCTCATTACATTCTTGGCCTTGGGAAACCTTTGGTCAAGGTTCCTAGCTATGTAGGAAGGCATTTTCTTCAATGAGAGAGCCATGAAGGCATCAGCCTATGAATTTTTTAAAAAAAATTTATTCACATGTAATTAAATATAACCAATCAATAGCAAGCAAAGTAGGAAATTAAAAAATGTACCCTTAGAAGAGGTGACTGAACTGAATTAAGGAGACAATGCTCTGTTACCTGTCATAAACAAACACTGCTATGTCGCATGGCGCCAAAGACTCCTTATTCGACAATAGTTTCTTAACCCCATCCTCAGGAATCTCTCTCAACACAAGGGTTTTCTTAATCCCCTGAGAACAAAGGGAGTAGCAGATTCAATTGGAGCCAAAATCGAGCCTTAAGAGTGATTAAATAGTGTAAAGAATCCAAAGGAAGAACCAAAAACATCTTTTAACTATTGCAATTGCACTTACACCAGGTAGATCAACAACATGAACGGCGTAACTTTCCTCAGTGGTTGGAGCATAACTATCATAAAACGGTCTGAATCCAAAATTAACAAAGCTAACATTAATCAAGCAATAATATATATATATATATATATATATACACCTGGAAGAATACAAACATAAGTAAACATAATTTATGAGTTTCTAAGAGATGGGTTGAGATGAACCTTCCGATAAAAGAATTCACTAATGCAGACTTTCCAGATTTTTTGGGTCCAAAGACAAAGCAATGGAAAACATTTCTGTCTGACTGTTGCTTCTTGCGATCTAAGCGTCTTCTCCTTGTCAAACGGACAGCAGCAGTAGGATCGCCAGAGTATCCAATGTATATCAAATTCTCCACCGCTCTAGATGGATCCAGAAGAGTCATAAGGGCCCACTGGAATATAATTTGTCAGTAAGCACACACACATGTTGTGAAATTAGCATTCCAAACATTCAAAATGGTACTATTTTTGTAAAAGAAATTCGAAAGCTAGATTGATTAGCAAATTCCATCTGATATGTTTGTCGCATGTCTTCCACACTCTTGAACAGTTAAGATCTTATAGCGTATCAACCAGGCATGATACACACACAAAATGAATTGTACAGAAGGAAAAGAGGAAAGCCAACCTCACTCACACCCACACACAGAGAGGGAGAGGGAGTGGGTGTGTGTGTGTGTGTGTGTGTGTGTGTGTGTGTGAGAGAGAGAGAGATACCTCTGACAAAAAAGCATTAACTGATAGCCCGCCCAATGCAGTTTTCTCAGCAGCATCTTTATACGGAGGTTCCTCCCACGGGCTGAAGTTGAAAAGCCAAGTATCAATGTAACATAAATAATTTCAAATTGACAGCAAAAAGTTTAAAACTTATTTGAGAAAGGAAGTAGACACTAGGGTTGGTGCTTGGGTTGATTAGTTATAGATATAATATGCTGATCTGTTCTTTCAAGCCAGATGAAGGGGGAAAAAATGAAAGTAGATTTAGATACATGTTGCAAATTCAAGGAAGCAACATGATGACAATTTTATAAAAAACAAATACAGTACCTTTCTGGTGCGGTAGAGAAAATGTCCTCTAGTTCTGGAGGTCTCAAATTGTTATCCTGGCAATACATTTTCATAGAGTGAGATTTAGAGAATTCAGAATTACTTAGCAAGTTGGAAGACTACAGCTAGTCATAGTGAAGGATATAATTGCTTAAAACAGAACAGAAGCTTAGTTAACTACACTTTTAAGACCTTACTAATGATAAAAGCACAGACTGACACATACATCATCACTGTCAAACAACTCATAGATATTCCTCAAGTACTCGACAGCTTCACTTGTGAGTTCTGCACTCTGCGAAAATGAAAATAAAAAAAAATAAGCGGTTCAATACAAACAATGAATATTGGAAACAGACCACAAAATGACCATCAAATAAGTTCCTTTTCATAAAACTCCTTGTCAGAAGCTTAGATATACCTTTCTCCACCCCTGGTGAGTTCAAAAAATCAAGCATTTTACATTAGCTAATGTCTCGGGCACAGAGATGATCAATGTCCTAGAAAAAAAACTACAGCATGCATCATAGGCTCATGGATCTACTGAAAATGCATGGAATGCTACTGTATGCATTATCTCGATGCATCAAATGCAGAATTAATCATTTGTCCAAAAAACCAAGCCATAAGAAGAGCGAAAGCGAAACTAAGAAACCTATTGGCTAGTTTATAAACTCATGGAACTCTTCAAACTTTTACTATCTAATAAGATTTACTATAATACATGAATGGTCAACTGGTATTACCTGATCAGGAGCTCGCTTGAATGAAGGAATTAGTTCATCAGCAAGTTTGATATCATTGTTGTACCCAAATTTCCTTAGGACAGTCCATGTTGTCTCAAGGCGCCCTTTTTCTATGAATAATGCATGGAGAAAGAGGAATCCTGTCAGTGTAAGGCCACGTTCATTGACTCCCCTATCATTGGCTCCTCCACCAGGCAACTTTTCTTCCACAACCCTCTTAACACCAACTATCTCAGAAGGTTGTAGTGGAGCATTGAAACACTTGACCTGATAAAAACTATTAGATCCTTCACAAACCCTAAGCACAAGATATTGTAACCTATATAATATCTGAGCGCTGAAAAATGTATCTATGTCCAACTCATCCCACTGCTAGAAGAACATGCCAATTAGCCATAAGGCTAATGACAAGATAACAAAATTCTTAAGCCTCTGAAGACTCTTTTCAGTTTTTACGGGTCAAGTTTGGGCTGCCAGAAATAAATGCCCAAGCAATGGACTAATAAATAGATAAAAAAAAATTTGAAAATACACCCCCCCCCCCAAAAAAAAAAAAAAAAAAAAACCAAAAAAGAAAATAATAATAATAATAATAGAAGAAGAAGAAGAAGGATATCAGAACATGAACACATACCTGAAAGTCATTTAACTCTGCATCACTAAGGGCACCATCTCTATCAAGATCGCAAAGAATGAATATACGCTTCAAGGCTCTAACACACCTGGGCTTCAAAGTTTGTGATTCCTGATCAAATAATGGACCAGTAGGATGAAGCACTGCTTTTTGCGCATAGTAGAAAACCTCAGGAATCTGCAGAAAAAAGAAACCACACTCAGAAATTGGAGTGTTAATTCCAAAACGCCAAGTTCACCAACCAAAGACCTCAGCCAGAGTAATCCATCTAACCAATTCAAGGATTACTATAAATCAAACTCAGATCCTAGTCATCTTTGGTTTGAAAACAATGCATTAAGGGGAAAAAAATGTTATCGATATAAGGAAAACACTCAAAACAGTATATTAGGAACTTGCCATTGAGGAATCATTATGAAGCATGGCATACTATGGTTACAGGGGCCAAAAAATGCCTTCAAAGTGCAAACAGCACATGCTGTTAAAAAAAATGTTATACTGCAATGGCAAAATTAAATTACTGAAAAGACTCATACAACAGAATCGCAATGTAATGGCCAGATTAGATAACTCCAAAAGATGCATGCAATAGCATCTATTAAAGAAAATAAAAAAACACCGTACCTGAATGTGTTTGAATGCTGAGCACTCAATACAAGTTTCAATCTCCCGGAATTGCTGCATTATTGGTGACATTACTTGCTCCAAGCTCACCTGCTGGTTCTCATCTCTTAAATCCAACTTACAACCTACCACTATAACTGGTACCTTCACCTGCTCATCATTCACATGACCATCAGAAACAAATGTCTCTCCACCAACAAACTACAATGAAAGATATTCCAAGGAAAAAAGGCTACAAGGTTCCAGTTGCTACAAATGACTTTCCATTGTCAGCGAAAACTTGTTATAAAGGATTCTTCTCACAACAATAAATGACATAGTAGTTTTTGGCTGAAAAAAATCTATTAACTCTCATATGGTGAAGATAAAGCTCTTCACAGATTAAGGACAGATCTTTTACAGATATGTTGTTAACCAAATAACAGAAGTCACACACACTCACACACAGACACACAAAGGGATGAAAACAAAGAATAGAAACCTCTAATTGACGCAGCTCGGGAAGCCAAAAGGTACTCAATCGATCAAGAGTCTCCGGCCTATCACATGCATATGTAAGAACAACTGCATCAGCTCGCTTCAATTCTTCAGCGACTTTACCAGCATCCTCCACTCTGAAGCACACAGAACAATTGAACATTCATTATTTAACTCAGAATATTACTTCAAACCATAAATGAAAATGGCATCGCACCTCCCCTTCCCAAACAAGCAAAATGGAATGAAAGCAATCTAAAAATTTAGTAAGAATACAAAACTTGAAAGTGGAAGCTCATGTCCAACATTTGCTGACCCTTCCAAAAAAGATCTCCTTGGTTCATTCACACAGATGCATCCATCCCCAATGTGGTTCTTCCTAACTTGGCCAACAAAATGTACAAAAGCAAATGTCTGTTTCCTCTTCAGCACAGATAATTATCAACAACCACAGAAAAGCTTATGCAGGGACACAATTCACCCTTACAAAACTAGACGTTTTTTTTTCTTTTTTACACTTCAAAAGTTGGGTTTAGGTTTCTAGTCATACTGGCTTTCAACAACTGAGAAAACCCACTAATTATATTACCTCAACTTCACCCCAAAAAGAAAGCTCTAGTCCCAAACAGAGTCCACGGATAGATTTTAAAAGGACATTCACAACAAGCTTTAAAAATCCCCACTGATTCCCGACCGGCTATAACAGCTTTCAAAAACTTCTATTCTTTCCATACTCACAAAACCAAATATACTATAGCAACTCAAGCAATCAAGCTTCAAATAATTATCTGCGACAAACACCATTAAAACAGCACAAATACTTAGCTATTTTTAGCAAATTAAACTAATTAAAATATGTGTGTGTGTGTGTAGAGAGAGAGAGAGAGAATTACTTAGATGAGGTATCAATGATGGTGATTGGAACGCGGTCAGGGTAAAAATCATCCGGCATCCGCGTAGGAGGCAGAACGGGTGGAATATTCGACGGAAAAGCATCGGATATAGCAGTGACTATCAAACTAGACTTGCCGGTGCCTCTGTCTCCGGCCACCACGATTCTCACTCCACTTTTAACGCCCGGATTGGCCGCGCCCGCTGCTTTCGCCATCTAAACGACAAAAACACAACCACTACAATCAAAAATCAAACATCCAAAACCCTAACTAATTAAAATATCCATAAGAATGGCAAAAAGGAGTTGAAAACCTGGACTTGAAGGGGTAAATTAGGGATTTACGTCAAAAATTGAAAGCTCAAATCACAGGAGGTCTTTGAAAGGAAAACTGTTATACAGTGGCAAAAGTGAAATTTTATTTTATTTTGTTATTTTTTGAAGTTATGGAATTTCTAGACCGGTTTTTCGGTGGAGTGGCAAAAGTGTAAAAACAGCTGAGATTAGTGGGTGGTGAAGACTGAAGAAGGCAAGAAGGTAAATAGAGAAGAGAAGTGAAGATTACTAAATACCTTGTGGTTTTGTTTGATGAAGAAGTAAGAAAGAAAGGGGAGGGAAGGGCCACCAGAAACCCTAGATTTTACAGGTTTGTGGCGGTAGGAGCGGTGGCGGAGGCTTGGAGAAGAAGAATGGGAACAAGTAGAAGCGTAAACGAAGGTTCAGGAGAGAGTGAAAACGAAGGAATACTGCGGGTTTTGCTTTTGATTTGTTATTTTATTTTATCCCTTTTTTTTTTTTCCTCTGTAACTGTCGAAAGCACTGGAATCGAGGCAAATAATAGAAGTAAATACATAAACGTATATATTTCCTCAAATATTTTATGCTTTTTCTTTATTAAAAAACAATATATATATAATCTGCATTTGATTATTGTTAGTGTGATTTAATCACCTAATGGAACTACATAATTTGTTTAAAAAAATCTCTAAATTGTATTCTAAAAACATATAATAAAAATATATTATTTATATTGTAATATTACCTCTATCGATCCAAAACAAAATAATATATTTTTTATATTTATTTTTAAAAGAAGAAAGTCATATTACTTTCTATAAAAGTGAAGACTGAAGAGTTTGGTTTACAAAGAAAAAGTTTGCTACTTCTAATATTTGGTATTTTTTGCAAAAGATTAAATTATAAGATCAAAGATTTAAAAAAGAAAAAGAAAAAGAAAATGGCAAGCGGTTACTTTCAATAGAATTAAGATTAAATTATAAATTGATTTTCTAATTTTAAAAATTAATTAAATAGTTTTTATGTTTTTAAATGTATTTGTAACCAAAAATTTTTAATTTATTTTTATTTTTTTAAAATAGAAAAATATAAAAAGATTGACTGGAAAAAAAGAGATTTTTTAAATCACCATAATATTAAATTAACCATGATTAATAGCAGTTAAGTAACTAAATAATTAATTTTTAAAACAAGAAAAACCATTTAATTTATTTGGCAAACCTAGAGGGACTAATTTGTAACTCTCCCTCGGGGAAACGCTGCCAGCACAACCCTACGAGCTGAAAGATAGGGCAGAAGGGCCAAAGGCTTCGTGGAGAAATCAACACTACATATGGTACCTTGAATTTATTTATCTTTTTTGTCCAATTCTTGAATTTATTATTTTCTCATAAGAAAATCCTCATATAATTTAGTTTTTTTCTAATTTAATCAAGTTTAAAAAGGATAAGTCTATTCCATTACTCTGTCCCTTCAAAACTTTCAAATGAAAATAGTTGAGATAAAAGGACACGTGTTTTCTCGCGTTGCCATCATTTAATTTTTCTTTTTTCGGTAATCATTTTATTATTATTATTATTTTCTTCTCCTCTTTCTTTTGGTAAGTAATTGAAACATGGATTTTCATCTTTTTTTTAATGTATTTTATTTATTATCTTAAATATTTAGAGGTCTAGTACTCGAATCAGGGGACAGGGGGTTGAAATAAAAAAAAAATGCCTAAAATCGAGTAATTTATAAATTAGTTTCTATAGTCTTTCAAAATAAATTAAATAGTCTTTCTTGTTTAAAATACCAATTAATAAGTTCCTTAACCAGTGTTAACCATGATTAAGTTAATATTATTTTGTTCCAAAAAATATATTTTTCTCTCATAAAATTTCATATTTTTTATTTTTTTGTATTTTTTAAAACATATATATATATTGAAAAAAAAACAAAAAGAATTCAGTTAAAAATAGATTAAAAAATATAGAAACTAATCAATTAGTTTTCAAAGTTAAGAGAACTATTTAATTTATTAAAAAAAAAAAACTAGAGACACTAATGTATGATCTCTCCTCCTAGAGAGACTAATTTATAATCAATTAGGGTTTTTTTTTCCCTATAATGAGACTCGAATTCATACAAGCCATGTAGGGACAACAAGAGGATTGAAAATATCAACATGTCAAAGTGTCTCGCCTAAGTTGGCTTTGATGTGAAAATGAACCACTTGGGATGAGACAACATATGTAACAATACACTTCTAATGGGAAATAAGACACGGCTCCTCTATTGACAAGATGACTAATGACGATGGGTGATTTCAATTTCTAGCTCGTATGGGAAATAAAAGGAGAGGACAATGATGATAACGATGCTCTAAATTAAATCGAAGGTTTCCTTTAGTAGTTGATCATAAATTGGTGGTTTTATCACTATAGAATTGAGAAGTGTACAACAACCAACCTCTATGTTGCTTCAATGCACAATGCAACAGTAACAAAGTAAGTACTTCATTTTATTTATTTATTTACGGAGAAGTTTGTGGAATTTTAGTTTAAGTAGTATTTTTTTTAATTATACATGTTTTTAATTATACAATAACCAAATAAACTAAAATTACCAAAATTTGAATTTATCTTATTAGGGGAAGTTATTTAGTGTAGGTTGAGTTCTATATGTGAGTGGATAATTCTACATTGATTAGAAATTTAAAACAAAAATAAAAATTTGAGGTACTTATGTGTAAGATGAACTTATGTTTCGTTAGTCTAGATTTTTGAGTTAAAGTGATGACTATTCTTGTTTGCAAGCTCTCATATGTGGAAGCTCAATTAAATCTCAAAATGCGAATCTCTCTAATTATTGATAACATAGTCAATTATGATTAGGCATATCTTTCGATGATTAGATTCTTGTAACTTTGTTTGTTTCTCTATGTTTGAGCAAAAAAAAAGATAATTTTCAAAGTTTATTGCACTCGAATTAGTAAATACGAAAAGAGAGTATACAATGTAGAAGACAATTGGTAGAGCGAGTTGATGGTTTGACTTGGACAAGTAATGATTATGATTAAGCAAATCTCTCCGATAAGCAATAGCAAAACCGATGGTTTAGTAATTGTGATTAGACTTTTATGACTTTGTCTATTTCTTTATGATTGAGCAAAAGAGTTAAGCTTCAAACTTTGGATGTAGTACTCGGATTGTTAAACGTAGAGATGGAGTCTTTGATGTGAAAGAAAAATTCACATTTGAGGGAGAGATTTGTTGAACTTTACAAGTAAGTGGATTAATCTCACATTTGTTAGGATTTAAATTTGTATATAAAGCATACTCATATTTCATTAGTTTAGATTTTTAAATTAAAATAATATCTCCAACATTATACAATAATTATTAGGGTCTAACTACTTGTTTATGTAAATATATAATTTATTTTAGCTCTTTTCCTTGATCATGTTCCCTTAGCTTTCTCACCTAATGTGATATGACAAGTTGTAATTTTCATCACATTATTTGGTATCAGCGTACCATGGAGATAGTAATATGGTATTTACATGATTTGGGTCATTAATGAAATGTTTCCCTAGCTTTTTTTGTATCGTACCAATTATTGGAGCCATTCACTACAGAAAGAAGAAACAAAAACGGGAAGCAGGGGCCACAAAGAACCAGAATGACAACCACAATTATTTTCCAGCACTAGTGCCTAAAAACCCCAAAATCACCACAAACCGATGCCCATTTGCTTCACCAACTCTGCACCGAACCACTAGTGTCCCCTGTGGACCTGATCCCATCGCCATTTTTGCATTACATTTGAGAACGATGTGAATAGAAACAAAAGGAACAATCGACTTGAGGAGGACAGTCAAAATCCTGAAGCTTCACAAAGAACTATTTGGATGAGGAAAGTTCCAGCGTCTCTTTCTTTCTATGTTCGTGTAGTATTACTTCACTCACAAAGAGCATTACGATCAAGGAGGAGGATAGAAAGAGTCCTGTGAACTTCCTAGTTTCTTTCAGTACTCTTCATGCCTCGTATCTGGAAGGTAATTTTGCTTTGTAGAATGTTTTTCTGACTAATTAATACTCTGATGATTCCTGTCAACGTGTACTATAGGATTTGAGAGTCTAACTGTGAAGATGCCTCTAGCATTTGATCTCTAAAAGAGAGAATCTTTAGAATTAGGATTGAGGAAGAGAATTCCACAAAGACTAGCTTATGTTTGAGCTAAGCTGTCAGAACTGCAGCCTGTCATCTTCCAATAATTCCACAGGGGGCAACAACAGCACACAAGGACCCTTCTGATAGGTTCCTGTCAACTTTTGAGACTTTTTTCCTGGAGTGTTATTACAGCTGCAAAAGATAGACTAGCTTGAATTTGAACTGATATATTTTATGGTCAAAATCTTTGAATTAAAGGTCTCAATGGATACCAGAGTGCCAGCAAAGGTAGGTCCTTTTACATATCTAATGCAGTGGTCAATCATGCCTCCAGCAAAGGTAGTTTTGTTGTTCATATTTCATTTGAGATTGGAGGCTGTAACTTAGATATATAAGAACATAATATAGGAGGCTCATAAAAAAGAAAAACAAAGAAAAACAAAGTACTCTGTTCTTAATCTTGCTTGAAATTTTTTAGTTAGGTTTCTTCCATGTGGTGAAACCATTCCTCGAAAGCTCCATAATGTATTGGGTTAGGTGTATAGATCCATAAAATCTTTTAATAACTTTAATTGTTCACCTTATAAATATATATATTATTTTTTGTATTTATAGTTATTTATTAAAAAATTTAATAAGAATTTTAATACAGTCGTAAAATAAGTATATTTATCAAACCATATAAATCTTATATTATTATATATATATTTTTTATGTATTTTTACTTGATTCATTTACTGACAAATAGCAAAGTTGAACAATTATTTCATCCAAATCAATACTATTATCATTTGCAATTTTCAACTTCTTCAAAAGTTTTCATTTCTCCACCATTTTTTAAATAATAACGTTGACTAGCAGGATTACTGGCCATGGTCTGTGAAATACGGTAGCGACAAAGTAGTTCTGCTATGAAACTTGACACATCAACAGAATCTAAACACATTTCAAGAAAAAGATTATAGTAGTTGACATGTTGTCAGTCTCAAAAGTAGTGCAATTCCTCGTCCCATCAAAGATCATGACAGCCATGTTCAAACTCCAGTTCTGTGGCATTTCCTGGCTCAAGTGAGCAAGCAGTTGATTTGATAAATCTCATAAAGAAATCATTAAATTGGACCCGTATCTCTCCATCACTCTAGCCCAGAAGTTACCATAATTTGCAGGAAGAACAGTGCTTTGCTAGCAAGAAGAATCTAAACACAATTCAAGAAAAAATATTATAGCAGTTGACATATTATTTTTCTTCAAAATAGTGTAATTCCTCTTCCCAACAGAGATCATGACACCACTGTTCAAACTCGAGTTCTGTGGCATTTCGTGGCTCAGGTGAGCAAGCAATTGATTTGATCAAATCTCATAAAGAAATCATTAAATTGATCCCATATCTGTTCATCAATCTAGACCAGAAGTTACCATAATTTTTTGGAAGAACAATGCTTTGCTAGCACAAAGAATCAAGGCTGGTTTTATGCCATGATTTGCACACAAGTGGGACATCCAATGAAAGAGATTCTAAGCCAATTCTTCCAAGAACATGTACAATCCTATGCCCATTATAGTCAAAATTATTTATGGTTTTGGTTGGTAGATACACATATGTTCTTGAGAAATTAGTTTTGACAAAATTGTTTTTGTTTTATTTCATAAAAAATACTGTAAAATTGCAATATGTATATTTTGTTAAATTGTTCTTAATATAGCATTCAACTAAGTTTTTTTTTTTTTCTTCTTCTTCTTCTTGTGGGAAATAAATCATCACCTAACTAGAGTTCTTCGTAGACATAAATACCGGTATAAACCCAAGAAAATTTACTTAAATGGAATAGGCTTTAGGTGCTTAAACAAATAGTTTCGGGTTTGATTTTTTATATATGTAAAAAACTCTCTATGTAGCTATTCACGTTTTGTGCATCCGATAGAATAACGAATGATTAGTTTGAGTTTTTAGATTTAAAATATTCTAAAGGATAAAAAAAAATACCGATATAATTATTTGTAATAATCTTGAATTTTTTTTTTTGAAGAGACAAATATAAATGTCATTCGAATTAGAAAGTTATTAATAAATAGCTAGATTATAAAATACTTTTGCAAACTTAAATGAAAAAACAAATACTCCATAAACTAAAAAATTTATAATTTTGCTTCCTAAACAATATGACTTTTTAAATTTGTTTTTTCTCTTGGGATTTTATAAAGAAATTAACAAAAAAAAACTCTTAAAAACCCTGTCAATTCTTTCTTTTTCTTTTCCTATATGAGTAAATATGTTTTATTAAGTTGGTAGAAAAATAAAGAATTAAGAGGATTTTTATGAGTTTATTCATCAATATTTTAATGAAATCATAACAGAAAGAGTAGATTTAAAAAATCATATTATTTAATAGACAAAATTAATAATTTTTTAGTTCACTAAGTTTAGAGAGATATTTTACAATTTATCCTCAATAAATTGTAGAACATGAAACAACTATAACTCTATAAACTAGCAACTTAAGTGAACTACTTTAGAAATTAGAACTTGAATTTGATGTTTTGTTTTTAATTTTACTCCAAATTAGAACTTAGTTGAAAGCTTTGTAGTTTTGTTCTTAGCCTTACTCGTTTCCACTTAATCACCAACACTCCATTCGATCTTCGAAAGTTGTCTAGTTTTGATCCGTCAGATCCCTACCGTCCAGCCTCCCGCGAAGACCATCTAGAACATTACATATCGACAATAAGAACCACAATCGTAAACTTCATTTTCATATCTTTAGTTCAAAAAGTTTCAATAGTACCCCTAATAGTTGAACAGCCAACTTTATTTTGCAATTTTTTTTTCTCAATGCGAAAATATCTCACAATATGTGGAAAAAATGAAAACAAAGATGGATTGTAGTTATGACTTTTCGTATGGTTGGACCGATGGCTGTGACTGTTTAAAAAATATTTAATAATATATGCTTTTCAAATATTTTTATGTGGAATAAGACTGAAAAATCTCAAAAACCTTGTTTTCTAAATAATTTTCATTTTTTTAAAAAAATTTTCAAAAAAGAAAACGATAGTAATTATTCTCAAATGGACTATCAACCTCATAGCTAATAATTGTTAAGAATAAAAGTAAATAGTTCAATATATCTTTATATAATATTTTGAGTCTTTAATATATTTTTATATTTTTTAATTACGTATATTATGTTTATAAATAATGCTTCAGTCTTCAATATATCTTTTTTGTTAATTTTTTCGATTATAGACAAAATTTTTTACTAAAAGGCTTGTAATTAAAATGTAAAATAAAAATAAAAATCTAAAGATTTGAAAAATACAATACATAGATTATGTAACTTTAAGTTGTTTTTTCTTTTTCGGTAAGAAATAATTTAGTCAAAAATTTTTTTTCATAGTTAGAAAAATTGATTAAAATGATATATCAAAGACTAAAATAATATTAAAAAATATAATAAATATAATTAGAAATATAAAAATAAATTAGAGACTCATATTATTATATAAATATATATTAACCTATTTATCTTAAGAGTAATATGAAAACTTTTAGAAATGAAAGAGTAGAATGGAAACATTTTAGATTATTAAGGATAAAATTGCTTTATTGATGAACTTATAGGGATACAAATAGATTTTACCCCACCAACCCATCCCTACGACAAGCGTCACGTTTTTACAACTCCCAAGAAAATCCAAAAGTCAGTTTCTCTCATTTTGATCTTCGTTCATTTTTGTAATTCCCCTTGCCAGCCGGCCACCTACCGAATTCTTGTCTCTTACCTCTCTTCCTCTCTATGAACACAATATAAATCACTTTGCAAATCCCATAATTATAGAATCTAAATCTTTTTTAAGAATTTTGATACAGAGGGCGAGATGGGTGTTGATCTTGAATCTGTGTCGGAGGCAACGTCAGGTGCTATTGGTTCATTACTCAGCACAACGATTTTATACCCTCTTGATACGTGTAAGACTAAGTATCAAGCTGAGGCTCGTGCTCATGGACTACAAAAATACAGGTTTTAAGAATTTTTATCTCTTAATTTTCTTGCTTTTTTGGTTTCTTGATCTGGGTTTTGTGCGATCTTGTGATTAGTCAACTGGGTTGGTTTCATTTTTTAAAAGTGTTTAATGTTTGTGAATTTTATGGACGGTGGTAGCTGAAAGTTTCAATTTTTATGGATACTGATATGCGTAGTTGTGGTAATATAAAGTTGGCTACTTTTAGTCCGTGCTTTGAATGAGAGATATCTATCATTATTAAATGTAGTAGATGAGTTTATGTCTAATTCTGCCAGCAGCTGCCTGGTCAGTGTAATTGGCAATTTATGTTGTAATATTGTGCTACGAGCTACTTGGTCAATGGTCGTTATTAGGCTGTTTATATCGAATCTGTTGGTTTCCTGATCATGATGAATGTTTCAGTTCCAATACTGGGATGAAGTAACTATTTTACGTTTCCTTCCGATTGGTTTCTCCGTTTCAGATTTAGCCCTTTTTCTTTTTTCTTTTTATTTGCGTTCTTAATATCTATTTAGAGTTATCTGTCTAAGATAGTGGGTTAACATATATCATGTTAGTGATATCTTCAAAGGTGCCTGTTTGATGTATTTTATAAGTAATGGAGTGAAGTCTTACGGTAACACATCCCGTACAATCTCAATAAGGAGCATGTAGCATTGAGCATTTGTCTTTGATTTGTTAAATTTACTGTTATGCTTTTTTCAATTGTATCGTAGCATTTGCAGAAGGTATGTCATATGTATATTCTGTTGCATGGCCGTTTACTTTATGGACCCTTTGTTAGTTCTACAGCCTCTTGCATGATCTACAGATTATAGACCAAGTAGCGTCTTTGAGAATGTTAAGCTAGTGGCTGCTATTGAAAAGCTTATTGTTTATTTGGTGTCGCTTTTGTGGCTTATGTAGGAAACTTACTGATGTTTTATGGGAAGCAATATCCACTCGACAAGTTCTTTCACTATACCAGGGCTTAGGGACAAAAAATCTACAGTCTTTCATTTCACAGTTTGTCTACTTCTATGGGTATAGCTACTTTAAGAGACTATATCTGAAGAAGAGTGGTTCCAAACATATTGGAACAAAAGTTAACTTGGTTATTGCTGCTGCTGCTGGGGCTTGCACTGCCGTTGTAACTCAGGTGAGTCAATAATCACCATTTTGCAAGTCATGCTATCATTTCTTGAATGCAATCAAATACGGTAAAGGTTCTTTCTTCACAAATTATGCATATCAAATGTTACAGAAGAATTTTAAAATGTGAGAGAGAATGGGAGGGAGGGCCCATAAAGATGGATTTTACATCCATCAATGCTACGATATACAGATAAATATAATGGATAACTGGATATGCAATCAAAAGAAATGTTCAAATCTTACAACATAGAGCTTTTCAAAACACACGAGAAACATGCAAGTTTTAGTTTCATTGCCTTTAATGGTATTTCAAAATGTGATTTTTCCTTGTAATAAGACTATGGATTGCTGTTTGGCATAACACTCAATATGATTGTTGTGATGACAGTCTTTTCGTGAAATTCCTGTGTGTTCTGATTTTGTCTCAGGTGTCATTGTTAGTGTTTCTTCAATATGGATAGGAATTTTAAATTTAATATCAAATTGTTTGGCTTACCACTATGTAGCCCCTCGATACAGCCTCCTCGAGGATGCAGACAAGTGCCTTTGGTAAATCAAAAGGACTTTGGGAAACCTTGACAGAGGGCCGTTGGAGTGATGCATTCGATGGCCTTGGCATCTCTCTTTTGCTGACCTCAAACCCTGCAATTCAGGTACTTTACCTGACCTAGTAGTTTTATACTGTAATGTGAATTGCTTCAAATTCTACATTTGGAGGCAAGCTTCATTTTGCTTAAGATAATCAACCACGCTGAGACAAGAGTTATATATATTGCAGTATACAGTATTCGATCAGCTCAAACAAAAACTATTAAAGACAAACAAGAACAATGCAGAAAAGACTGCAGTAACCCTTTCTGCCTTCTCAGCTTTTGTTCTGGGTGCACTCTCAAAGAGTATAGCCACCTTTCTGACATATCCTGCAATCAGGTGCGCTGCTGTTACCTTAAACTGTAGTTTTAAATGCTTGAGATATAGAGCCATCTGATATTTGTATTATTGATACAGGTGTAAGGTAGTGATTCAAGCTGCTGACTCAGATGATGATGAAACTAAGAAAGCTCAGCGAAAGTCTACGAAGACATTGCCTGCAGTCATATGTGCTATATGGAAAAGAGAGGGAATTTTGGGCTTTTTCAAAGGACTGCATGCCCAGATCTTGAAGACTGTACTGAGCTCAGCATTGCTTTTGATGATCAAGGAGAAAATTACCAAAACTACTTGGGTTCTTATACTCGGGATTAGAAGGTATCTCTTTCTTACAAGGGGGAAACTAAAAAGTGCCTGATGGTGATTCATCGATGGTAATATGCTTGAAATTCTTTGTAGATAGTGTTGTTTATTTAATTTCAAGAAAATTTAAGGATTTTATAAGACCTAGATTCAATTTCTCTGATAGGAAGCTCCAATCGAGATGAATAAATGCTCTTTTAGTTAGAGAGTAGCTGCGATTTTAGCTATCCTACATAAGGTATCCTTGGAATGAATAAGTTCCAACTTGAGAGATATTTTAATCCCGGAATTTTTCTCCTATAAATTTGTGTAATCCATAACTTGTATTGTTTGTAACACAATTTAAATTCTCCCTATCATGTCTGGTTATTCAAAAATTCAAATAAATGAGTTGTAATTGTGGAATGCTTTTGAAAACAAATTGCAATCAATGGATTTCAATGGGAATGCCCCCATCTCTATTCTAAGTACTATTCACGATAAGTCAATGATGACTAATTGACTTTTAGCTTAGTTTACATCTAGAAACCATGGTTTCTGTAAATTTTGTGAATTAGTTTTTGAAGCTGATGTAGAGCCACTCACGAACCACCACTTCTGATTCTGGTCTAGTTACATTTTCCACTGCTCTTGCCTTTTCCTAACCATTTGTAACCTCTGATCACAGCGAGTTAGAAAAGGAAGAGCCTGGTGTGGTTAAATTCTCCCTATCATGTCTGGTTATTCAATTCCTTCTGACATCCAATCTTAGAGTCTGTCTTGTAATCTTAATCGTGAACAGCTTCAAGTTTTCCTTCAAAGTTGTGGCAATAGTTGCTGACAATCAACATGCAACTATTCCGAGTTTGAAAGAGATGCCTGAGCTTAGTACTAACTACCAAGCTGTGTTGTCTAGGCCAAGTAGTGTTTAATAAATTGGTTAGGTTCATTTGACTTCGGTTTTGTACTCCATGCAATGTGATATTAGCTCTGGATTCTACAATGTACATTTGCATGATTACTTGTTCATGAGCATGACGTTGACCAGGCATAAATTTACTGATTTTTAAGCTGCCCGCCAACGGCAGTTTCAATTTCCCATCCATTGTCGCATTTTAGTGTTGGAACCATGCAGGAACATGTATATATATTTGTTCCAGTTAGGCAACATCCTGGCATTGCAGTCTGAAACTAACATATGAGGGTATATGATATCAACACTATACCTTGTATCAGTATGATGCATTTAAAAAAAATTAATAAATCAAGAAATTTATTCAATTTCTTTTAATACACTGGGCTGGTATGAGAATTTGTTTTTAAGATCGTTTGGGAAAGAACTTGGTTTTAGTTGATGTGTAAGTTGGTTCGCTAAAACTTTTATCGTTGAGCCAAAAAAAAAAAAAAAAAAACTATAACTATTCTGTAATGCAACAATCATGCCTAATAATATATCTCTCATCTTCATCAAAGTGAAAAATATTTAGGGTTGCTAAAACAAGGTGAACTTACATAAATTGCACAAATAACAGTATATATGTGTCTCATCATGGAAGATACTAATCATGACGATCTCATTTTCGACAGATAATGATCCTAATAAACATCATCTGTTATCTTTAGATCAGTCAGATTAAGCTGTTAGTAATGAGAAAAATGTTGGTCAGTTTGCACAATTGGACTCCATATAATTTTCAAGAGTTAATTACACTTTGCTTGTTCAGTTCTTGAAAACTACAGCCTCCATTTCAAGCTACTATTTTTCCAAAAATCTAAACTTCACATTGACAGTAGGCTGCCCTTTGCTAAAATAATTGGGTCAATTATAACCAAAATTATCTTTTCTAGTGTATATTTTATCGGCCCAAATCCAACCCTTCATCATCATTATTATTTCTTATTAATTGCTAGTACGGATTAATGTTGTATTTCATTTATGTACTGTTGACAATATTTTAATGTGATCTCTCTATTTTTTTTATTTGATCCTTGTATCCTAAATATTTTCTAATGGGGACATTTCGATAGGATTTTGTTTAATTTTTCGATAATAAATGGCAGATAGAAGAACATATCATATAAAAATAAAATACGATAAAATTTTATTATTCAACGTGTTAGGTTTATCTAACATGTCAATCCATCTATTAATTTTGTTCGAAAAATTAGACAAAATCCCATCAGATGAGATATATTAAAAAAATAAAGAGTACATGACTCAATAAATAAAACAAATAGCAAATGGGTCATATTAAGAAAATTTAAAGAGCACAACTACTCAAACACATGTATTTTTGCCCCTTTTTTAAGGCCTCCACGAAATGGCTCTTCAATCATCAAGTGCACCTGAAACAAAGAGCAACATGGAACAAGACACTAGTCATAATTCAAAACAACAATTACAACTGAAACGAAGTTTGAACGAGGCATTTGAAACATCTCAAAACAATTATTATCTAAATTGAGATAATTATTTAATATGACATTAGAGTTTTTTTACCTAAGTATTGTACAGACTTTCGAAGTTAAAAAGATCTTTTATTTTAAAGGATGTACTTGGAGAATCAATCTAATATAGTTTTTATAATTTCACATAATAGTTTAAATTTTTAAGTTGAAATTACTTTTTAGACAATTATAAATAATATCTTATAAATTCTATTTTTTTAATATATTTTTTGTTTATGACAACAACAAGTATTTCATGACAAATGTGATGAAACATGAATTATGTCATCGGTACCTATCGAATGTACTCAACTCTAATATTGCATTAGACATAGTGAATTTGTCAATAATTAGTCTATAAATTACATACCAGTTTCTTAATAGAGCATCTGTTAACTTTTTTGGATTAGTTTGATCTCTTTAAATTTCATAAAAGTTTTTTCTATAACGGTTTAAGTTATCCAAAAATCTCTTACAAATAGAGGATTTTTTTCACAAAAAGGATTTTATCGTGTTGATATAAGCCATAGATTGACCATTACTATGGTTAATCTGGAAGATTTCATAATTAGTCTAATATTAGTAGGTGTTTTTTGGGATGGGTGACTAGCTATTAGTAAATGTAATTTCAGCCATAATTTTTGTAGATCGGAAGAATGGTACCATTCAAAATCAACAAATAATAGCTTCAATATATATAAGGCTTATATGTTAGCATGTTGATGTATCAATTTAATAACAATGTCATATTGACATGTTAATTTAATATCGACATTATCATGTATTTGATGGAATCTAAATTTAAAAGTTAGCACAATCAAATAGCAAAAATAAAACTTGAAACGCTCTAATAAAAAAATTAAAAATTCTCACATCAAACATATAATAATCGTCAATTATGTGAAAATTATTATGAACATCGTCCTTATAGAACAAATATGAGTCTCTACTTTATAAAGAATATTAGAAAATAGTTATTTCAAAATTATGTATCAATCTCCATAGATCATTCTATTACGTGAGATGGGCAATTTAGATCAATTATATGAGCGTATAAAAAACATAGAATGAACATTAGATGTCCGGTACTTGTTGATGAAAAAAGTTGGAACGAGCTACTAAATATTTAGTAGCCATTGACGAGAATAAGTCAATTATAGCTTGAACAAGGTATTTGCCATAGCTTAAAACAACAATTACACCTGGAACGAGGCATTTATCATAGGTCAAACGAAATTACAAGTTCAAACGAAACACTTGTAATAGCTCAAAACAATTATTATAGCTTGAATGACGCACTTCAACAACTCAAAATAATTATTATCTAAATGGAGATAATTATTTAATATAAGGACATTAGAGGTTTTTTTTTTTTTAATGCAACTTTCAAAATTAAAAGAACATTCATTTAAAAATATGTATTATAATTAAAATAAAACTATTTTTATAACTTCACATAATAGTTTAAATTTTTAGATTGAAATGGTTTTAGATAATTATAAATAATATCTTATCATTCTATCTTCATTTTTTATATTCACCGTATTTCTTGTTTATGACAACAACTAGTGATTATGATAAACTTGACGAAACTTGAACTTTGTCATCTATACATGTCGGATGTACCCAACTCTAACGCTTCATTAGACATAGTTAACTTGTTAATAATTAGTATATAAATTATATATTATTTTTCTTGATAGAGAATTTTTAACTTTCTTGAATTAGTTTGATTTTTTAAAATTTGGCAAAAAAAAAAAATCGTATAACAATTTAAGCTATTCAAAAATCTCCTACAAATGGAAAAGCACAATACTACTTTCTCCCCATAGATTGAACATTCTTAGGACTAACTTAGAAGATTTCATAATTAGCCTAATATTAGTAATTATTTTTTAGATGAGTGCCTAGCTAGTAGTTAATGTAATTTCAACCGTAATTTTTGTGAACTCGAAGAATGTTGTCATTTAAAATTAGCAAATAATATATATATATATATATATATATATATATATATATATATATATATATTGACGTATCAATTTAACGGTGATGCCATAATGATGTGTTAATTTAATAATGACATCATCGTGTATTTGATAGAATTTTTGTTTAAGTTAGCACAATCGGATAGCCAAAATAAAAATTGGAACAATCAAAAGAAATTTAAAAATTCACACATCAAATATGTAATAATCATCAATTCTGGAAAGTTATTATGAACATTATCCTTGTATAACAAATATGAGTCTTTACTATGTAAAGCATATTGGAAAATGGTTAGTTCAAAGTTATGTATCAACCTTCTTAGATTATCTCATTACATGAGCGATAATTTAGATCCATTACATAAGTGTATGGAAAAAGTTAGAATAAACACTAAAGTTTGGTAGTCATTGACGAGAACTTTAGATTGTTGGTAGTCATTGATGAAAAAAGTTGGATTGAATACAAGATGTTTGGTAATCATTAATGAGAATAAGTCAATTATCTTTTGAACGAGACATTTACCACAACTCAAAACAAACAATTATTGCTAAAACGAGGCATTTTATAGCTCAAAACAATAATTATAGTTAGAACTAATGTTTATAAAACCATTTTTATAACTTCTTCTAATAGTTTAAATTTTTAAATTAAAATATTTTTTAGACAATTATAAATAATATCCTATCATTTTTTATGGTTACATTATCAATTTATCTTTTTATAATGACAACAACTAGTGTATCATGACAAATGATGAAACATGAACTATATCATATGTCGGATGTATCGAACTCTAATGTTGCAATAGACACAATGAACTTGTTAATAATTAGTCTATAAATTATACACCATTTTTCTCGATAGAGCATATGTTAACTTTTTTGTATTAGTTTGATCTCTTTAAATTTGGAAATTTTTTTTTCTATAATAGTTTAAACTATCTAAAAATCTCCTACAAATGGAAGAGCTTTTCATGAAAGTACTTTTTTTCATTGATATAAGTTATAGATTGCTCATTCCACTAATATAAGCCATAAATTAATCATCCTTATGGTTAATCTAGAAGATTTCATAATTAGCCTAATATTAGTAATTGCTTCTTGTGATGGGTGGTTAGCTAGTAGTTAATGCAATTTCAACCATGATTTTTATGGACTTTAGAGAATGTTGCCATTCAAAATCAGCAAATAATGTTCATTCATATATGGCATATATATTAGCATGTTGGCATATCAATTTAACATCAACGTGATAGTGATGCGTTAATTTAATAGCAACATCATCATATATTTGATGGATTTTTTTTTAAACAAAAGTTAGCATAGTTAAATAGCAAAAATATAAATTGAAACTTTCAAATAAAAAAATTTTAAAATTCACACATCAAATATATTGTAATCTTTAATTCCGGAAAGTTATTATAAACATTATTATTGTAAAACAAAATATGAGTTTCTATAGTGTAAACAATATTAAAAAAATGGTTAGTTCATAGTTATGTATCAATCTCCCTAGACCGTCTTGTCATGTGAGTAATAATTTAGATTCATTATATACGAGAATATGAAAAAAGTTGGAATGAACTCCAAACGTTTGGTAGTCATTGATGAGAACACTAGATGCATGGTAGTCATTGACGAGAAAAGTTAGAATGAAGACTAGATGTCCGGTAGTTGTTAATAAAAATAAGTCAATTATAGCTTGAACGAGGCATTTACCATAATTCAAACTCAACAATTACGGTTAGAACAAGATAGTTGACACACTTTAAAACAAAAATTACAACTGAAAATGAGGCACTTGCAATCATGGTTTAAATAACGTACTGTTATGTAACGTAATAGTCGTTATATAACGAGTAATGGGGCATCCCGTTATCGTTATTTGGTGTTATTTTCACTCTAACACCAATTCATAAGAATAACGAGCAAATAATGACATTACCATTATATAGCACTGTTATTTATCGTTATATAACGACATTATACATAAAAAAAATCAAAATTCTTCTACCCAAGAAAGAAGCCGAGGAGCTCAAGTGGTTAAGGTTGGCATACCCTCGGTGGAGAGAGTAAGACATAGCGTCCGAATAGAGGAGATCACAAGGTCTGTGCCCATTGAAACTCGAGGAGACAACCTTGATTTTGCAAGCATTGGGATTTGACAAGGATGCATAAATATATATTGTAGTCTGTAGAGATATATGATGATTAAAAAAGACTTATGATACTAAGAGCTACATATCTAAGGATTGTTGTTTTAGGTAAGAAAGGAAATGCTATTAGATTAAAGGGAGTCAGTAGCAGTTTCGAACCATTCATCTTAAACGGTTGCACTTGATTTCATGGTATCCTAATTAATCACCAATCCAAATGATATGAAAATAATATAAGAAAAAAATAAATAGGAACTACGAAAAAGTTGGTAGATAATCAAAGAGAGAGAGGGTAAAAAAAAGATGAGAATTGAGAGATAGAGAGAAGAGATGAAGAAAGGAGTATGTAAATTGAGAAGTGGAAGAGAGAGAGAGAGAGAGAGAGAGAGAGGGAAAAACGAAGATGTGAAATGGAAATATATTGATATTCATGGTCAAATGCAAATGCTAGAGGAGTGTAGGATTTAGTTGAACAAATTATAAATTAATCTCTTTAGTTTAGAAAAATAATTTAGTTAGTCCTTCTTGTTTCAAATAACAATTATTTAGTCCATTTTATGTTATTTTCTATTTTTTTCTTTTTATTTTAAAAAATAAAAAAATAAATTTATATCATAAAAAGATTCATGAAAAAAAATATTTTATAAAAGAAAATAATATTATATTAAACATGATCAATATTTATCAAAGACTAAATTATTTAGCTTTCGGAAAAAAAAAAAAGACTAATCAATTCATTTATCCAAACTAAAAGTACTAATTTATAATTTACTCAATTAAAGTTTACATTCATATAGGTCTTTGGTTCAATAATAAGGAGTAAATTACACATTAATCCCTTTAGTTTTGATAAATGAATTAAATTGTCATTCTTGTTTCAAAAACCAATTATTTAGTTTTTTTGTTCATTTTATGTTATTTTTAAATTTTTTTCCTTTTTGTTTTAAAAATAAATAAATAAATAAATTTATATCATGAAAAAATTGACAAAAAAAATATTTTGTGGAGTAAGATAATATTAAATAATTAGTTTATTTTTTTTATGTGATATAACCTATTAGAAAGTGTTATTAACTTTTTTTCTTATATATAATAAATTTAACTATTTATGTATAATATCAAACTCGTTAGATATATCATTACTTATTAGTATGTTTAATTAGTAAAACTATTAAAAATATGTGACTTAGAATAAATTCATTAACGAACTGTTAATACATTCACGATATCGATTTTCGCAATTGTTATTTTACTATCATGATAAGCCGCAATCCGCGATCGCAATCGCAACCATTTTTTCAACCGCGAATGTTATTTAAAACTATGCTTGCAACAACTCAAAACAACTATTACGAGTTTGAATGAGGCACTTTCAACAATTCAAAACAACTATTATCCGAATTGAGATAATCATTCATTATGACATTAGAGTTCTTTAACCTAAGTTTTGTGCTACTTACAAAGTAAAAATAACTTTTATTTGAATGGATGTGCTAGAGAATTAATATAAAACTATTTTTTTTAACTTTGCATAATCATTTAAATTTTTAGATGAAAATAATTTTTAGACACTTATAAATAATATACTATCGGTAATCTACCTTTTTTCTTTATGGTCACATTATCAATTTATTTCTTGTTTATGACAACAATTAGTGATTCATGACAAATATGATGAAACATGAACTATGTCATCTACACCTATTGAATGTATACAACTCTAATGTTGCATTAAGCATAGTGAACTTGTTAATAATTAGTCTATAAATTACATGTTATTTTTTTCGATAGAGTATCCGTCAACTTTTTTGGATTAGCTTGATCTCTCTAAAATTGGCAAAAGTTTTCTTTATAATAGTTTGAACTATCGGAAAATCTCCTACAAATGGAAGAGTTTTTCACGAAAGTACTTTTGCCCATTCCACTAATATAAGCTATAAATTGATCATTTTTATGGCTAATCTAGAAGATTTTATAACTAGCCTCATATTAGTATTTGCTTTTTAGGATGGGTGGCTAGCTAGTAGTTAATGCAATTTCAACCATGATTTTTATGGACTCAAAGAATAACGCCATTTAAAATCAACAAATAATAATTTGATATATACATATCTATAATATTCATGCATATATGGCGTATATATTAGCATGTTGTTGTATCAATTTAACATCAACGTCACATTGACGTGTTAATTTAATAGCAACATCATATTGTATTTGATAGAATCTTAAAAAATTTAAAAGTTAGCTCGGTTAAATAGTAAAAATATAAATTGAAATATTTGAATAAAGTTTTTTTTTTAAAATTCACATGTCAAATATATAATATTCTTCAATTCTGAAAAGTTATTATGAAACATTGTTCTTGTAGGACAAATATGAATTTTTACTATGAAAAGAATATTGAAAAATAGTTAGTTCATAGTTATGCATCAACCTCCCTAGATCATCTCATTACGTGAGCAAAAATTTAGATCAATTACATGATCGTATGAAAAAAGTTGAAACGAACATTAGATATCTAGTAGTTGTTGACAAGAACACTAGATGTCATGAACCAAGACCCGTCTCGAAGCATGGAGAAGTTCAAGAGTTGTATATTCAACTTCTTCTTGGTAGCGATCGTGAACAATTTTATCCAAAGCTGAAGTAGCATGGGTACAAATATCTAAAGCTTTTGTTTTATCACGTGTTTGTTTAAACAAGGATACCATATAGGTCAATTTGTGTTTCTCCACAGGCTTCAAATTCTCCTTTCAACGGTGAAAGGGTATGATTGAGATGGTTAGAGAACTGTAAGCATTATCTTTCTTAATCTAGAATCTATTTGGAACCTAATCATAATATTCTGATTCAAAATCCTCCTTACATTACATGTAAATACATTGTAAGTATGTTTTGCTTAAATAATAAAGGGATATTTAAATAAAGTAAACAAACCTATTAATCATTTCATGAACTTGCTTGGAAGTAAACAAATCTTTTTGCTAGCCTGATCAAGCTCCCCTTGCATTTGAAATTTCTAGATTTCTCTCTTGGTCGTTTTGACCTCCTCATTCATTATTATCCAGACCTTTCTATTAATCATTTCATAAAATTGTTCGAAAGTAAACAAATCTAGTTGCCAGCTTGATCAGGCTCCCCCTGCTTTTGGAATTTCTATATCTGATCTCGAAACGATTTTAAAAATACATTTATAATACCATGATTTTTGCTTTCCTCTTCAAATATTTAGCGTTGCATGCGTCAACGAGGTCAAACTTGTATGAATTGCTCAAATAACAACATAAATATGGTCTCATTTTGGACAGATAATAATCATAATAAATACCATCTCTGATCATTAGATCAGCCAGATTAACTAAGCTTAGAAAGAAATGTTGGTCAGTTTTTTTTCCAAGAAAATCCAAAAAATAAAGAAGAAAAATTCCAAACTATTCAACTCACGTTGGGACTAGGGAGTAGGCTTTTCTTTCCTATAATAAATGGGCTAACTCAGCCCAATATTTTATTTTGGACATAACTTTGGCCCAAATCCAATCTTTCATTGTTAATTTTTTCGCTTAATAATTACCCATAGTCCTAAAATTCCATTTTGGTCAAAAAGTAATAATTCCTTTGCTTGCTTTCATTTGACACAGTCTTCTCGCTTTGCATGTAAGACAACTACAGCTTCTTAAAATTATATGTATAAAAAAAAAAAAAATCAATAAAAACCAAACGCGGGAGCGCAAGAGACAGAGATCTGTTTGGTTACAGAGAAGAGGAGAGAGAAGAAAAGAAAATCGGAAGAAAGAAAAGATGATGTCCGGAGTAGGCAAATACACTCACATTGATGATCAAAAAGTCTCTGGATCTGTTCCTGTAAGTCTTCAATTCTCTCTCAAACTCTCTTTATACGTATAATTATACGTATTCTGTATTTGGATCTATTTCTTAGCTGGTTATAATATGTTTTGATTTGATCTTCTAGGCTGTTCAAGATCCCGGCCACGTCGCCGTCCAATTCACCGGTAAGCACAATTTTTCTCGCTGTTTTGTCTTTAATTTTATTTTCCATTACTGTTTGATAGCTGAGAAGGTGCCGTTATCGAGAAGAGAATTTTCAAATCTCATGTTATTTCTATTGTGAATTAATTAGTGACGATTATTCTGAATGTTGTATTGCTAAATTTTCTTTATTAGCTGATCATTTCGATCTTTGTGGACTTTTCTTTTCTTTTTTGTGTTTGGTGTTTATGATATGAAAATATTGATTTTTAATGTATTATTGTAGCAGATTCGAATTTGCAGACATTTCCACCATCGGTTGCACAGGGGAAGATCTCTGGTGGATCCCGTCCGCCTCGTGATGCTGATGGTATGCTATATTACATAATTATCTGTTTGATTTGAGTTGGTTTATGTATAATTTGCAATATGAGCTTACACATTGAGTGCTCTAGGAAAAATGCTGTAGTTCAGCAGGCTTAAAATGCTTAAAGGAATCAATGCAATTTGAACACCAAATAATGTAGTCATGCTTAGGCTATAGGTTGTCAGAAATTTCCAGTTCATGGGCCAAGAAGTTTTAACTAGGTGTGCCCCTTTATGTGCATGTCTAAAATAACATAACTTTCATTTTCTTTTTTCCAACTATGGCTTGTTGGTGCTTGTAATTTGTATAAATTTTTAGATTTTATAGACATGAAAAAAAGGTGTGGATTCCATTCTAAGTTGGAGATGAGATAGCAGGAATGAGAATTGAAGAAGAGGGACTTGTGAAGTAAACGACCAATAGTTCCGATAAAGAAAATTTCTGTTAAGGGGTTTGACTTAGGTAATTTGGTGGAAGTTGTAGTTATCACTGGACATTGAAAGATGGTTTTCAAAGGAAAGGCTTGGGAGAACGGATTTTTGAGTGTCAAGGAGTTTGAATGCCCTTTTCTTTTTGCACCCCTCTTATTTGAAAAGTTTGACTGCTAAACAATGTCCGAGATGGCCCTTTGGGAAATGGCTTGGCAAATTGAATTTGTTGCCATGACCAATTCCTGAGGAACTGAGTGAAGGCGAGGTGAATGATGACACTGATTCTAACTTTCAGTTGTGTGGTATTTTTTTTCTGGCTTGGTCCAGTGAAATCTTGGAAATAGTGTTGTTACAAGCTGTTAAGACTGTTTAAAATGTAGTCGAATATCCACTGTTTTGAAGCAAGTCTTAAATTAATCATGTAACATTTGATTTTCATGTTAGTGTTAAATGGCTAAACTTTTGTTGGTGCAGATACATTTTCAAAACCTATTTCTGGTTCTGACGAACCCCAGCAAGGTGGTTGGTTTCGGACATTTACAGTTGCTGCATATAAGCCATACTTTGATGTTGACACTACCGATGTTTTGGAAAGGATAAAAGATTCACTTTTCCCATTTAGAGGAAGTTTTACCGAAAAAACAGCGAACAACCCAGATTTGTGAGTTATCTTTTCCTAACTCAGCACTTTGATATTTGGTCTGAATTGATTAAAATGTCAAATTGTTTGCCAACGTTGAATTTGTGAAGAACTTCTTAGTGAAATTCTCACTCGTATGTTTATAAAACTTCTTATTGAGATTGTCTTACTCGTATGTTTATTAATGCTTGACCAGGAAAGTTTAATTATATGAAAAGAAAGAAAACACGCACATGCTATCACAAAGAAGGAAAAATGTTCTGACAATTGGCATGGTCTTGTCTTTTATATTCTTATTTTAATAGTGGAACATGTATTAATAGGGCGATTTTTAGCTGTAGTCTAATATATTCATGGTCAGCACTTTGCACAAATTTTAGGATTTTCTACACATGATGATGGTTAAAAGTTGGGGTATGATATGGCTGGTACAAAGTTCTTGCTGTATGCTTTACAGTTTGAAGGTTAAATCTTATAAAGAAAGACCTCATCAGATGTTCCTAGGAAATATAATGTAGGTTTATAGAGAAAAATGCTAATGTACTGTTAATGTTTATAAACAACTGTCCAAATGTTGATAGGAAATAAAATTTAGTTTTAAGCTTTTTGGGATTACTTGGTGATTATAAGCTATAGAATCTAGTGATAATCTTTAATTTCTGTGGTCAAATTGTTATATTTGAAAACTCATCCTTCGTAAGTCAGAAGCTCTTCATGAGGACTTCCTTATCAAGGTTCCCAAAACCTGACCTGTCCCATGGATTGTCTAGATGATGTTGTAAAATATGAATATCATCTTATTGTCTATACTTGAGGTAATCTCCATATCCTTGAGCTTCCTTTAAATTTTGGGATTTAAAATCGAATTTCTTTCTTTTGCTTCCTTAAATAAACAAAAGATGAAAAATTATAGGAACTGCTTATGCTGACAAAAGAACGGGATATTTGTGCTTTATCGGCCTTTTGCAGTGCTGATAACTTATGGTTTCTGCAATAAGTCACCAGTTTTGCAAATCCCTTGTATTTGATGGACATACAGAACTCATTTTGCCTTTTCTTCCATCTTCTCCATATGTTAGGAACATGTGTCATTTTATGCTTGATATCTCTGCAGGTATGGACCATTTTGGATATGCACTACCCTAATCTTTGTAGCAGCCTCCATTGGAACTTTTGTGACATATATAGCACACAAGCTGCAGAAGAAAGAATGGAACTATGATATAAATCTCGTGACTTGGTCTGCTGGAGTGTTTTATGGCTATGTCCTTCTTGTTCCTCTTGCATTGTATGTAATTCTCAAGTACTTCTCAGCACCATCAGGCCTTGTTCAGCTGTTCTGTCTTTACGGCTACTCCCTATTTGTCTTTATTCCAGCATTGGTAACGAATCCTTTCTTCCTTTTAACCATGACTTATCGTTATTCCTTTGGCTTATACATGCTTGGAAGAACCCGGATTTTCAGCATGAAAATCTGATATCATCCTGTAACTTCGTGGTTAACAAGAGAAAATTTTACAATGCAAACTTAAATTCTTATGTTTCTGGTTGCAGTGCCTCTCAATCATACCCGTGGAAATTTTCAGATGGGTGATTGCCGGTGTGGCAGGGTTCATGTCAGCAACCTTTGTGGCACTTAATCTCCGAGCACATATCATGACCGCAGGAGAAAGGTGGTTTTTGATCGTAGCCGGCATCTTTCTATTGCAGTTGGCTCTGTCCGTTGTATTGAAGCTTTATTTGTTCACTGTTACTGTATGAGAAAAGAATATTGTCCCATAAAGAGAGGGGTAAACGGGTTGTAGATGACAAAAAAAGAGTCTTTTTGGTCGTTCTATCTTTCTATACTTACTGCAATATTCCGAAGAAATATTATTCAACAATTGGGACCCACTTGTATTCGTTCATTGGTGCCAAATATAATTCAAATCTCTAATGTGACTTTGTCTTTTGTTTTTGCCTGTTACAGCACTGTTAGACGTAGCTTTTGAATGAGAAATTCATTTTATTAATTACACGTGTGTGTGCATGTATTAAGGGTGACAATAGGTCGGATTTCTAGATCAGTATCTAGACTATTAATTCAATTCTTTATTAATAAAATATTCTGTTCATATTTATTAAAATATTACTCTCTAAATTCATATTTGATGTTCATATCTGGTTTATCCATCAATTTAATATCAGTTAAAAATCATCAATTTAATACCAGTTAAAAATAATTTATCGAAGTATTTCATTTTAGTTCTTTGTAAAAGTTATTTTGGTCTTTAAACTTATTTTTTTAACAATTTAAATAATTTTTTAAAATATTTAATTTTAGTTTGTAATGTTTCCTGAAAAAAAGTTATTTTGGTCTTTGAAATTATTATTTTTTAACAATTTAGTTTTTTATTTATAAGTTTTTTGGTTCTCAAAGTTTTAATTAAAAAAAAAAATTTGGTTCTTATGGTATAAAGTTTGTGCAATTTGGTTCTTAAATGTTTTTTTTTTTTCAAATAAAATTTTTTTAAAAATTAATGGGTATTAGTGGATTATGAAATATATATATATATCCATCTTAATACTCATTAGGTATTTTTAATGAGTTTTGCTTAAATCGAATAGAAGAAATATATATTTTCAATATGCATTAACGAATATGTATATTTTTTATCCTTATTTTTATTCGTTAGTAGTAGAACGAATATCCGTTTTATATTGAGGAAATTGCCATCTTAATATGAATTTTGCCATCCTAATATGTATTTTCCTAGAATGTATTTTCATATAAACACATATATCTAACTTGAGTACCTATAAACCAGTGGCACTCAAGGCTAGTCTATAAAAAAGTATTTCTTCATGAATTTCTCCAATTTTGGCATGGATTGTTTGTTTTGATTGGACTACGGAGTTGAGACTGAATGCAGTCTTGGTGAGTGAAAACCGATAGGGACTGAACTTAGTTTCGAAGAGTGAAAACTAAGTTTGAAAATATGATTTACCAGTGGATTATAAAAGAAAATTACTATTCGTGAATCATTGCAAATCGTGTTTTGCGTGGAGCTTGAAATCTCCCCATGGGGCCCTATGCTGTCAATTGATGACGATTAGCATTTTGGAAATGCTTGTCATTGATATATATCCCAAATTGGTGTACACCTAATCAGCAAAATCATTTCATTAGATTGCTTGGATTTTCCCAGTTACCACCTGGCTACTAAGTTCTTCTAATAACTATGGTATCGATTGATTAAGATTTGATGAAGATCCAAGCCTGACTTTTGTTGGTCAATTACCATAATCATTCTTCTCTTGACATTAATTATAGTAGTAAATTAGGTTTAGTAACTTCCCACAAAAAATCCATTTCTGATTTCTTGGTTGGTAAGGTGATCATCATAGGAAATGGTGATTAAATACAACAAATTAAGTACCATTAAACTAAACATAAATCAAAGTTTCGAAGCACGAGTACTTGATATGAATGTAGTTAATTACCACTAAAAATTTAGCTGTTAGTCAACTTCCATCAGAAAACTATCATTGATATGATCATTATGGGTTGTGAATGTGCTTGGGTGACTTTATTTTATTGGCTCCAACTTGCCCAATATATTAACAATCAACGCAGACATAATCTTGTAATTTCTAATTTGTTAATTCAATTCAAACAAAAGTTTCCCACTTTCTGTTTTTGAGCATCCATCTGTGTTTCTTTTCCCTTTCGGGGTATGTTATGATCATTTCGTAAATGAAACTAGTTAAATAGTAAACTGCAATAAGTTGTTTGTTCAGTGGCATAATTAAGATTCTGAAACTTGGAGGGCTAAGGTCTTATTCAAACGATAAATTGAGAAAGAAAGGAAAAAGAAGAAGAAGATCAGATAGAGAAGACAAAATTTGCTGGCGAGTTTGACAAAAGAAAGTAACTTAAAACGGGTGGATGAAAATGAAAGTAAGAAACTGCTGATGACGTTGGGGAAGAATAGCCAGATTTCATCATAACCTTTGCAATAACAATTTTTCCATTTGTTTTTTTTGGATAGCCCGATCATATGATCGTGATTGTGACATGAAAAGGGACGTTTGATGTAAAAATCTAATCTATAAAGTAGCTGCATCTGCAAACAAAATATTTAGAAAAAGTTATAACTTTGTCCTTGCATTTTTCAGAAATTAAATAAAAAACACACACACACACACACACACACACACACACACACACACACAAAAGCACAAACTTTTAATTGATTTTTCCAAAAGATATATTTCTTAACTTTTTGTTATTTGATAGTGAAAAAAATTCAAAAATAAAAATTTGACATGTAGTAACCGAGCTTTTTTCTTTAAACAAGGTTCTCTTTAATTTATTTTTCTAAAACAAGATATTTTGAATTTTATTTATTAAAATATGATAGTTTTTACCACATCGATATCCACGTAATCTTTTTTTCTTATTTATTAAATTAAAATATTCGAATATTACAGATATCAAATCGAAACTTTATCATTATCTTCAACCTCTAGCGATTGGAAAATAGAAAATGGGTGAGTCAAAAAAACAAATCCAAATAGAAACAATAGATGTTCATGTTTTTTCATCCTAAAATTGTAGATACGGTGACACAAGTTAAACAAAGTGTAAATTAATCCAAAATAACCCCATTAAATATAATGTTCATCAACCAAAACGTATTGCAAATTCAAATATTAATTTCAAGGCAATTTTAATCTTGATTAATCTTTCATGACACACCCTAGTTAATCTATATTTTTATAACCTTTTCAATTCTCCAAAAGCATGTTACAAGCATGTCCTTTCTTTCTCTACTTGATGTCAGCAAAAATTCAATTTCTTTGATAAAAAATATATTTGAAAGAAAATAAAATATTTATATATTTGGAGAACACTCACGAATCAAATTAATGATGAAACAACTCTAGGTGATGGAGAAAATCAAAACCATGCTAGTCTTTGTGGTTAAAAAAAAAAAAAAAACTTTTAATTAGAAAAAGAGGATGCTATTGTTATGAACTAAAAAATCAACAGAAACCAAAAATGTTCATACATGTCCAGATTTCAGTTTCAATTTCAAATGCAAAACAATCACATGATTATGTAAAATAATTAAGTTGATAGCTTTTGTTGGGAACTGAAAAAACAAAAAAGAACCGTTATAAACTAGAGATAAAAAGACTATGCTGAAAAGAAAAGGACGAAACCAAGTTCCTTATTTTTTTTTTTACAATAATAAAAATTGAAATAACACTGAAATGTATATTGTTTGTATGGCACTAAATACTCATATTGATAAATAAGTTTAAAACTATTTTGATTTGAAAATAAAGAAAAATGCACTATTATAATTTTATTTTTTAAAAAAAACTTTGTAGTAGCCTGATTGAATGCTACTTGTCCAACACTAATTATGATTAGTGTACAAAAACATTTTCATGCTTTAACTTTTCTATTTTTTGGGTTAACAAAGAAAGTTCGAACTCGAAAGCTTTTAAAAGGAGGAGGATACTAATGCAAATCGAAATATAGTTGATTGGCACAAAAAACCTTTTTTTTTTTTCCAAATATCTGTATCTGTATGTTAAATTAATTAGGGGGAGCATAATGGACTGGAATTAAACCATGATATGGAATCTGTTAATAGGACTAAGCAATATTGATGTTACAAATTGTGGAATTAAAAATACAAGAAATTAGATTCGTTGATGGTGAATTCAAAGACTAATAGATACATATAATACTTGCCCGTCAACAAGAAAAATAATGGAGACATCCTTGTAATGAAAGATAATACTTTGATGATACAAGTTGTCTAAACACTTCGTATCTCTATCACAAATGACAAAATCCAATAATGCAACACTAACAAAAACATGTCAAGGATAGTATGCATGGAGTCACGAATTGTTCAACATTAATTTTAGTCACAAGGACTTGATTCATAACCAATAAGAGATTAGACGTAGAGTAATAACTTGTCAAAGTATCATCTCAGTTTAAGAATGATTTATATTATTTTTCTAACATATTTTATATATCAAGTAAAGTTATTTGAATACATTTTTTCATGTAAAAACTCATTGAACTTGAAATTTACATATACATACCTATCGTTACTTTGTGTTTAATTATAAGAGAGGATGATGATAGTGAAATTAGAATTTGTAATTGTTTGATTATAAAAACTCTCATATCATGTCAAAAAATTATGTTAATTTAAAAATTTAAGTTGTTGGGTAAAGTTTTAAAAATGCTTATTGTATTATAAAAACATAAATTATACACATTTTAATCTTTATGATACGTTTTTTCAAAAATATATGAATTATGCTTTTAATAATAATTTTAACACGAGAATCATTTTTTATTTAAGATTTCGAGTTTATCCACAACATGACATGTCGGATGACATCTTGGATGAAAATCCACGTAGAATGAGACATGGATTAAAATCATAGCATACCTCATCCTTCTTTTCTTTGGCTTTATTACGGACAGTAAAGAGTAAAATCCTTTTTATCGTTCGGAATCGGTTTGCTCTTCACGTTGTCCTTTTTGGTTCAATCCAATGAGAAAAAAAAAAAAAAACTCTTAAAAATCTAAGTCAGATTCGTTCAGAAAAGAATTATATTTCGAAAATGAATGATATGAATGGCAAAGAGTAGGCCCTCTTATTTTCTTTGCCATTATTTTTATTCTTATGTTGTAAAATATTAAAGAAGAAGAAGAAAATAAAAGAGAGAGAGAAGAGAGAAAGTGAAAGGTGCATGACGTTTTTTCCCCTTCATTCTACACTGAACATTCCATGTCCCTTAAAAAGTGAAAATGGACTTATAGAGTATAGAGAATCTGGACTGTTATCGATTATGAGTCATCAAAAAATGTTGAAGAATGAACGGCTAAGATTGAATAGAGGAGATATAAGGGTTAACAGTACTTTTTTACGTTGTGGTTTCGTTATGGGATCATATGATACTTTCCTGCAGAAATAAATGGGAAAAGGGAAAGAAATTAAGCAGCTAGAAAAAGAAGGCCAGGAAGCAGACCAACAGAAGCGAGCAGGTGGCAGAGAGAGAGAGAGAGAGAGAGAAGAAAGTAAGCTATAGATTCAGTGCTTACAGCTAATACTTGTGGGTTTTTCGAGAGGTATGCAAATGCGGAAGTGAGTTTTGGTTTCAGACTTTTATGAGAAGAAAATGAACTGGTTGAAGAAGAGAATAAGATTGAGGTTTTTATTTATCATGCATAAAAAAGAGAAGATGATTGAAGTTCTTGTTCATCGGGTAAAAAAGGAAAAGAAGATTAGGAATCTTATTCTTGTTCGTTTCACTCAAAACTAATATATATGATTCGAATTTCAAAGTTGTACTTATTAAAAAAAATTAAATTTTATTATTTTTGCTTCTAACATAATTAGTTTTATTCTTAATATAAAATAATGATACTAAAAAAAAAAAAGGAAGAGTCAAAGCTGAGATCGTGAAATTGATGGATTTGTGAAGACAATATTTGAGAACAAAGTTGTGTTAGGTTAAGAAAATTTTCAATTATTGAGTTTGAATATTATTTGCTGGTTTGGTAGGGGTCTAAAGACGACTGGTCGGTGGAGAGATCTTGACTTATTGCACGAATTATCTTGAAGTCCTCAAATTACCTCCCTTGTATGCATTTTCATACTTTGTAGACTATGGCCATGCTGTTGTTGCAAGTTCGTACGAAAACATGGAAATTGACAATTTGGCGATGGAGAAATTAATATTATTGGAGAAAGTAAGTAGGACACAGCAACCTCAATATAGACAATAGTCCATGGCCATTTCATGATGTGCCTTCTTTTCTTCATTTTATATACTAGAAATTTTGACCAAAGAGCTCTGTTTTTGTTTTTTTAGCTATCCTTATCTCATATTAGAAATAGTTTTAATCCTATTCAAAACAAAAATGATAAAATTTAACTTTTTTTAATAAATATGATTGTAAAATTTGAATTTTATACATTCGTAGAAAATTCGATTGAGGACCAACTCTCTTATCACTTGGCCAGCAAATTATTAGTAAAGGGCTTCTTCTTCTTCTTCTTCTTCTTCTTCTTCTTCTTTTTTTTTTTTTTTTTTTTAAATGGTTGTATAGATAGATTAATTACACAAAGTAGCTTATAAACTAGTCCCTTTAATTTTACGAAATAAATTAAATAGTTTTTTAACTTTAAAAATTAATTAATTAGTTTCTTGATTAGTGTTGATAATACTTAATTTAATGTTGTTTTATTAAAAGGATTAATTAACAAGTTATTCTAATCACGCATGTGAATATTGGAAATTTTACGTCAGCTTCAAAGTTGTTAACCTTTACACACGAATCCTCCATTTAAATTTCCCCAAATTACACTGCAAGTCCCAGCTCTCTCTCTCTCTCACACACGCACACAGAGGCACACACACACTCAAAACCCTTGCAGTATTTTCCATTGGCTCGAAGGAGAAGTCAAGCCGGTAGTAACAGAGAAGCCATGTTTATGTCAAAGAGTCAAGTGGGGTGTCTCTTGTTGATATTGCTGAGTGTTTCAGCATTTCACGATGTAGTTCTAGGAGCAAGAAATCTGAGAGAGAAAGTGGAAGATAAGGAGAAAACCCAAGATGGGAAAGAAAGTTCTAAGATTGAAGATAGGCGCCCTAATTGTGGATATATGGATAGATGTGTACCCTCATGTCCTGACCCCATACACAACAGGTAATCTGCAGGTCAGCCAACACATTCAAATCTTTTCAGAAAATGATCAATATTAAATGTCGTATCGATCTTTCCATAATTGCTACAGCTTCTATAAGATATAACGAGCTCAAATATATGTATATATATATTTCAGAATTTGCTTTTATTCTCTTATAAATTTTATAGTGAGTATTGTTCAGACATCTATTAAAATAAAAGCAAAGATATGTGAAAGGTATTTTAGATGTATGAGTTGTAATAATGAGAAAAATAAGAGAAAGTCATATTGCTGCATTTTTTTGCTCATCCCAATTCCTTTCTCTCTCCCTCTGTATGTCTAATAAATCAAATGGAGCTGTAAGCAGAACTAATTAAGATAAAAAGTGCAACTTTGCTTTGCCAATGAAGGAAAAAGGTTAAAAGATCGATGATATTGGCCAAAATCCATAAGGTTTCTTATGGAACTCAATCAAGAGTTGGAACTTTGTGGTTTTGAGGTAGGGTGTGTAGCAAAGAAGGTCTAGTAGTAATATTAATATTATGTGTGCATGTTTCTTGCTTACCAATGAAACTCGTTTTAATTGATAGCATAGATTTCATTGGTAATGAGGTATACATGTTTTCGTAAAATATTTCTCAATTAAAAAAAAAAAGATTAATACCATGAATTGTTCTTATATAATAGGTCATTTTTTCAATTTGTTTCTGAAAAAAAAATCTCTAATCTGTCTTTTTATTTTGTGCTTGTCTCTAATATATTATTTTGATCAAAATTTTCGAACAATTTTTGAAAAATAATCTTCATATTAATAATTACAGATCACTTTTATCAAATAAAAAAATAATTTTATCAAATCATATATCATATGAAAATTACTTGCTTAATTTGATTCAATTTAGTCAAAAATTTTAAGTAAAAAGATAGATTAGAAACCAGCTTAAAATATAAAGATAGATTAAAGACATTTTTTTTTAAGGGCGATTGAAAAATTAGCCTATTATATAAGGATAACCGAGGGCATTAATTAAAAAAAAAATCAAATTGATGTTGTTAAGGTTTTTTTTTCATCAAAACCATCTAAAAGCCTTTTGAAAAGCATCAAAATTTTTAAGTCCAAACACACTTTGAAAAATACTTTCAAACACATTGAAACTGCTCTTGTAAGAGGTTATAAATTTAAATCTTAGTAGATTAATTTTATTAATAACCTTAAATGTGTGAGTTAAAAAAAAAAAAACACTAAAACCGTCTTACCAAACAAGGCGTCAATAAATGCCTTCTCTTGGTTAGAATATGGGCTATAACCTAACAATAACCTTTCTTCCATATCCTTTCAAAGTAAATCAAATATTCAAACAAAAATTTCCCACTTTCTGTTTTGAAGCATCCGTCTTCGTGTTTGTTTTCCCTTCCCGTTATGTTAAGATCATTTCGTAAATGAACTAATTAAAAAGTAAATCGCAATAAGTTATTTGTTTTGTGGAAAAAGATTCTGAAAGTTGAAGGGTTAAGGTAAAGTTTGCTGGTCAGTTTGAAAAAAGAAAGGAACTTACGGGGTGTGGATGAAGATGAAACTGCTGATGATATTGGAGAACAGCCAGAGCTCATCATCATGACCTTTGCAATAATAATTTTTTTCCAATTTTTCCTTTTTTTTTCTCGGATAGCTAGCCTGATCATATGACCATGATTGTGACATGAAAAGGGACTTTTGAAGTAAAAATCTATTCTGTAAAGTTGCTACATTTGAAAACAAAATATTTAGAATAAGTTATAACTTTGTCCTTGAATTTTTTAGAAATTAATAAGTTAGTCCATCTAGTTCAAAAAAAATAAAATAAAATAAAACCCAAACCATGGTTAAAAGCACAAATTTTTAATCGATTTTTCGAAAATATATGTTTTTTTTTTAAATTTTTGGTTATTTGATAGTAAAAAAAAATTCTAATTCAAATTTTGTTACCTAGTAACCATTTTTTTTTCTTAAATAAGGTAATTTTTAATTTATTTTCTCAAAACAAAACTTTTTTAAAACTTATATATATATATATTAAAAGATATAGATTTTTTCATGTAAGCATCCATGTCATTCCCCCTATCGCGGAGATCAAATGAAAAGTTCTTCATCATCATCTACAGCCTCTAGCAAATGGAAAATGGTAATGGATGGATCAAAATAGATCCAAATAGAAATCATGGATTTTTATGTTTTTTTTTTCATCCTAAAACTATAAATCTTGGTATCACAAACTAAGTAAAATATAAATTAATGCAAAATAACTCATTAAGCATCATTTTCATCAATCAAAATATTTTACAAATTTAATAGAAAAATTAAATACCCATTTCAAGACAATCTTAAACTTCAGTGATCTTTTATGGCAAACTTCAGTCAATCTATTTTCATAACCATTTCAATTCTTCAAAAATATGTTATAAGCATGTCTTTTCTTTCTTTACTTGATGTCAATCAATATTCAATTTTTTTCAAAACAAAGCTGTATTTGATAGAAGATAACATATGTATATATCTAGAGAATACTTCGAATCAATTAATAATTAACAACACTAGGTGTGATGGAGAATATCAAAGCCTATGCTAGTCTTTGTGGTTAGGGAAAAAGAAAAAAACTTTTCAATTAGAAAACAAGGATGCCATTGTTATGAACTAAAAAACCAACAAAATGGAAAATATTCATACAGGTCCAACTAGCAGTTTCCATTTGAAATACAAAACAATCACACGATTATATAAAATAATTAACTTGATAGCATTTGTTGTGGGAAAAAAGAAGAAGAAGAAGAACTACTTTAAAACTAGAGATAAAAAGATTGGTGGTGTGTAAGAAAGAAAAAGAATTTTTTTTTGCTTGTTTTACAATAATAAAAAAATAAAATAATACTCACATTTATCTTTATATAGCACTAAATATTAATATTAAGAGAAATAAATTTAAAAATACTTTGATTAGAGAATAAAGATTTAAAAATGCTCAACTTGAAAAAAAAAACTTTGTAGTAACTTGAATGAATGTTAAGTGTTAACACTAATTATGGTTAGTGTGCTACTTAACTGAAGGACATAATAAGTTAAGAAAATATAGTAGAGAAATATAATAAAACCAAAATAATATTAGAAGGACGAGTGAATATATAGTACATGAACATTTTCATGCCTTATTTTTTTTTTTTTTTTTTTTGAGTTGACAAAGAAAGTTCAAACTCAAATTTTTTTTTAAAAAGAAGGATACTAATGCAAATCGACATATAATTGATTGGTACAAAAAAAACTCTTTTTTTTAGGTTCAGCAACATTAAGGGTGTTTTTGAGTCATTTTCACGTATCTCGAGACTAATTCTTCCACGGGTGTATCTAAGAAGCACTCTCCAACACACAACGTCGTGTTTCGAAAATTAGAAGTGCTGACCATAAGAGTTGAACTCTGAACTTGACTTATAAATTGACGCATACTTGAAAAAGAAGGATACTAATGCAAATCGAAATATAATTGATTGGTACAAAAAGATTTTTTTTTTTTTTATTTCAACAATAAGGGTTTTCTTGAGTCATTTTCACGTATCTTGAGACTAATTCCTCCATGGGTGTGGCTAAGAATTACTCTCCAACACACAATATTGTGTTTCGAAAATTAGAAGTGTTGACCATAAGAGTTGAACTCTATACTCGACTTATAAATCGACACTTACTTTCCAATAGTGTATCACATGTAATTGATTGGTATCAAAAAGCTCTTTTTTCTTAAATACCTGTATATGTTAAATTAATTAAGGGGAGCATAATGGACTGTAAACAATGACATGGAATCTGGTAATAGGACTAAGCAATATTATTGATGTTAGATATTGTGGAATTAAAAATACAACAACTTGGACTCATTGATGATGGTGAATTCAAAGACTAAAAGATAAATATAATACTTGTCCGTCAACAAGAAAAATAATGGAGACATCCTTGTAATGAAGGATAATTAATTAATGCTTTCATGGTACAAATTGCCTAAACACTTCGTATCTTTATCATATATAAATGACAAAATCAAATAATGCAACACTAACAAAAACATGTTAATTAAGGATAACATGCATGGAGTCAAGAATTGAAACATTTTGTCACAAGGGTCACAACCAACACGTAGAATATATAAGAGTTGGCATACCCTAGTTTGAAAAAAGAAAAGTTATTTTTTTGGTTCATTAGAAGGTTTATGAATCTAAGAGTACCGTGCAATAAAGATAGATATTTTTTTATTACATAATAACTAAATCAATTGAATTTATAAGGACTCGAACTAAGCTATCAAATATCTATACAACTGTTAGATTATTTTTGCTTATATAGAAACAAGTCATTGTAATTAAATATAATTAAAAAGGAAAAGTTTACCCAAACCCAATAAAACATAAGCTAATTAAAGATACGTTCCTTTTTAGTACAAAAAAATAAAATAAAAATTGTGTTGTTTCTTCATGAGGCAAAGAAGGGAAAGACAACCCTATTTTTTGAAACACACAACTCTGTCAACAAATCAGTATCTCTAATTAATAAAAAAACAAAAACCATGAAGAGTGGTTCAATAGTGGGAGATTTGGACTTCTAACAAGAAGTTTGAAGCTCAAATCCGGCTTTTCACACCTCTTTATGACCATAACAAGGTTTATCTATATTTCTTTGATTTTAAGAGTGTTAAGAGTTTGAAACTTTCCATTTTAACACTAATCCACATTCAACGAAAGTAATTGAAGGCCAGTTAGTTACCAAGTTAGCAATAAATAAATAGAAAGAAGTACTAGACGTTGCCTTAGGATATTGCTGTATTGAAATTATAATGGACAGTAGCATTTATATAATTTAGAGAGGAGAATGAAAGAAAGCAAAATCAACAATCAACGGAAGAGTCAAAGCCAAGATCCTGAAATTAGGTCCCTGTGAAGACAATATTTGAGACCAAAGTTGTGTTAGGTTTAGAAAAATTTTAAATTATTGGGTTTGAATATTATTTGCTGGTTTGGGCGTGGACTAAAGACGACTGGTCGGTGGAGACCTTGACTTGCTGCATTATTTTCATCATCATGAAGCATCTTGAACTCCTCAAACACCCTCCCTTGTCTGCATTTCATGCCCTATAGGTTATCGCCATGCAAGTGTTGCAGCTTCGTACGGAAACATGGAAATTGACAATTTGGTGATGGAGAAATTAATATTTTTGGCGAAAGTAAGTGGGACACAGCAACCTCAACATAGTCCATAGCCATTTCATGTGCCTTCTTTTCTTCATTTTACTAGAGAATTTGACCAAAGGTTTTCTTTTCTTTTCTTTTTTTTTTTTTTCCCAAAAATTTGGGTGTATAAATAGGTTAATTACGCATCGGAATATTGTATATTTTACATCCATAGTATTTGAAGGACTTATGCTTCAAAATTTTTAACCTTTACACACAAATCCTCTATTTGACTATTCTTCAATCATTTCCTTTTAAATTCACCAACTTACACCGCAAATCCCAGCTCTCTCTCTCTCTCACTCAAGACCCTTGTAGTAGTTTCCATCTTGAATAAGGAGAAGTCAAGCCGGTAGTAACTTAGAGAAGCCATGTTTATGTCAAAGAGTCAAGTGGGGTGTCTCTTGTTGATATTGCTGAGTGTTTCAGCATTTCACGATGGAGTTCTAGGAGCAAGAAATCTGAGAGAGAAACTGGAAGATAAGGAGAAAACCCAAGATGGGAAAGAAAGTTCTAAGATTGAAGATAATAATGGCTATGTTTCGAATGTCAAAAGAAGGGTGCCCTCAGGTTCTGACCCCATACACAACAGGTAATCTGCAGATGATCAGCCAACACATTCAAATCTTTTCAGAAAATGAATATTATCTGTCGTGCTGGTCATGCTATATTTGCAATACTGATCAGTATAGTTCAAATATAGCGAGCTCATGTATATAAATATTTATCTATATTTCAGATTTTGTTTTCATTCTCTAATTATAAACTTTGTAGCGAGTTTTTTTCCGAACACCTGCTAAATTATTTAAAGCAAAGATTTCGAAGGTATTTTAGATATATGAGTTGTAATAATGAGAAACAACAGAAAGTGTATATATATGTATGTATGTGTTTATATAGCTTGATTTGTTTACTATCATGTTGACTTTGCTCATCCCAATTCCTTTCTCTCTCCGTCTCTCCCTCGATCTGTGTGTGTCTAGTGAATCAAATGGAGCTGTTCCCAATTACTCCCTCTACAAAACTAATTAAGGGAAAAAGTGTACCTTTGCTAATGAACGAAAAAGTTTAAGATGATATTGGCCATAATCCATAAGATTTCTCATGGAACTCAATCAAGAGTTGGAACTTTGTGGTTTTGAGGTGCAGCAAAGAACATATATATATGTAGTAGTAATATCATGTGTACAGGTTTTTTTCTAATCAATAAAACTTGGTAAAAATTAGCCATATAGATGCCAATTTTCCTCCAAGTATGTCCATAGTAAATATATGTTCCGTATTATGGTGTAGGTGTTTTTTAAATAAAAAGATGTCAAATTGATGTATTTTTAGAATTTTTTTTATTGATTTTGATATCTTTGTATCAAATTAAATCATTTAACGTAACTTTAAAAAGCATAAAAATGATACTTTTAAGATCTAAAAACACTTTAAAAACGCATTACAATAACGCTTTTAAAGTCCAAATGCACTTTCAAAGAATGTCTATTAATAATATTATTTGTTCATGTTTTTTCTAATCCTATAGAACTTGGTGAAAATTGACGACACGGATGTTAGTTTTCCTCCAAGCATGTCCACAGTAAGTGTGTGTTCCGCAATACGGCGAATATGTTTTTGCAAAAGTACTTCAACCGAGAGATATAAAATGAATGACTATTGAGGATTTTTTTCCTTATTGATTTTGATATCTTCACATCAAAATTTTGAAAAGTATCAAATGAGCTTTTTAAGGTTCAAATAATCTTCAAAAAGCACTTTCGAACATAGTAAAATTACATTATCATATGTGGCCTAAATAAATACCATCTCTTGGTTAGAAGAGCCAAAACCTAACACCCTTACCCCCATGTCCTTCCAAAGTAAATCATATGTAGATGAAAGAAGAAGGTATCTTTTTCCATCTTGTAATTCATACGGATATCCAACCCATTAATTTAATTTTTTATCTTACTCATGAAAAGAATATTTTACCCATTACTCATTAAAAAATCACTATATAAATCTTTACTCGACCCACGCATGGTTTACATTATAGTTAATCCATCCATTTAGTACCTATTTAATACCTACTAAAAATAATTTGTTAAAAATATTTCATTTTAGCCCATGTAATTTTCAAAAAAAGTTTTTTTTAGTCCTCAAATCTTTTGAAAAAATATTTTGATTCTTAATTTTAAAAGTTTATACAATTAATTAGATCCCTATATGTTTTAAAAAAATCAAAATAAATTAGTGGGTTTTAATAAGATAAAGAGTGAGTACTCATATCCTACAACTATATTAGCGGATGTATATTTTTTTTATCATTACCTACTTTATTACCCTTTTGATATTTTTAATGAGTATTTATTGGGTCGAGTAAATTTGATATTCATTTTATATTCGATACATTGTCATTCTAAATAATTATATATAAAAGCACGAACTCTATAAAAACTTTTGATTGACTATTATATCTTTAATAATAATATGCATACACACAAGCCATTATTAACAAGTAAATTCAACACCACCAATAATTAAGAAAAAGACCAACTCTGATAAAATTCTTAAAAAATATTAATTCCTCAAAAATAGACTACATTTTTAGAATTAATCCTAGAATAAGGTTAATCCCACTTTTTAATTATTTTATTCATACACCATATAAAACTTTAAATACATAAAATAAGCTACGTAACTCACTCCTAAACTATATAGTAATATATTAGTGCTTTATTTTAACTATCAAAACTCTAAAAAGTCTTAAAAACAAGTGAATAAAAAACATAAAATATTAAAATTCGAAAATAATTACATTACAACAAAATATTAAATTGAATCCTTAGTTAATTTTTTGTAGGTTATTTTTTGTTATTATTGTCTTACATTATTTTTAAATCTTTTTGAACTGATAATATTTTTTTTAAAAAGTAATATTTAATAAAAAATAACTTATAATTTTTTTTATTCATTTATGTGTTGTTAATTTATAATCATGTCACATGTAATTGAAAAATACTTTTTTTCAAGAGTTATATATAATGTTAAGTGAATTTTTTTTTATCAATTATTATTTTCAAGAGTTATATATACATTCATTCTACCTATTAATTATTTTTTAAAAAAAATATTTCAGTCGTGTCCCTATTCTTAATTAAGTATAATTATAGATTATATCGTATAGTTCGAAAATTAAACAAATGAATTCATATAAGATTATTTGAGGATGAAGCTTGTTTATTTGATAAACATTTTAATTTATTCATTTATAAATAATTATAGACAATCAATTACAAATTAAAAACCACAACCAACGTAATATGAGATCAATATCTCATTGCACCGTATCTGATTTTGATTGATTAAGAAACCCAAACATAGAAAGGAAGACAGATTAATTAAAATGACACCACCAATTCACAATTTTTTTTTTTTTTTAAATCTAAAAGCACAGATCCTTTTATTTCTTTTTTCAAAATTACAGTGGGTATTTTTGGAATAAATGTTGTAACTCAATTTTTAAGTGATTTTCTATAGCAAATCAAAGGGTATCCATTTGATTTATTTTTGTACGGATTTAATAAATTAAATTATATTTGAAATTTGTCTGCACCCTAACAGCCTGTAAAAGTTTTTTGTCAACATGTGGTGTGGATAGAGTGTATCCATGAAATTACTCGCTTTTTTTCAGACGTATTAGTCTCCTCCTACCTACCATATGGTGCCAAAGAGTGTGTGTAGTGACAAAAATCTACAGAAAAAATTAGGAAAAAAAAAAATACTAGCAACAATTTCCTTAAAATGCTATACTCGAATTATTTTAATTAAGAATTTTCCTTTTTAGCTTGACGAAACTTTTCATTTTTTGAGATTTTTTGTTTCAGATCATTTGTTATAATAATATTATCAATTAGTAATAGATATGTTATTTCTATTTTTTGAGATTTCTTACTTGACAATGACACATGTCGAAGAATAAAAAACTCTATCAAATTAAAAAAAAAATCTTAACAAAAAAATTTCAAAAAATACAACGTCTAAATGTGAGGAAAACCTAAAACCAAACTGTATATGCGAGCCATGCACTCTCCTAGTCTCAAATGTCCGGATCTTTTTTGGTGCATGGACATGAAATCTCCAATTTTGAAGGAAATTAAAAACATTAGTGAACCTCAATACATCAACATTTGTTTTTGCACATTGCCTCCTATTTCTAGCAAATAGATGGCCAAATATTTGATTCAAAGGCGTTAGGGGTCGATTTTGGGTGATCCTGCTAATGCAAGACAAAGCACTCCATATCGTCCTCTCAGCTAACTGGGTAGATGGTTCTAAAAAGAAAAGTTTATGACTAATTAGTTTGTTTCTTAAAACTAGAGGGAGCAATTTATAATTTACTCATAGTTTATTATACTTTAGATCAAGAGACATAAAGAAGCATGGATGCCTGTACTACTACAAGGGGTTAGTTTCAAGTCCCTTACCATTAACGATACCTTGTTGCATTGTTGCTTGACAGCTGAAACATCTTCTTTGACAGTTTGAAACATGGTAGGAGCCCACAACACTCCATTTCGATTTAGATTCTTCAACAGTGGACAAGCCAATAGTGCTATTTTCAGACCAATCTCTCAATGACACACATTATATATAACTAACCTCTAGGACCCAGGTAGCTTTTAAAAGAGGAAGTATCTGCCCGAGTCTGGACAGTTGGCCCCCACAGCGTTCCACAACTTGTGGATACCTGATCAATCATCCCGATCTGGGAGGCTACCATTTTCCTCGAAAAGATTGCAAGGAGAAGAAAGGAGGGAGAATCTAATCCATTTAAGCACCAAAACAATAAGAAAATGCAAGAGCATGGATACAAATTGGAACACAGTCATGTCTGTACAACCATGGGAAAAAATCACCGCCTGAGTCCTATCAACTGGATTGTGGACCCTTGGATTACCTCCAACATGACTCACACACAATAATGGAAGATTCTGCTTTTCCAACTAATAATTAAACCTTGATTGGGAAATCAATCCACACACTGCAGACCGTATCTTTCGAAGTTACATGGAAACAAGACTCCCAAGGTTGAATTTAATCAACCTATAAACTAGGTGCCTAGATGCTCATTTTCTATGCATGGGAATTTGTCAAGGCAGATATTAAACGTGTGCTTATATGTAACCAAGGTAAACTTCTCTTGAATGCACCGGTTTGGGTAAAAAAAACCAAGCCTCCAACCAGCTACCAAGAGGAATTTGGTCTCAGTGTGTAAAGGCAAAAGTTGGCCGGTGCTTAGGTAACTTGGTCCTGGGCTAAAAATGAAAAAGCAGCTCCCTATTTCAATATCATGCTACAAAACGTAAAGATTTTGGAGTAACGTAAGAAAACTGGACGCTACTTGGCTTCCAAGTCGTCCTACCCTTCTATGATAAGGATGTCATCCACCAACAAAACATACATGCTTTCTTTATATGAATAAATTGAGAATCCAAGAAAACATTGAATCAGCAAATAGCTAGCAGAACAGACAAAGGAATCATAAATCTTATCAGAGCAACCAACTTCGGTTTTTTTTTTTTTTTTTTTGTCTTCATTCTGGCATGGTAAAAAGGTCCTGTTCTAGCAGTTTTATTTAAATTTAATACAAAAAATATCTATCTACAAGCAAGAGTGCTCTCTGAATATTGCAAAGAAAATCTGTTTTTATACAATAAATTGATACACTTTATTAATTGACCCAAAATATGTGGTAACATGAAAGAATATATCACTTGACAACAAGCACTATAACTGTACTTGTAATACAACATGAAAAAGGCAGAATGGTAGGTGGATCTGGAGGGAAAAAAAAAAAAAAACCTGTATATGTATACAAGCCAAAATCCTACTTCTAGGTATATGGGAGTTGTATGATTCACCCATTTCACAACTAAATAACACAACAAAACAACTCTAGACCCAATTGCTAAGCTAGAGCCTTGATGTAAAGAATGGCAAACAATAAAGTTAAAAAACATTGGCTTGGTACCTTACTATCAGGTCAAGTTTCAAGGACGCACCATTTGGATCCTAAATTCTTCCCCGAGCAGCATCCTTGTGACAGTGCAACTGTGGCTTATGCTCTAGAAGCCTCATCATGAATGAAACAGTTGAATAAGAAACAGTTGAATAAATTACAGCCTCGGCCAAAAAGCTGCCAGTGAACATTTCCAACTTGTCCTCCCATCCTGATCATCCAATATGTATGCATGGCAAATTTGGAGGGTTGCAGCTTACTAAATTTGCCCATAAATTAGCGAGCATGAGAAAGTAGTGCTCCCCATTCCATACCACTGTTTTCATCCCTGTTCAAGGAAATCAAAATGGTAAAATATTAATTTGTTCAACCTTGTTTATAAGCTCTATGCAGGCATGTCAGCATCATCTTATAGTATCATGCCAAAAAGGCTTCCAACAGAGGCCAAGAAAATAAAATTAAAAAAACTGCTTGCAAAACTACTATCATGCTTTACAATGTAGCACATTTCAATTTTCTCAGTTTATATAGAGAATGAAAGATGACAACTTCTATGAACTCAAGTTCCAGTCTGTTGATATGAGTTTATGGACACCCGAAAACAAAAACTAAAATCTTGGCCACTTTACATGTCATGATTGATATGAGAAAACTGATTCTTTTAATGGCCTAGCCTAATCCAAAAAATATATAAAATCAATATTCTGCACACCTGGCACTGTTCCTGCAGTTAAAACGGACAGTCGACAGATAGGACCTTGTCCACAGAAAACATGGTTATATAGCGTGCGAGCATCAAGATTGTGAATGTACTTAATCGACTCTATTAATGTAGTAAGACCTCCATTATAATCAGGACCAGCTGGATCAGAAATGCTTTGCAGAGCTTCTTCAAGTCCAGAACTTGACCATATGGTGAAACACTCACTTAGAAGAGTGAACAAGCCCATGGATTCTGTAGAATTCACCAACAACCATGGCTTATAGAGTCTGGCTGAGGACCCAATAACTTCAATAACTCTATATATTTCTCCAAGGGCAATGATATAGTTCTTGCCTGTAATTAACCCAAACAATGTCTAGTTAAAATATCAAACACAAATATAAAGCATCTGCAACCATTACCAAATCTCCTGTTACACATGAATGGTAATGCAGTACCTTGAGGTTTAGATAATATTTGATCATGGACATCTTTTTGTAATGACTGCATCCAAATTAAGGCACCATGTTTCAGCTCTCGAGCACAAACAGACAGGATTTCAGACCATGTGGAAACATAACTAGATTGCTCCTCCCTTGATACCAAGGTCAAAATCTTTATTGTTGATGCCACATGTTTGAGGAGTTCCATTGTCAATCTCAGATCATTCTCTGCCTGTCAAGATTTAACATAAAATATCATTAGTATGAAATCAGAACCAGTAAAAATGCAAAATACAGCATCAAAAAGAGATCACAACGTACATTCTAGTCCCAAAATTTACTGCTGAGTTTTAAATATACATGACTTTGCATGAATGAAGCATTAGCCTACTAGCGTAGATGCCACAAGAGAAAGATGCCAGATTCTCAAGCCCAACAATCAATGGTTCTTTATTAATACATAAAAGAAAAAAAGACTTACTAATGACAATTTATTTGATAACCGATATTCTGATTCAAAGATTTGGAACTTTGGTTCTTGCAAAATCTCAGCATATTCACCGAGGCACAATTTTCTTGGGCTGTGATTCCCTGAGTCAACTTCACCAGAAACCAAACCATCTTGGCGCATCTCGTCATGAATATTCTAGAACAGCAGACAGCAAAACCATATTATGAAGTTGTGAGCCCAAGTATATTTCACGTTCTATGAGCACAAGTTATCATTACATATCCAACAAACATAATAATATGAGTGGCAAAAAATTGAAATCTGAAAGAAAGGGGAAACAAAATAAATGCTTAATTTCCACAGTTAAATTCATATTGAGGCAGCAGAGAAACAAATGTGATTGCAACAGATGTCAATAGAAAGAGAGAATGAATTAAAAAAAAAAGTTGGTGAAAGACAACAACTTATGAGAAGCAACTCCCAAAACTCACTAGTTCATTGATCTTTTTGGCACAATGTCTTTGAAACAGGAAACAATCCAGAGATTGTGCAAAAACAACAATAAGGACACAAGTGACTCAACAGAGCTACCAACCTGTATTTCCTTTTCAAGGGCCTTTACTTCAGCATCTTCACTAGAAGCAGTTTGAGCTTTCTAACAAAAAGCATATTCAAAATTCAATGCCATTAACAACTCAACTTCGAGAGAAGGAAGGAGAATAACTCAACACGCCTACTAACCTTTAGATTATCAAGATGAGATAGGGCAAGAAAGTGCAATTCTTCCTTCAATTTGTAAAAGAAATCCATATAGTCATCAAGCTCTATTTTGGTGGAATATTTTGTATTAGGCTCTCCAAGACCAACAAACGAGGACTGATCTTCAGCTCTGGTCCCTGAAGAGGCATCTTTAAATTCCCAGGAATCATCATCAAAATCATCACCATCACCTGCTAAATTAGACTCTATTACAGCATTAGTGGTGCTCAATCCATTTCCACTGGGATTTTGGCCATGATTAACAGCAGTATTCTGCTCAGGTTGACTGTATAAACTTGATATAAGATCATCAATAGAAATGTTTGAATGAGGGCTCTTAATTCCATCTATTGGCTTGGAACTCAGCAGCTGAGGTGAAATGTCTTGATAACGCACAGGATCATTGGAATCCTCTTCTTCATCACCAAAAATGGACAAGGGCAGGGCTACTTTATGACTGATTGACCTGGTCATGTTTCCCTGATCAAGAAGGAAAGATCTTTATATAAGAGAACAATATTTGCTCATGAATGCATGCACTGTTAGCAAACTTCACTCTGTCAATGTTTCAAACATAAGTCAAACTTAATAAATTTGGCAAAGATGGCAAATAGGAGGAAAAGACTATAAGTCTCTGCAAATGCATCTTGTGTCTACTTAAAGAAACAAAAATAGATGTCCTGGGATGCCCTAGTTATATTTTCTATACTAGATTCTTAGATGCAAACCACCATTTAATATAATTAACAGCATACAGTTTTATTAAAACACGAAGTCTTTGTAGCGAGGAAGCACCTTAATTTCACCATCAAATGGAAATGCTTCCACAGCAGTAGAAACTTCAACACCCTTCGGCTCTTCCTATAGCCAAAACGGAAAAATGAGGTTTCATATATTTATGTTACTCAAGCAACTTAAACACAGTTGAATCGCAAAAATGAAATAAAAATAAGTAAAATTGTCACCTTATCCTTTGATCCAGTTTCCAAAAATGCATCTTTAAACACCCAAGACTCTTCATCAGCATCAACTCCATCATCTGGGGAGGAATGCAAGCCTTTTTTGGTATCATTCTGCTCATTTTTAGAGTATGTATGGGACAACATATTGTCTTGAGCCAAAGAGGGGCTGAAATGTAATCCAAAGTCCCATTCAGTGGATTTTTGAGAGGTCTGTTGTGATGCACCAAATAAATCACCAGCACCGAGCACTCCACTGCCAAACCCAAGTGTATATGTGGCTCCCTCAGAAGTTTCCACCTTTCTCTCATCACCCTTCAAACTTCAAAATGTCAGACTAGATAAACCAAATAAAATCACTGAAGAAAACAAAAATGGCCCTTGTCAGACAATTTTAGCTAATGGCAGTAGGTGTCCAAAAGTTTAGCTATTTCAAGGCCACATAATAAATGCAAAATTAAGCAGCACTTATGCAAGAATGAACAAAAAGAAAAGAAAGAAAGAAACTATAACAAAGCTTAAAATAAGAGTTTCATAATGCAATCACAATTATGTGTTTGTTTCTGTTCTTATGAATCAAATATCCACTGGCATGTCCTGACTTATTAATGCTTTTCAATCTTGTTAACTCAGAGGACCCTAGGGCCTACTATGATTGGCAAAACAATACAAGCACTATTTGTTCACGTTATATTCAGTTGCTGAGAAGAGAAATGTCAATCACAGATGCTTTATTGTTAATTAGGACTGACAGAACCAAACAAGACAACTGAAATTTTAATTTTATTCAACCAAATGGAAAGCGAATTAAATTTAAAATATATTTAGCAAATCACGAGGACTGTGCTACCTTAGCATTCTTGTCTCCAGTCCCAGATTCTGATTCTGCTGCCTTGAATTCCCACTCATCATCACCACCAAAATCCTCATTTTCATCAAGTGAATCCAGATTCATCTGTTTTTTATCTGAATTCACAGAATTTGAGTTTGAATTCTTGTGCCCATCCAAACTCAATGAATTCCACATAGAAATGGATCCATTAAAACTCAATCTTGGCTTGATTTCAGTCTTCGTCTGCTCACCCTAAACATATTGCAAATGATATTGTTAAAACACTGCAGAATAGAAAACGATAACTTCCCTACTGCTCAATTGCCAACTGCAGATATATCATTATTTGCCAACATAGAGAACAAATAGATATACTCAACCACCAAACAATCATGTAAGCATCAGAAGGTCAATGTTTGTCCATTTCCTCTGTTTTCTCAGCATGCAAGACAAAGGAACACAAGAAACATTAAAGGTCAATCAAACCTTGAGAGCCACAGATAGCCTCAGAAGTGCCATCACAAAATGGAATTCTGATTCGGCACCACCCAAAAACCTCCATTTACCAACATTACTGAACTATATATTTTCATTGACTGTGTATTAAACGTTTCCTGTCTGAATTAATTCCACTTAAATTTAAACTCAACTCATCCGAGACTAGATGCAACATACTGAAACTAGGTAACTTATATTCCAGCTCAAAACAGATGTGTCAAAATTCAATTTCAACACATTTTCAATCTTCATCTAGACAACTACCATTGTTCTCATCAAATCAACACCAAGACTCAAAAACAATATCTAAATTCTCCTTTGCAATTTCATTGCAGAATTTAAATGCTTTGAAGGTGGAAAAAGTTAATCGTTGCTTTTCTAGGTTTGCAAGCTGAGTGTACAAAGTTTTAGACTAAATGTGCCAGATGCAACAACTCAGAGATGAGGAGATATCCTAATTGTTTGGAGACCAAAATAATCTACATCTAAAATTCTATTTATTTTTAAAGAATATCTTATTGGTGTACATGTATGCATTCTTCTTCAAAAAAAAATTTCTTTATTTTTACAGAAAGAAGAGACCAAAGTAGCTGGTGAAAATAGACAATTCTCATGTACTCAAAAGAGAGCATAATATTAGAGTCTACAATCAATAAAACAAGTTAACATTTACCTTATATTCCTCATCTCCAGCCTGCATTCTGGAACCTGTTTCTTTGAATTCCCACCCATCACTGTTACCGAGTGCTGTATTTCCATCATCTATACCCATATTCAACAAATCCCTAGTAGAATCATCTCCATTAACATGTGAGGTCCACCCATCCAAATCCAAGCTCAAAGGATTCCAATTTAAATTTAATCCATTAACATTAGACACCAACCCATTCTCAGTCTTGATTTCACTAGCCTGATTGAATAAATTTCATTCAAAAAACATCACTAAAACAAACCCCACATTCAAATTCTCATACAAATAACAATAAACAAATACACTTTCCAAATCCAAAAAGTATTACAAATAAGTAGCTGACTCGTATAAACTTAACTACTCAACTAAAAAAAAAAAAAAATTGAAACTTTACCTTAGAAATCTGAACTTCCACATCAGTTTTAGTGTCTGCACCTTTGAATTCCCACCCATCATCATCGTCATCAACGCCACAATTAGCATCAAATGGCTCATTACCATTAATCAAACCCAAATCCACTCCATTTCCACTCAAATTCCCATCTTTTTGAACCAAATGCCATTCGATTTTATTCGAATTCAACCCATTTTCATTCAAACCCAAATCCAACCCGTTTGAATCAAATTCCTCCTTATTTAAACCATTCACACTCAATCCATTACCATTCAAATTTCCCCAATTCAAATCCGATCCCTTAAAATGGGATCCGAACCCATTATTCCTTTCCTTATCTTTATCTAAATTAGCTATCAAATCACTTACATTAACACCTCCTGATCCCTCTTTATGTTTCAAAAAATCAAAAGTTCCATTTTTTGTAGGTTCGCCCGCACCTGATCCTTCCACCTGTTCTTCTTCTTCTTCTTCTTCAATTTCTCCAAATAACGAAAGAGGCAAAGCTCCTTTTGGCTTCTCCCACTGAACCAAATTATTAACTCGACTCGGCGCCGATCCAGGCTGAGCCAGTGACTCGGCCGAATTTTGATTTTTGGAAGAGAATTCAAATTGGGTATTTGAGATTTTGGGCAATGATAAGGTGTGGCTGAATCCACTGGGATTGCTGCTGACAAAATTGAAATCTCCCCAATCATCATCATCAGCATCGTTGGTGCTGGTGAAATCTAAGCCGTTGATCATTGTTGGACTGGAATTAACCGCGTAATTTGACGGACCGAAATTGAAGTCGCTAAAGAATTCTTCTTTCTTCTTCATCGTCGTTGTTCACGGCCATTGTTCTTCGAAAATTCCTCTTGCTCTCTGAGCGTTTTGCATTTTTTTAAGTGCGCAGTTTAAGGGTGTGTGCACATGCGGTTTAATTTAGATTTTCATGGATGGAGTATAAAATTGGGTGCTGAATCTGCTGATTTGGACCCAACTAGTGGGGCTTAAATGGGTCGGATCCATGTGTTTCATTTTCTAATTTCTGATTTTAACAATTAGGATATTCTCTTGCCAAAACCGAAATCTTTTTTTTTTTAAATATTGTTTATTTAAGGGAATGTCGGCTGGGAAAGTGACCCCAAAAAAGTGAAATACGCTGCGTGTGATTTTATTATTTAGGATTGTTTATTTTAATTCTTTTTATTTAGATATAGTATAAAATAAATTTTGTCTTACTTAAAATTAGAATAAATCAATCTTTTCATTCATATATGATAATCACGATATATTATATATGATTGATTAGAAGTTAGATAGAAGGATTAATTTACGAGTTTTTTTCACAATAAAATACTTTTATATTTTATTTGTTATGCTAAAGAAGTTTTACTTTTATTTGAGAAAAGATATAAAAGTATTTTACAATGACAAAAAAACTTGTTTGTTTACTCTAATTTTCGATAGAATAAAGTTTGTTTTATATTATTTTTATATAAAAATATTAAAATAAATAATACTAAATAGTACAAGAATATAAAATGCATTTCACCGAATCAAAAAGTTTTGGCTTATTTTGAATCTAATAGTATGCTTAGGAATTGGATTAACTTCAATATGTATGCTAATTGCTAAACAATTAGCAAGTCATCATGGCTGAGAGAACATGTGCACTCAAGTCCCATTTTAGTGACCTCCTGTTATGGTCCTCCTAATAAGAGCTTGATGACAAGGCAATCTGATGGAATCAGAATGACCACATTTACAAGCACTCCTGTCTTCAAGATGCCAACTAGGGTTGGCTGGAATTTGTCATCAACACCAACCTAGCTTGTGGACTACATGGATCTGCCTCATCCATCCACTCATTAATCAAAGGTAACAACATTTGGGTATCAACAATCATCAAGAAAACTAACCTTTCAAAAAATATCGATTATCTTTTTATTTATATATGTTTCAAAATATTTATCCGTTAAAAATTTCAAATAATATATTTTATTAAAATATCCTTAATTAAATTTATAAAAAATTTATCCAAATATAATTCTAAAAAAAAAACGTATCTTTGAAAAATATACATAAAAAAAATATATTGATATGTCATAACAATTAATAATTTTTTTAATATGTAGAGTCAAATTGGTTGAGTTATAATTCGGTTGAAATAATATATTTGGTTTCCATTTAATTTGGAAGGTGAGAAAGAAAAACATTTTGATTAAACATCCAATGAGGAATTCATTACACTAGTGTAGAAGATATTTAGAGGAAGAGACAGCCAACAAAATGAGAGAATAACATTCTTGAAGGGACAAACATACATATTAGGGTTCTTGAAAGAACTCATAACAATGGATAAAAGAACATTCCAATCAACGAGGTCACCAAGCAATGACCAAAACCAACGTTGAAACCAAGTCAGTTTCTTGTTCCCGAAGAGATCCGAGCTTCCGTTGTTTTTGTTCAAAACAATCACCATCCAATTCTCACTAAAACCGACTCCTCACTACACCAAAATAAGACCGTAATGGCAAAATGTTTGAGGCGGTCAAGAAAAGCGCCCCAAATTTAATAGTTTTTAAACTACTTCGTTATAACATAAAAAATATGTATCAACCGCCCCACCCCACGTTTTAAGCTAGGGCGCTCGCACTTCTTTTATTCATCTTTCTATTTTAAGTTTCGAAAAGAAGCGGTAAGCAAAGCCACCGCATTGGCCTTTCACAAACTTCATCGACATCATCAACTAACAATTCTTCCTCCTTACCTTCCTCTTTTAAAAAACCACCCATTATTGTCTTCAATTTCCCAAACACCAAAAACGAACCCGGATCTACCCACCCCCACAAATCTACCATCATTGTTCTCCCTACCCCTTCTCGCCCACCTCAATCTTCATCTCTTCCCGGTAATGTTCCTAAAAATTCTTCCTCCTTACCTTCTTCTTTTAAAAAACCACCCATTATTCTCTCCAATTTCGAAACACCAAAAATGAACTCGGATCACCCACACTCACAAATCTACCGTCGTTGTTCTTCCTACCTTTCTCGTCCACCTCAATCTTCATCTCTTCCCGGTAATGTTCCTTTCATTTCAGCGATATAGGGTTTTCGATTTAATTTCATTTTTATCAATCAATTAATTACACCTATAAATAATGACAAGTCTTTATTGGGTTTTTACTCCTTTTTGGTCTACTATGTGTTGGTGTGATTTTAGATTTATGGGTTTTTGTTATTTTATTAACTTTAGCCCATGAATGATGTTGTCCTCTCGTTGGGTTCTTACCCTTTTGTTTATATATGGTTGTTGGGTATTTAAATTTTATTTGATTCTTGCTAAAACTAATGTGAGTTTCTCTACTTGAGATCGGCTATGTGTATCAATTTATTTCTTTCATTGATTTCTTTGTCTTTAATCTTTAATCTCTGCAATGTGGGTTTATTGAGCATTTAGTGTATATAATATTGAAAATTGAGGTGGAAGCATCCTTTTTTTGCTTGTATCAAATATGTTCGCCGGATTCAATATTGTTTTCTTATATGCACTCGTAAGCTTTCTTAGATGTGTAGACTTGTAGATCTCCAATATTGTGTGATGGTAAGGTGAATCAAACCCAATTTACCAAATTCAAGTTGTTCGGTTTTTAGTCAAAGCCAACACCGAGTTCATCTTTCTCTAGAATTCACAAGAAAACACCTTCAAAATCCAAGCTTTTCACAACCGTATCATTATCACCATTCTCTCGCTTCGACAGAGTCCACAGAACCAGTCGAGCCGGAAAATGAAGGAGAGAAGTTCGACTAGTATGCGAGTGGTATCCAGATCATGCCAATTTGTGATTTGGACAAGAGGGTGCCACATGCAAAAAGGGTGATGGGTCTTGATATTGTGGTGTGGTGGGATATAAATGACACTACATGGAAAGTCTTTAATGATTCTTGTCTCGACGGGTCGGCTCCATTATCCGAGGGAAGAATTGATCAATGGGGAAGGTTGCAGTGTGTATACCATGGTTGGTGCTTCAATGGTTTAGTGACCGCAAATTCATCCTTCAAGTACCACCGGATGGTCATTAGGTAATAGTCCAAAATGTTAGCTGCTATTGAACTTAGATTAAAATTTTCCATGATGCTCGTGTTTTCTTATTTCCCTCTTGCTATATTTATCATCTTATTCCCAATGTGTTTAATTATGTCACTGCTATCCTTGGCTCCTCCATTGTTACTCCTTCGACGAGCCCCTCCTCCACTCTTCACCACCACCAACACTCACCAAAACCCAAAAACCCATCACCCCACACTCTCCACGCTTCCTCCAAACCAACCCCCGTCGTCTATTCCTCGCTCTTCTCCTCTCCTCTCCACTATCCCATTTTGCCAAAACCAAAACTCCTCCTTCCTCCTCAATTACTATGCCAACCTTGCTTCAAAGCTGGCCGAGGATGGCCGTCTCTAAGACTTTGTGATGATTGCAGAGTCGGTGATTGCTTTAGGTGCTAAGGCTTCAAGTTTTGTTGCTTGCATTAAGTGCGAGTCCCGTGGCAAAGGGTATTTCAAAGAATCTTCAACAAGGAAATGTAGATCGTGTTGTTCGGTTTTGAAGAAAACCGAGAATTTAAGAGTTTCCACTTTTAACTTTCTTGATGGCGTTGCTATTGATTTGCTTAAAAAAGAGTGTCTCGGGATTGTGAATTTTGGTGATGTGGAGCAAGTTGTAGGCACAATGGAGACTCTTCTTCGGTAAATTTCTTCAATTACCAATATCGACAAGAAACTTTAAATTTTCTTTGATGGGTAGTTTATATTTTAAGATTGATTTCATAATTCAGCTTTAGTTAATAGTTACGGTGTTATAATTAAGAAGCTTTGCATTGTATATGTAACTAATATTTTATGGCCGGTCGTGGTTTTGCTTCTCCTTCAAAGAACTAGTGGACCCATCCTACATTATTAAAATCTGTGTTGACAAACATAATCCGAATATGGCGATGCGGTGCGGTGCGGTATGACCACTCTTTGTAAAATTTTATTGGTTTGATTTTTATTACAAATCGGTAAAACACGTTTGTTGCATTGAATCTTTGTACATTTGTTATTTATGTTATAATATATCATGGATGCTATAAGCACGGGTGTTACATAATGCGAGTATGCGACCATGTTTCCGAGTGAAGAATGCATATTCTTTTACAACATTATAAGTGAATTTGGAAGAAAAAGGGACTCGGATTCTCGCTTTGGTTGCATATAATGAAGCTAAGCATAAATTGAATGTTCCTAATATGTATTTACATCTTACCATAATTGATGTCCGTGGTCTCCGTGGTGACTACATGAAATCTAGGTATATTTATGAGGTAATTGATTTGACTACCTTCACCTACTAAAGTTCTTTGGATTTGCTTATGAGCTTCATTTATTTTATATGTCTCACTTCGGTTTAATATGCATATTGACATTAAATAGTCTATCTATTCCATGATCATGTTTTTGTGGCAATACCTAGCTACTTTGTTTGCATCTATTTCTTCCTTTCAATTGAATTGAGTGTTGAGCCCTAGATTATTTAGCTAGTGGTTGCAAGAAAACAAAGAAAAAAATGAGTTGGTGAAATATGACCCATTTTATCGGAAGAATTAGTATCAAACTATTCAAGTGTGTACAAGAATATGCAAGTAACTCTCACTCACTCCCCCTTCCTCTCTCTCTCAAACACATACACACACAGTACAATGCATGCATGCATACCCACACATACAAAAATTTTCCGGGGTAATCTTTTTGAGAAGCTTCGTATAGGTAATTTGGAGTGCAAAGATGAGGTTATAGTGGATTTATTTCGTTGGAATAAGATATTTCACATTACCATTTCTTGTCGGGTATTGTGTGATTTATCTTATTCTACTTACACTTTCAATTGTGTTAGGATCTCTCTCGATAAAAATTTCGATTGTTTCAAATTCAATTGATCTTTTACTTTCAATTGTTCTTTTACTTTTCAATGTCCGGAGACAATCGAATGACGACTCCTAAGGTAACTTTTGATATGGTCATTGGTAATGTTTTGCTCGTAAATCTCTTTATGTGTTGAAGCATGCACCCAACTTTCGTGTCACTCGGCTTAATTCGTTAATGTGTTGGCAGCTATCCTATGTGTTTCCATAACGGACATCCTACCATGATAAGATGAGCATCGATTACAAGGATGTTATACTATTACTTATTCATCAATTGCTTTGTTGCAGGGAATTGCTAATTGAGTTTGTCTTGGTCTTCTTCCAACAAGTGAGGGCAGTTAGGCTACTGCATTGTTAGGGCATTAAGGTTTAGTTCAAGTCTACCGAATCACTTAGATCACTTTTAATTGTTTCACTTTTATTTGTATCCGATTTTGAGTTTTAATGATGTGTTGAGCGTGGCTAAAGCGAAACTGGTTTATACTTGTGAATGGAATCCCTATGCTTGTTGAGGCACCGAGACATAATCTTGAAGCAAATTCCGTCAACATTAGCCATTTATTTTAAAACATATTGGGAATTTTTTTTATGTATTTCGAACAAGTGTTTAATCCTTTTTTTTTTCCTCCTTGTGGATGTTTGAAGATTTTTTATGTATTTAGAATTTGATAATTACAAATTTAAGAATATTGGATAATCTATATAATTTTTCTTTTATTTGCATTTAACATGATGTAAATATTTTTTTTAATTTATTTGTTTTTTGACCAAAAAATGAAGTAATTAATTGAATTTGAAGGCTTCTATAAATTCTAAATTAAGTTATTTATTTATTTTTTAAAATTTACATTTTGGGAAGGTCTAAACAAGCATTATATTTTTAAACTTTGGGGCGGTTACAACCGCCCCAAACATTTCAAAATTGACAAAATTGTAGAGGCGGTTTTGAACCGCCTCAAATTACACCCAAACAGACCGAGAGAGGCATTGTAGAGGCGGTTTCAAACCGCCTCTACAAATTCTTTGAGGCAGTTGCAACCACCGCAAGGAACCGCCCGAATTTCCCGACGGTTGATAAAACCGACTCTACACCCTAGAGACGGCGGCATTGTAGGCGGTTTTGAGGCGATCCTTAAAACCGCCTCTACAATCTGTAGAGGCGGTTATAACCGCCTCTAGAGGACAAAAAAACCACCTGCAATGCATTTTTTTGATGTAGTGCCTGCCCCATTATAGCTCGAGTCATTTACATACTTTTCGAACCTCATGCGAGTATAATTATGAAAATATAGAAATGCCTCCTCACCATTCTTGGGTTCGCAAATCAGTAGTACGACTCCATCTTCTGCGTGGTTAACTTTTAAGCAGTTTTGCAATTGTTCAGGGTAGTCGTTTAGTTCAGCCATGGCAGCTGGATCTTCATCAGCATTACAAAGATCCAGTAGTGTGTCAACAATTTGATTAGCAAGGCATGTTGCCTTCTTATTCTCGGTGAGGGCTGGGATGCCTAAATATGATTTCCTGTGAGCATTGATGTTTTCAAGAAGGTTGTCTTCTTCATCTGCAAATGGTGTAAGAAGCTAATCAGATAACATTAATTACTGGACTCTATCACTAATTTGTGTAGAAATTTTAGCACGCATGATTTCAGGAACTATGTTCATTTTTCCTTGCGAAGACCGATAAAAGCTTAAGAATAAGATGATAATGAGAGAAAAGGAGAGGAAAATAGTACCACCACAGCGGATTAATGATGCAGAAGAAAGCAAAAACAAGGCATGGAAAAGCAGGAAGAGAGAGAATATTTCAACTTCGAGAGAGGCCATATAGCTAGGTAGCAAGAATGGCAAGAGGACACAGTTCACAGGAACCTTAGTAGAAGAAAAAGAAGGTGAAAATGGTAGTAAACTTTCTTTTGTACAAGCTTCTCTAGAAATCGAATGGTTCTTTTCTTGTGTAGTTTATGTACATATGTTTGCCTTGACTGTTAAGGGAGGTGCTGCTTTTTTTGTTTCAGAGAACCTCAGATACCAAACTATGCCTGACAGAACAGCTTAGCTTTCTATCAGTATGGAAAGAATCATTTCTTTGCATTTGTTGAGTTTTCTCAGGAACCAAAGAGAGTAAGTTATAGCCTGAAGATCAATCAAAATATACAAAAATGAACTCTTACCTTAGATTTTTGAATCTGCTTCCTTGATTTCTGAGGAATCGTCATACTAATAGCCTGACGAAGGTTCAACCATTAGTACTTGAAAGAACCCCATTAAAACATTCTTCCACCCATTAAAATCCAAGCTCATTGCATTCCAACTTGAATTGAAGTCATCAAGAATGAGTATCAGCTAAGAACAACTATGCATAAAAGAGTAAATCAGAGACTACAAGAAGTCAGACGAAAAAACACAAGAATCGAATGTTTTCCTCCAGAAATCTCAACCCCACAAATGGTATTTTTAGCTTCGGTACTTCCAACCCTTCAAATCAACTCCCATTCCGTCCTTGTCTTCCTCCCCATTGCTGTCATTCACACACATGTTTCCTATCAACTTTGATATTTTAGTATTGCTGGTTAAAACCATCTTGAAAAAACTATGGCCCTCAATTGTTCTTACGCAGAGTGAAGGGAATGCGGGTTGTGGTCGACCAGGAGAAGGTTATCAACAGAATTTGGTCCACTGACCTCTTTTGTTTAACTTCGACTAAATTAGATTTTATGGGAAATCTTTAGTTGGGTTCCAAGTAAGGTCCTACTGTTGAGAGTTTGATGACAAAGCAGGAAACAGAATTAATGGCCAGAAGCACTCATGTCTTCAAGAAACAAGGTGCAGTTGGCCTGAATTTTGTCCAACTCATTTTCTCAACATGACTTCTAGATTTTATGGATTTCTTAGTCATTCATATGGTTATAAAGAGAGAAATATCTAACTTGTGTTAATGGATCACAAAGCAAGTTACTCAAACAGTGCTTGAAGCAGAACTTGATTTTATTTCATCTCTTATTCTTAACACATTTGACATGACAAAAAATAACTGAGGAAACTGGATCATTCTGCCCAAAAAATGGATCATTGGCTGAAGAAAACAATCGCTCTTAACATCATCACTCACAAGGTTATAAAACAACGCTGAAAAAGCCAAACCCTCGAAAGAATAGAGTACATGAGTCATAGAAAGAACTCACAGCACTAGATAAAAAAGCATCCCCAGAAACAAAGACAAAACACCATGACCAAAACCAACCTTTGAAACCAAACCATTCGCGCTTGCAGAACTACTCTGTCTTGAGGTATTTTTCTTCAGAACAACCACCATCCAATAATCATTATAACTAATTCCAACTCCAGTAAAATTCGAGTCCTTCAAGTAATTTGCATACCGGGTGCGAGTATAATTATGAAGCAGTGGAACGGCAGCCACACCATCCGCAGGTGCGCAAACTGGCAATACGACACCATCTGTGGTATGGTTAATGCCAATGCAGCTTTTTAATTGATGAGGGTATCTGTCTAGCTTAACCTTGTCAACAGGAGTGGTTTCATTACAAGGTTTCTCTAGCGAGTTCACAATTTTATTAGCAAGGCATCTTGCCTTCTTATTCTTGGTAAGGACCGGGATGTCCAAGAATAATGTCCTGTAAGCATTGATGTTCTGGAAAAGTTCGTGTTCTTCATCTGCATATAGTATAAAAACTTACATGGATTAGTTATCAGTAATGCAATGAAAATTGATCTGTTTAGACAATAATTCATGCATAATGTGATATAACTGGAAACATATTGCTTCTTTGTAGATTGCAGTTCATACTTATGCAAGTCAGTCAGTCATATAAAAACAACAGAGAAAAAAGATATATATATATATATATATAGAGAGAGAGAGAGAGAGAGAGAGAGAGAGAAGTATCACCACAGCTCAATACTGCAGAAGAAAGCAAGAAGATGGCATGAAAAAGCACAAAGACACAGATGTTAACTTTGAGAGAGGCCATAGCTAACAAGTTCAGTTGCCCTTCTGAATATTACAGAATAAGAATTCTTAAGAAGAATAAAGAAGATAAGATGGAATGGCACGCTTAATAGTGTTAGCTTCTTTACAGTTCAATAGTTATTCTTTTCTTGTTTACCTGTACATACATTTTCCTTGAATGTGAAGGCTGCTGCCAGATTCTCCTTTGTCTTTGTTACACAACAGAGCTGGAGATGCCAAACTATTCTTTACACAAAGTATTTGGTTTGGCTTTTATCAGGTGAAATAGTCTTTGCAGAAGCAAAAAGATTCTACTTACAGAAATTTCTTACTATGCATTTCCTGAGTTCCCTCAGCAAATAAAAACAAGAAAATTATGAAACCTTAAAAAAGTTCAGTTTTTCCTGGGATTTCTCCTCTTCAACCTTGTTTTCCGCAATCTAATTCCTACCCCTTTTTATCATCATGGTTTCTACGTTATGAACCTTACATTCTTTCAACTTACAGAAAGCAGACAACAGCTACAAAAAAATTGTAAAAACTGAACGATATGTCAATCAAAATTAGTACAGTACTAAAAACAGGGAGGGAGCTGAAGGAAATCCTGAGTTTCAATTTTTAAGCTTATATTGTACTACTTAGCTTATTTATTTTAAGTATGTTAGTCCATTCAATTCACAAACATGCAAGAGACACCAACAAAAGTTAAGGAATATTGCAGCTTTATCTCCATTTTCCATCCTTAGTCTCAAATTATCTCTCCATGGAAAATTAAGAAAAGCTACTTACATGTAAGATTAAGCACTGCAGTTGAATTGTTACCATCAGAAAAGGCAAAAAAGAAAGACCAACAAGAGAGATTTAAGGGAAAAAACCAGGAGGAATGAAGATGGATCACATATAATAGGAGTGTAATATTAAACAAAAAAGAGACTTGCAGACGTGAGAGCATCAGCATGGCAGATATTGATGTCACCTTTGGCTGAAGAAGGAGGTTTTGACCTGATAATTACCAGTATATAGATATTTTTCCCGCTAATCATCATACTAATAACCTGACCAGGTTTCGACCAGTTGTTACTGGAAATAACCTCATGTCATTAACATTCTTCCACCCATTAAAACCAAGCTCATTGCACACTCCAACTTGAATTAAAGTCATCATAAATCAGAAAGATTAACCTAGAGACTTGAAGAACTCGACAAAGAAACAGAAGAATCAAATGTTTATCTTTTGAAATCTCAACCCCATAAATGGGTTTTGGTTTTGTACTTCACACCCTTCAATTCACCTCCTACTCAGTCATTATCTTCTTCCCCATTACCATCATAGCAAACGCATATTTCCTACCAACTTTGGTATTGATCTTACTGGTTAAAAGTTAAAACCAACATGAACAAATTACATGGTCCTCTGTTGTTCTTATAAAGAGTGCAGGGAATGCTGGTTGTGGTCCACCTAGAGAATTGGTGATCAACAGAACATAGTGGCAGTGACCTCTTTTGTTTAACTTTGATAAATAAAATTTTTAAATTTTATTTGTTCCAACGGTTCTGAACTTCAAATCCCAATTGATGAATTCTAAGGTCCTCCTTTCAAGAGCTTGATGACAGGGAAGGAACCAGCATTAAAGGCCAGAAGCACTCATATAGTTCTTAAGAAAGAAATGAAGGTAATTTCTATTAATGGACAAAAAAAGTTACTCAGACACTTGATTTTATTTCGTCTCTTATTCTCAACACACTTTACATATCAAAAAATAATTGACGAAAATGGATCATTCTGCCCATAATAATGGATCATTGGCAGAAGAAAACAATCACAGAGCATTATCCACTCTTAAAAGCATCAGTCAGTAAGTAATAAAACAATACTCACAAGGCCAAACCCTTGAAGGATTAGCGTACAGGAGTCATAGAAAGAACTCAGAACACTAGATAAAAAAGCGTCCCCAGAAACAAAGACGCAACTCCATGACCAAAACCAACCTTTGAAACCAAACCGTTTACGCTTGCAGAGCTACTCCATATTGTGGTGTTTTTGTTCAAAACAACCACCATCCAATAATTATTAGAAACCAATCCTGCTCCAGTAAAACTTGGGTCCTTTATGTACCTCTTATACTGGGTGCGAGTATAATTATGAAGCAACGAAACTGAATCTACTTCACCTGCAGGTGCGCAAACTGGCAATACGACGCCGTCTGCGGTATGGTTAATGCCAATGCAGTCTGTTAATTGATGAGGGTAGCTGTCTAGTTTAACCTTGTCAACACGAGTGGTCTCGTTACATGGTTTCTTTAGCGTGACAGAAATTTTCTTAGCAACGCATCTTGCCTTCTTATTCTTGGTAAGGGCCGGGATGTCTAAGAATAATGTCCTGTAAACATTGATGTTCTTGAAAAGTTTGTGTTCTTCATCTGCATATAGCATAAGAAACTTATATGGATTAATTATCAGTAATGCAATGAAAATTGATCTGTTTAGACAATAATTCTTGATATAATTGGAAAAATACTGCTTCTTGGTTGATTCTGTTCATATTTATGCAAGTTAGTCATATAAAAACAACAGAGAAAAAAAATTTCAAGCCCAGCAACACAGCACTTAAATGCAAGTCGATTATTTAAGAACATCATAAACATCTTATATAGAGAGAGAAGGAATTACCACCAAAGCTCAATACTGCAGAAGAAAGCAAGAAGATGGCATGAAAAAGCACACAGAGACAGATGTTAACTTTAAGAGAGGCCATAGATAGAAAGTTTAATGCCCTTCTGAATATTACAGCATAAGAATTCTTAAGAAGAATAAAGAAGAGAAGGTGGAACACTTAATTTGTATAGTGTTAGCTTCTTTATAGTTAAATATTTATTCTTTCCTTGTTTACCAGTGCATACTTTTCCTTGAATGTGAAGGCTGCTACCAGATTCTCCTTTATGTCTTCGTTACACAATAGACCTGCAGATGCAAAACCATGCTTGACCAAAGCATTTGGTTTGGCTTCTGTCAATTGAAATTATCTGTGCAGAAACCAAAAGATTCTGCTCATAAAAATTTCTTACTATGCATTGCCTGATTTCTTTCAGCAATCGAAAGGAGAGAAATTTTAAGCCCAAAGTGTCCACTTGTTCTTCTTGTTTTCTCCTTTTTCTTCATTTTCCTTTTCTTCTCCTCCTGCATATTTGATACAAAGAAAGGAAATGCAAGTAAAGCTGAGGCAAGAAAAGAAAAGGGAACAATTTAGATGATACGAAAGCTTATTCACGAAACAGATTCAATCACAGGGAACATAACACTACACAAGTGAAAGAAAAAGAAAAAGCAAAAAGAGGCAGATAAGCTGCAGAAAATTAGAAAAAGAACAAAAGATTATCCCCACCACCAACATTCAAACTAATATATTAAAGATCCATTGACCTTAATGCTTTCCACGTTTCTTTCTATTCTCAAACACTGGAGAACAAAAATCACCACACAGTTCATACCATATTTCTTGTCCTTCTCTCCACCAAATTAACCCCACTGCACGCATAGATAACAGCTCCTAAAACTTAAGGTCAATCCAACTTTCACCACCTAGAGAAGAATCTATTCTGCATCTTTCATATTCAGCAGGGACAATGCAAGAATTAAGGTTTTAAATAATGACCGTTACATTATATAACAGTTGTTATGTAATGGTTTCAGAACATGCCATTACCGTTATTTTAATATTATAACAAGCCACGATCCATTTTAATATTATAACAAGCTGCGATCCATGGTTTCAGAACATGCCATTACCGTTATTTTAATATTATAACAAGCCACGATCCATTTTAATATTATAACAAGCTGCGATCCATGATAATGACCGTGACAGTTTTTTCAACCGTCCACGTTTTTTCAATCGTACGCGATTTAAATCTATTCTTGCAGTTATCCGCATATAACGCCATGTGCGCACCCTAGTTGAAGCATACCATCAAATATTAATTCTATCCTGTTAAGAGCCACTGTTCAAGTGAAGACCTTGACCTTAAATGCTACCTTAGCCTCCCAAATGAATTTATTTAGGGGGCAAGAGAGATGTGCTAAAAAATACTTACAAGAGAAACAAAAAGCCTCAATCTCCTGTCAGGCATAGAGGAGATTTGGACAGTACTAAAAATGGGGAGAAGAAGAAGAAGGAAATCCTGAATTTCTACCCATGTTTTAAGCTTATATGACGCAGCTTAGCCACATTGATTATTCTATGTTCATAGTCCAATCGCTTCATAAATACACAAGAGTACCAATAAAAGCTAAGCAATTTTGCAGCTTTAATTATCACCATTTTCAATCTTATTCTCAAATTATTTCTCCATGGAAAAGTAAGAAAAGCTACTTGCATGTAAGATCAAGAATAGCAGTTGAAAAACAAATAATAAATAAATAATTAAAAAAAAAAAAAAAAGAACAACAAGAGAGATTTAAGGAAAAATAAATTGGGGTGAATGAAAAAGAGATCGCACAAAATACAAGTGTAAAAAGAGACATATAGGAGTGAGAGCATAAAAGTTATGGATGCCATCTAAACGTGATACACGTTACATTACTACAGCAGAATGTCAAGAGGAAAAAAACTAAAAGAAATTAACAACAGAAAGTGCCATAGTTGGCACTACTTAATTAGTACATTAGATAAACAAGAACTCCTAACAACAAAGTCCCCAAACAATGGCCAAAACCAACCTTGGAAACCAAACTAATTGCCCCAGCAAAGTCCCCCCGTGGGGTGCTTGTGGTCAAGACCATCACCATCCAATCATCTTCATGACCTAGTCCTGCTCCACTAAACCTTGAATCATTGATGTATTTTGCATATGTGGTTCGTGTATAATTTGTTAGCAATAAAGTTGGGACCAAATGGGGCACGCAAACAGGCAGTACAACGCCTTCAGTAGTGTGATTAACATCAATGCCACACTTTGATACTAGGTCAGGATAGCTTTCTATTTGGACAGCGCTTGCTGCTCTTGCGGCAGTACAGGGTTGGTCCTCTAGCTTGTCAGCAATTTTATCAGCGAGGCATCCTGCATTTTTGTGCTTCACTAGGGCTGGCAGGGTTAAAGAGTGCCTGTAGCTGTTGATACCCTGAAGAAGATCATCTTCCTCGTCTGCAAATTATGCAAAATGGTTTAGAATTTGTGATCTTACATTGCCCCACAAAAATACAAAGAAAAGAATGCAGCAACTGCCTTCTAAGATATGTCTACACCATTTTCTTTCCTACTAATTTTTTACCATGTTAGATTCCCTTCACCAAGTACATTGGCCTTTTTGTTTCTTTTTTTTTTTTTTTTTACTCTTTATTCTTACCAACTCCACAAGTTATAACTTCACAATTGCAGCAAATTATAACTTCTATGTGTGTGTGTGTATATATGCTACTCAAGTCTTCTAATTTCGTAGAAGAATTATGCTTAAAGAGTTTAAGGAGTGTTAAGAAAATAAAAGGGTAAAGAAAACTTGAACATAAAAAGCATTGTCACCCTAAATATCACATACAGTAGCATACAAAAAAGAAATATGCTTTAAGCCTGAGACATGCAGCATTTTCAAACAAATATCTAGATAGAAAGCCCTAAAGAAAGAGAGAGATAAGGGACATAACCACAGAGCACCGGCGAAGATAGCAACAAAATGGCTTGAAGAAGCACCAAAACAGACATGCCAATTTTGAGAGAAGCCATATTTAAGTACTAAAAACAGCTATAGCAATAACTTCTAAAGCCAATATAGGATACCGAGACAGACACCCTTGTGAGAAGAATAAAAGACGATAAAATGTGGTGAGGTGGGGTGGTTTGAATTTTGTAATGCTGATGAATACTTGTTCTTGATCCTTATTCGGTATATATGGACAGTTTTCATGGATTGGCCTTGAATGTCGAGGGTGCTTCCAGGTGCCCCATTATGTGTTGGTTACGTAGTAGATTTGTGGGTGCAAAATTGACAGGTATCATCTGATTGGATTTGCACGTGGCAGCCATGCAAGTTCTTCTTGTCTACTTGTCTTTCGGGATTGAAAGAAAGCATTTGCCCTGTGTTTTTCTCCAGTGATTTTCAGTTATTTACAGACGGTTGATTCATTCATGCAAAGGAACAGTTTTCTCAAAGAAGGATAAGTTTGTTTCTTTCAAAAATAAAAAAACATTGTAGAATGTTTGTCGGCAGTAATATCTGAACAATAGATCATGGATTGGGAAACTTCTGTAGTAACTGCATGGTAAAGTCATAAAATTTTCCAGTATCTGCGCCCAGTAACATCGTACTGGAGCATTATGTTCTTACCATTTTAGTCTTTTGTTTTTTATGGTTATAGTACAATTTTATGCTTGAATCAATGGTTACAGGGCTGCATTTTATCAATTGGGTCATTCGAGGTCAGTTGTAAAAGGAGTTGGACACAGAGAAAACCTTACTCTATTTTAGCTAACATTCAAAGTTGAAGAGTTCCAAATTCCAATAGCATTCAACACTCGTATCAAAATGAGATTAAACAATTCTCCGTGTTGGTTCATGTGTAAAGTGAGAAATTGTTGGATTATCATATATCAGTTGTGAAAGGAGTTGAGAGAAAGCCTCACTCTTGAAAGGAGTTGAGTCAAGTTTTTGAAATTGAAAAGATCCAACAGCATCAAACACTATCATATGTTCAATATAATTAATTGAATTTTGTGTGTGAATCTGAACCAATGTACTGCACCACTTCTGAGAAGTTGGCTTAAATGCAAAAGGGTTCTTTTCTTAAGTTGGGATTTGAAGAATTGTCTGTCAAAAAAATTCAATCGAGAACAAAAATATCGAAAACTGGCATAAAAAACCTGATTATCAAAACAAACACCATATTTTATCTGTTACAGGCCCCCAGCTAATGTCAGAACAATCCTCAGCCTTGTTTTGTTTAGTAGCCTAGTCAGAAAGATTCACGAAACTAGAATCTTGATCAGAGTCGTACGGTTTTGAGCCATGGATAATCCTCAAGATTAGGCTAAAAACTAGAAACTCACCCATATCCTCATGTCAACAGGCCTGTCCGTTTCCACAGACGTGTCCCCTGGACCTGCCTCAGAAGACACGTGGAGTTCAATTTCCAACCACGTAAGTCTCCACGTCTCATCAGAAGAACACACTATATATGCACTAATTTCTGCAATTTGTACCACCTTGGTAGTGTCACATAAATTGTAGCTTACTATATATATGTTATCTTGGTTGTTTCCCACATCAAAGGCTTTAACTAGAGTTTCTTGTTTTTACAGTCCAATCAAAACCCAGCTGAGAAGTTATCGGAAAAGTCAGTTTCCGGCAATATTTCGGGTGAGTCAAAGACCTAATAGAGTGTTTGTGAGAATGGCTTCTGGTGGTGGACAGGAGTTCCCTCCTCAAAAGCAGGATGCCCAGCCTGGTAAAGAGCATGCTATGGACCCAACTCCACAGTTCACCAACCCTGATTATAAGCCCTCTAATAAGCTCCAGGTGATCTCACTAGTTTCGTGAGGTATATTTACATTATGGTTTGTGACCATTCAATATGTTGCTGATGTTTTCAATAATTTGCAGGGAAAGGTAGCAGTAGTGACTGGTGGAGATTCTGGGATAGGAAGAGCTGTATGCCATATTTTTGTGATTGAAGGGGCAACCGTGGCCTTCACATATGTGAAGGCTCATGAGGATAAAGATGCTAATGATACCCTTCAGATGCTGAAGAAACATAAGACTGCTGATGCGAAGGATCCTATTGCTATACCAGTGGATTTGGGGTTTGATGAGAATTGCAAGAGAGTGGTTGATGAGGTGGTGAACGCGTTTGGCCGGATCGATATTTTGGTTAACAATGCAGCTGAGCAGTATGAGTGTAGCTCTGTGGAGGAGATTGATGAGCAGAGGCTTGAAAGGGTGTTTCGGACTAACATCTTCTCTTACTTCTTCATGACCAGGTACTGTAAAGCAATTTCTTTTCCTTTCTGAAGTTTTTATTGATTTGATGGAAATATTGGCAATGGTAATTTGTAGGCATGCCTTGAAGCACATGAAAGAAGGCAGCTCCATAATCAACACAACATCAGTTAATGCATATAAGGGAAACTCCAAGTTACTGGACTACACAGCAACCAAAGGTGCAATTGTGGCTTTCATTAGAGGACTTGCACTACAGCTTGCTAGCAGAGGAATACGCGTTAATGGTGTTGCCCCTGGACCCATTTGGACGCCACTGATACCAGCATCATTCAAAGAAGAGGAGGTTGCTAATTTTGGGAAACAAGTGCCTATGCAAAGAGCTGGCCAGCCGGTTGAGGTTGCGCCTAGCTATGTGTTCCTTGCTTGTAACCATTGCTCCTCTTACATAACTGGCCAAGTCCTTCACCCTAATGGTAAGTTCGTTCATTTTGAAGCTCACAACTCCAAGCTTATTCAAGAGTTGCAATTGTAACCGATGGTTGCTTGTTGTTGCAGGTGGTGTCATAGTGAATGGCTGATTAATGATAATGTGGACTTGTCAAGCCAGGGCTCATCTTTTAGTTTCTGTGGATATACAGCATTTTGTGTTTCGGCTTTTGAGCCTTTTTTGTGATGCTGGTGCGTGTGTGAAAGTCTTGTCTCTTCCATGTAACACAGTACATGGCTAAGTGTTCCTTGGATCGTGTTGGTGTATGTCTGCCTGTGCTATGTATAGTAGCTGTCTTCAATATATGTGTGTATGTGCATGTGGCTGAACAACCTTTAATGTTAAATGTCAGTGTGAACTTTAGTAAAAGTGAAATGAAGCTGTAGAACTTGTTGCAAGGTTATAGAATGATGTGTTGGTTCTTGGTTGTAGCAATAAGAGAAGATGCATGGGTAGGCTACCATAATGGGCTTTAATTTCTGAAAAATTTCAGACATAAGGCACAGTAAAACTACAGATCAACTACGCAAAATGCTCGACTTGGTAACCAATTAACAAGCAGGGGCATAGTAAATTGCTTGCCATTGCAGCAATGGTAAAGAGAGTAGGATTTCAAGGTTGAGGTTGAACGTATTTAAAGTTAAAGAGTCATCTCTGGAAATTTCAATTTCATTAACCTATCCATCCTTAAAAGGAAGGATTATAAAATCCATTTTCATGTCCCTGCTCAATTCCACGAACTTTTATCCATGATGGAAATTCCTTGGTAGTTTGGTTCGCCATTTATTGCGTGGGGTGGATGTTTTCCTAAAGTTTTGAATGGCATACTTTTTCTGGGCATGGGAGGAGTCTTTGCCTGCTAATGAATAGATTATTCATCAACATACCAACGCATTATTGGCATGAGTAAAATATGTTGATGGGGGTAAACCGAATGGACATTTTAGCTGCTTCGGGTCAGACGAAGTTTCTAAAACACTGGTGTTCTTACATTTTTCTTTCTGGTCTGATTCTGGTCCATTTTCCTGCTTTTTTGGCACTATTAACCTAAGTATCCATTAATGCATTCAATTTTATTAGAGTATGGCACCAAGAACGGTCTATCAAAGCATTCACTATTCCATCAGAAACCTGGTGAAAAAACATAGCTAGAAATTTTTTGAAAGAAATACAGTCCTTCCCTATAACAAATCAAGCTGACAGGATAACGCGACAGGTTCTATGATGCCCAGTGACGCATGCACATACCATGCAATATCTATGTTTGAAGGATCAGATACTATAATTTTGTGCATCTTTCCCAACAAATTCAGTCATCAGTGATGATTATAATAAAGGTATACAATTGTTTACCTTAGCAAATAAAACAAGTAAGCACTGACAAGGAAATCAAATTTTTTGCAAAGTTTTCTTTATCGGCCAGAGACATTGGCAAGAATGAAGATCCCACAGCATCAAAAAAGGGAAACAAAAATACAACAAAAAGCTAATGTACAGAAGAGACATGGATGAAGAGGTTGAATAGCAAACATACATTTTTAAGCTGCTATTTGAGGATTGACATTAGAGATCAGATCTTACTCTAATTTATTACTCTTCCTTGCCATAATCAGGATGAAGCACTAAAGCAAATCTCAGCACCGTTCCCGCCAATTCCAGCAATCAAACATTGGAATCCGCAAGACTCCAGCTCAGCAATTACTTTATCTACAATTGTTTCTGACAGTACTGATTCATATAGTCAAGGGCACAGCTATGAGCATGTAATAAAATGACATGATCTCAGTTAATAGATGATTTGCATTTTTTTTGTTCTTCTAAGGCATTTTCAGGATGGGTAGGTGGGTGCTCCCTCTTTAGGACAGTGACAACTTACAGAGATGCATGACTTTGATACATTCAAATTTGATCACAAACCAAAGAAATGGAAACGAAAACAATATGAAGCTATTAAATAAATAAGCAGCTACCAAAGATATGGAAAGTGTAAGCTACGGAGATGCATGACATTAGAAACACCAATGACACCTCGTATTTGGCAACAGGGAACAATACTTTCTAGTTCAACCAGTGGTCTACTTTGGCAACATAAATAATAACAGATAGATAAACGTTTATGAAATGTAACTTTTTGAGGGTATGCAGCATCACAAAAGCAGGGCAAACAAGAAGAAAGTTTTACAGATTCATTCTATAATGCGAAGTTAACTAAATGGCCAAGGCATTCATATAGAAGCGCATGCAAACATAAACTAGAAAAGAAAGAATTAGAAACCCACAAATGAATAGAGTAAAATTAAAAGAACTAATCATAGAGGATACAGGTCGGCAACAGTGTCAGCACGCAGCCACCTCCCCCAGCTCCAGTCAACTTAGAAGCTAAGTTGTATTTCAACGTTGTTCGAAGAACAGTTTCTATAGAAGAATGGCTTACCCCCATGCACTGGAGCAAACCCTGATTCATTTCCATTAACTCTTGTAGCTTCTCTTCCTTAGTAATTATGGACAGATCATCTGGAGCAGGTGTCTGGATGACATCAGCCAATTCCTTACTGATGGAATCAACAGCATTAAAAACCGAGGTCATGGCATCAGGGTGTCTTAAGGTTCTTTCTGAAACACCAGCAACCAGTGCTTTTGTGTTCCTCCCAACTTTTGTGTTAGTAATAAGCATTTTGAGTGGCATGCTGGACTTGATGCGTGTTAGATTACCTGACCTGAACTTGATCATGTTGCCTGTTGCATAATAAAAAATAAAATAAAACAGAGAGAGAGAGAGAGATCCTACAGCTCAAAATACCTCCTCTGCTTGCAAATCAGACAGGCGAATACTTCAAGAAATTTAGACATGCCAACATGAATTTGTCAACAAATTTTACTATTCTTAATCTTACAATTTCAGCAGGATGAACACTGTATTTTATCCAAGTAATGCTTAACTGGGGAACCTAGTCAATGGTCACTACGATGCAGAAGACACAAGAGTGGAACATGCAAACATCGAAATCGGGTGCAAGAAGATAACTTTAGCTACAATTCATGAACTTTTACCTACCATAAGTGCTAACAGTGTTGTCAATCCCAGATGGCTTTCCATGAATTATCTTTTCACCTTCAAAAGCCCATTTGTTCAATAATTCAAGCTCAGACTCCCCAAACACTGACCACCCTTCTTGTTTCATGTCCGTGTTCACAGAGTCTGCGCAAGCAAGAAGAGCTGCCGAGAATGCAACACAAAGTGCGGCAGATGAACCTAGACCGGAACCCAGCGGAAGGTCAGAAGTAACAACTACGGTGGCAGGTTTAAATCTGATGCAAGTAGAGAGCCAACTTAGAAATCAAAATAGCATAAGAAAAGTACTCAACACTGAAAAGGCAGTAGTAAATACCCCAAGATTGATGTGTATAGCCACAGAAAAGCAGACACTCCAGAAGCAAGAGCTATTTTTGCCTCTGGAATTTTTTGCTCTTCAACCAAAGCTAAAATTAACTTGAATGATTCTGTAGAGCAGGATGTGGGAGTTGCTGGGAAAGGACCTCCTAAGCTAGATAGTGCTTCTCTGATTCTTCCAATTGGCCATGAAAATTCTAAAGCCATATCCTTGAGCTGGATTGTCAGTCTGTCATCATGCCCTGTGGGGAAAGAATATCAATAAAAATCCATTTGAGAGAAGTTGTATCATCACAGCCTCAAAGAAGAGCGGAAACAAGAAACAAAAATAAAAAGTTATGTCAATAACTGAAATATACAATATTATGAGTGGCCAATCCCAAGTTTCCATGTTCCTCAGTAAATAGATAAGAAAACAGATGGAATTGCACATATCAAATCCTTAGTAACGTGTGAAATCCAAATCTGATACATCATTGCCTGATCATGAGATAATGTTTTATTAAGAAATGCAGTTTAGGAAACCTTAACTGTGCTTAGCAGTCATTAGAATTCTGGCAAGAGTTGAGCTTGATCATTCCTAGTTCAAATGCATACAGTTTTCAAGTTGAATATTTAACCCTAGTGGATTTATAGTTTTTTGGTATTCTTCAAATAGTGAGATTAATAATGGCATCATTTTCCTTTTCAAACTTTAGTTTGTAGAATACAAATTAAAAAAATAAAACCCACCTCCTGCAATCAATAGCATATCTATTAATATGTTCAATATTACAACATGTCACCACTGTTCCTTGTACTCAAAACCAACCCTAAGTTTGATGCATTTTAAAACACACAAAATAATCACAAACAACATGGTAAATAAAACTGTATTACACTTTGCAATTCGATTAGCCATTCTGATTCATGATGGCTGCTTTATCCTAATGGATTCTAAAATCTTAGTTGTATGGGGCTCGTAGGGGCAGAAGTAGTTTTGAAAAGCTCCTTACCAGACAGAAGGCAAGAAAGCTAATGTTGTAAAAATTGCCATTGATAGATCATGCCCCATGGCCATCAAGTATCTTTGAGTCCAAAAAACTTCACTGACTTACTAAAAAATTTAAAAGTAAAAATTCTTCAAGTCATAATAGTCTTATGCTGAAATAATAACCAAAAAGAAAGCACGAAAGGAAAACTCCATTTAGAACAGCTGAGAACAGACCTGTGATTTGAATCACTAATGAATATAATTGGGCAGTTCTCATTTCAGGAAACACTGTTATGGAAGCCCTCCTCAACCACTCATTACAGAAACAAAACTCTAAAATCTAAATTCATTCGACCATATATGAAGACAAACCAGTACACTGGAATCTGAAATTTTTCCTTCTTGATAAAGAGACACGGGATCACGAGAACCTCAAGAGGTTTTCCTTCAATCACTGTGTGAAGCAAAAATCAAATGACCTCAAACTCAAAAACCTAACTACTATAAAGTTTAGGAGCAAAATAAATAACCATTCAAATCCACACATTCGAATCAAAAACTTGCAGAAAACAGCATAAACCTTCACTCAAATGTCAAACGATCATGACACGAGAAAAAAACTCAAAAAGGTATCTTCCAATCAGTAGTCCAATACCATCTCAACAGACAACAATCTAAGAAATATCAAAGAAATTAGAATCTTGCAGATATCGGTATACACATTCAATCAATCTCAAGTTGTCCAGGCAACTAAAACTATAAACTTCGAAAGGGCACAACCTCAAATCAGCATTTCAAACAATCCCAATACAAAATCAGTCCCAGAAAAGCCAATGGAAAGACATCTATCCAAAGCCACAAACACATCTTCATATCATCTCAAGAGGGTATCTCTCAATCAACGTTTCAAACAATCCCCATAAAAAAACAAGCCCAAAGAAACTACCTTTATGCATATTCAGTTCAACAAAACATCAAAGTCTACATCTTTCAATCAATAAATCAAAAAATAAAAAACTTATGAAGTAATAACTAATTTTAAGCATATTTTTTTACCAGTACAAGGGGGAACTTGAAGGGAAACATAGGTGCATAGATCAATGGATGCAGCAACAGCAGTGGATCCATGAACAACTGCATGTTCACCGGAAAGAATGATCTTTCCTGGAGCTCTTGCTTTCACTTCCATTATGTCTTCTTTTCTTTTCTTTGCTGCTTCAAGAATCTTGGGCTAACAGTAAAACCATTGGCTAATTGTTATTGGTACTGGAAGAGGAACAGCAGATGTGGAGATTTATAAACATCCATTAGTTGATCTGAGTGACAAAATGGCAAGGAGTCAATAATAGGCATCGGCCAGTTTTTTTTTTTTTTTCGAGTTCGGCAAAGACAAACAAACGAACAAATGTTAACATGAGAAAATTATAAACCAGTCCCTCTAGTTTGTAAGAAAAATTTAATTAGCTCCTTTAAAAAAACTAATTATCTAGTTCCTATGTTTTAATTTGTTAATAACTTAATTCTTTCAAATTGCCCTTCTTTTGATTTTTTATGAGGAAAAAAAGAGAGTAGGTGAAGTCATGAAGAAGAGAAATAAAGCATAAAGAAAGGTAATTTTGAAAAAAAATTACTAATCTAAAGAAAAAAAATGATTAAATGGCTAAATTATTGAATGAATTAAATCTTAAAAGACTAAATGATTGAATTTTAAAACAAAAAAGATTAATTAAATATTTCAAAACTAGAGGGACTAATTTATAACTTACTCATTTTAACATAAATTCTTTGTTTTTGTTGCGTTTTGTCCCACTTCTATTAGAAAAATACTCGGTGAGCGTGGACCTGAGTTTGGCCTAACTTAAATTTCTAAAATCTATCTATTAAATAATTATTGATAGTATAGATTAAAAAAACAACTTTAATATTTGTATCTGAATTCTTTTAGTTTTGTTTGTTAATATTTCTTATTAAAATATTATTTTTATTGCATTAATTATTATGATTTATAAGTGTATATATTCAATCTTCCATTAATATCCTGTCATTAAATAATTTTGTATTTTATCTTTTTGTAGAATTTGAATATTATCGGGACGATTATGCCTCTGATGAAACATTCAAAATATTTATATATATATATATTTTAGTCTTCTGTTTTTTTTCGTAAAAAAAAAGGGGGAAAAGTATGTGGAATCAGTGGAAAAATCTTCAATAGTCCAACAAAATCTACAACATTAAAAAAAAAACAAAATAAAAAAAAAAAAAAAGTGAAATGGAATAATCATGAAAATTTCAACTTTTTTAGAACATTTTTATCAAAGAAAGGTTGAATTTTTAAAGTTTTAGATAAATTGACTTCTCGTACCTATAAAATAAAATAAAAATCAATAAACCAATTGTTGTTTTCTGATAATAATCCACAAAAATAAATAAATAAACTTCTATCTCATGATGGATACTTTAGATTAAAAGATCATTAGGGTCTTACTAAGGTTTTTTTTTTTTTTTAATGGATCCGTTGTGTTTACTTTTTTGACAAAGTCAAGAAAGTACATTACCATCCAACGTCACCTTTGAATATTTTCATGGATAAATTATATTTTAGCCCTTGAATATTCATGGATGTTACCCTATAATCTTAAACAGTTTAAATTTTACTTTTTAATGCAAATAACTAATAAATGTTCAATACTAAAAAGAATATTTTTAACTCATCAAATCAGGAGTTTAATTCTCATTATTGAAAAGTTTAAAAAATTCAACCTTCTGTGTGGCATTGAACATTAGCTATTGATAAACTTAAAAAATTCAACTTTTAGAATTAATAAAAAACCACAAGTGACTTGATCGTTGATCTGATTTTTAAAATGATAGATTTAATTTCAATTAGTATAAATACTTATCCGAAAATATAATAATCCCAACTTTTTTACATTTTATATTTTATTGTTTTTGGCCTTTTCTTTTATTTTTCCTCTCAAGTCCTCACACACACTTGAGGGGGAAAACTAGGATACTTAATGTAACATTTAGAAGGATGACATTGAGAAAATTGATACTGTAGGAGTAGAAGTGGAAAATCGATTAATCAATATGAGCAAAAAAGATGTTTACCCTTTTTTTCTTTTAATTTACTACACAGTACGACATTTCTGCAATCTTCCATTTTTGAATGCTATATAAAAAAAAAAAAAAAAGCTGTAATAATTGACTAAGACCAAACATTGAGGGCCCCATTTGAAGGCCAGAGAAAGAGTGGACCACTGTTTTGCCCTGCGTTCTATAATTAATTAGTTGTCCAACTAAAAGCGCCGTAAAAAAAAATGTGATACATGCTGGCTTGGGCCTTGTAGTCTTTCTGTTAGCCCATTTAATTTGAAGCATGGCCACTGGAGTGAACCCGAGGTATATTAGAATCAAAATGAATGGTTTTTCGTGCTACGTTGCCGAGAGCAGAATAGATAAAATCATTTAAAAAACTATTATGATTTGATAGTTTTTACGATGCTATAGATCTAGCTAAATACATTAAGGCAAAAAAATATTCACTAAACTTTATAATTTTCTAATCAAAAATTTATATTTAATTAATTATTTTTTTTATGTTTTTTAAAAGATTTCCTACTAAAAATACACGATTTATTTTTTTTTCATACATAAAATTTATAATAATCTAAAATGCAAGTTTTAATTTATTAAAAATCCTAAAAAAAATATAAATTTAATTATTTATTTTATAATATTGCATACAAATTTTAAGATTTAAAATAATTTTTTATAATATTGATGAGAAGATATATATATATATATATATATATATATATATATATATATATATATATATATTCAAAATAATAAATAATATTAAGTATTTTTGGGTATATGTGCAGTCAATTTGTAATTATAAAATTAATTTTTATATTTAATTATTTATAAATAATGTAATAGTAATTGAGAGAAATGCTTTTTTGGTGCCCAACTTTTTTTTTGTTTTTTTTAGTACCCAAATGCTGATTTCTAAGGATTTACTATTCAAGTTTTGATTTTATTTATTTATTTTGGTGTCCGACTTCACCCGAGTTTTAATTTTTCTAACATGTTTGGCGAGAAATGTCACGCGGCAGTAAAAAAGATGTTATTCGACAACCAACTTTAGACATGTCGGTACCTCATACTCTAAAGTGGCTATGGACACTCAAATATATATATATATATCAAAGACTACGTATCGAAATAGAAAAAAAAATTAATGATTCGGAACCAAAAAAATAGCTTTTTTTCAAGAAATTTATTATTTCAAAATTGCAAAATCGATCCGATAATTTCTAATAAATATTTTTCATATCATACTTGTTATTTTTTTGCTTATCAAAGGCAAATTTTTAATACTCGTGTCAATTAAAAATTATTTTTTAAAAATTATAAACCCTTTAATTAGTTGTCTAGATAAATGTAATATTATTTCATTTAGTCTAAATATATATAAAATTCAATTAAGAGTAAATTCAAAAAAAAAAAAAGACAAAATATCCAATTATGATTTTCATTTGCGAGAACATATGATTGGTCAAATGGAAAAATTTATATATAAAAAAAAAGATTGCTTCTTTTGTCTAAAGAGAAGATCAACCAACATATAACGGGTGACATCAACTTTTTATGACTAATAGCTTGTTAAACTTTTTATAGTAGAGCGAGATGAGATAGAATCGAGATAAATAAGTTTAGTGATCAATTTTATTTTATTTTTTGGCATTTAAAGTGCAATACTTTTGGTAATGATAACGATAATAATAAAAGTAATAAGTAAAGTATGAATTAAGCAAACAAGTGAATGCATAATTAAACTTGCTTATGCAATTAGCATAATAATAATAAAATATACATGCTTGTAATTGTTAATATTCTTAAAATTTAAAATTATATGACTTTCAACATCTAAAAAAAAGTTTAAGACACCACATATATATATAAATTATGAAAGCACAAGATATACATAAAATCTATTTATAATAAGAAAATGATAGATTAAAATGCAAAAAAGGCATAGACATTTGGTGTAAGAAAAATGAAATAACTTTCTTGAGAAAACTACATTTTCTTTTATATTTTTTTACATTTTATATTTTATTTTATTATTATTATTATTATTATTATTTTGCCTTTTCTTTTATTTTTCCTCTCAGGTCCTCACACACACACATGTGAGGACTTGAGGGGGAAACTAGGATACTTAACGTAACATTTAGAAGGATGACATTGAGAAAATTGAAACTATAGGAGTAGAAGTGGAAAATCGATTAATCAATATGAGCAAAAAGGATGTTTACCCTTTTTTTCTTTTAATTTACTACACAGTACGACATTTGCTGCAATCTTCCATTTTTGAATGCTATATTAAAAAAAATAAAAAAAAAAGCTGTAATAATTGACTTAGACCAAACATTGAGGGCCCCATTTGAAGGCCAGAGAAAGAGTGGACCATTGTTTTGCCCTGCGTTCTATAATTAATTAGTTGTCCAACTAAAAGCGACGTTAAAAAAAATGTGATACATGCTGGCTTGGGCCTTGTAGTCTTTCTGTTAAGCCCATTTAATTTGAAGCATGGCCACTGGAGTGAACCCGAGGTATATTAGAATCAAAATGAATGGTTGTTCGTGCTACGTTGCCGAGAGCAGAATAGATAAAATCATTTAAAAAATTATTATGATTTGATAGTTTTTACGATGCTATAGATCTAGCTAAATACATTAAAGTAAAAAAATATTCACTGAACTTTATAATTTTTTAATCAAAATTTTATATTTAATTAATTATTTTTTTATATTTTTTAAAAGATTTCTTTCTTAAAAAACACGATTTATTATTATTATTATTATTGTCATACATAAAATTTATAATAATCTCAAGTGCAATTTTTAATTTATTAAAAATCCTAAAAAAACATGTATAAATTTAATTATTTATTTTATAATATTGCATACAAATTTTAAGATTTAAAATAATTTTTTATAATATTGATGAGAAGATATATATATATTCAAAATAATAAATAATATTAAGTATTTTTGGGTATATGTGCAGTCAATTTGTAATTAAAAAATTAAAAAATTAATTTTTATATTTAATTATTTATAAATAATATAATAGTAATTGAGAGAAATGTTTTTTTGATGCCCAACATTTGATTTTTTTTTTTAGTACCTAAATGCTGATTTCTAAGGATTTGCTACTCAAGTTTTGATTTTTATTTATTTATTTTGGTGTCTAACTTCACCTAAGTTTCAATTTTGTTGACGTGTACGGCGAGAACTGTCATGCAGCAGTAAAAAAAATGTTATCCGACGACCAACTTTAGACATGTCGGTACTTCATACTCTAAAGTGGCTATGGGCACTCAAATATATATATATATATATCAAAGATTACGTATCGAAATAGAAAAAAAAATTAATGATTAGCCACCAAAAAAATCAGTCCGATAATTTCTAATAAATATTTTTCATATCATACTTCTTGTTGTTTTTTTGCTTATCAAAGATAAATTTTTAATACTCTATATCAATTAAAAATTATTTTTTAAAAATTCTAAACCCTTTAATTAGTTGTCTAGATAAATGTAATATTATTTCATTAGTCTAAATATATATAAAGTTCAATTAAGAGTAAAATAAAAAAAACAAAAGACAAAAAATCCGATTATGATTGTCATTTGTGAAATATATGATTGGTCAATAGAAAAATTTATATATATAAAAAAAAGATTGCTTCTTTTGTCTAAAGAGAAGATCAACCAACATATAACGGGTGACATCAACTCTTTATGGCCAATAATTTTCTAAACTTTTTATAGTATACTGAGATGAGATAGAATCGAGATAAATAAGTTTAGTGATCAATTTTTTTTTTGTTGGCACTTAAAGTGCAATACTTTTGGTAACGATAATGATAATAATAGAAGTAATAAGTAAAGTATGAATTAAACTAATAAGTGAATGCATAGTTAAACTTGCTTATGCAATTAGCATAATAATAATAAAATATACATGCTTGTAATTGTTAATATTCTTAAAATTTAAAATTATATGATTTTCAATATCTAAGAAAAAGTTTTAAGATACCGTGTATATGTATATATATATATTATGAAAGCACAAGATATGCATAAAATCTATTTACAATAAGGAAATGATAGATTAAAATACAAGAAAGGCATAGAAATTTGGTGTAAGAAAAATGAAATAACTTTCTTGAGAAAACTACATTTTCGATATCCAACCATTGATTTTATTTCTATTTTTTTCTATTTAAGTGCCTAACTTTTATTTATTTATTTTTCCATTCCAATGTCTAACCTTTGATTTTTTATTTTCCTATTTGAGTGCTTATATCCACCTTAAAGTATAAGGTGCTGACGTGTCTGCAGTTGAAAGGTTAGGCACAAAAAAAGTCTCTCTCTCATAGTAATTTTATTTAACTTTTCTTGCTTGAACATTTGGTCAAGTGAATTGTACATAACACAAATAAAAGAAGCACACAAAATCAATATAACCGCATATAGATTTAAGTTGCAATTCAATGTAGAAAAAAAAAATCAAAAAAAATCAACCATCAAATAAGTAATTTTTATGAAGGAAAACATAAAAATGTCTTTACTCTACAACTTTAGGCATGGAAATGAAATCGTCATATTATATTCATAAAATTATTTTGCATGGATCGTAAATAAGTCAATAGTTGCACTAATTATTTTAGTTTTATCTATAGTCACTTTTGATTTAATTATTATTTATAGACATTACCTACTTTTGCTATTCTTCAGGCCATGTGTAAGGTATATCTAGTTTTTTATTTTCAATATAATTTTTTTTAATGCACTCTTTTGATAAAGGCGAATAGAATGATATTATTAGAAAAAATTACTTGCAAACAATCATGAAGGAGCTCCTTGATTTGTAGAATAAATTATAAATTAGTCTATCTTTTTTTGAGAAAAGAATTAATTAGTCCTTTTGGTTTCAAGAAATAATTATTTAATCCTTTTAACTAGGATTGACCAAGAGTTTTTTTATTTTCTAAAATGTCTTATTTTCTCAACATTTTTTCATATTTTTACTTATTTTTTTCTATTTATTAAAACAAAATGTCAAAATAAATTGATAATAGCAAAGACTAAAATTTTAGTTTTTGAAACCAAAAGAATTAATTAATTCATTTCTTGGAGCAAGAGGGACTAATTTATTATTTTTTTTAATAGCTAGCCATCTCCTCTGACGAAAATAATGAAAAAAAAAAAACCCAAAGAAAATAGGAGTATTAAATGCTCTGCGTAAAGAGAAAGAAAAATGTGTAAAGAGAAAGAAAAATGACAAAAAAAGATTGAAAAAGAAAATTACAAGGAAAATCAATCAATGATAAGTGTAAATTTTTACAAATCCGCTTAGTGACAATGATAGAAATTAAAAATAAAAAAGAAGGCATTTATGATGCAAAGGGAAAAGAAAAATAGGTAAGTCCATAGTAAAGTGAGAGAAAGTCAACAGTCTATCAATAGTAAAAACTTCATGCCTTTTAATATTTTTTCGTAATGTCACCTTTGAATATTTTTATGGGTAAACTATATTTTAGTCCTTGAGTATTCATAAATGTTACCTCTATAATTTTTAAAAGTTTAAATTTTATTTTTTACTATTAAACAACTAACAACTAATAAATATAAAATCTTAAAAACATTATCTCTAAGTTATCATATTAGAAGTTTGATTTTCATTGTTAGAATATTTAAAAAGTTAAATCTTTTTGTGTGACATCGGACTTAAATTATTGACGAATTTAAAAAATTTGATCTTTACAATCGATAAAAAGTTAGATATAATTTTTATTAATTTAATCTAAAAAATAATAAATTTAATTTCGTTTCGATATGAATATGGATTCAAAAATATTTCAACCTAGACATTTTTATATTTTATGTTCTATTGTTTCTTGTTTTTTCTTTCATTTCTTCCTCCCGCATACACACATACGCACCCACGTAAGTGAGGATTTGAGGGGAAAAACTGGGGCATTTAATGATTTGTTGAGCCCAAAAACAGCATAAAAGTCTTTCTGATTTGTTTTCCAATTTACTTCAATTATATTCTCCTTTTTTTTTTTAATTTATTTTATTCGTTAGATGAAAATAGAGAAGTTGGATTAATAATAGATTTGGTCCTTCTACTTTTTATATATTTTTTAATGTGGTTCCTCCAATCTTTCTTATTTAGTCCAATTCTAAAAATTTCTTAGTATGATGTTTCCATCAAATTTCTTTCCAATTTACTACTAACTCGTTATCTGAAAATTCTTGATAACATGTCAAGAAAAACGGACACACGCCAAGAAGTAGGTTCTTGCAACTTTCCTGAATTGTTTCGTAGTTATCTTGTTAGATAACCGTTATTATTTTAATCAATACAGGAAGCTTGCAGCGGGAATATCGAAGTCAATGTAAGAACTTAAGAGGATGGAAAATCATGGCAACAAGTCTAAAAAAACACAAAAAGACGAACCCTTTAAGCTGGTTCTTGGAGAGAGAGAGAGAGAGAGAGAGAGAGAGGGAGAGAGGTTAACAGCTTTATGTCCTGAAAGCAAATCAATAATTTTTCTCAAGAAACGATCTCTTCTACATAAAAAGCAAGGTAATCAATTCCCATAAGTAGAAGGCCAGGAGCTAAACTTGGGTGCCCAGATATGAGGTTTGTGCTTCTTTTCACTTCTTGATGAAAGCAATGATGAAACTTTGTTTTGATGTTCGAAGCATATGGAATATAATAATTAAAATTCTATTTTCCAAATGTTCTTGATAAGTTATAGAAATTTAAGTGGTAGAGACTAAATATTTCTTTCTGCATAAAAAACATGAATGTCTATGAGTTGATTAAATCATCTATTTTAGCTTAATATTGATTTGTTGCTTATTATGTGTGCTTTCTTATATATTCTTTTCAATTTCCATTTGTAAATCAGCATAACAAATCACATATAATTTATTTAACTATGCATCAGTATGTGTGTGTCACAGTATCATCCACACTAAGTTGAAGTAGAGAGGTTTAAGATTCTAGCCGAATCAAAATTTTCAGCGGTGCTTTATATGTCCAACGTGTAGTGCTTTTACGAATATTAGTTTAAAGAAGCCTAACTTCAGAATCCATGGTCACAGGGGGGTTCAGGAAAAGATGGAATTGCGGGGTAAGAAGACAAGGTAGAGAAAATGGCAGAGTCGGCGGTGAGTCTTGTTGTTGACAAGTTAGTTCCATTGCTAACTCAAGAAGTGGAACTATTGAAAGGTGTCCATGAAGAAGTTGCAGATATCAAACGGGAATTGGAGGTCATTTGTGCTTTCCTTAAAGATGTAGATTCAAAAGCTGCGAAAGAAGGCATCGGTGAGGGAGTGAAGGTATTGGCAAACCAAGCAAGAGAAGAAGCTCATCACATTGAAGATGTCATCGATGAGTACATGTTTCATGTGTCAAGACATCCTGATCATGGACATGGACTCCTACATAGAATTGTTTCTTTCATTACAAAATTCAATTCACGTCGTGAGATAGCAGTGAAGGTCCAGGATATCAAAACATCACTGCTAGATATCAAAAATAGAAGTCAAACATTCCAATTCATTTCTTCAAATCAAGGGGCATCAAGCAGCAGCAGCTATGGAAGAAGAGGATTAATTCATGATCCTCGATCGAGTTCTCTTTTCATTGAAGAAGCTGAGCTTGTTGGCATTGAATCTCCAAGAGATGAATTGATAAGCTACTTAGTGAGTGGAATTTCTCGAAGGACAGTGATTGCAGTGGTTGGTATGGGAGGTGTGGGAAAAACCACTTTGGCCAAGAAAGTATATGACAACCACAGGGTGAAAGAGCACTTTCGATACCATGCTTGGATCACAGTGTCTCAATCATATGATAAGAGGGAGCTACTAAGTAATATGCTGAAGAGATTCTATGAAGCAAAAAATGAGTCTTTCCCCCTAGCATTGCTACAATGGATGAGGAGGGATTGATTAACGAGACTCAAAAATATTTACGAGAAGAGCGATATTTGGTTGTATTTGATGATGTATGGGATATTGGATTTTGGGGAGATTTGGAGCACACCTTGCTAGATAAAGATAATGGTAGTAGAATATTGGCTACCACAAGAAAGGAGGATGTTGCTAATTTTTGTAGAGGATCTTCATTGGTTCATGTCTATCGTATAAAACCTTTACCTCAAAAAGAAGCATGGGAACTCTTCTGTAATAAAGCATTCAGGTTTGGGTTTAAAGGGCAATGTCCAAAAGATCTGCAGGAATTGTCACACAACATTGTTAGAAGATGTGGAGGATTGCCGCTAGCAATTGTGGCAGTTGGTGGGCTTCTAGCAACAAAAGAAAAGGCTATTCTAGAATGGGAAAAAGTTCTTAATAGCCTTGGGTCGGCAATGGTGGGTGATCCTTATATTGATAATGTCACTAACATTCTATCTCTCAGCTATGGTGATCTCCCTTACCACCTCAAATCTTGTTTCTTATATTTCGGCATGTTTCCTGAGGATTTCTCCATTAAACGTAGAAGAATCATTCAATTATGGGTGTCTGAGGGTTTTGTACAAGAAAAGCCAGGCATGACACTAGAAGAGGTTGGAGAGGAATACTTCATGGAACTCGTTCGACGAAGTTTGATTCAAGTGGATGAAGTTAGCTTCAAAGGAATTCCTAAAACCTGTCGTGTTCATGATCTGGTCCGTGATGTCATTCTTTCCAAGTCAAAGGAATTGAGTTTCTGCCATGTTTCAAGGAGTTGTTCAACTTTTAAAGGCATAGCACGACACCTGTCCATAAGCAACAGAGGAAGTGACACTCCAAAGAGTAGCACAAAGTCTCAAAGTCGTTCTATTATGGTCTTCGACAAAGTAGAGCTGCGAAAGCCCACAATTTCAGTAATATTTTCAAAATTTAAGCTTCTGACCACATTAGATTTTGAAAACTGTCCTATAGCTCACCTTCCCAAAAAATTGGGAAATTTGCTACATTTGAGATATTTAAACTTAAGAGAGACTAAAGTATCCAAACTTCCAAAATCAATCAGAAAGCTGCACAACCTGGAGTCCTTGGATTTGAGAAATTCTTTTGTGGAAGAGTTGCCGGTTGAGATCAGTAGGTTCCCTAAATTGCGACATCTTTTGGCTGATAATAGAGAGACTCGTGCATTGAAGATACATGGCAGCATTAAGCATTTGGAGTTCTTACAAACGCTGTTTATGATTAAAATGGATGATGATGTGAGCTTGATCAATGATGGCCTACTGATGTCTACGAAAATGAGGAAGCTGGGGATCAGAAATTTGAAGAGAGAACATGGAGCGTATCTATGCACTGCATTAGAGAAGATGACTCACCTGCGTTCACTCCTTGTTAGTTCAATCAATCCCAGGAATGAAATTCTTGATGTGCAATCAATATCTCCTCCTCCTCTTCAGCTACAAAGTCTGAGACTTTGGGGTCAATTAGAAACCGTACCAGATTGGATTTCCAAACTGCACAATTTGGCAAAACTGAGATTGAGTTTTTCAAATTTGATGGATGGTTCGATTAAAGTCCTTCAAGCTCTGCCCAATTTAAAATACCTTGGACTCATATGTGCATACAACGGAGAGAGAATGCATTTTGAAGAAGGAGGGTTTCAGAAACTCAAGTTTCTGTATCTTGCAGGCTTGAGTCATTTGAGTACAATGTTAATAGACGAAGGAGCACTGCCAGTTCTTGAAGGCCTAGCAATGGGACCCTGCCCACAACTGAAGAAGGTGCCTCCTGGATTTCAACACTTGAAATATCTCACAGATTTATCGTTCGCAGGGATGACAAAAGAGTTCACTCAAAGACTGTCACAGCAAGACCATGAGATTGTCAGGCATGTACCGACTCTCCGATATGATGGTACTTATGATCCCGATGATAAAAGATCTTATGCAGCATGGGTGAAGGGAAATTTTGAACGAAAAATCAACTCAACCTAAAAGGCTAAGATTTATGACACTACAGGTATGCACACTTGTATATTTTACTACTTCAAAGAAGCAACAACTTGTTTTGGCAAATGCCAAGTTAATTGATAATCTTAGAATAACTTTGCCTATTTCTACAGGTATGCTGTTGCTTGGGAATCTGTACTTGTTGCACGGACTTCAGAGTAACAATCAACCTTAACAGCAATAAGGAAGTCAGGCAGCTGAAGATATGGTCAGCATCAGCAGGAAGGAACTCACTAGATGCGTGTGTTAACGTTTGTGGTGATTGGAACACATCTTTGGTAAAACCTGTTCTGAACATTTGATTTGATAATTTGTTTTAAGTGTAATAACATCTTAAATATTAGGCTTTATCTCATCTAAAAACCAATATGCATAGCTACTTACATATTCGACTAAAGAATTGGAGGGTGCGCCAGGCCCTTGCAGTAGTGCAACGCATGGGCGACGCGCGTGGATCCCAGTAGCAAGCTACTGTGTTGGACCCTCCCCTTTAAAAAAGTAATTTAATATCGTGTGGACCATTGGCCCACATATCAGATATTAAACTGATAAGAACAGATACTACACTTGATCTTAGCCAAAAGGCCGAGAAAGGTATGCTTTGTAATGCTGCTTCAATTGCATTTTATATATCCGGCTCTCAACATTCGTTTTCTACGTTACCGATGTGGGATACAAACACCTACCACTCCTTTTTAAAAGCTTTGTTTCTTCATATGTTTGTATCAAAACTTAAATGTTGTAATTGCACTGGAAGCTAATCTGGTTGCGGTATTCACTTTGATAGCTTGTTTTTAAGTCCAGAGAAATTAAAACTGACGAAATCCATGCCAAGTGTCATAGGTTATGTATCCATGTAGAACCAGATGTTAGGATCCTTTAATGCCCAACTCATGAAGGAGAAGCTAGCTCATAAAACTCAAATTAGTTGAAGTAAATACAATCTCTATTCTTGACCTGGCAGAATCCTGATACTCCAGCAATGGACAGCAAGCTAAAGGCCTTAGCTCGAAAGATTTCCAGCGTCGTTGGATCTGTTTGCAGATTTGGTGGAGGCCCTGGAACAGTAGGGATAGCTAGGATACCAAAATCCTGCTGGTATAAGGAACTCATAGCTGAACTGGGGCATAATTTGTAGCCTAATAACATGAAGACTATAATAGATTCTAAGCTTCAGATTTCTTCCTTAGCTAAATAAATCCATGCTTTGCAATCACTTTAGGGAGATACCCGAAGGAGAGTTGCAAGGGCAGCATGTAATTCAGTCTTTACGAGAAGATGTGGCTTTCTCCATCAACCCAGTTAGAGCTGCACAGATTGCCACGTATAACAGTGCCCTGCCTCCACAGACGTGCCAAGGAAGCATCCTTGCCCTTGTTTCTAGCCCAGCTTTTGGAAACATGAATGCAAACAGGCCGAACTCCCACTGCCACCCAAGTTCCCAACAAGTGTCTAGGCTAAAGGTAGGTTATTTACCATGGCAAACTCACACATAAATTTAGGCAAAACCATCTTCTTCTTGGAGTGATCATCAAAGTTTCCCATAAAAATAAATAAATAAAAATGAAAATTGTTTTTGCTTAATATCTCTATAGTATGCATCCCTTTTACAGATGAGTTTATATAATATGTTTTAATATTTTAAATAATTAAAAAATCTAAACATAAAATAAATAGTAATTAACACTAGTTGTGAGAATTTGTTTAATTTAACATGTATTATGCTATATTTAATAAGATGTATGTATTGCATAGTTGAGTTTAAATATATCATAGGAATATTTTTTATTTTGATCAATAAAAAAAAGAAAAAAACATATTTTAAAAAATACAATTAGAAGACAGTGCTAAATCTATTTATATTAGAAGAGTGTTTAATTTTAGTTAATGTGTATGTAAAAAAATATAAAAAAAACCATTAATAATGGAGACAAAGTTTATTTTGAGTAAATAATAAATAATGAAAAAATTAAAACATAAAAAAGGGGGAAAAAAAGATGTTGGGCTGGAGCTCACACCAGACCCTCGCACCAAGTCTTTCCGAATGGGCCTAGAGACAACTAGATTTATGAACTGGACCGGAAGCACAATCCAACCATAAAGAAATACAAAGACATTATTGTAACAAAAATTAAAATTAGAAACCGTTTTGTATAAAATTATAACTCGAACGACCAAAGTGTAAAAAAATTATAAAATATCCGAAAAAATAATTTTTTTTTTGGATAAATCACGTCATTTCAAGCAAAAAAAAAAAAAAAAACTTGACTCCATTTTGTTCAGTAGCAAGGATTTAGCTTAAAAAACTAAATTTTGTTTTAGTATATGTATAATTTTTAAATGATTATGATGTAATATAATCCTGCATTATTTTCTCTTCTTTCTAATCCTTTTTCATTTTTCCAGTCAAACCTGTTAAACCTTATGAGTAGTACTTGGTTTAATTGACGCACAACTTAAGAGAATAGCGGATTGAAAAATGCAGTACTTTCGAATTAATCCCGCATTGCTCAACTTTGCTCAGAATGGCATTCTCAGCTGTCTGCTTGAGAGTTGCATCTCAATATTCAATTTTTCATCAGAACAGCAAAAAAGAAAAGTAACAAAAACAGAACAGAACAGAATCGAATTATATATTGTTTCTTATATTAAATTGAGATTGTGTTTCTCAGCAGCGAAGAGGTTTTTTTTTTTCTTCGTCATTTCACCAAGTTTTGTCCCAATTTTAACATTTCGGTCGTTTAGTTTAAGCTTACATTCTTAGATTCTCAGTCAAGAAGTTACTTTTCAGCAATCTCAACCTGTTCTTTGAGGGTATCATAAAGACTCTCGACAACATTCAGCAGGAAAGCATCTGAACCTTGTTTTGCCAACAATGAAACAGCTATAGGAAGATTGTCATGCATACCTAGTGGTATGCTAACCTGTAGATAGGTATGGAACTCACATAAGCAAATAATCCGAAAGTTCTACGAAGAATGACGAAAAGTAAAATTTCAGTAGTACACCGGACCTGGCAGAATCCTGATACTCCAGCAATGGACAGCAAGCTAAAAGCCTTAGCTCTAAAGATCTCCAGTGTTTTTGGATCTGTTTGCAGTTTCGGTGGAGGCTCTGGAACAGTAGGGATAGCTAGGATACCAAAATCCTGCAAGGAACTCATAACTGAACAGGGGCATAATTTGTTGTCTAATAACATGAAGACTATAATAGATTCTAAGCATAAGATTTCTTCCTTCGCTAAATAAAACCATGCTTTGTAATCACTTGAGAAAGGTACCTGAAGGAGTGTTGCAAGAGCAGCATTTAGTTCAGTCTTTACAGAGTGACAGGCATCGATGTTTTCTCCGGTTGTTCTAACAGCTTCCCATACCCTTTCTGATATTCCTGGACCCAAATCAGGTTTGACTGTAGTGACCCATTCGCCGTAGTTATCCTTGAATTCATACCTATACTTCAAATAATAATGAAATTCAGGAGTTAGGAATCGATAAGGAACAGCGTTATATGGCACTTCCCTAAATGAATATCTTGATTGTCATTCAGGTTGATCGATCAAATGCATTCCGAGAAAATTTGGTTGAACTTTTGCACCTTTCAAGTGACCGCATGGCATTTGAGAGGGCCGCTAAAGATGGAATGTTATACTGTTGTTCTTTGATTTCTGTACTCATAAAATGTTTCAGACTTGGAACTTTGTCCTCGACAAAGTCCCCGAGGACCGTATGCTTTACAATATGGTCTGTGTAAACAAAAATAACAAGATATCTCAGCAAATGAGAGCAAACCGATGCAAATACTAAAATCCTTCAGGAACCAAAAGCATTGAATCTGACCTAACTAGTCTATATCATGTAATATTTCTAGTGGGTCATGTTTTGAATCAAAACCTAAAAATGAGCCTTCAAATACTTCCAAAACTTCTGGCTTAGGGCTTGGGAGTAGTAATGAAACTATAGTTAGAGATTAACTGACCTCCGTATATCTTCTCCACTGATTTGACAAGAACTTGACCAAGTCGATCATTTGGAATGCCTGAAAGCTGGAAACAATCTTCTGCAATGATGATTTGACTAGGTTTGACAGGATTCGTAACAGGCGATTGAAGTAGAATGTGTCCAACCCGGCTCAGAATAACAGGGTCCCTGGCAAACCATCCTGGTCAAGAAATTGGTGTCAAAACAGTGAACCACCAGACTAGAAGAGGATGACGAAAATTATTAAGCTCTTAAAATGTTAAACAACTGCTAGTTTCATAATGGCTTATTACAAACAAATGTGGACAAGAGAACTGTATGGGCAACCTCAAACAAACTAGAAAGAAGTATTATCAATCAAGTCAAATTTGAAACTTCTGATAGATTTAAAATGCATAGTTGTGTTATGCAGTCCATTATTCAAAAGTCTAGAATGTTGTCATGAATAATTAAAGTCAAAAGAAGTTTGCAACACATTTTAGTCAGGGAAAACCTTGCAAGTACCTGCTGGTTGGTTTATTTTGTCCATTTGTTTGCAATCACATTCAAAATGAACCCATCACATGCTCATTTCTTACCGACAGTATCAAAACTTTGTGCCAAGGGAATAACTCCAGCACTAGGAACAGCATCATGTGAAGGTCGAAACCCCAAAATTCCACAATATGATGCAGGGACTCTTACACTTCCTCCAGTGTCAGTTCCTGTTGTAGAGATAACATGTTACTTCAGTTAAGATACAAAGCAAAATACATCAAGATAATTCAGATTGAAGTATTTACCCAAGGAGAAGTCCACTAGGGTTGCACCAACTGCCACAGCAGACCCACTTGAAGATCCTCCAGGTACACGATCAGGAGCACATGGATTTATAGGTGTGCCATAATGTATATTTTCTCCATTTATACTGCCTCACAAAATAGAGTTCATACAACAAAAACAACTAAACCTCAATCAAAAAAGTGGTTTATGAGTAACAAATGTTATGTGAGGTTTCAAATTACATTTTACTTTCCAAAAGGTACTGCAAGAATCTCGAAAGATGAGAGGCTAACTAGAATTCTCAACTCGTGTTTAGAATTTAATTTACGTATGCTATTAAGATGAATCACTGGATTCAATAAGGTAAGCTCTAAAAATGATTATATCAAGCATCAGCACCCAGCAGAGAAAATAAATTCATTTAAAGAAACAGCATGCTCAAATGCAGAAAAAACTATAATAAAAGGATTTGTTTTCAGATGGTTTTTAATTACTCTGAAATTGAAGTTGAACTTCGCTGGCACGTTGATGCCATCTGTTGGTGGTTACCACAAGGCCACCGATATCACTAACCTAGGAAACTAACAAGTCAACAGCTGCTGCACTAGCATGGTAGAATACATCAGTTAGATAGCCTAATTATCTGACTGATAATATGTTATAACTGGGCTATCACATTAACACTGTTGTCCATAGGACTAATTCAACTATGTCTATAAAGTTCGAGTTTTAGAAATAGCAAGAGTAACAATAACAGATATCAAAAGAGCTAGTTTTCCTGCTAGTAAAAATTTCAGCACAAAATCTGGTGAAGTTCAACATGAATGTTGTAGCCCATATAAAAACAATTGAACTTTGTAGCAATAACTGGTGTTCATAGATGCAATATAGAGGCCACTGGAATAATAGGACTAAAATTATAATTCAAAGATCACTGGGCCTGAGATTGCATTACTATATGATTGAAAACTTAAAGGCATACTTTGTGTTGAAATTTTAAAGATTAAACATGGTGAAAGCAATTTTCATATTCACTCTCTTAAAAATGCTCTGTAAAAGTTCCTCTTCCAATTATTACACTTTTGTGAGTGGTGAGTGTGTGTTCATTTCCAACAAAGTGGTATAAGAACTTTGTAGTTCCTCATAAATCCAAAATGGCGAGTGGTTTAGTTCAATTTCAATTTCCTAGACTATATATGAAAACCCTATTAGGATCCCAAGATGCCTACAATATTATGGAGAGACACTATGTAGAGCCAGAAGATGCGAGTGTTTTAGATCACACTCAAAAGGATACCTTGCAGAGGTCAAAGAAGAAAGACCAGGAAGCACTTACACTCCTCCACCAGTTTGTTTGGACGATACTACGTTAGAAAAGGTTTTCAAGGTAACCAATCCAAAACGAGCTCAGGATATTCTTCAAAACTCCAATACAGTTGGCAAATGAAGAAAGTTCGTCTTCAAACTCTTAGAAGGAGAGCTTGAAGTCCTTTATATATGATGCAGTTACAGATTTTTTAATCCAAGATTATCTGCCCTAATACAACTTTTCGGAATAAACACACAAACTAATCATGAAAGCGTACTAATTGGATGAGGAATGTATATAGAATGTTTCTCAGTTCTGACTCACATTGAGAGCCATACAAGATCTCCAACACATATTTTCATAGTCCTTGCAACTTTTAATACACCCACAACTTTGCTTCATTTACTTAAACTTACGAAACTCCCCTCATTTTATCTTCAGAAAGCTGATGCCGTAAAAAATCAGGTTCATGTTCTCACATAACCTCAAGATTTCATAAGTTCCAATTTTCAAAATTGTTCCCAACACGAAAATTTCATAAACCCTTGATAGAACTCTACTCCATAACTACTTTTTTTGTAATTTTGTTGGGGCATAGTCCATTACTGACCAAGTGAGCCCTATTGAATTATATCCTCTGATAGCATTGAGCTCTTGTTTAAACAAATTAAGGAAGGAAAAGGTTTTTCACCTGTAAGCCATTTCATCCATGACAGTTTTGCCAACACATGTGGCTCCTCCTCTTAAGACAGCCAAAACAGCAGGAGCAGTTGACGTAGCAGCAGAATGAGTCCTTGCCCAGTCAGGATTACCAAATCCAGTCACATATCCCTCCACATCAAATCTGTTTTCAACTCACAAAAATAAATTAAGCCCTCACACACACACACACACACACACACACACACACACACACACACACACAAAACCAAACAAACAAACACACCCCACAAGAATGAAGAATATATGCAAAAACATAATCCCAATATCAAGAATTGAAGTATAAGCTTGAAAATCAAAAGAAGAGAGCCCTTTCCTTTGCTTTTTTTGAAGTTTTCATGAACATGATATGAACGTAAGAGACATAAGACATGTGTGATCTTTATTGAGGAAATAAAGGCAAAAAAAAGATAAATGTGAGGCTTACATGTCTTTAACTGCACAAGTAAGGCCATGTAATGGTTGATCACGAGATGGAGAGGTTGTTTCAATCACAAATTTGTCCATGAAAGCTCCATAATCCAAGTCTCTGGCCATGTCCGCTGCTGTTCTAGCTGGTGTGTGAGTGTGTGACTATCGACTCTTATCCTAAACGTTGTTGAAAGCACAAAAATGTTGCTGACAAGTCAGCATTCCGAAGGAAAAAAGTAAAAACAGGGTCGATGGAGTTGAAAAGGTTTATTTTGAACTTTATTTTCATTCCTAATGTATTACTTATTCTCAATTTGATCCCATTCCAGTTGATTTTTCCAATTCTATCCTAAATCTTTTCAGCAATACACAAATAGAGGATGTTGTCCTTCCACAGACAAAATGCATGCAAGATTTTTAGCTTTCTCCAAAATTTCAAATCTTAAAAAAATTTCTTCAAGGCTAAATGCGTCAAACTTTTTTCCTGAATTTTAATCTATTTAAAAATTAGTTTTTAAATTTTTTATTTTGGATTTCACATCTTCTAAACTTTATTTTTTAAGATTTAATCAATCATGATATGATTTACATCTATCATTTTCTTTTTAAAAAAATTCAATTCTTGATACTTTCAATTGATATTTTGCACATATGTTAGAAAAACTTCAATCTATTTTTTTGAAAAAATTCCAGAATTTTTCAAGGTCGGATCTTTTTTTTTTTTTCTAAATATTTAAAAAGTAGAAAATAAGCAAAAATAGAAAGAAAAAAAAACCGAAAACGATCTTAATTTTTTTTTGGAGAGTTCTAGATAAATCTTATCAAATGATTTCCATAATGAAACTATTTATTTGACCATTATTTTTCTTATAGAAAACTAAAAAATGAAATAAGTCTCAAAAAAAAAAAAAATTAGTAGCTATCAAATTCGAAATTATAAGTTTAAAGACTCATTTTCAAATATATTAAAATTTAAGAGAGATTTGGACCATTTAATCAATGTTATATGGATTTTTGTTAGGGTCGGCAGAATATTTTTGCTCTACTTCTTCATAATATATATGTTAGCTTTACTTAGCATTTTTTGGATTAATTTAACAAAATGGCATAAAGGCTCATGGAATTAGTCATTGTCAGACTTGACTTCCCAAGTCTTTGAAGAAAAACAGCAGGAAAATGCATCAGAAACCATCTTAATTCCACAAAGAAAGAACTAGTAAACTTGACTATAATGATCATGTCTGCCCCAGCTGGACCGCAATTGGTTAAGTCTATTCAATACGCAGAAAAAAGGTGCTTTCATCAGTGCTCAAATGCATCCAGAGATAGGATGCAAAGCAGTAGTAGAAGTGATTGTTTAGTTTTGTTGAGATCATGAGGCTCAAGTAGGAGTGGATGGTGGTGGGATTGGTTTTGATAAACCACTGCTGCAGTTCTTGTTATGGATGTTGGGAGGAAGAGAGGATTGCTCTCTTGCACCTCAAAGCTTTTTTTAGCTACCCCGATGGCCCTTCCTTGTTTAATTGGTCAGAGAAACAGAGGGAAGCTGACTGCTGTAAGTGGACTGATATACTTGAGTGTGATACCACCACAAAAAGGGTGATCGGACTGTCTCTTGGGAGTTCAATGGATAGAAGTATGCGGAATCGGTATCTTAATGCATCTTTGTTTCTGCCTTTCAAAGAATTGAAGAGTCTCACCTTAGCTGATAGCAACTTTGTTGGTTGCTTTCAGAATCAAGGTTCTTGCCTTCTATTCTTTCAGTACTTAAGCCTTAAGGGTTGAAGTGGCTTTCGTTCGTCAGTTGTGTTTTGCCTCTTTAGCTTAGCACTAATAGCAAGAGCTCTTTTGCAGGTTTCCAAGTTCTGTCACCAAGGCTCAGGAATTTGGAAGTTCTTGACCTGAGTTTTATTAAATTCAATGGCAGTATTTTATTATCTCTGAGTGGATTTTCATCTCTCAAGTCTTTTTATCTTACAGCTAACATGTTGACAGGCTCAACCCGTATCAATGGTAAGGTTTCCTGTGGCCTCAAAAAGCTTCCTCTGTAACGCACAATTATTAAAAGAAAGTAAAAGAGAAAGGGGTTTTGAACAGTGATTTTGACTGTTCATCCCCTCATGTATCAGTGTTCATATGTGATTTTTCAGTTCTTTTTGGATATTTATATTCAAAGTTTACATTATATTTCATTTTGATCTCTGCAGTTTTAAAATAATAATTTTGATCCCTGAGTTGTTTCCGTCCTTTGGGCTACTGCATTCGGCCTACCTCCTTTTTTTTTTTTTCTTTTTTCCTTTGCTTTTTTTTTTTTCACCAATTCATGTTTTTTTTTTAATTTATTAAATTAGATGTAAAAATTATGAAAAATCAATATTTTTTCTCTTCTTCTTCTTCTTTTTTTTTTTTTTTTGCGTTTTTTCTTTGGCTCTTTTCATAAATTTATGTTTTTTTTTTATTAGTGAATTAGATATTTGGATACGAAAATCATGAAAAATCAATTACTATTTTTTCCTTATAAGCTGATAATTATAAAATATATATAATATGTTTTTAGATTATATATATATATATATAGGATTATATTATTTTTATTATTTAAAATTGATCTCTTCAATTTGTCGTTTCTTATAAAAATCCAGATCAAATTAATTTTTTATTCTTTTTCTATGTAATTCTATTTATTAGCAAATATGATTTATTTTCTCTTATGTATTAATTTTCAAATAAGTTTTTTTTTTGTAGTTGTTTTTATTTGCTTTTTCTTTATATAATCAAGTTTTGAAAATAGAATTTAAGTGTTTTATTTACTTATTTTTTATATAGTCAAATTTTGTTGAAATTATTTTGTAGTTTTTTTTATCACACTCTATTAACTTTAATATATTTTTTACAACGTATTTTGAAAAAAAATGACTTGTGTTGCACCATCCGACCCATTAAGTATGATTATGATGTATATAAAAAAATATATATTAGAGTTATAGATTTTATTAAAAATTAACTATGCATCTATACTTATAACACCAACCATTTGCTATTATTTTTTTATATTTTAAAATTATTTTTAAATAAAATAATTAAAATCATGTTTTAGAAGAACTACCTAATAATTCAAATATAATTTTTTGTACTAATATTATTTATTATTTTATAAACAAATATTTATAAATTAAATATACGTATTATCAAAAAAAAAAATTCTTCTCATCGGTATTAAACAAGAATAAAAAAGAATTATATGTTAATTTTTATACATGTTTTTATATTAATTTTTATTTTATTTTTTTGATACAATGTTATAAAAAAGTTTTAAAATATTTTTTAAAATTTCATATTTAGATTATTATAGGTTTTTATTTAAGAATAAATGCATAAAAAAAATCATGTCTTTTTAACTACAAAATTTATTTAAAAATAAACAAAAATAGATGCAAAAATTTGATTAAAAATTATAAAATTAGATAAAATTTTATCTTTAGTTTAATATATTTTTGTTGGCTGATATCATAGTGCATATTATTAAATTAAAATAAATACATTTAGTTTAGCTCGTAACATAGCGTGGGAAGCCAATTAGTTTACTCTAAACTTCAATCTAATGAACTTTTTTCAATCTTATTTTTGTTAATATTAGCATATTACCCATGCGTTGACGCAGGAAAATCTATTATATGCTATGTTTTAATATTTTAAATCATTTAAAAATATAGACATAAAATAAAAATTAATTAACATTAATTGTGAAAAATTATTTAATTTAATATATATTATGCAATTATTTAATTCTCTACCCAGAATTAGGTACTTTGAGCAACTTGGAAGAGTTGGATTTAAGCCATAACAAGCTTAAAAATTGTCTCTCGTAGAGGTAGTGAGGATCACAACAGTTATATTCGTTATGTTTAATAGCACCTTTCATTATTGATTGCATTCTCTCTACATCACTTCCACATATCATAGGTTTGCGAAAGTTACAAATCCTTAATCTGGACGGTAACCTCATCAATGGAAGCATTCTACTACAGTCATTGGGAGCATTACCATCTTTGAAGACCCTTTCTGTAACGATGATCGGTCAAGGTTAGTTTTGGTCCTGCTGCCTAAACTATGATTGTTTTGTACGTATAACATTTATCTTCGTCAATATTGTATTCGTTTTCCTTAATCTTCCTTAACTCGATCAAGATCTGTTGCATCTTTTTGTAGAATTCAATAATTTGACCAACCTTGAAGACTTGTTCTTGGATGGTACTTCTCTCCCAATTAACTTTCTTCAAAGCATTGGAGGCTTGTCTAATCCTAACAGCTTCCCATACCCTTTCTGATATTCCTGGACCCAGATCAGGTTTGACTGTAGTGACCCATTCTCCGCGGTTATCCTTGAATTCATACCTATACTTCAAATAATAATGAAATTCAGGAGTTAGGAATTGATTAGGAACAGCTTTATATGGGACGAAATTTGAAAGAAAGGACTATATTAAAAAAATTTCTTGAGTGAAAGCTCCACCAAATTTAAAATAAAGTAAATTGATCATATAAAGAAAATTTGTATGAGGACCAAAATATACATTAGATGACTCAATGGTCAAGAAGTGGGTTCTTGCAACTTTCCTAACCAAATTTGAAGTGTTTCATGGTTATCTTATTGAAAAAACTATCTTTATTTTGATCAATACAACAAGAATCCTGCACGAATTTCAAAGTCAATGTAAGAAATTAAGAGGATGGAAAATCATGGCAACAAGTGTAAAAAACACAAAAAGAAGAACCCTTCAAGCTGAGTCTTGGAGGAAGAGAGGTTGACAGCTTTATGTCCTGAAAGCAAATCGATAATTTTTCTCAAGAAACGATCTCTTCTACATAACAAGGTAGGTAATTAATTCCCATAATCTTATGCGCATAAATATTCAATTTGTTGTACTGCAGTGAACATTCTAGCCTTCATCTTGTGTCAACCCATATATATAATTTGGATCATTTGGAGCTGGGTGAATGCTCTGTGACCAACTAGAAAGCCAGGAGCTAAACTTGGGTGCCCAGATATGAGGTTTGTGCTTCTTTTCACTTCTTGACGAAAGTAATGATGAGACTAGTAGACACTACGTATTTCTTTCTGCATAAAAAATATGAATGTCTATGAATTGTTTAAATCATCTATTTTAGCTTGATATTGATTTGTTGCTTATTATATGTATTTTCTCATATAGTCTTTTCAATCTCCATTTGTAAATCAGTATAATAAATCACATATGATTTGTTTAACCTAAGTTGAAGCAGAGAGCTTAAAGATTCTAGCCGAATCAAAATTTTCAGTGGTGCTTTATATGTCCAATGTGTAGTACTTCGACAAATATTAGTTTAAGAAGCCTAACTTCAGAATCCATGGTCACAGGGGGATTCAGGAAAAGATGGAATGGTGGGGTAAGAAGACAGAGTAAAGAAAATGGCAGAGTCGGCAGTGAGTCTTGTTGTTGACAAGTTAGTTCCATTGCTAACTCAAGAAGTGAAACTATTGACAGGTGTCCATGAAGAAGTTGCAGATATCAAACGGGAACTGGAAGTCATTTGTGCTTTCCTGAAAGATGTAGATTCAAAAGCTGTGAAAGAAGGCATCGGTGAGGGGGTGAAGGTATTGGTAAACCAAGCAAGAGAAGAAGCTCATCATATTGAAGATGTCATCGACGAGTACATGTTTCATGTGGCAAGACATCCTGATCATCGACATGGACTACTAAATAGAATTGCTTCTTTCATCAAAAAATTCAATTCACGTCACGAGATAGCATCGAAGGTCCAAAATATCAAGACATCACTTCTAGATATCAAGAATAGAAGTCAAACATTCCAATTCATTTCTTCAGATCAAGGAGCATCAAGTAGCAGAAGCAATGCAAGAAGAGGATTAATACATGATCCTCGACTGACTTCTCTTTTCATCGAAGAAGCTGAGCTTGTTGGCATTGAATCTCCAAGAGATGAATTGATAAGCTACTTAGTGAGTGGAATTTCTCGAAGGACAGTGATTGCAGTGGTTGGTATGGGAGGTGTGGGAAAAACCACTTTGGCCAAGAAAGTATATGACAACCACAGGGTGAAAGAGCACTTTCGATACCGTGCTTGGATCACAGTGTCTCAATCATATGATAAGAGGGAGCTACTAAGTAATATGCTGAAGAGATTCTATGAAGCAAAAAATGAGTCTTTCCCCCTAGCATTGCTACAATGGATGAGGAGGGATTGATTAACGAGACTCAAAAATATTTACGAGAAGAGCGATATTTGGTTGTATTTGATGATGTATGGGATATTGGATTTTGGGGAGATTTGGAGCACACCTTGCTAGATAAAGATAATGGTAGTAGAATATTGGCTACCACAAGAAAGAAGGATGTTGCTAATTTTTGTAGAGGATCTTCATTGGTTCATGTCTATCGTATAAAACCTTTACCTCAAAAAGAAGCATGGGAACTCTTCTGTAATAAAGCATTCAGGTTTGGGTTTAAAGGGCAATGTCCAAAAGATCTGCAGGAATTGTCACACAACATTGTTAGAAGATGTGGAGGATTGCCGCTAGCAATTGTGGCAGTTGGTGGGCTTCTAGCAACAAAAGAAAAGGCTATTCTAGAATGGGAAAAAGTTCTTAATAGCCTTGGGTCGGCCATGGTGGGTGATCCTTATATTGATAATGTCACTAACATTCTATCTCTCAGCTATGGCGATCTCCCTTACCACCTCAAATCTTGTTTCTCATATTTCGGCATGTTTCCTGAGGATTTCCCATTAAACGTAGAAGAATCATTCAATTATGGGTGTCTGAGGGTTTTGTACAAGAAAAGCCAGGCATGACACTAGAAGAGGTTGGAGAGGAATACTTCATGGAACTCGTTCGACGAAGTTTGATTCAAGTGGATGAAGTTAGCTTCAAAGGAATTCCTAAAACCTGTCGTGTTCATGATCTGGTCAGCGATGTCATTCTTTCCAAGTCAAAGGAATTGAGTTTCTGCCATGTTTCAAGGAGTTGCTCAACTTTTAAAGGCATAGCACGACACCTGCCCATTAGCAACAGAGGAAGTGACATTCCAAAGGGTAGCACAAAGTCTCAAACTCGCTCTATTATGGTCTTCGACAAAGTAGAGCTACAAAAGGCCACAATTTCAGTAATGTTTTCAAAATTTAAGCTTCTGACCACATTGGATTTTGAAAACTGTCCAATAGATTACCTTCCCAAAAAATTGGGAAATTTGCTACATTTAAGATATTTAAACTTAAGAGAGACCAAAGTATCCAAACTTCCAAAATCAATCAGAAAGCTGCACAACCTGGAGTCCTTGGATTTGAGAAATTCTTTTGTGGAAGAGTTGCCAGTTGAGATTAGCAAGTTCCCTTAATTGCGACATCTTTTGGCTGATAATAGAGATACTCGTGCATTGAAGATACATGGCAGCATTAAGCATTTGGAGTTTTTACAAACACTGTATTTGATTAAAGTGGGTGATGATGTGAGCTTAATCAATGATGGCCTACTGATGTCGACAAAAATGAGGAAATTGGGGATCAGAAATTTGAAAAGAGAACATGGAGGGTATCTATGCACTGCATTAGAGAAGATGACTCACCTGCGGTCACTAATTGTTAGTTCGATCGATCCCAGGAATGAAATTCTTGATGTGCAATCAATATCTTCTCCTCCTCTTCAGCTGCCAAGTCTCAGGCTTAGGGGTCAATTAGAAATGGTACCGGATTGGATTTCCAAACTGCACAATTTGGCTAAACTGAGATTAAGTTTTTCAAATTTGACGGATGGTTCGTTTAAAATCCTTCAAACTCTGCCCAACTTAAAATATCTTGGACTCATAGGTGCATACAACGGAGAGAAGATACATTTTGAAGGAGGAGGGTATCAGAAACTCAAGTTTCTGTATCTTGCAGGCTTGAGTCATTTGAGTACAATGTTAATAGATGAAGGAGCATTGCCAGTTCTTGAAGGCCTAGCAATGGGACCCTGCCCACAACTGAAGAAGGTGCCTTCTGGATTTCAACACTTGAAATATCTCAAAGAGTTATCGTTTGCAGGGATGACAAAAGAGTTCACTCAAAGATTGTCACAGCAAGACCATGAGATAGTCCGGCATGTGCCAATTCTCCGATATGATGGTATTTATGATCCCAGCGATGAAAGATCTTATGCAGCATGGGTTAAGGGAAATTTTGAACAAAAAATCAACATGAACTAAGAGGTTAAGATTTATGAAATTACAGGTACGCTGCACGCTTATAGAATTTACTGCTTTAAAGAAGTACCGACTTTTTTTGTAAATGCCAAGTTAATTGATAATCTTAGAATAACTTTGGCTATTTTTACATGTATGCTGCTGCTTGGGAATCTGAACTTGTTGCATGGACTGCAGACTATCAATCAACCTTATAGCAATACCAAGTCAGGCCGGCTGCGACAGTTGGTGTGAAGATATGGTCAGCATCAGCTGGAAGGAACTCAGTAGAATTGTCTGTTAATGTTTCTGGGGTGACTAGAGCACATCTTTAGTAAAACCTGTTCTGAGTTTTTGATTTTGTTAATTTGTTTAAAGCGAATAACTCTGGCTTGTAGAAGTTATGAAATGTCTGGATGAGCATCTATCATTACCTACTCTTAAATATGAGACTTCATCATCTTGGAACTAATTTTTGAATGATTATGGTGTAATATTATGCTGCATTGTTTTCGTTTCTTTCTAATCCTTTTCATTTTCCAGTCAAACATGTTAAACTGTACGAGTAGTACTTGGTTTAATTGATGCATAACGTAAGAGAATAGCAAATTGAAAAAAGCAGTACTTTCGAATTAATCCGGCATTGCTTAAACTTTGCTCAAAATGGCATTCTCGCTTATCTGCTTGAGAGTTGCAGCTCAATATTGAACTTTTTTCATCAGAACAGTAAAAAGAAAAGTAACAAAAATAGAATAGAATGGAACAGAATAGAATTATATGTTGTTTCTTATATTAAATCGAGATGGTGTTTCTCTGTAGGGAAGAGGGTTTTCTTTTCTGTCATTTCTCAAATTTTTGTCCCAAATTTAACATTTCGGTCGTTAGATTAAGCTTACATTATTGGATTCTCATTCAGGAAGTTACTTTTCAGTGACCCATTCGCCGTGGTTATCCTTGAATTCATACCTATACTTTATATGACACTTCCCCAAAAGAATAACTTGATTTTCATTCAGGTTGATTGATCAAATCCATTCCGAGAAAATTCGGTTGAATTTTTGCACCTTTGAAGTGACCGCATGGCATTTGAGAGGGCTGCCAAAGATGGAATGCTATACTGTTGTTCTTCTATTTCTTAGCTCATAAAATGTTTCAGACTTGGAACTTCGTCCTCGACATAGTCCCCGACGACAGTATGCTCCACAAAATGGTCTGTGAAAACAAAAATAACAAGATATCTCAACATGGATTTATAGGTGTGCCGTAATGTGTATTTTCTCCATTTATACTGCCTCACAAAAAGGAGTTCATACAATAAAAACAACTAAACCTCAATTAAAAAAAAGTGGTTTATGAGTAACAAATGTTAAGTGAGGTTTCAAATTACATTTTACCTTCCAAAAGATACTGCAAGAATCTCGAATGATGAGAGGCTAACTAGAATTATCAACTCTTGCGTTTAGAATTTAATTAGCCGTAAAATAAGACTTATTCCACTATCTAAACATTCAGGTTTAGAAACACTAAGCGTAGCTATAACACGTATCTAAGACCTCTAATTTTACTCACTTGTCAAGAAAATCCAATACAGAAAATCCAGTACAGAAAATTTTGACTAATCATTGGAGGGTGCGCCAGGCCCTTGCAGTAGTGCAACGCATGGGCGACGCTCGAGGATCCCAGTAGCAAGCTACTGTATTGGACCCTCCCCTTTAAAAAAGTCATTTAATATCGTGTGGACCATTGGCCCACATATCAGATATTAAACTGATAAGAACAGATACTACACTTGATCTTAGCCAAAAGGCCGAGAAAGGTATGCTTTGAAAACTCGCTTCAATTGCATTTTATATATGCAGCTCTCAACATTCGTTTTCTTGTTTACCGATGTGGGATACTAACACCTACTACCAACTTTTCTCTTTAAAAGCATCGTTTCTTCTTATGTTTGTATCATTTAAGCCCAGATAAATTAAAACTCTTACGTAGTAACTTTTTTTTTGGTGAAATCCATCCTTTATTGGCTAACTCATGAAGGAGAAGCTTGCTCATAAAACTCAAATCTGTTGAAGTTGACATATATATTCTTGGACTGATCATCAAAGTTTCCCTTAAATCTTGTTCCCCGCCATAAAAAAAGAAAAGAAAAGAAAAGAAAATTGTTTTTGCTTAATATCTCTATAGTATATATCGCTGTTACAGATAAGTTCATGTAATATGTTTTAATATTTTACATAATTAAAAAATCTAAACATAAAATAAATAGTAATTAACACTAGTTATGAGAATTTGTTTAATTTAATATGTATTATGCTATATTTAATAAAATGTATGTATTCCATAATTGAGTTTAAATATATCATATGAATATTTTTGATTTTGATAAAAAAAGAAAAAGAAAAAAGAAAACATATTTAAAAAAATCAAATTAGAAGAAAGTGATAAATCAATTTATATTAGAAGAATGTTTAGTTTTAGTTAATGTGTAAAAAATAAAAAAAAAACCATCAATTATGCAGGTAAAGTTTATTTCGAGTAAATAACAAAAAATTAAAACATAAAAAAGGAAAAAAAAAATATATGCTGGGCTGGAGCTCACTCACACCAGGTCTTTCCGTTGGGCCTGGAGACAACTAATTCATGCGCTAGACTGGAACACAATCCAGTCATAAAGAAAATACAAAGACATTGTTGTAACAAAAATTAAAATTAGAAACCGCTTTGTATTAAATTATAACTGGAATGATCAAAGTGTAAAAAAATTATTAAAAAATCCAAAAAAAATTACTTATTTATTATTATTATTATTACTATTATTATTATTTTGATAAAACAACATTATTTCAAGCCAAAAAGGCATAAAATTGAAAAAGAAAAAAATAAAAGACTTTAGCAAGGGTTTAGCTAAAAAAAAACTACATTATGTTTTAGTATATATATATGGTTTTTAAACGATTCTGTTGTAATATCATGCTGCATATTTTCTTTTCTTTCTAATCCTTTTTCATTTTTCCTGTTAAACCTTATGAGTAATACTTGGTTTAATTTATGCATAACTTAAGAGAATGGCGGATTGAAAAATGCAGTACTTTCGAATTAATCCGGCATTGCTGAACTTTGGTCAAAATGGCATTATCACCTATCTGCTTAAGAGTTGCATCTCAATATTCAATTTTTTTCATCAGAACAGTAAAAAGAAAAGTAACAAAAATAGAATAGAACAGAACAGAATCAAATTATATATTGTTTCGTATATTAAATTGAGATGGTGTTTCTCAGTAGTGAAGAGGGTTTTTTTTTTTTTTCCATTGTCATTTCACAAATTTTGTCCCACATTTAACATTTCGGTCGTTAGGTTACACTTACATTCTTAGATTCTCAGTCAAGAAGTGGTTACTTTTCAGCAATCTCAACCTGTTCCTTGAGGGTATCATAAAGACTCTCGACAACATTCAGCAGGAAAGCATCTGAACCTTGTTTTGCCAACAATGAAACAGCTACAGGAAGATTGTCATGCATACCTAGTGGTATGCTAACCTGTAGATAGGTATGAAACTCACATAAGCAAATAATCTGAAAGTTTTATGAAGAACGACGAAAAGTAAAATTTCAGTAGTACACTAGACCTGGCAGAATCCTGATACTCCAGCAATGGACAGCAAGCTAAAAGCCTTAGCTCGAAAGATTTCTAGTGTCATTGGATGTGTTTGCAGTTTCGGTGGAGGCCCTGGAACAGTAGGGATAGCTAGGATACCAAAATCCTGCAAGTATAAGGAACTCATAACTGAACAGGGGCATAATTTGTTGTCTAATAACATGACTATAATAGATTGTAAGCATAAGATTTCTTCCTTCGATAAATAAATCCATGCTTTGTAATCACTTGAGAAAGGTACCTGAAGGAGAGTCGCAAGGGCAGCATTTAGTTCAGTCTTTACAGAGTGACAGACATCAATGTTTTCTCCGGTTGTTCTAACAGCTTCCCATACCCTTTCTGATATTCCAGGACCCAAATCAGGTTTGACTGTAGTGACCCATTCGCCATGGTTATCCTTGAATTCATACCTATACTTCAAATAATAATGAAATTCAGGAGTTAGGAATTGATTAGAAACAGCTTTATATGGCACTTCCCAAAATGAATATCTTGATTTTCATTCTGGTTGATTGATCAAATCCATTCCAAGAATATTCGTTTGAATTTTTGCACCTTTGAAGTGACCGCATGGCATTTGAGAGGGCTGCCAAAGATGGAATGTTATACTGTTGTTCTTTGATTTCTTTACTCATAAAATGTTTCAGACTTGGAACTTTGTCCTCGACATAGTCCCCGAGGACCGTATGCCTCACAATATGGTCTGTGTAAACAGAAATAACAAGATATCTCAGCAAATGAGAGCAAACTGATGCAAATACTAAAATCCTTCTGGGAACCAAAAGCAATGAATCAGACAGAACTAGTCTATATCACGTAATATTTCTAGTGGGTCATGTTTTGAATCAAAACTTAAAAATGAACCTTCAAATACTTCCAAAACTTCTGGCTTTGGGCTTGGACAGTAGTAATGGAACTATAGTTAGAGATTAACTGACCTCCGTATATCTTCTCCACTGATTTCACAAGAACTTGGCCAAGTCGATCTTTTGGAATGCTTGAAAGCCGGAAACAATCTTCTGCAATAATGATTTGACTAGGTTTGACAGGATTTGTAACAGGTGATGGAAGTAGAATGTGTCCAACCCGACTCAGAATAACAGGTTCCCTGGCAAACCATCCTGGTCAAGAAATTGGTGTCAAAACAGTGAACCACCAGATTAGGAGAGGATGACGAAAATTATAAAGCTCTTAAAATGTTAAACAACTACTAGTTTCATAACAGCTTATTACAGACAAATGTGGACAAAAGAACTGTATGGGCAAACCTCAAACAAAGTAGAAAGAAGTAGTTTAAATGCTGGGGTTTAAACTTTTATCAAATTTGAAACTTCTGATCGAATGTACTATTTAAAATGCATAATTGTCATATGCAGTCCATTAGTCAAAAGTCTAGAATGTTTTCATGAATAATGAAAGTCAAAAGTAGTTTGCAACACATTTTAGTCAGGGAAAACCTTGCAAGAACCTGCTGGTTGGTTTATTTTGTCCTTTTGTTTGCAATCACATTCAAAATGAACCCATCACATGCTGAGTTTCTTACCCACAGTATCAAAACTTTGTGCCATGGGAATAACTCCTGCACTAGGAACAGCATCATGTGAAGGTCGAAACCCCAAAATTCCACAATATGATGCAGGTACTCTTACACTTCCTCCAGTGTCAGTTCCTGTTGTAGAGATAACAGTTTACTTCAGTTAAGATACAAAGCAAAATACATCAAGATAATTCAGATTGGAGTATTTACCTAAGGAGAAGTCTGCTAGTGTCGCACCAACTGCAACAGCAGACCCACTTGAAGATCCTCCAGGTACACGATCGGGAGCACATGGATTTATAGGTGTGCCGTAATGTATATTTTCTCCATTTATACTGCCTCGCAAAAGGATATCATACAACAAAAACAACTAAACCTCAATCAAAAAAGTGGTTTATGAGTGACAGATGTTATGTGAGGTTTCAAATTAAAATTTACTTTCCAAAAGGTACTGCAAGAATCTCAAAAGATGAGAGGCTAACTAGAATTCTCAACTCTTGTTTTTAGAATTTAATTTACATGAGCTGTTAAGATGAATAACTGGATTCAGTAAGAAAGTAAGTTATAAAAATGATATTATATTAAGCATTTGCACCCTGCAGAGCAAATAAATTCATTTAAAGAAACAGCATGCTCAAATGCAGAAAAAACTATAATAAAAGGATTCATTTTCAGATGGTTTTAATTACTCTGAAATTGAAGTTCAATGTGGCTGGCATGCTGAAGCCATCTGTTGGTGGTTACCACAAGGCCACCAATATCAGTAACCTAGGAAACTAACGAGTCAACAGCTGCTGCACTAGCATGGTAGAATAAACCAGTTAGATAGGCTAATTATCTGCTGATAATATGTTATAACTGGGCTATCACATTAACACTGCTGTCCATAGGACTAATTTAACTATGTCTATAAAGTTCGGGTTTTACAACTAGCAAGAGTAACAATAACAGATATCAAAAGAGCTAATTTTCCCAGCTAGTAAAAATTTCAGCACAAAATCCGGTGAAGTTCAACATGAATTTTGTAGCCCATATAAAAACAATTGAACTTTCTAGCAATAACTGGTGTACGTAGATGCAATATAGAGGCCACTGGAATAGTAAAAACCCAAAATGATTAAACATGGTGACAGCAATTTTCATATTCACACTCTAAAAAATACTCTGTAAAAGTTCCTCTTCCAACTAATACACTTTCGTGAGTGGTGAGTGAGTGTTCATTTCCAACAAAGTGGCATCAGAGCTTTGTAGTTCCTCGTAAATCCAAAATGGCAAGTGGTTTAGTTCCATTTCAATTTCCTAGACTATATATAAAAACCCTATTAGGATCCCAAGATGCCTGTGATATTATGGAAAGACTCTATGGAGAGCCAGAAGATGCGAGTGTTTTAGATCACACTCAGAAGGATACCTTGCAGAGGTCAACAAAGACAGACCAGCAGGCACTTACACTCATCTACCAGTTTGTTTGGACGATACTATGTTAGAAAAGGTTTTCAAGGTAACCAATTCTAAGCAGGCTCAGGATATTCTTCAAAACTCCTATACAGTTATGGACAAAGTGAAGAAAATATGTCTTCAAAATCTTAGATGTAGAGCTTGAAGTCCTTTATATATGATGCAGTTACAGATTTTTTAATCCAAGATTCTCTGCCCTAATACTACTTTTCGGAATAAATACACAAACTAATCATAAATGTGTACTAACTGGATGAGGAATGTTTGTAGAATGTATTTCAGTTCTGACTTACATTGAGAGCCATACAAGATCTCCCACATATATGTTCATAGTCCTTGCAACTTTTAATACACCCACAACTTTGCTTCATTTACTTAAACCTACAAAACTCCCCTCATTTATCTTAAAAAAACTGATGCATTAAAAAATTAAGTTCATGTTCTAACAAATTTTCAAAATTTCATAATTTCCAATTTTCAAAATCGTTTCCCAACAAGGACTTACGAAAATTTCACAAACCCTCGATAGAACTCAACTCCATAACTACCTTTTTTGTAATTTTGTTGGGGGCATAATCCATTACTGACCAAGTGAACCCTATTGAATTATATCCTCTGATAGCATTGAGCTGTTGTTTAAACAAATTACGGAAGGAAAAGGTTTTTCACCTGTAAGCCATTTCATCCATGACAGTTTTGCCAACACATGTGGCTCCTCCTCTTAAGACAGCCAAAACAGCAGGAGCAGTTGACGTAGCAGCAGAATGAGTCCTTGCCCAGTCAGGATTACCAAATCCAGTCACATATCCCTCCACATCAAATCTGCTTCCAAGTTCCAACTCAAAAAAATAAATTAATCTCTCACAACACATACACACACCCCACAAGAATATATGCAAAAACATAAACCCAATATCAAGAATTGGAGTATAAACATGAAAATCATAAGAAGAGAGCCCTTTCCTTTACTTTTTTTGAAGTTTTCATGAACATGATATAAACTTAAGAGACATAAGACATTTGTGTTCTTTATTGAGGAAATGAAGGCAAAGAAAGAAGAGAAATGTGAGGCTTACATGTCTTTAACTGCAAAAGTAAGGCCATGTAATGGTTGATCATGAGCTGGAGAGGTTGTTTCAATCACAAATTTGTCCATGAAAGCTCCATAATCCAAGTCTCTTGCCATGTCCGGTGCTGTTCTGGCTAGTGTGTGACTGTATCGACTCTTATCCCAAATGTTTGAAGCAGAAAAATGTTGCTGACCGGTCAGCATTCCCAAGGTAAAAAGTGAGTTGAAAAGGTTCATTTTGAACTCTATTTTAATTCCTAATGTCTGACTTATTCTCAATTTCATCCCAATCCAATTTACGTTTTAGAAAAATTCCAGAATTTTTTAAGTTCAGAAAGTATTTATTTCTTTTTCTAAATATTAAAAAAATAATGAAAAAAAAAACCAAAATGATTCTAAATTTTTTAGAGAGTTCTGTCTTACCAAATGTTCATGTGACCATTGTTTTCTTTTTACAGAAAACTAAAAAATGGAATAAATCTCAAAAAATAAAAAAAATTAGGAATTATCAAATTCAAAATTATAAGTTTAAAGACTGATTTTTAAATGTATTAAAATTTAAGAGAGATTTGGCCCGTTTAATCAATTTTATATGAATTTTTGTTAGGGTTGGCAGAATATTTTTGCTCAACTTGTTCATATATATATATATATTAGCTTTACTTAGCAATTTTTGGATTAATTTAATAAAATGGCATTAAAGGTCATGGAATTAGTCATTGCCAGACTTGACTTCCCAAGTCTTTGAAGAAATTAAAAAACAGCAGCAAAATGCATCAGAAACCATCCTTGTCGTCCACAAAGAAAGCACTAGGAAACTTGAGTATAATGATCATGTCTGCACCAGCTGGACCGCAATTAATTAAGTCTGGTCAAGACGCATAAAAAAGGTGCTTTCATCAGTGCTCAAATGCATCCAGAGATAGGATACAAAGCAGTAGTAGAAGTGATTGTTTAGTTTTGTTGAGATGATGAGACTAAAGTGGGAGTGGATGGTGGTGGGATTGGTTTTGATAAACCACTGCTGCAGTTCTTGTTATGGATGTTGGGAGGAAGAGAGGATTGCTCTCTTCCACCTCAAAGCTTTTTTACCGACCCCGATGGCAATTCCCCGTTTTACTGGTCAGAGAAACAAAAGGAAGCTGACTGCTGTGAGTGGACTGATATAATTGAGTGTGATACCACCACAAAAAGAGTGATCGGACTGTCTCTTTGGGGTTCAGGGGATAGGAGTATGCATGCAGAATCGGCATCTGAATGCATCTTTGTTTCTGCCTTTCAAAGAATTGAAGAGTCTCAGCTTAGCTGAGAGTGGCTTTGTTGGCTGCTATCAGAATCAAGGTTCTTGCCTTCTACACTTTTGCTACTTAAGCCTAAAGGGTTGAAGTGGCTTTCATTTGTCTGTTGTGTTTTGCTTCTTTAGCTTAGCACTAATAGCAAGAGCTCTTTTGCAGGTTTTGAAGTTCTGTCACCAAGGCTCAGGAATTTGGAAGTTATTGACCTGAGTTTTAATAAATTTAATGACAGTATTTTATCATCTCTGACTGGATTTTCATCTCTCAAGTCTTTGTATCTTGCAGCTAACATGTTGACAGGCTCAACCCGTATCAATGGTAAGGTTTCTTGCAGCCTCAAAAAGCATCCTCTGCAAGGCACAACTACAAGAAATACTAAAAGAAAACGCTAAACTACTGTAGCAGTTACTGTGGATTAACTGTAGCAGCTTTGTTTTTTTTTTTCTTTTTTCCTTTCTCCCGCCCTCTTGCTTTAGCCACTAGCTAATGCCCCTCTTTTGTTTTTAATTTTTTTCCTTGCGTTTGCTTTGCTGTAGCCAAGCCATGGGGTTGCTTTTATTTATTTTTTTATTTTAGTCCCTGTTTTATAATCTCTTTTTATTTTAGTCATTAAAAGTTTATTATATTTAATTTTTACCCCTATAATCAATATTAAAATTAAAATTAAAATTTTATTATATTTGATTTTTATCCCTATAATAAATATTAAAATTTTATTATATTTGATTTTTTCTATCATAAATATTTTTTTTTTAACTTTTAGTAAAAATTTATCTTTTTTTTGTTCTTATTTTATGATATGTTTTTATTTTGGTTATTAAAGTTTTATTCTTACTCTACTAAAACTAAATAAAATTTCATTATCCTAAGCTTTTTTTTTTTTAAAAAAATTTTAGTGAGACTTTTTTTCTATTATAATTTATGTTTTGTGATTTTTTTTCTTTGTTTTTGCCATTAAATTTAGTATTTTTTTTTTTTGGTTTAGTCCCTGTTTTGTAATTGTTTTTTTTATTTTGATCATTAAATTTTTATTATATTTGATTTTTTTTCCTACAAGGAACTATTTTTTAATTTTAGTAAAAATTTTTGTTATGTTTTGGTTTTTATTTTGTGATCTTTCTTTTATTTTGATCATTGAAGTTTTATTATATTTGATTATTATTCTTTTTACACTAAAATTAAATACAATTTCACAATTATAAGTTTTTTTTTTACTTTTAGTAAAAAAATATTTTCTTTTTTTGGTTCTTATTTTGTAATTTTTTTTTATTTTGATCATTAAAATTCTATCATATTTTACTTTTCTTCCTATCTTATGTATAATAAAAAAAAATTTATGATCTTTACTTTATTTTGATCATTTAATTTTTATCGTATGTAATTTTATCTTTATTATTATTATTTTTTGTCAAATTCTCGATTTGAATAAGTTTTTTTTGTCCTTTTTGTTTTGGATGGTCTTTTTATTTTATTAACAAATCACAAATGTATAATATATGATAAAAATTAATCATCTAAAATTCAAAAAATTACAATATCGTTATTTTAGTTACCGGTTATTATATATATTTATAATAAAATACATGTTTATATGAAACAATATCTGATTATTAATTTTATATTATTCAACTTTACGGACTTTTCATTTAGCTAACCCTACAACAAAATATGATACATATGTTTTGTTTTTTTTTTTTTTTGCACGATCCTTTTAAAAAATTATTTTTAAAATTTATATATTTATATGAATAAACACATAAAAATATTGTATAAAATCAGCCTGCGGCATCGCGTGGGATACATGCTAGTTTACTCCGAACTTCAAGCCGATGAACTTTTTTCAATCTTATTTTTGTTAGTATTAACAAAGAACCACGCATTGTCTGTAGGAAAATCTATTATAGGCTATGTTTTAGTGTTTTAAATAATTCAAAAATATAGACATAAAATAAAAATTAATTAACATTAATTGTGAAAAGTTATTTAACCGAATATATATATAGGAGTGACCATTCGATTTTTCAGTTCGGTTTCAGCTTTTTTTTTCGATTTTCGGTAACCAAATTGGCTAAAACAAAAATTAATACCGAACCGAATTGATGTTTGGTCTTTTGGTTAAAAAACCAAATTTTTTTGTTCGGTTTTCAGTTAAAAACCAATTTTTTTTTATATTTTTCTTTTAAAACCGAATTATTTTGCTTTAAAAAAAAAATCAAACTTGCATAGTAATTGAGTACTATTTTCAATAGTGATGATTTTTTTTCATTTATTTTTGGAGGGGATCACTTTTTTGGATTACAATTTACAAAAATATAAATTAATTCACTTAATAACCACATCATAAATTTTATAGTAATTTAACTTTATAACTCATTACCATGAATACCATCTCGTCATTTGAATCTAATATTCCAATTAATAAATATACCTTTCTCTATTTATTGAGCCACATCATAATCAAAGGTTGCATATTTCACATTTGATTTTATAAGAAAATTATGTAAGATTATTATTATTTTTTTATACTAAATTTGTTTCTGTTTATATTATAAACTAGATTGGTTAGACTTTTCATTAATTTTTTAATCACGCTATAATTCATTTTTTGTTAATTTTTCATATTCTTTTTAATCTACTTATTTTGTGCATATTTTATTGTTGAATAGATAATCTAAAAATTTTAATTTTTAATTTATGTTTAGTATAAGCATAAAAAGAGTGAAAATATTATTATTGTTAGTTGTTATTAATACTATTATAGTGCTATTATAGAGGATATTTTTGTGCCAATTTTAATATAAGGAGACAATTTCTTTTCCATGAGGTTTGAGGATTCACCCACACATAAACTTATGTATTTATAAATAATTACTTTATCATAGTCTTTTTTTTTTATTTGTTTGTGAGTCAACATAATATAATCAATTATTTTATTATTTCAATAAATAATTAATGGAAAATATTTTTATTTTAAGTAGAAAAAAATCATTAAAGCTATTGCTCTTTTGATTAAATCCATAGGTGCCTCTTTTATTTTTTATTTTTTTAAAAAAGAGCTTGGGTATGTGTTTTTTTTTTTAAAAAAAAAACAACTAATTCGGGTTTTGGTGGAAACAGAAATAAAAAAATAAAAAAACCAAACTGAACCGAAATAATTTTGGTTTTCGGTTTTGGTTTTGTTTTCAGTTTTTTAAAACCAAACTGAAATTTCTAATTCAATTCGATTCAGTTTGGTTCTAGCCGAATAATGCTCACCTCTATATTTAAATATATTCTATGATAAAGAAAAAAATACAATTAATTATTTTTTTAAAAAAAATCAAATTAGAAAATTTTGATTAATCAATTTATAATAGAGGAATGTTTAATTTTAGTTAACGAGCCTTTAAAAAAAATGTAATTAGCTGATAGCGACTTTGTTTGTTGCTTTCAGAATAAAGGTAAGAAGCCTTCTATTCTTTTAGCACTTAAGGGTTGAAGTGGCTTTCATTTGTCAGTTGTGTTTTGCTTCTTTAGCTTAGCACTAACAGCAAGAGCTCTTTTGCAGGTTTCCAAGTTCCGTCGCCAAGGCTCAGGAATTTGGAAGTTCTTGACCTGAGTCATAATGAACTCAATGACAGTATTTTATCATTTCTGAGTGGATTTTCATCTCTCAAGTCTTTGGATCTCCAATACAATATGTTGACAGGATCAACATGTATCAATGGTGAGGTTTCATGCGGCCCCAAAAAGCATCCCATGCAAGGCACAATTTACTCTAAACTTCAAGCTGATGAACTTTTTCAATCCTATTTTTGTTAGTACTAACAAAGAACCCACACGTTGCTGTAGGAAAATCTAGTATATGTTATGTTTTAATATTTTAAATAATTCAAAAATGAAAACATAAAATAAAAATTCATTAACATTAATTGTGAAAAATTATTTAACTTAATATATATATATATATATATATATATATATATATATATATATATATATATATATATATATAATTGATTTTAAATATACTCTAGGAATATTTTTATTTTGATAAAGAAAAAAATGCAATTATTTATTTATTTTTTTAAAAAATAAAATTAGAAGAATGAACTTAATCAATTTATATTAGAAGAATGTTTGATTTTACTTAAAAAGTCTTTAAAAAAAGGAAGCATTAATTATTGAAAAAAATATATTTTGAGTAAATAATTAATTACAAAAAAATAAAACATAAGAAAAAAAGGCTGGGTTGGGTTGACACCAAGCTCTTTTGTATAGGCCTGTAGAAAACCAAGCCCATTTCAGCTTTTATATGGGTCTGGAGGGGGAAAAAAAAGAGAAAGAAGAAGAAGCAAACCCATGCAAGTGGATTGAAAGCCCAACTCAGCCAAAAAAAAAATACATGACCCTTTTGTAATAATAATTAACATTAAAAATTATTTTGTATAAAATAATAACTTGAATGATTAAAATATAAAAATAGATAACTTTAAAAAAATCAATTAAAAAAAAGGGCCTCAATTCAAACCAAATCACTTAAAACGGTGCCGTTTTAATTTTCCCGGAGCACGTATCAATCAAGCCTGCCATTCTCTAACCAGAATTAAGTGGTTTGAGTGACTTGGAATGGATTTAAGGAGTTTTTTTTCTTAAAACATGATATTTTTAAATCTCATTTATAAAAATAAGATTGTTTTAATCTTATTTGACAAAATAAGATAGTTTTTGTTATGTATATCAAAATACTTATATGTGTCAATTTTTTTAATGCTAAACTCATTAATAATTTTATAGAATTCTAGAAATAAATATCTTTTGCAATATATTCGTTTTATTAGCTATGATTACTAGATAAAATTAAATCCTGATAGAACCACCCTGCCACTTCGTTACCAAGATCCAGAAACACTAGCTTTTAAAAATATTTCGCCATAACCAAACTAGGCATTGATACCACGGATCCTGATGATAACAACAGCTTAGCTTCTGGGTCGACATAGAAACCTTCCTTGAGTCTAGCTTCACGCTTAAGCCTAATAAGCTCCTTTTGCTCTCATCATGCTGCTTGACGTACTGCTTAGCCCTGTTGAAAATCAACTCTTTCTTTAGAGCTAGCTGCTTTTCCTTCTTAACCAAAGCCCACTCCTCATTTCTTTTTTGCTTTTTCAACATAGATTCCGACATTGGTACCTTAACTTCTTCCCCATCCATCTCTCTTTGTTGTTCGGCTTCCTGGTGGCGATTATGATCTGCAAAGAGATAAGTGAAGGTGTCTTTGCGGCTCTGAATCGAATTTTGGATTTCTTAACCCTCAATAAACAACTATGACTTTGGTGAGCAACGATTTTGTTTTGGGTTTTGTCAAGTTTTCAGATTTTGAATGTGGGTTCGTCAACTTCAACTTCATTTTTTTGGTGATCTTGTTATTGAGCCATTTCAATTTTTATAGAGTGTTTTTGGATCTTGTTGATGAGCTGGTAGGATTGGATTTACTACTATTTGATTTTATTTGGTAATATAACAAATAAAATAAATGTATTACAAATAACGTGAATTTTTAAAATTTTGTAAAATTATTAATGAATTTAACATTAAAAAAAAACTATATACAGCAAAAACTGTCTTATTTACTAAAATAAGATTAAAACAACCTTATTTTAATAAATAAGATTTAAAAATGTCTTTTTTTTAAAAAAAACTCTGGATTTAAGCCATAACAAGCTTAAAAACTCTCTCTCTCCTAGAGGATCACAACAGTTATATTCATTAAGTTTAATAGCCCTTTTTTTTTTTTTTTTTGCATCCTCTCTACATCACTTCCACATATCATAGGTTTGAGAAAGTTAAAAATTCTTAATCTGGACGGTAACCTCATCAATGGAAGCATTCTACTACAGTCACTGGGAGCATTACCATCTTTGAAGACCCTTTCTGTAATGCATGGGAGTTTGGGAGGAACGATGATCGGTCAAGGTTAGTTTTGGTCCTATTGCCTAAACTATGATTGTTCTGTATAACATTCATCTTCGTCAATATTGTATTCGTTTTCCTTAATCTTCCTCAACTCGATCAAGATCTGTTGCATCTTTTTGTAGAATTCAATAATTTGACCAACCTTGAAGACTTGATCTTGGATGGTTCTTCTCTCCCAATTAACTTTCTTCAAAGCATTGGAGGATTGTCTAATCTTAAAATTTTGTCTTTAGAGGACTGTAATCTCTATGGCACCTTATCGGAAGCTCAAGGTAAATGGCAACTCTATCCATTTCCATCATTTGTTATTATTATTATTATTATTTTTTGGATACAATGTTGTAAAAAAAATTTAAAATATTTTTTAAAATTTTATATTTACATTATTATAGGTTTTTATTTAAAAATAAATTCATAAAAAAACAAATCGTGTTTTTTAAACTACAAAATTTATTTAAAAAGTAAACAACAAAATAGATGCAAAAATTTGATTAAAAATTATAAAATTAGATAAAATTTATCTTTAATTTAATATATTTTTATTGACCAACGTCATATTACGTATTATTAAATTAAAATAAATATATTTAGTTCAACCCGTAGTGTAGTGTGGGAAGCCAACTAGTTTACTCTAAATTTCAAGCTGATGAACTTTTTTTCAATCTTATTTTTGTTAGTATTAGCAAAACCCACACATTGACACATGAAAATCTATTATATGTATGTTTTAATATTTTAAATAATTAAAAAAAAAGACATAAAATAAAAATAAATTAACATTAATTGTGAAAAATTATATATATATATATATATATATATATATATATATATATATATATATATATATATAATTGATTTTAAATATATTCTAGGAATATTTTTTATTTTGATAAAAAAATTACAGTTAATTATTTTTTTTAAAAAATAAAATTAAAAGAATATGCTTACTCAATTTATATTAGAAGAACGTTTAATTTTAGTTAATGAGTCTTTTTATTAATTATTGAAAAAAATATTTTGAGTAAATAATAAATAACAAAAAAATAAAACATAAGAAAAAAAGGATGGGTTGGGTTGACACCAGCCCTTCTGTATGGGCCTATAAAAATCGAGCCCACTCCAGCTTCTATATGGGCTTAAAGAAAAGCAAGCCCACTCAGCTGGATTGAAAGCCCAATCCAGTCAAAAAATACAGGACCTTTTTATAATAATAATAATAATTAACAATAGAAACAATTTTGTATAAAGTAAAAACTTGAATGATTAAAATATAAAAATTGATAATTTGAAAAAAATCACTCAAGGAAAACGGCCTCGTTTCAAGCCAAAAACACTTAAAACGGTGCCGGTTTAATTTCCCTATAGCCCATTTTAGTTAAGCCTGCCTTTCTCTACCCAGAATTAGGTGCTTTGAGCAACTTGGAAGAGCTGGATTTAAGCAATAACAAGCTTAAAAATTTTCTCTGTGCTAGAGGTACTGAGGATCACAATAATTATATTCATTAAGTTTAATGGCATCTTTTATTATTGATTGCATCCTATCTACATCACTTCCACGTATCATAGGTTTGAGAAAGTTAAAAATCCTTTATCTGGGCGGCAACCACATCAATGCAAGCATTATACTACAGCCATTGGGAGCATTACCATCTTTGAAGACCCTTTCTGTAACGAAGGGCAGTTTGGGAGGAACGATGACCGGTCAAGGTTAGTTTTGGTCCTGTTGCCTAAACTATGATTGTTTTGTATAACATTCATCTTCGTCAATATTGTATTTGCTTTCCTTAATCTTCTTTAACTCGATCAAGATATGTTGCATCTTTTTGTAGAATTCAATAATTTGACCAACCTTGAAGACTTGATCTTGGATGGTTCTTCTCTTCCAATTAACTTTCTTCAAAGCATTGGAGGATTGTCTAATCTTGAAGTTTTTGTCTTTGGAGGAATGCCATCTCGATGGCACCTTACCGGATGCTCAAGGTAAATGGCAACTCCACCGATTTCCATCATTTGTTATCACACAGCACTTGAAGAAAGAACAGGAACTTCTTTCTTCTTGAAAATGAACATTGGCAAATTATACAGGTTTGTGTGAACTGAAGAACCTCGAAGAGCTTGGTCTGTCTGGAAATAGATTAGAGGGGGTGCTTCCAGCTTGTTTGGGAAACTTGTCATCCCTTCGACTAGTGGATGTCTCTGACAATCAATTTTTGGAAATATTGCCTCTAGCCCTCTAACCAATCTTTCGTTGCTCAAATATCTCTTCATTTCAAGTAACCGCTTTCAAATCCCAGTTTCATTCAACTCATTTATGAATCTCTCAAACCTCAAGCTCATTTCATGTGATAACAGCATCCTAGTAGCAGAACCTACCTCTCAGAATTTCATTCCCAAGTTCCAACTGAAGTATTTCAGTTTGTGGAATTGTTCATCAAAACAACTCAACGTACAACTTCCCAACTTCCTCCATAGTCAACACCACTTGAGAATTCTTGATCTCTCCCACAACAACCTTGTTGGAATGTTCCCATCTTGGTTGCTTGGGAACAATACAAGAATTGAAGAAGCATATCTAAAAGGCAACTTGTTTAGGGGTCCTCTGCAGCTACACTATCGTCCAAATTTACACCTCTCGACACTAGACATATCTCGCAGCAACATATATGGTCGAGTTCTGGAAAACATATGTTCCATCTTTCCACTATTGGAGAACTTAATGATGGCTAGAAATGAACTCACAGGTAGCATTCCTACTTGTTTTGGAAATATGAGCGGGCTAGCATTTTTGGATTTATCCGACAATCAATTGTCTCGAGGAGTACCAGACCAGTTAGCCATGGCTAGCTCATTATCCTTTGTCAAGCTGTCAAACAACAATTTGGAAGGGGAAATATCTCCTGCAGTTCTCAACCTAACTGCATCTGCTCTGTATGCTCCATGCCTCTACCTTGATGGCAACAACTTCTCAGGACAAATATCTGATGTTTCATCCAACACTTTGTCACTCCATGTGTTGGATATTAGTAACAACCACTTGTCAGGCATGCTGCCGAGGTGGATAGGCAATATAACAGATCTGCGAGTAATTGATTTGTCGAAAAATCATTTTGGGGGCTCAATTCTAGAAGAGTTCTGCAAGCTTGATGAGCTTGACTATTTTGATCTTTCTGAGAACAATCTGGCTGGCTCTATACCATTTTGCTTCAATCCACCACGTTTATCCCATGTCCATCTATCCAAAAACCTCTTGACTGGTCCACTGACAAATGCTTTTCGTAACAGCTCTTCATTAGTCACATTGGATCTCAGAAATAACAGCTTAACTGGCCCTATTCCAAATTGGATAAGTAGCCTTTCGATGTTGAGTGCCCTCCTTCTAAAAGCCAATCTTCTTAATGGTGATTTTCCTGTTCAGTTATGCTTGTTAAAACAATTAAGAATATTAGACCTTTCCCACAATAAATTTTCTGGGCCTCTACCCTCTTGTTTGAGCAACTTAACTTTTATGTCCACTGTTGAGAAAACTCTTGCTATCCCTTCTTTAAATTTTGACCCTGGGGAGCATCCTTTGGCAAGCGTGCCGGGAGCAGACCTACTGGGAAGAGATTTTTTCCCTAGTGCTAGAAACATATGGTCTGTACGCTTCAGTGTAGAAGAAGTTGTAGAGTTAACAACTAAAAGAAACACCTACAAGTACCAAGGTTATGTCCTCAATTTCATGTCCTATATTGATCTCTCTTGCAATAGATTCACTAGTGAAATCCCACTAGAGTTTGGAAACGTAAGAGAGATACATGCACTCAATCTTTCACACAACAATCTCACTGGATCCATTCCGACGACGTTCTCAAACTTGAAGCAAATTGAGAGCTTGGATCTTTCTTACAACAACTTGAATGGTGGAATCCCCCCGCAACTTGCTGCACTGAATGCTCTGGAAGTTTTCAGTGTGGCATTCAATAATTTGTCAGGTAAAACTCCAGATAGGAAATATCAGTTTGGGACCTTTGATGAAACAAGTTATGAGGGAAATCCTTTTCTCTGCGGACCTCCTTTACGAAACAATTGCAGCGAAATTGAATCACCATCCACACTGATGCCAAATGATTCAAATGGTGAAGGAGAAGATGATGGTCCCATAGACATGGACATTTTCTATATAACCTTCGGGGTATCTTACATAATTGTGGTGTTGGTAATTGCAGCAGTTCTGTGCATAAATCCATACTGGCGACGCGCATGGTTTTACTTCATTGAAGTCTACATTGAAACTTGCTACTATTTTGTCATAGACAGCTTTCATAAGCTTTCCAGCTTCAGATGGCTATAGGATCTGTACTTCATTTCAATTTTCAGTTTGAAACGATAAACCAGATGTTTTTAGAATGCTTAAATGACAAATTTGTTTCAATTGTCATAAAATTTTTAACTGCTTGTTGCTTAAGTTGCTTGAAGCAATGTGATAAACCACTGTGGGTTCTCAGCTTAAAATATGCATGAGCTTATTTCCAAATGTATTAACTGTTAGTATGCACGTTAAACAAATGAAGTAAAACACATAGAACAGAGGAACATGAGATTATTTCCTTCTATATTTTTGTTTGCCAGATGTAGAAACACAAAATGGGAATAATTTGGAAAGTTTCATTTTTGTCTTCTCTACAAACCTATTTAAAATATTCTTTCAAAGAAAAGAGAAATAAATACAACCATCTGTATGAACAAGTAACAGACACAGCTAATACAGATTCATGTGAGAAGTCTTCAACAAGTCTCGTTCTTAGAGGTTAAGGCAAAATTGATGAGAAAAAATTAATTTTTGAGTCATTTACATGTTGCATTAAAGAAGCAACTTGTTGGTTTGTATTTCTGGAAACCTTAAACAAATACAGAATGCCATTTCACAGCTCTGAATATTGGGTAGAAAAACAGTCATTTCTAGAAGGAAATTTTCAATCACTTTCATCAGAATCAGCATCAAAGATATACAAGTAGGGAACTACAGGGCTGTGTTCAATAGATTCTCCTGAAGCCTCGCTGGTTTTATGAGAGTTCCAACCAAGTCGCTGCATGTAGACTTCATCATAGGCTTCAATGTTCAAACCTGAAGCAAGAAACAGTTCCAACTCATTCACAAATCGATCTGTTTTTGCTGTTAGAAAAGGCCTCGCCGCATTAGATACTAGAGCCTTGAACTCTTCTTGTTTCATTCCAAGTGTTTTTCTTTGATTCATTCGATCATTTCTACCAAAACAAGATCATCATTAAGAGATTCAGCTTAAAGCATGCTATAAAAATGTGGTCATGATCGCATAACAATTACCGGCTCAAGAATGAATCAACCACACCAAGAATATGATGTAGAATGACTTCAATATCTTCTTCCTATGTCAAAATAATGGAAGAAAAAAGTTAGTCATGATTACCAACGGACCACATAGGACTCTAAAAAAGGTTTTACTATAATTAAAATTCCAAGTTCATAGAACAGATGCCATCTTACTGTAAATGGGACAGCTTAAATATGAAGTTTCTTCCTTTTCTTTTCTTTTCTTTGTTTCCTATAGGCATCGTTTTACACACCAAGCACTTACTGACAAGAACCAAAAATTTAATTTCACAACATTTGCAAAACGCCATATTTCACAGAAAAGTGTTGCATAGGCAAATGGTATAGGATTAAGAATGTACAAGCATATCAAGTGTTAGGAATGGATGTACATCCAAGACAGTCTCTCCACTCTTTTCAGGCATATAGTTATGATGCCATTTACTAAACTTAATAATATGAACCATGGGAGGAGCTGAGAAGCAATCATTTTCATAAGGCTATAAACTTACTATTACTCTACAAATTTTATGTCAGCATTTGTTTTGTTCTCATTCTTAGACTAAGTTAGAAAGTGCTTAATAAGCTAGAGGATTGACTTTCAGAGAAACATCCTAGCACGTAATAAGTAAGAGTGCAAAGCATACAATCAAAAGCAAACAGGTTACTAGACCTGCAGTAGAGCTTGAATTTCTCTTCTCAGCCAACTTTGGAGCCACCGATTTGGCTGAAGATACTTGCCCAACTTCCAATATCGTGATACATTAATTGTGTCATTCAGGATACCTGATTGAACACACAATGACTGAAAAACATAAATAGGTAGCACTTTTTTGTCAGGAAGTGTCATAGTAAAACACAAATTAAAACAACACAACAAATGAAAAAAAAAGAAAAAAAGAAAAAAAGAGAGAGATCAGTACACAACCCGGTTCAGTATAATAGCATTGTAATCTGTACTTGTGTGCTTTTGAAAAGAATGAGCTGAAAAAAACCAGTAAGAGGAATATAAAGAACAGCACCAATAACACAAAGAAAACTTAAAGGGGAAGACGAAATAACAGACATAGGTACCTATCCTCGAAACCCTGATTTACATAATGCCGTTGGAACGAACTTCCATCATATCCATAAATTATTGAAAAATTCTCCGTCTGCAAATTTGTCAAAAACCATCACTAACAACACAATTACACAGATAGCAATGTTCTGAAGTAACAAAGCAAGCATTGTTTCATAAGATTAAAAAGTATAATACACAAGTTGACAATTCATCTGAAACACACAAACCTTGCATAAAGGACACTTAGTAGAAGAAGGCCGCCGAGATTCCTTGCTAGAAGCTACTTTAGTCCATTGTAAAATGCATTTGTAACAAAATTTATCTGCGACACAAGAATTAATAACAATAAATGACCAAACATCATGGTACACAACCTTTTAATCACCACCCACATACACACAGACAGAGATGCACCGGTTACCATAACGCCTGCAACTTGCAACTCAAACCAAACACAGACCAATTTATAGTCAAAATTCTCAACGATCTTATAAACCCAGTTTTAGTAATATGCATAACACACAACAAAATCTGAAAAGTTTTCAACTTTAACTCCACAATCACTAACTAATTGAATTAAACATTAGTGAAAATTAAAGGGCAATCAAGAAAGTGGATACCCAACAAGAAATGTCTAACAAAACGAGGAGATGGGTCAATAACAGAGATAAAAACTGAGCTTGAGAGAGAAGAATGTACGGAAACAAGTGTCGAGATAGGATTCTTGAAGGAAAGGAGCAAGGCATATGGGGCATGGATTTGAGTCACTCGAAGAGCAAGATAGATTCTCTTTGTTGTTGTTACAGTCCTCTGGGTCCATTTTTTCACTTCAATCTCGCGGATTTGTTCTGTTCTTCGAAGCAGAAAATCAAAATTTAGAAACATCATGGGATTAATCTTATGTTTGGTCCTTGTAATCTTGAAAATTTCCTAATATGACACCTGTATTCTTTTTTTATTTATTTAGTCCTTCTAATCTAAAAATTTTATTAATTAATGAGATCCCTCCATCCAACTTCCTTCCAATAAACCGTTAATTCTTGACAACATGTCAGGAAAAAAAAAGGATACGTGTCTAGCATTTACCAGGCCATATCTTGATAATTAACGTAAATTGGATGGAAGTTGAATGAAGAGACCTCATTAAAAAATGTTTTCGACTAGGGCGATAAATTGAAAAAAGAAGAGTATAGGGGCCATATGAATAAGATGTCCTAGAACAGGGATCAAATATGTGACTTATCCAGATATTTTGATTAATTGAAAAAATATGAAAAATGGTCACCAATCCTTCTCTTTCTGATATCCACAGTATTGCTGGACACATTATTTCCTTTGTTGCCACCAATACTTCTCTTTCTAACAATTTTATCATTTTATGCTTTGGCTTGGTTCATAGGATTGTAAGTGAAGCCAGAAACTATACGATAGGTATCTATCCTATCTTTCATTTCCATTTTTCTTGTTGAACTTACCATTTATGATATATGTACATTAAACGTAGAGCTGGTTCCTTAAAATGTATTGGCATAATTGCTGATAGCAATTCCTTGCAAGGAAATGAAAGATAGATGTCCGGTGAATCATTCCCAATAACAGGTAGTCTTGTCAAAAAAGCTTGCTGTGCCGATTAAAGCTTCAATGAGCTAAACAATCTGTTAGATATGATGTTTTATGATGAGAGAAAGTTAAAATGGGAGATTTTCAAGAAGGAAAAGTTGCTTCTCCTGTGAGGTTATCCATTTTATTCCTTCCAGCAAAACCTGTTCTTGCTCAGTATTCTACTTTTTAATCACATATCTGCAGACATTGTATTTTGGCACCCTTCTGTTTCTTTCTGTTGATTTTTAGTCAATCCAGCTGGATAATATCTAGAACAATAGGTATTTCTTAATATTGTGATATGGACATCATCCTGAGAAGAAGCAGAACACATGGATAACTGACTAAAAAATTGTAGCAAAAAATTTGTAATTAACAAGTTCATCAACACAGATCTTTTCGTCTAAGCAAGGTAAAAAAGATAAACAGATATCACAAGGTCTACTGATCCCAATCTCTTTCACCAAATCATTTTACCAGACTCACAGCTCCCTTTAACTAACACAATCTTTCTTCAAAATGCTTTGTCGCTTTTCCTGAATCAACCTGCACGAAAATAATCCTTAATAGCGTTATGATTCGGATATATCAAGGATTAGTGGGTTAAAAAAAATCTCTATAACAGAATTTCATAAAATATTTGTTTGACTTACCTCTCAAAATCTTAAGCTGTGCACTTGCGAACTTGGGTGAGTATAAAACTGAGAAGTCAATTCTGTCAACAGTTGCGTTACCGGACCAGCAGAAACCAATCTCTTGATCATATCTGAGACTCTTCTTCTTGATGATGTGTCTGAAAGGCTGAAGAGAGTAGGAAAACTCTTTTCTCCTTTGTTCAAATTCATATATATAGTGCTCCAATGTTGTATTTGAAGAAGCAGACTTCACCTTTCTCTGCCCCACATCAGGAAATGGTTCAAACCAAAAGGCCTCCTTCTTTGCCAAACTTACCTTGTAAGTTTCCTGAGTATCAACATCATAGATTGATACTTCAATAGGCTTCCACATATCCAAAGCTTTACAATTATCCTCGGATAAGTTCTCCAAAATGAGGTTGTTGAATTCCCTTGATGGTGAGATCTTAAGGCTGTCCCATCGCATGCTGTCAGTTGTAAGCTTTATTCTATATGGCCAAGGGTTGCTGGTTTCAGAACCATTCCTGCAAACTTCTTTGCCTTTCTTGCTAATGCTACCTTCTCCAACGATATTTTGTTTATCGAATGCAATCTTCATCTTGAAGAGTGGAGACAACATGGAAGTGAAACAAGAAATGGAGATGTGTAAAAGAGCAAAAACTTAACCTTTGCTTTGTATTGGACATTGAAGCCTTCCATTTATTCTCTATTATTACAATTCATACTCTCATTTTTCTCTCTGTAGTTACCATATCCGAGTGTCATTCGTTCATTTGTATTAATGCACCCATATACATGACTTGGACAACAACTATGAAATTTGTTACCAGCTCTAAAACAAGCTGTAATGAGTTGTTGATGAGGTTGATACAAATCCAGAACAAGGCTGCGAACTCTATTCAGCTACCGATTATGAAGACACCATAATAAGTCGAGCAATGAATGCAGTCCATGTAAAAGAATATAATTCCTAAATAAGTATGAAGAAAGAGTAACCAAGTCCAAGAACAATGAAGACAGAATTCTCTTCTCTGTCAAGGCTATTCGTTTTGTTTCTTCCACAACAACTTTTACAGTTCTATCTTTATACCCTTAGTAGCACATGTTTCTTGCTGCCTTCTCACGTTTTGCCAGATAACGCTGATGTTGCATAGTGGAAGAGCAAAATGCTATCTTAATGAGGCTGAAATCTGAATCACTTTGGTTTAATCCACTAGCGATGGACCCTAATATATTCCCTTTCTTACCATATTTTCCATTTCAGTTCTGAAATTAAAAAATGTCCTGGTAAGGAATTTTTAATTAATCCGAGGAACAAGTAACCTGTCGGATACAATGAAGTTGTAATTCTGAGTAAGGAGAGACAGATAATGATGAGCATACTGCTAAATTTGAAGTCATTGAGCGTACATTATTCAATTTTTCCCTCAAGAATGGGGAACAATCCAAAGATATCACCTGGGTAAAAAAGCTGTCTCTTAGTTAATTTGTTAGTTCTGAGAAAAATATGTTAAATTTCTTCTTAAGATGACCAATACTCGGTCCAATGGAAAGAAGTATGAGTAGGAGACAAGCTTTTGCTCATATTTCCATTTTCCATTATGCAATATCCTATGCATCTTTTTCTTTATAATTGCCGAAAGATTCCTTTGCTAAGCTATTATTATTGTCTATCGTGCTGCAAAATTTGGTATCAAGAGAAGCAGGTGGTATCAATATTGTCATATTGGCAGTCACTTGGGATATCAAGATGAAGCAAAATAAAGATTCTACACTACAGAAAGTTCACAGAACTGAAAATCCTGTTTTATATAATGCATTCCTTAGCTCTTCTCTGGATCTGCATTTTGCATATTTGCAATTGATTTAGTTGCAGCTTCATGTTCTCAACCACTTCTCTCATCATCTTTACCTCATTCCAGGATGTCTTCCATTCGTTCTCCAAACATTCAAACCACCAATTCTCGGCTATGCCTTCATGTTTCAAGTTTTCTGCATCATTTTCCAGAACATTCAAGTTAAGAGCATTGTCATCGCTGAGAGCAAATGATTTGGGGTGCAGGCCTTCCAAGCAATGGCGTCAGAGCATCGTTGCGGGATTTATAACTTCTTGGCCCACAAAGAGATTGATTCACAGCTTTTCAAAATCCGAAATATGTCTTTCCATGCTGAAAACAATACAAAACTTAGAAAAGCCTCTGTCTTGAAAATCAGATTTCCTTGTTCAAGATCATCACTCATTTCCAAGAAATGTGCAGCACAGTGCACTGAAGCAATATTGTATGCTGTTAGATCAACCTTCCATCAATAGCAGAACTTCACTACTAACTCAAAGATTTTAGACCCACCTGGAAAATTGTCTATTTGAATCTTGGGGAGGGTATCTTTTTCTCCATTTCTTCTTCTCTGGAACACTAATCTATTCAAATATTCACTTTTTGAGACCACGGCAAGCTGAGCACGCAAAGAAAATGACTTGGAAGTTAAAATCTGAACAAAGATTTTTCTACAGAGGCAAAAACAGAAAAGAAAGTTCAAACTATTTAGCTTTTAGTTGAAATGTTCAAACCAAAATACTTAAGAATCATCATTTCAATGCTGAGAGAAGAAGGATAGAAAGAGTTTGCTAGAACTGCTCCCTGCTTCCAATTTTTGTTGCCTAAATCTTCTTGACAACCTTGCATATTTCTGGATTCTATAATATCTAACAACTATAAGATTTTCTCTTATCTGACCGTAACAGCAATCCATAAGCTTGTTTCCATGATATCACAGCGAGGAATGTGGTCTAACCTCAGGATAATTAAAACTTCCAGCAGCTCAAGAAATACTTAAACACAAATTTATCTGCAACGATAATGCAGATGTTCATATAGATTTCCGACAAGACTAGCGTGATTCGATCTCATACTACATAAAGAGTGGATAGATTAACTAGGTCTAATTGATTAAAGCATGTTCTATACCTTATGCAACTGAAAGCTGGAAACACCAACTTGTATGATCAAATCATTCGCAACTTTCGTGCGAACAGTCCTGCAGACAAAAGAAAAAAAAACATCAGTCATAGTTGCAGAAGAAAATTTAGCAAATTAGAGGAACGATAGTTGGAATCCAATTTGCAGAAGAAAAAATAAAGTTTAAATGTTTACATAGAAGGGGAAAGAGAGACTACCAGTTCTGGTTTCTTCTTTCTAGAGCTTCAGCAACCATACTCACATTAGCTGAAAGAATAACACACTTGTTATGCTTCCTATCAGATGGCTTCTACTTCCCATGTTAGCCTTACTATGTCGAAGGGAAAGAAAGCTGTGCAAATCCAGGTTATAGATCCACAGTTAGACTTATATATACATGTTTGTAGTCTGTAGAAAGATAGGAATTGAGGTGGATTCACCACTTCAGGTTTCAGACACTAGAGGAAATAATTTGCAGGAAGTAGTTGAGCCATTAATAGGGGTTGGTGCCTTTTGCTATCTCCTGTCACTACAAGCATAAGTGTGGGCAGTGGAAAGATAGGAACCAAAACCATGATGATTGCTGTTCTAAATTCTCATCCACTTATGTGGAGGCATAAATTCCCCCTTTCTCTATCAGAGATGCCACCATACTGAAATCTGAATTAAGAACAACTCTAATCATTCAGTGGTTTTCAGGTTGAAAAATCAGAGGGTTATAATACAAGATTTGGATCCTTCTATGTTCTTTTAGGCACATGACCAGTCAACTTCCAAATCTAACAATTGATTTTTAATTCAATGATATGGATTAGATGAGAAAAATAAAACAATCATGAGTAAAATTTGTTGTTATTTTTATGGTACACTAAATCATGTCCATCTAATTTGAATTTAATGATTTTGATTTAAGAAACACGATGGTTATGTTCCTAAGGAAACATAAAAAGATCTGAGTACTAAATACATAAAACTCATCATGAAAACTGCAAGATTTGGAGATGAATTTCATATTCCTCTGCAGTATTAGTCCAACTAGCCCTGTATTATTTGATCACCAACCCAAAGACAAACATCAAGCAGTTTTGGTTTAATGGTATTTTTCACCCCTGAACTTTTGAGGTATGATATATTGACTATTGTGCTGTCAATTTAGTTAATTTTGTTTTTAAACTATTATGTTTTGGGCAAATGTGATTCCTACATTTGATTTGACAGTTATCATCGATCTAAAACTCTTACAAAACAATTCAGTTTATTGTATTTTGAGTTAAAAATTTTCATATATGCTTTTAAAAATAATTTCAAATATTTTTTTAGATGAGGAAGTATTTTTAAATTTTTCTGAAGCATCTTATTTTTTATTTTTGTAATTTATTAAATTTGTAAATTTCAAAAAATAAAAACAATATTCTCCGACTTTAAAATTATTTGTGAAAATGAATCGAATTTTCATTAGCATTTATGACAAATTTCAACCCAAAATACAAATAATAATAATAATAATAATTTTTTAAAGGATTTTGATCAATAATAATGGTCAAGTCAAATGTAAAAATAAAAAAAAATATGTTTAATTTTTATTTTTATTATCACTTTTCATTCTTATTTCTATTTTGTTATTTTTATATAAATATCTATAAAATAAAAATAAAAATTTTATTTTCATTTTCACAATTGTCTCGAGACCAATTAATTCTTCCTTTTAAAATATCTTTTTTGGTTTTGCAAGAGTTATCTGTGTGACAGAAAAAAGAAAAAAAAAAATTTCCTTTTTCTTTTTCCTTGCAAGCAAATCCTTTTCGCAAAGCAACTCTCAAAAAAGGAAAAAACAAAAAAAGGAAAAGGAAAAGGAAAAAACAAATATTCCCAAATCACCCAAAATAATTGAATGGTCCAGATCGTTTAAAACCCATCAAACTATTTTACGTTTCTCATTTGCGAAATTCAAAATAAACGCCCTCTTTCCAACGGTCCCCATTTTTCCCTTCAACTTCTTCTTTGTTCTTGTATCTCACACAAAATATAGTAAAATGCCAAACACCCTTCACCTCCAACCCCAACCTCTTCTTTCAAAACCCTCTCTTCTAATAAATCCTATTGGTGAAATAATCTTCACTGACCCAAAAGGCACAAATTTTGCATTTAAACCTCACATTTTTCACCCTCCCCCTTTGTTTTCATACAAAACCCATGTCCAAAAACCAATTATCTGTGCAAGAAAGAACAAAAGAGGATCTGGGTATCAAAAATTAATCAAAATTTTGCCCGAAGTTGTGGCCTATGTGGCATCAAATATCAAGATTTTGCCAGAGCCATTGGATTTGGTTATTGAAGAATTTGCTGCTAGTTGTCGTGGTGGTGGTGGTGGAGGGAATTTTGGGTTTTGGAAGGGTTTGGGAGGTGGAAGATTTGATGGGTGGGGAAGAAAAGGAGGAATGAATTCAGGGTTTTTAGCGGTTTTGGTGGTTTGTGGGTTAGGGTTGGGGTTGTTTTTGTTTGGAGGAGAATTAAAGATAGATGTGGTTTCTGGGGTTTTGGTGTTGAGTTTATTAGGGGCTGTTTTGATTAAAGGGTTTCAGAGAGGGGTTAAAGATTGGATCTTGGGCCTTTGCTTTTTTGGTGTTTTGTTGGGTTTGGGATCGAAGAGAGAAGATATGCAAAAATGGGTTGAGAGATGTGGGGTTCGTTCCCCAGTTTTGGTGCTTATGAAGGGAAAGAGAAGACATGGTAGGAGAATTTGGTAACAGAAGCTAGAAGCTACAAAGGAATGATTTTACATTTTGCATCCTTTGATTAGTTGGAATGGTTTTTCCTTTCCCATTTTTATTTCATGTGTTCGAAATCGAAGAAGACCTTAATGTGGCAAGTCATGAAAGTATAGGAATGTTTTGCGGCTGTTACTTTTTGTCCATTGATTTTTGATTGAGTTGTACAACAGAGTTGCAAATTTCCTGTCATTTTGCGTTAGAGCTGCTTGAATGTACCATGATCTTTCCTCTTATGATATACAAGTTCATTGTGATTCTTTAAGGGTCACCTATGTTGATCTTATTTGTGTGTGCTTGTGGATTCATTTTAGTGAGAGTTTTATATTTAATGATCATCACTAAACCCTCTTTCAGCAACAAGATTTGTTTTACAGAAGCCAGGCTATGCTCTTGCCATTTTGCATGTCCAATTATGATCATCGTTCATGGTTAGAAGCTGCGACTATACAAAATTTGTCCATGGTTGCATGAATGTTTAGTTTAAGATAGCTATATGCCTTAAGAGTTTTGGTTGCTTGTGTATAGAGTAAAGCTAGAAATGGAAGGGTTTGATGGCATTTCAAAACTGAATATGATCACTTGGACCAACTTGATTGCCAGATTTGTTAAATATTGACCAGGCTGGTGGGGTGTAACGGTGGCTAAGGATGGATATGATCGGAATGTAGAGCCCATAACTTTAGCTTGATGCAAGAGCCTAGAAGTAGGGACATAGGCAAACACAAAAACATGTTCTTAGTTATGCTTGTGCAATTGGGTATGAAGCTTACCCTTGAATTGTAATTGCAATGTGATTCTCGCAACTTTGGTTGTGTGCAAAATCTGATTTGTTAAAAAAAAAACTACGAAGATAATGTGAAAAAAATCACAAGGTTGCAGCTGTGCAAATTTTTCAATCGTTATTGAAATTCACATCTTCTACAAAGGCTTGAGGGCGTATGGTGTCCTCTCTCAACAAGCCAACCACATAACTTCGAGGCATAAGGTTGTACTGGCACCCAAAAATCATAAGGTCCTTTTTTTACAATCCCCTCAAGCCTCATCTTTTCTTTACAATCCCCTCAAGCATCCCATCGATGCCAAAATTACCTTTGAACTGTTGGTGATCAACAGGACCAGGTAGCTGGAAGGTGATGGAGAAGTGACCAGGTGGACAGAGATTTCGAGTTTGCATTCTAAAGATCTGAGAGTACTTGCAAACAGTACTCTCACCAGTCGTGGTCACTCCTTTTATGAACACCTTACCATCAGGATCGATATCACAACTGAAATCTTCTGCCATTGCAAAACAAAAGATCAGATCAGTTAGCCACATCAATATGAATAACATGACAAGGCATTGAAAACATGCCATCTAATTTTTAATATCCATGGCATATGAAACCAAAAGTTCAGATAAAAAAAAAAAATTAAACTTCAGATAGCCGAAATCAAAATATCAATTTCAATTATTAGATTTGCAGTTCTACCACTTTAAACAGCTTGCACTTGTTTGTGTCACGGAGCTAGTTACATCCAAATCATTTTATTGCTTAGGATGTGTTTGGTAATGCATTTGCACTGTGTTTGAGAGTGATTTTCAAAGTGAGTTTGCGCTGAAAAAGCATCAATTTGATGGTTTTTAGGTGCTTTTGGATGGTTTTGACATGCTGCTGTCGAAAACAATAAAAAGCAACAGAAAGAGCATCAATTACCCAAAGCACCTGACCACATTACCAAACATACACATAGACTGAAACGAGTATTCTCTCTCCTAGTATTGTTTGTCAAGATGTAAAGCAATCATGAATACAGCAACAAATGAAATGTTAAAATTTGAACAAACCTACTTTCAACCCTTGCTACTCCAGGTAGAGAGACTCGAAACAAGTAGGCATCATTGCTTTCGCCGATGTCCATTGCACCCACAACTGGTCCCACCTTTCCTACTGCAGCACTCCCAGCCAGCCCAATTCCATTTCTGGCAGAATCCATGATATCATCCAACTCCTTTTGAGTAGCGTGAGATGGGAAAAATACCATAGAAGGCCCAGCTTTTTCGGCAGGCTTTGTGTCTGCATCCCCTTGGGTTGGAGATTCTACCCTGTGCATTTGAGATTGAACTCCCGGGATTGAAGAGCCGACCCTATCACCAAATGGAGCAGGGGGACCAATATATGGCACACTATTGATAGGTGCCACCTCGAGGACCTGGTGATGAGGATTTATGGGCTCAGGTACGCTATTCCCTCTCCGTACATCAGAAGCCCTGCACTCCATTAAAGTTTTGCATATTTAATTTTCTGTAACATATGAAAATGTACCAGTGCTGTGACAACTGACAAGACTTAGTGTTATATAAATTGCTGTCGAAAATTCAATACTGTTAAGTTATGTTCCTAATACAGATATAACTACAACCAACAAAATATCTGAGCAACTCATTACAGAAAAGCAAAAGCTAAAAAAATATAGAAATAGATTGTATGGTAGATCATATCCACCACATTCATACTATCAACAAGAACTCAAACAACGATTCTATCTATTGTGAATCACAACTTTTTAGCAACCATTCTAAGCAACATCTAAACCATATCATTCACAAACTAATTCTTCTGCAATACGCCCAACAAATGCATTGCCCCACTGCTGTAAATGAATAAATTCAATGTACATGCGTATTACTTTAACACAACATCACCAACATATATTATAGGGCTATGTTACAAAAATTCAGCCAGTCTAAAAAACCATTTGATTTCAAACAGTAAAAAGTAAAAAGAAAAAGAAAAACACAGATTGTAGCTACTGCAAAGTTAATCAAGAAAAAACTCAAAACTACTCACTTCAATGGAATGCTCACTTAAGCCATTGAAAACAGAAAATCATGATACCAAGAAGCACAAAAATTTAGACATACTATAGAATTAAATATGGAGAAATCACTAAACCTCCAATGCCTAGTCTTTCCGATCCTTGGAAATTTCACCCAGTAGTTGTGTTCTATTGCTAAACCTTAGCACCTGAATTTATACTATTGAAATCACGATACCATTTCCTTTATGAAAATTACCCTCTTATCCCCAACATGAAAATTACCCTCTTATCCCCATTTTAAACATGTAGTTCAAAGTTGTTATTGCATTTCTGGACTAAAGGTGTTGTAAAAAGTAACATATTGTTTTAAGAGAGTTGTCAATTAATAGCAAGGATTGAGTTCCCCAATAAAGAGAACAACACAGATATGAACAGTAACTTTGTCGTTTAGCATATAATAATCTCCCCCTAAGGAAAATAATATACATAGCAAAGAGAATAATCTTCATACTAAAGAAGCTAGCCCTTTGTTTTCATTAAAACCATAGGCACAAGCACAATCTAATACTTGTCTAGGAAATGAAACCTAGGTTAATGCATGCAAGTGGTTCTCCACAACGAAGTTGGCATTTTGTTTTCATAAAACAAAAGGCACCCACTGTTCATGGGCAATCCATGTCTAGAAAGTGAAAAGCTTGCAGTAAACATGACTCCTCCATAAAGATGCTGGCCCCTTGTTTTCAACAAAATGTAAGTCACATGTAATCCGTGCCTAGGAAATGAAAAGCTATGCGAAAGCACATTTGCTTCTCTCCCTGAAGAAGCTGGACACAAGTTCAATAAAACTCAATGCACATGCACATACATTGTTCACGTGTAACCCATGTCCAGCAAATAAAAAACTATGTGAACACACGAGCATGCACACACAGAGGAACATGGAAAATAAGATCTTAAATTTAGAGACAAGTTGGATTTATTTAATTTAGGAGAGAAGATGTCTTTGGGGCATCCATGTCAAGAAAAAAGACTGCATCCACTAAATAGCAAGGCTGAATCAATATGCTTGTTATGGCAAAGACCATATTATTAAATGGGGATTTGGCTTCCATTATCAAGTGGAAATCACTTCATTAGGAAACCTTATAAAGATATCGCTGCTTTGAATTGGGAGTGTGTAAGTTGGAAGTGCCATCTTATTAAAATGACAGCAATGCATATAAATAAAATACTATTAACATTTGGTGCCTTGAGTCTCCCAAATATAACCATGAAATGAGTTTCCCAAATATGACCATGAAATTTCAAGCCACTGATCCTTTATTTCAACGACAGTTCTACGTTTCATGATAACTGCCATACAAACTATTATATTGTATCTATCAAAGCTCTAAGGTGATAGAATTCTATGAAAATAAGTCTAGAAAAATTGAATCGTCAAAATAATGTTCTAAACTTCTGGAGTTAATTAACTTGATGGACTTCATTGTACGCTAAGAGACACCATTTGAACTTGTGCAGCTTTGAGCTGAGAATGACCATTTGCCATCACATGTCATCCTCCATATTCTACATTTCCATGTCAACTCATCCTAGATTCATACTGCCAAATATATTATTTTACTTTATCTCCCTTCAGTAAGCTTCTACAACCTCCTATGATTTATTCAATTACTTCTAGCTTCCTGTTATTTTCAAAAAGTTTCCCTCACTGCTGTCTTTTTTTAGTTTTCTTTTTTCCCACAGATAAAAGAACAGCATAATACTAGAAAGAAGCACGATAACAATAAAAATTTGAGAATATGCCATTCTCTGAAAGAACATAAACAAGACAATAACAAAAATCGAAATAAATGAGCACTCTAATCCTTCTGAATACCAGCTAGCAAAGTGCTCCAAGAAAAAAAATGCTGCATTGTGCCGAAAAGAAGCAAGAATCTCCATCCTATTCCCCAACTGCCTTGATGAAAAATGGTAATCGAAAGTTTGCATTCGTCTCCATCCGATGGACTAAAAGTTCTCAACTCTAATCATGATCATACTTTCGTTTCTATATTTTTTAATAGCTACCAAAATGATCCTTGAAACCTAAATTAAAGATATCTGATGCATGCGCTGTACCATTTAATTTCTACCAAGTGTCCTAGTCTGTTCTGAAGGGAAGGAAAGTAATTCTCAAATCATAAGTTGATGTCATGAGGATGGATCCATGGACTAACATGCACCTGATTCAAGCCACTAACATGACAGTATAACCATCAAGGGTGATTTGACAAGGCTAAAGAATCTCACAAACACACAAGCCAAACCATCAGTCCATGTTGCCATTTTTGTCGTTATATACTTTTGTTTCTTGAGAATTTGGCAAACAGTTGTGAAACCATAAACAAAAAGGTTAAAAAATGGCACGAAACCTGTTTGGCACAAATAGCCTTTGAACTCATTTCTAGAAAATGGGATTCATTTTAAGATTTTCTGTACCATTAGGCATGAAAACTTCTTAACCCATTTCATAAAAATGGGGATTCATTTTTCAAAATTCTTTATTTTAAACAAAAGAAACTAAACACAATAAAAGAAAAACAGAAGATCTACAGCACCAGACATTCAAGACCCAGAAACCACACCATTTCATTCGCTATAACATCCCCCCATCTAAATAGAAAACCTTTAAAGCATTTTCAAAAACTACCCACCACCCAGTACACTACCATAAACATTTTAACATCGGTTTATTTTTCTTTCCCCATAATTCTTATTCCAAAGCAATAAATTATTTCAAAAACAAAAAACCCCTGTTGTCCTTTACTCTGCTGATTCTGTTATCAATAATTGCATGCAACTAAACAATCAATATTTACAACAAATAAAAGCAAACCCATTTCAGAAAACATAGCAAAGTGGCAAATGCAGCTATAAAAATTCAAGCTTTATCAACAACATCATAAAGAACACTCTTAGAAACAAAAAAAAAAAAAGAAGAAAGAAACTATGTATAAGTAGATAAAGTAGATACCTGTATGGAGAAGCCATTGGTGAGTAGTGAGAGAAGTGTTAATAATACCGCAATAAAGAGGAAAATATTTGAACTGACATATGTCCCAGTGTCTGGGGGTTTACGAAGAAGAGGAAGGACTCTTAAATATGCGAACGTCGTGTCGTCCAGTCAAGTCCATTTTTTGTCAATTTTGGTATTGCTATTGCTATTATTGTTATTTTGATGCAAGAGATAACTTGAAAATTGCCATTTTGGAAAAAAAAAATGAAAATGGATATTTTTTTTTATATAGAAAATTAATTTTGATCATTTTCAAGCATATTTATTGAAGAAGTTTTAAAACATTTAAAGAATAATTAACAAGTACTTGCTCCATGAGTCAATAAAAAAAAAATAGACAAAAAATAGATAAAATATTTTTATCTCTCTCCTATAAATTAAATATTGATAGTTACTCTTTTAATATCGTAAAATTTATCTATTTATTGATTGTTGGCTTTAGATTTTTTTTTATAGCAGAAGAAAAAGCATGTTAATTGAATTGTTGAATTCGTAACTTATAAGTTAATTGATACAAATTGTTTTAGCTATTACTTCTATCATATATCAACTTTTATGGAAATTATGTATAACATTTTCCTTATTATTATGTGAAAACAAAATCCTTTTCATCCATAGTTGATAGTTGTTTCCTTTTTTCTCTTTTGGGATAAGATATCCTTGTTTTGTTCGATAATGACAATTAGATATCCTTTTTTCACTTTTGAGTCAAACTAAGAAATTTATAAAATTAAAATAAGTAAATGATAATAGACTCTTTCGAGATATTATAGAATTATAAATATCATTCAAAAGTTTAAAATTAATATAATTTATTTACTATCATATGGATAAATTTAAACCTATAAAGGATATTTTTGGTAAAAAAATATTTTTATCTTCATCTTTATTTTCTGTAGTTTTTAGAGAAAATAACCGAATATATCTTCTTCTTTTTCAAAATTCATTTATTTAAATTTGGTTAAAAAAAAAAAAACCAAGTACTTTTATTGCTATCCTGCGAAGCTAATAGTTTGATGTAACACCGTTAGCTCAAAAAGTTATCTGCATGAACGAAATTAAGACAGAAACTAAACGACAAAATTAAAACGAAAAATACACTACAGCAGACTCAAATGCTGCTACGGAGGGAAGCTTTCTTTCATGGCTCGTGCTGCAAAAGAACATCCAGCGAAGTTACTTTTGAGCAGATTACAGAATTTCTTGGTCTGTTAAATTTAAAAACTAAGAAATGCATACGAGAAAGACAAGGATTTGAGAAAGAAAGAAAGAAAATATGAAACAAACAACAGAATTGACCAATGTTAGCTAACTTTAGCAAGTTCTGATCAACGCAACATTCAACAAACCATTTTATTAAAAGTACAAGGTTGTATGGTGCCTTCTCTCAAGAGGCCAACCTACATTATTCCGAGGCTTCTGGTTGTAATTGTAACGGAAAATCACATGGGATAGGCAAGGGATTTATAGGATCTGGAGTACAAAGGAATGCTATCCTTGATCACAGAAACTGTACAAGTTTTTTTTCCTTACAATCATCTCGAGCATCCCATTGATGCCAGAGTTACTAGAAATCGGTTGGGGATAAACAGGACCAGGCAGCAGGAAGGAGATAGAGAAGTGACCCGGTGGACATAGATTTTGAGTTCGCATCACAAATATCTGAGAGAACATGCAAAGTGTACTCTCACCAGCTGTGGTGACTCCTTTTATGAGCACCATACCATCAGGTTTGATGTCACAACTGAATTCTTCTGCCATTGCAAAACAAAAGATCAGATTAGTTAGCCACAGCAACATCCACAATATGACAAGGCATATGAAAACATACCATCTAATTTTTAATATCCATTGTAAATGAAACTCAAGGTTCAAATCAAATAAATTAATTAAATTTTAGATAGCTTAAATCAAGATTTCAGTTTAATTAATTAGATTTACAGCTCTACCACTTCAAGCAGCTTGCATTTGTGCTATAGAGGTTACATCCAAATCAGCATTTTAGGCACAGTGGAACAAGTGTTATCTCTCCTATCGTTTCTCAACATGTAAAGGAGTCATGAATATACTAACAAACAAAATGTTGAAATTTGATCAAACTTACTTTCATCCGTTGCTACTCCAGGAAGAGAGACTCGAAAAAAATAGGCATCATCACTTTCCCCGATGTCCACTGATCCCACAATTGGTCCCATCTTTCCCATTGCGGCACTCCCAGACCGCCCAACTCCATTTCCGGCAAAATTCATGATATTTTTCCACTCTTCTTCAGTTGTGTTAGATGGGAAAAATACGATACAAGGACCAACTGTTTCCACAGGTTTAGTATCCCCATCGCCTTGGGTTGGAGATTCTACCCTGTGCATTTGAGATTGAGCTCTGGGTCTTGAAGATCCAACCCTACCACCAAATTCCCTCTCCATATGTCAGAAGACCTGAAATCCATCAAAGTTTTGCACATTTAATCTTCAATACCACTTGAAAATGTAGCAGTGCGGCAGTAATTAGACTTAGTGTTGCATAACTAGTTGTAGAAAATTCAATAGTATATAGTTGTGTTCCTAATACAGATATAACTAAAGCCAACAAAATATCAGAACAACTCATGACAAAAAAGCAAAAGCTAAAAGACAGAAATAGGTTGTTTGGTAGATCATATCCGCCAACTTTTCTACAATCAACAATAACTCAAACAGTGTTTCCATAAATTGTGAATTGCAGCTTTTTAGTAACCATTCTGCAAGTAACATCTAAAACAAAATTAATTTACAAACTCATTCTTCTGCGATACACCCAACGGTTGTATTGAATCACTGCTGTAGATTAGTAAATTCGATGTACATGTGTATTACTTTGATAACACATAATCAACATATATTACAGGGTTATGTTACAAAAATTCAGCAAGTCTAAAAAACCATTTGATTTCAAATATTATGAAGTAGAAAGAAAACGAAAAGACAGAAAAACATATTAATCTAATTGTTTTCATGAGATGACTGAAAAAAGTCAGCAAATGATCGGGAAAAAACCCCATAGCTATGCATTTCAATGGGATGCTCACTTAAACAAACGAAAACCAAAAATCCCGGTACCTAAAAGTACGAAAATCAACACATATAAGATAGAATTAAATATGGAGAAATCACTAGCCTCTGATGCCAAGTCTTTCTGATCCTTGGAATTTTGCCAAGTTGTTGTGTTCTATTGCTAAACACTGCCACCTGAATTTATAGTATTGACAGAACCACTAAAGGTTTTGTAAAATGCAATATATTTTCAAATGGGATTTGCCATTTAATAGCATATAGATTGAGTTCCCAAAAAAGAGAACTACACAGATACGAACACCAACTATCTTTGTCCTTAAATAGCATATAATAACCCCCTGAGGAATGTAATCTCCATGCCCAGGAGAATAATTTTCCTACTAAAGAAGCAAGCTCCTTGTTCTAATAAAAACCATAGGCACAAGCGCAATCTAATACTTGTCTAGGAAAAGAAATCTAGGTGAATTCACACACATCGTTCTCCATAAGGAAGTTGGCACTTTGTTTTCTATAAAACAGAAGGCGCCACTGTTTGTGAGCAATCCGAGTCTTGGAACCAAAAAGCTATTGGAGTATGCATGACTCCCCCATAAAAAAAAAAGGCACCACTTTGTTTTCCACTAAATGAAAGTCATGTGTAATCCCTGCTTAGTAAATCAAAAGTTATGTAAATACACATGTGCTTCTCTCCCTGAGGAAGCTGGCTGCAAGTTTTCAATATCACTAAAAGCACGTGCAGATACATTGTTCACATGCAACCCACGTCCAGTAAATTAAAAGCTATGTGAATGCATAAGCATGCACAGACAGAGGAGCATGAAAAATTATAACTTGAATTTAAACATAAGTAGTATTTATTTAGTTTAGCAGAGAAGATGTCTGTTTTTGAGGAAAAAAAGACTGCATCCACCAAACAGCAAGGCTGAATTAATGTGCTTGTTATGGCAAAGACCATAGATTTAAATGGGGATTTGTTTTCTATTATCAAGTGGAAACCACTTCATTATAAAACTTTACAAACATATCCCTGCTTTGAATTGGAGTGCGTTTGGAAGTTGGAACTGCCATATTGTTAAAAATAACAGCAATGGATCTGATTATAATATCAACATTTGATGCCTTGATTCTCCCAAACAAAACCATGAAATCTCATGCCAGTGATCCTTTATTTAAACAACCATTTTACTTTTCATGACAAATGCCACTTAAACTATCATACTGTATCCAGCAAAATGCAGAGCTGATAGAATGGTTTTAAAATAGTCTAGAAAACTTGAATGGCCACAATAATGTCCTAGCTTCTTGATATAATTAACTCGATGGACTCAATTGTATGCTAAGCTAAGAAATACCATTTTGTAAGTGTGCAGCTTTCACTTGGCAAGAAAAAGGATAACAATAAAAATTCCAGAATGTGCAAGAACAACAACAGGGCATTAACGATAATCAATGTAAATGAGCACTCTAATACTTCTGAATACCAGCTAGCTAAGTGCTCCTAAAAATCCCACTGCATTGTGCCAAAAAGAAACAAGAATCTCCACCCTATCCTCCAACTGCCTTGATGAAAGATGATTATTGAAATCTTGCATTCCTCCCCATCCAAATGGATTAAGAATTCTCACCTCTAATCATTGTCACACTTTTGTTTCTATAATGTTAAATAGCTACCAAAATAATCCATTCATTATACCATTTAACTTCTACCAAATGTACTAGTTTGCTCTGAAGGGAAGGATAATTGTTCCCAAATCATAAGTTGAGGTCACAAGGATGGATCCATGGACTAACATGCACCTAATTCAAGCCACTAATATAACAGTATAGCCACTAAGATCAATTTGAGAAGGCTGCAGAATCCCACGAAAAAATGAGCGAAAAAACAAGGTCCATCAGGCCAAATTGCCATTTTTGTTCTAGTATACTTCTGTTTCTTGAAGTTTTTATTATGAGTTTTGAAGCCTCATGATGGACTCATTTTTCTTAACCAAAAAAGCACAAACCCATAAATGAAGAGGTAAAAAAAATTACACGAAGCTGTTTGGCACGAAAATCTTTCAAACTGATTTCTAGAATGTGGGATTCATTTTTATATATTCAGTAACAATTGGCACCAAAAAAAAAAAAAATCCATTTCAAGAAAGCATGATTCATTTTTAAATATTCTGTAGTGTGTTTTCAACAAAAGATAGCTAAAAAAAAGAGAAACGGAAGACCAAACATTTTCAAAACCCAAAAACCACACCATTTCACTTCCTATAACATCACCCATCCAAATAGAAACCTTTCAATCGTTTTCAAAAACTACCCACCGCCCAGTACACCACCATAAACATTTCAACATCAGTTTATTTTTCTTTCCCCATAATCTTTTATCCACAACAATATGTTATTTAAAAAACTAAAACAAAAGGCCCTCCTTTTCTTTTGTCTTGGCGGATTCTATTACGAATAATTGCATGCAACTAAACAATCCATCCTTACAAGAATAAAAGAAAACCCATATCAGAAAACATAGCAACGTAGCAAATGCAGCTATAAAAATTCAAACTTTATCAACAAGATCACAAATAATACTCTTAAAAACATAAAAACATAAAAACATAAAGAAACTTTATACATGTATAAGTAAATAAAGCAGATACCTGTATGGAGAAACCATTGGTGAGTGGGCAGCAAAGAGTAGCACTGCAATGGAGAGGCAAATACTTGAAGTTATAAACCGTGTCTTAGGACCGTGTTTCTTGGGCTTTTATACAGAACAGGGACTCCTAAATGTCTGAATGACGTGTCGTCGACTTAAGTGTTTTTTGTCCGTTAGAAGAGTCAGAGAGCACTTGTAAAATTGCCATTTTTAACAGAAAAAAGTGAAAAATGTGTTAGAAGAGTAACAAAATTAATTTGATAATTTTCAAGCATTTTATTGAATATTGAATTTTTTGAAATTAAATTGATTCAAGTTATGTTTATCAAAAATACTTATTCCATTCAAATAATATTCTTCTCCCTAAGAAAGCTAACTCCTTATTTTCAGTGAAAAAAAAAAAAAAGCACAACCACACATAATATTTATGGATTTAAGAAATCTAGAGGCTTTCACCGTTGCCCTTCTAGTAAACCAAGGCTAGAGATTGATTGCCTGTCATAATTCTCTTTTCTTCATTGTTTTCAAGGGTAAATACTTTCCATTTTTCTAATTTCTTGAATGCCAAAAGTCTCAATCTTTACAGGGGATGGAGAAACATTTTAATGGGAAGGAATGTCTTAGAAACAAGTTTGAGATGGAGAATTGGTGAAGGAAGGTTTGTAACCTGTTTTTCGATCCATGGGTCCTAAGTGATATCCTTTTAAGATAACCTCCAACTCCACCTTGCTTGGTGACATAACAATGGTGTATCTGATTGGTTGAAAAACTCGGAACCGGAAAGTAGGTTTAATCCAACAAAGCTTTCGATAGAGAAGATGTGGCCTCAATTCTTAGCATTCCTATTAGCAGGTTTCCTATATCAAACAGGCTGATTTGACATTTCACTAAAGATGGGAAATACTATGTTAAATCAGGTTATGCAGCGGTAATAGACTCTTTTTTTTTTTTTTTCCTTCCTAAGTTATTTCAAGTCTAAATATCCAGAACTAATTATTTGTTGTTTTTTCCGAACACACCAGACTTCATGCTGGATAAAGCTCATTCTAGTCTAATTTATTTGTTGTGTAGCTTGAACTCATGTTAAAATCAATCAATAAATAAAATAAAATAATTGTTATAAAATAAATAGAAATAATAGGAGAATTGAAGAAAATGATGACAAGAAAATGAAATCATTATAATATGAATATAAGTTATAAGAACTTCAAAGTTTCTCTTATTCTCTCTAGGAAACTTATACACCAACTAATGAACAATAAAACCTATTTATAGGCTTGAAAATTGAAGAGAGAATTGGAAGGAACTATGAATAATCAATTGCATCACCCTTTCAATTTCTCATATTGAATGATGAATTGAATCATATTAAGAATCATGAGTAGTGGGGATATAAAAAGTGAATGAACATGATGATGAACATTCATTATTTCATAACAATAATACTATTGATTATCATATCATAAAATCCGTTAAATTATTTAATTAATTTTAGATCAAAAATCGGGCATATACGTGTACATAAGCAAAGCACACAACAATGTAGTCTTACAAAACAAGGAGTGGTTTCAGGGATTCACCAACGTATTCTATATCTTTCCATAGATACATAATAGTCAAAGTGCTCTAGTAATAACAAAAATGCTAAACGTTAATAAAATCAACAAGAGAAAACTTCAAAAAAAAATTAAAGTAATTGGATTATCATCTTAATATGGGATTCGGCATA